ACCATAACTCTTATTTATTCAAATTGGATTAATATGTAAAGACCAAGTGTAACATATATCATCGTTAAATATTATTTTATAAAACCAGTGGAACTTTAAAATTGTTAAAATTTATGGCTCTCGCCGCATTGCACGGATACACAACCAATATAGTATAGATATTAAAAGTCTTGCTATTATATTATATAAAAAATAAAATAGAATTTAAAAATGTTGCCCGCTTAACACTCCAAGGAGTCGTCGTATTTTAGGATTTAATGATATGTGTCTGAAGAGTAGTCCCAATCCCAATAGATGGTGACGATGCATGTGACCCACGTCGTCGTTTTGGCATCACTCAATCATATCAAAACATGTAACATGTTGCAACGTATGGGGTAAGCCGAGATAAACCCATAATTATCTCTTTATATATTTTTTTACGTCAAAATCATGTTAAATTGTAACATCTCAGACTAATCATACAAGATATTGTTAAGTTTATACATTTTTAACCACATGAGTGGTATTTTATTGGTTTGAGCTTGGCTCCAAAGCTCAAAAGTAACAGGAGGTACCAGGTTCAAATACAAATAGAAATAAAAATACGGAAATTCAAATGTGGTGACTCCGGGCTATCTGCAAAACAGGTAGTCGTCCTAGAATTAGTCGGCTACCATAGCGGGTTGGATATCCAGGTTAGTAAAAAAAATTATACATATTTATACTCATGGTTTTAAAACTTGTCTCATAGAAAAGGTATTCAGTCCATTATAAGACAACATTTATTCTCCTCCCTTACTAATGTGGGATCTTATAATCCACCTCCTTGAAAGTCCAGCATTCTCGCTGGCATACCATCTATAACATCCAAGACTAATTAACCGTATCAAATGTTGTCCGTTTTGTCCAAACTTATACTCACGGTTTTAAACTATATCAAATGTATTGAATATTTTAATAATCTATATACTATATTATAAAGCATTTGACAAAAAACTTTTAAAACTCGTTTTTTATACATGAAGTACTGCTTATTTATGCATATTACTTAAAATTCAATATTACAAGTAATTATACATAAGTACAATTTTTTAAACTTCATATTGGAATTCGTGTAACTAACTGTAGATAAATATAATCAAATACAGAATAAAATTCTCATTTTATCTAAAATATAATTAGAATAATTATTGAGTTCTAACAGAATACTTAGTTATTATCTTTATAAAAAACTAGAAGGGTATTCGCACAAAGCAGCAAGATACATCTCGATTTTAATGTTTCATTTCTTTTGTCTTAGTCGTTGTTATAATACGGTTTTTATATGGTTTTGAGAAAACGATAACGTTTTTTTTAATAAAATATAAATATGAAGATATCATAAAATATATGTAAAAAAATGATGTTAGTACCAGACTAACTATTTAAAATTTCTAATTTTTTTTGTATATTTCATTAATTCATTTTTTTTTTATTTTTGGTTTAATAATATAATTTTTATAAAGATAATAATTAAGTATTTTGTTATAATTCAATAATTATCTTAATTATATTCTAGTTTTTTTATATTTAAAATAAAATGTTTATCCTCTATTTGATTATGTTTATCTAAAGTTAGTTATACGAATTCAAACATGAAGCTTTAATAAGTTGTACTTATGCACAATTTACTTGTAATCTTGAATTTTAAGTAATATGCATCAATAAACAATACTTCATGCATAAAAAATGGTTTTTAAGAGTTTTTGGTCAAATCCTTTATAATATAGTATAGATATATTGTTAAATCAAAAACAAATTACTTCGTCGTTAAACCTAAATTAATTTATTAAAAAAAGTGAATTAAAGAAATCATACAAAAAAATGAGAACGTTTTTATTTTTTTTTAGTTTTTATCATATCTTCAACTTTATATTAAAAAAACATTATTGTATACTCAAAACCACATAAATTCATATTATAATATCAACAAACACCCCAAAAAATAAAAGAAAACATTAAAATTTAGATATATCTTGCTACATTGCACGAGTACTTTTCTAATTTATTTAATATTGTAATATCCAAATTTAAGTAGATGTTGAAGATGAATAAAGTTTTTTGTGTGGAGATTTTGAGTTTTGGTTATCTGTTTTGAGGAATCTGCTGAATATGCTATTGGTATAATATGGTGAATTTAACATGTAGGGATGGGTGCATTTGTCATAACCCGGGTCATAAATATGTTGCATCATTTCAAAAAATAAAGCGTAACCCACCATTGTCGAGTCATGTCGACTTTCAAATTAGGCTTGCGTTTAGCATAAATGTTCGTTTGACATGACACGAACAAGTAACTAGTTCATTAAACCATAATGGACCCGAGATTTACATAATAATCGAATCTCAGATCCGAGGATACATTGTTAGGGATGGGGACAAAGAGGGAATTTTCTTCCCCACCCTTTGCATATAACATTCTCAGGTTTAATTTGCACGTAAACCTTTTTTTTATTAACTTGGATATCTAACCCGTTATGCGAGCCGACTAATTTCAGGACGACCACCTGTTTTGGGGGGAGCCTGGAGTCACCGCATTTAAATATCCGTGACCACAAGAAGATTTTTATTCCTCCTTGTATTTGAAACCGAGACTTCCAGACACTTTTGACATTTGGAGCTCAAGCTCAAATTAATCAGACACCACCGTTATGGTTACCTTGTACGTAAACCTGCCATACAAATAGAGAAAAGGACACATAAATAAAGTTATCTTGGGAAATTATATTTCACAACATTTATTTAAGGATTCAAAAAAAAAAAAAAAAAAAATCTTCAAAACAAGACACAATCTCTTACATTTCTCTACATGTTTTCATATAATATCAATATACGACAAATAGAACAAATAAACTCTTATACCCTTATCATATTTGGTGAGATTTGAACATCTTATGAGGTCAAAAACTCACATACCGTTAGTCCAAAAGCCATTTGAACATTTCTCTATGTATTTATGGTTATAATCAAGTATCTTTACATTTAATGAATATATTTGTTTTATTTTATTATGTTTTAAAAAATATTATTATTATTATTATAAATTATCAATGAAAATAAAATAAAAGGAACTAAAAAGATAGAATTTTGAAATTAAGTTTTAAATTTTAATAAATATTTTTTAGATTTTGATTTAATGGGCCATTGTCTAGTTGACAGCCCAAAATTGTTGAGGTAGGCCTGCATTTGTTTGCTTCATTCAATTTGGGCACCCAATAGAACCAAAATGGCCCACCCCATATCCAAGTAATTTTTATAAGTTTTTTCATAGGAAGATGACGTATTTATGTGATTTTATCTAATATTTATTATCATTTATCTGCCGTTAGTTATACGAATTCAAATATAAAGCTTTGATAAGTTGTATTTGTGTTTAATCAACTTATAATATTTAATTTTACGTAATATACATTAATAAACAATATTTAATGCATAAAAATAATTTTTAATATATATATATATATATATATATATATATATATATAAGATTTGACTACAAGATATATGTAACAAATCGTCTTAGAGAAATTACGATTGAATAACTTGGAAACAAACACGATGGACCATCTATTGACAATAGGCTACCAATCAAAAGAGAAAGACCCATGAACCAATGACTAGTTCAACATCATAAATCGATTAATTTTGTTCCACCTAAAAGGTCATCAATTCGTTAAGCTTGATGATCTCATGCTTAGTTATTGACTTTGACCCAATACAATCATCAACATCTGGTGTTTTTTATATAAAAATATAAAATAAAAAAAAATTATCGTGATTAACGCATACAAAAATGTTTATATCCATTTCTTGTTATTACACCGCGTATTGTTATATCCAAGAAACTTATTGTTCTTAACTATCAATTGTTTATTAGGATTATTTACTAAAGATTTACCCAATAAGTGTTTACCGGGTCAATTTACCTTATCGAATGAAATGAAAAAAATTGAGAATCTTACTTGATAAAAGCGATAACAAGGAGCGAGAGTTTTACCTGGTAAATGAGAGGATGACTCGTACCTGATAAATGCCTACCATATAAAATGTACCATAGAATGCCGCTTTATTAAACTAAAATCTTATTCGGCAAGTTAAGTGAAAATGTTGGCTCCTACAGTAACTCAGGAAGTGCTTACCGATTAAGTGTTGATAAACAATTCCTAAAATAGTTCGTTAATATAAATTGAATTTAATTGGTAATAAATAGGGAAATTATTAGAAAAAGCTATTTTCATTGATCAAATTCATTTCTTAGTCATTTCTTTTCGAAATTTTAAAAAATATCACTATCTCTGCAAATGACAGTGTGACATCTCTATGACTTGCGCTGGAGTTAAAAAGACAATTTTTTTTTCACTTTTTACCCACTTGGGAACTTGGGTGTAAAGTGATTTTTTCCAACTTTCGCTCACTTGTAGACCCCGGTGAAAACTAAAGTGATTATTTTTTTAGCTCATTCGCAACTCATGCCATTTGTGAAAATAGGGATGTTTTACAAATCTCCATACTCCAAACAAAAATGACTTGAGGGTTGTTTGAGAATTGTTAAATGGTTTGTTGTAGAGTGATTAAGAGGTTCTCATGATACAATGTAAAATGAAATATAGTTGTTCAGTAATTGTTTATAATGAAATTAAGACGTTGAATGGTTAAGACAAATTAATGATACGGGTTCTAGAACATCAAGAAACATGTACTATTTTTTTTTTTACAAACAAGATTTATTTTTTAAAAATTTAGAAGCTACATTTTAATAAAATTATTAAAAGATAAATAGTATTTACCAATGCACCAACACTAACCCCAATTGGCTTCCCTAATTAATGAGGGTTTTTTTTTGCATCCAGAAGGTCAGAATTCTTCAAAAACCATCTACAATTTAATGATGGTCATCATATTTGATTTGGGTAAGAAGAAAACGTTTTCCATTTTTTGGGGATTCTTGATTTTCTCATTGGTATATTAAGATTCCGCTGCTCCATCCGTTTCACTTCAACTTCATTCATTATCTTCATCTTCATCTTCATCTGATGATGGTGGCCTTCACCAATCTTTCCATAATCCTTACAGTTTCTTGAAATCCATTAATGTCTCCACAACCACCACCTTCAATCACCAAACCCCATCCAAATTCGCTCTCAGATTTCATCTTTTCCGCTTTCTCCCTCTTCGTCTGCTCTTCTTCTTCTTTCAAACCCACCTCCAATTTCAACCCTCCTCGTCGTTTGTTTAAGTTCCCAATCATGCCTTTAACCACCACCAAGACACCCGCCATTAACAACCACCACTTTCCCACGCCACAATCCCTCTCCGACTGGCTACGACCTCGTCTCCCATCTGATTCTTTCGCGGCTTGGGGCACCCGACCCGGAACCAAGAACATCCATAACCTCTGGCTCGAGCTCGCCGAGGGTGAAACTTCTCTCGCCGACTCTACCCCACCTGTTCGAACCCTCGAAGTCGTCGTGGTTCGGGTCAGGGATCATCAAAATCGAATCTTGATTGAATCCCATCAACAGTTATCAAATGGCGACATTCGTGACCGATCCAGACCCTTATCGGAAAAAATGAAGCCCGGTGAGACGGTGGAATCGGCTGTTGTAAGAGCAGTGAAGGAAGAACTTGGCTCGATTATCAAAGATTCTTGTAGCAATGTAAACTATGGAGATATTGTTAAAATTATACCGAATTCATATTCGAGTAAGGTGGAGGAAAGGGTATCTGTATCGTACCCTGGATTGCCAGCCTGTTATGTTTTACATACAGTGGATGCCATTGTTGATGGTTTGCCAGATTGTGAGTTTTGTAGTGAAGAAGAGGAAGAGTATCAGGATTTGGATGAAAAAGAAGGGGCTAAAGGAGCTGTTTCTTGTAAGAAGCATTACTGGAAATGGGTAGATTCTAATACCGTGTCATCTTGAGTTTTTGCTTGTATAAATAGAGGTGAGTTTGAGGTTTTCTTACTTTCCCCATTCATCAGTTTTGTCTATATTGATTGAGATGTGTTTGTAATAGAAAAAAGAAGCATCTTTTGGATTCAAAAGAGGTTCAAGTTTGATCTTTTCTGGACCTAACAACACAATATGTTTGAAGTCTTGATGTTTATGCTATCAATGTTCCATGACAAGAATTGCTTTGTAAATGTGGTGCTCCAACTGAGTAATGAGTAGATATGCAGAGACAGAAGCAATAAATTGAAGTTCTAATGCCTCTAAAATGCCCCATGACCTATCTTGTTTTACTTGAATCACTTGATTTGGTGGTTCGATTGTTCATACTTCATATTCCCGACACATCTAGGCTCTAGATTCTGTAGATGTTGATACTTACGGTTTCTGCACCTTCCCCAATATATGGTTCACAAAAACCTATGGCTGAATAAATGATGGAGAATGTAGTGTATTGGTTTCTTTGTGGTAAACATTTCATGTAATGTGGGCTGATATGGTGTTATATGATATTTCATAGCTATTGAAGCTGTTTCTTGGTTTTTACGCACATGTGCATACCACAAAAATTGCTTACAAATTACTCGTATGCACGTGTGAATACTGTCTAGATGAATCGTCACCAGGTGTTCCTCAGTTTTTTTTTTTTTTTTTTTTTTTTTTTGCTTTTTCCGCCTGACCCTATATATATGCCTTGTTGCTGTTGGTCATGTGGTCACTCCACGAATGTGCATATGCAAAAGACGATCTTTCATATTTTTCTTGATTGGTGGTGTCTTGTGATGATGGATATTCAGTCAAAGGACTATGCTACCTGTTTTAGCTCAATTGTTATATGTTTCCTTTCATTCTTTTGCAATTACTTTACGACACCCCCTTCTAGCACCAAACATGAGTATTATAATATTCCTAGATTTTCCCTAGTCAATTTGTATGATCTTAGCATCAACATGAAGTAAGCAAGTCTTATGCCAAGGCCCAAGAAAAAGGAACACTAGATAAGACTTAAGATCCAATAGACCATTTATAGTGAGAAGTTCATTGGTTGCAAAAAAAGTTTTGGAAAGTTAAAAAAAAATCACAAAAATTTGAAGATTTTGGAAAGTAATCGAAGAGCTTGCTTAAGTGGAAAATGTTTGTATAACTAGAGTGCATGCAAAAAGACATTAAGAAGAGAACGCAGGTAACAAAGACACTACTAGCCTACATGTTGGCTTTATAAACCCCCCCCTAACCCCTCCTCATCGGTGTTGTCATCTGTCTCCTATGGACATGTCCAGATCGCTGCATTCTTCCCTCTTTCAATCTGGGGCAGGCCTCATTCAGCACAACTTTTAGCTTTGACCGATATACCTCATTCAGTATCCTGTCCAATACGGTTTGGCCACATGTCATCTCAACACCCTCATTTTTGCAACATCCAACTTCCTCTCATATGTCTTCTTTATTGACCAACACCCAACCCACATAGCTAGTCTGATGCCACCATGTTGACCTTGCTCTTCAGTAGATTTTACCTACCCAATAGTGAAATCCTGCAAATAAAGCAAAAACGGCTCCCCGGACCCCTGATGTTGACTTCTACCCCCCTGTGAATACATGCATTGCTGAAATTGCACCATAGGTATGTGGTCTGAGAGTGCTAAAAAAGATAAAAAAAAAAGAGGAAAGGATGTGATTTCCACCATTATGTTACTCCATAGTGACAATCATTGTGAGTCATTGCAAGCGTTTTTTTTTATTTTGTAAACGATACAGCCACACATTATTGGATAGTATCCCCTCTTTTATAGCAAGAACTGTGAGAGATTATTTGTCTGATCATATGTAGTCCCTTCACCATTTGGGAGTGTGCCACTTTCCATTGCTGCAAGTGCAAGAATGTAATGCTAAATGTAGGATGCAAAAGAAGCAATGCCTCTCACTGCCTATGGATAGTAAGAATTTGGTATTGATTTACTATGATGGTGACTTGACAACGTTAAAGGTTAGGTTTTGCATTATGAGAGTTTGTGGACATTGGTATATAGTGCTGATTGAAAGTGACTAGCGTTATCTGAAATAAAGATAGTAGCTTCAAACTCGGTTGGAAATGATTCCTGCCATACTAGTTCTAAAAGACTTGGACTTGTTAGTTGAGTGAAAAGGAACATCCAATTGTGCTTAATATCAATGGAGTTCTTTGATGATCTTGTTATGGACTTGAAGTCTTGAAGAAGTTTTCAAGGCTCAAAAACTGGATCGGCGGTTAGTGATATTCAAAGGCATAATCTTGGAATTTCTTGAATGGGGATCAATCAATTTTTTTCATATATATTTTCTGATAAATTGCTATACAACCTGGGTTTTCTCATAGTTTCTTTTTAGAAACATATCCAATCAACTTAGATAGGCAATTTGAGGTCATGTATCTTCAGATTTTTCTAATTTAATTAGCCTTTTTATGCAAGAATAAATACTTATGGACTGCCTTTACACGCAGGATACTTTGCCTATTAGTGGACCTTTACTATAGGGACTTTGCTTCTAACAAGGGGGATTACGGCTGTATAGGATCCAAGCTTTGTATAGTTTTCTTGAATTTGGAGGATTCAAAGGAATAGCAAGGATACCCGTAGGACCCTTTTAGTTTTCCAGTATCTCTAAGGGGATGTTTGGTTGCTTTTCCATTAAGTTCTGTATGGATAAAGTTGTATGGATGGATTAATCTGTCTGTATAAATTGAGAAAGTTTTGTTTGGGAGAGTTTACTCATAGATGGAAGCGGCATGTTTTTTAATCGGGAGGGACGGGTTTGGAAAAAAACCTGACTTTTTGCATAAAGCTCTCCCCTAAAAGCTTACTGAATAAGCTAGTTTTTATATCATTAAGCCGCTACCAAACAATCATGTATAGCTGACCAAATAAGTTGCGAGTCCCATTAAGCTCATCAAGCTGCTAACAAACAGGCCACAAAGAACATTTACAGAAGGAGATTCATCGGCATTAGAATTTAAGATTCTTTTATTGTATATGGAGATACCATATTTATCCTTATAATCACACATTAAAGCTACCAAAAGCTAGAATCCACTATTATATATGAAAGAGAAACTATTTCATTATATCAGGTTGAGAGAAAAAGAAGAGACGATAAGATGTAGAAACCAAGAAATCGCTTAACTACAAATTTACATATTTAATGAAGAAAAACCATCATTCCGAAATCAAATCCAAGCTATATGTATGCTTATGGAACACCTTAGTTGATGGTATTTGGTGGTCAAACTGTGGTAGAACACCGAGTCCCTTGCTTAGAAGTCAATGGACCTGCAGGCACAGATGGACCAAAAGACAAAACAGCAAGACAATTTACATTAAACCGATACCTGCCGGAAACCCAAGTTCCAACCTTCCATCGGAGTTGTCCATTTGCCTTGAGATTTAAAACCAATCTTCCGGCCATCTGATCACGACCCACTTCGTAACTGAAAGATGAATCCACAGGTAACCCATTTGCAACTAAAACCGTAGATAGAAGATTGCTGTCTTTATGGTCTTGGTAAAACGGAGGGACAGATGAATCAAGAGTTATCTGTTGGCCCTTGTAGGAAGCATAAACTTCGATTTCATCATAGTAAATACCCACTTTCTGATTCGGGTTGTTCGAGAGAAGTGTGATCTGAATGGATGAATTGAGGAGATGATATCCCGAGAGGGCGAGTTTGTAAACATCAGCTTCTTTGAGGGAGAACTCTGGCTTGGTGGGGTGGAGTATAAACCATACAAGAAGTATGAGTAAGAAGATTGAGAGGATGAAAGTGGTGAATGTATAGAGTAATCTCTTGTGATACTTGTTGATGTTTATGAGTTTTCTTTTGGCACAGTGTTGAGGTGATTTTTCATTGATTTGAGACATTTGTTGTCTGAGAAATGGAGGAAGTTCACAAGGCTAAGTTAAGGGTGGTGTGGGGGATTATATATGAATAAAAGTAAAGCTAAAAAACATATGATTGTTGGCTTATTGCTACCGGGATTATTTCAACGATACATCTTTTGACTGTTCTATTGATATTAATAGAGTAGTTCTTGCAGCTGATTGATACTAGCACTATACTCTGCAGTAAAAGGTAGTCTTTATAAGACCAATATCAAGTAGGCTCAAGAAGTGGCCACAATACCCATGATTAACCTTTTTCTAAAGGGAAAAAAAGCTCACTAGATATTGAAAATGATGGTATCAACGACAAAAACAAGAGGGAGGTTTAGGGGCAAAACCCCAAAAAATGAAAAGTTGAGGTACACCCCAATAACCATTCATGTGGACTGTATGCACATGTGCATACAAGTAATTGAAGTTGTTTCTTGGTTTTTATATACGTATGCATACCAGACAACTTGCTTACAAATTACTTATATGCACATGTGCATACTGTCCAGATGAACAATTACAAAGGTGTTAGTCAGTTGAACCTTACCCACAAAAACAATATCTCATATATATGCTGCTAGAAACTCCCATGGTTAATTATAAAGAAAGTTACATCCTGCATTATGTATTCATTCAACCACTGAATTTATGAATATGTGTGTTTCAGATGAATGCTAGCCATGACAGCAGAGGTAAGCTTGAAGCAAAGATGGTGGGAGTTGATTCAAAATTGGAATATTCATCAATAATAACAAGTTTGAGTTTCTACAGTATTTGGAGTGGATGATGGTAATGACTGAAACAAGGATATCTGGGGGGGTATCAAGTGAAGCCTTTTTGAATAATTGAATGCAAAGTGAAAAGCTCTTTTAAAGTGAGAAATGGTGGTTAAGGATTTTTGTTTTGTATATCATGTGAGTGATTGGAGTGTTGAGGGAAACATAAGCAATCAAATGGGAAACATGAAGAATCTATGGAAATTGACGTTTGGGTGGCAGTGGGTCTAAAGACCCTTTGCCTTTTATGTTAAGAAATGAGATTTTTATGGCTTTTTTTGGGGTAGTTGAGGAGCTTCTCAATGAAGACAGTTGATTTTAGTGAGTGGATGAATGTCAGGTTTTCAACTTTTTGAGTCTTTTTCAAATGGAAGCAGCTTTAATTGAGTTTGAAGATGAAAGCCTGCTCTCCTTTTGTTTCTGACTGCCATTTTGGGCTGGAACCATTTGGGAATGGGAATACAGTACCAATAGCAGTACCAGTAACAGTTGATGATAGCAACACTCCAAATGACACCAAGAAATCATTCAATGGGGAGCACCCCATTTGTCTTTTCAGAATGCTTGGAAAAGTTGGTTCATGACTCGGTCACTATGCACCCTCAATCCCATCTATCTTTGAATCTTTCCTGTGTTATATGTTGATGCACCAATGATGTACTGAAAATATTATATACATGATGTTGAACTGTAGTTTTTGATTGACAGTTGTATACACCAGTGGATTCAAAACCCTGACACATATAAAATAGACGCTTATGACCTCTCCCTCTATGCAACTGCGACTGTTGTTTTCTTGATACCCAATTAGTCAAGGAAGCTTTTCTGATGGGGAAGAATCCGCTCGAATTGGATTTTTTAGGGCATGATGACTTGACGAAAAAGAAACTAACTGCAAGTGATCGATTGATCATCCTTGCCATTTGTGTCTTACCTCGGTGTCATGTTTGTGTTGTCGTTTTTAAACGAGATAGCTCTTGTAGTAGTTGAAAGTGAAATTGGTCTATTTGAAAAAATATTAACACTTTAATACTTTTATGATTCATCTTTTCTCAGTAACATATAAGTGGATTTCATAAGTGAAAGGTGATTAATTTTTGCAAATTGAACAACCAGTCTATTGAAAATAATGAAACGCATGTCACACCCCACGTCGAAGACAAGTAAAAACGTGGTCTTATAAATGAAGTTCAATGGTGATTCTTGATCAAAGCAAACCTTAGCGGTTAGTACATGAAATGACAAGAAATTTATATGAACGTGTGTTTAAAGATTTTACGGAAAGTTGTGATTGTTTCAGTTATGTGTTGAAAGAGAAATCAGATGAAGAACTCCTTAGTTGTCTCTCTCACCAGAGATTGTAAGTTGAGGTTTAGAGACGAATTTGACGAAAATTCTATACCAAATATATGTGTATGCTTATGATCAATAACGTATGGTGGTAGGGAATTGGTTATGTAAGAATATTAAAATAAAGGCTACTGAAATCATTTCTTTAAGCGTGATAAATGATATACATGTTAGTAACTGTTTGGTGCGAACGAACAAGATGCTATGCTCGGAAAGTATGTTTGACTATGTGTGTGGGACTAAGTAGGGGGACGATGGTAGAAACATAATAGGAAATTATTATCGATGCGTGCGTATATCGTAAGAGATACATCCAAGACATACAATTAATAAAGATATGTGAGAACGCCTTTGAGTTTGTGTTTATCCCCACCAATATGCTATCTTAGCATGATGACTCATTTTATCTATAGATGATAAAACGTTGAAAGGAATATAGGAAAATTGGCCAAAATAGTCGTTCATTTCTCATAAATTGATCTTCTAGATATTCCTTACCCTTATTTACCCAATTATCACTACCTTCGAAAGTGGCACCTTCCCCACTTGTTGACCTAGCTAAATGACATTTTTTTTTCTAGATTTCAACCAAGTTATGGAGGTAGCACGTGCGGGCTAGAATATAATTTTTTTTACAAGTTTGGCCCATGTCAGCAAGCTCTATAACTTGTGAACCTGGGTTGAATCTAAAATGTTGTCTTTTAGCTAGGTCATAAGTCGGGAGGTGTCACTTATAGAGGTAGTGATATTTGGGTAAATCAGGAAGAGAAATGACTAGAAAACCAATTTATGAGAAAAAAATCTCTATTTCGACTAATTTTCTTTTAAATCCAATCTTTTTCTTTGAAAAGAAACATTTATATGAAAATCTAAAATCATACTTTATATGACCAAATTCCCTCAAAAATCGTTTCTAAGCTACCAAGATTTTGTTGCAGGAAATGGATAAATGACAATGGTTGAATAAATGACTTGGGTCCGGGGATGACCCGGTTTGATCCAGAAACAACAAGGATGGCAGCATCGCCCATGGGACCCAATTTTCACTAGAATCTGCCACTCGCCTCTGCATATTATCTGAATCCGGATAACCATTCAATAACGACACGTTTGATTGTTCTTCACAAACCAACTTCATTTTCATCTTCCTCGCTTCAAAACCCTACTCCTCCTCCCCTTGATTCATCTCATTCCTCCTTCTGCTTGCCAAAAATGGCTTCTTTTTATGCATCTCCAGCTCCCACCTTACAAATAACAAACACCCACTTACCCCAATCACCTCCCTCTTCTTCTTCTTCTGCTTCGTCGATCTCGTTTTCATCCAACAAATCCACTTTCTTCAACTCATCATCTTCATCTTTCAAGATTCTTGTTCATTCTCAGCCCAAAATTAAGCAATCTCCTTTTCTGGTTCGAATGTCATGGGACGGTCCTCTCTCCTCTGTCAAATTGATCCTCCAAGGCAAAAATCTTGAGGTAATGTACCCCATTTACTTTTCTAATCATGGTGGTTACGGTGATTCTTGTAAAACATGTTCATGGTGTCACAGAACCCATATAGATTTTGCTTCTAGAAAGTAGTAGATTTGATCAAGAAAGATAATTTTTTGCTAACTGTTACTTATTCCTTTAAAATCTTGAGGTGATGTACCCCCATTTACTTCTCTAATTATGGTGGTTATGATGATTCTTGTAAAACATGTTCACGGTGTAACCAAAACCCATATCGATTTTGCTTCTAGGAAGTAAAAGATTTGACGAAGAAAGATAATTTCTGCTAATTGTTGCTTATTTCCTTATAATCTTGAGGTGATGTACCCCCATTTACTTCTCTAATTATGGTGGTTATAATGATATTCGTAAAACATGTTCATGGTGTAACAAAACCCATATAGATTTTGCTTCTAGAAAGTAGTAGATTTGATCCAGAAAGATAATTTTTGCTTACTGTTACTTGTATCTTTAAAATCTTGAGGAGATGTACCCCCATTTACTTCTCTAATTATGGTGGTTATGATGATTCTTGTAGAACATGTTCATGGTGTAACAAAACCATATAGATTTTGCTCCTAGAGATTTGATCAAGAAAGATAATTTCTACTAATTGTTGCTTATTTCTTTAAAGTGAGCCAATTTGATGATTTCTGTATAAACCCTTTGTTGTTTGGTGCAATTACAGTTATCTGAACCTGTCAAGACTCATGTGGAAGATAAAGTTGGGAAGGCCATTCAAAAGCATAGCCATCTTGTTAGGGAAGTAGATGTTAGGGTTTCTGTTAGAGGTGGAGAAATTGGAAAAGGTCCCAAAGTTCGACGAACCGAGGTCTTTGCAACTCAAATTGGGGTTTTAGGTACTTGATATTTGATTCTTTTTTGATGAATTGCTTTTGGAACATATAGGTTACATTATTCACAAAGAAGCATGGAGTTATTCGGGCAGAGGAAGAAGCCGAAACATTATATGCAAGTATTGATACCGTATCTTCGGTTATTCAGAGGAAATTAAGAAAGATTAAGGAGAAAGATTCGGATCATGGCAGACACATGAAGGGATTCGATAGGCTTAAAGTAAGAGATCCAGAGGTTCTAGTAGATCAAGATTCGGTTGCGGTTCCTCAAGAAGAAGAAGAAGATACAAGTGAAGGTTTCACCGATGATCTTGTGCCAGAGGTTAGCATTTGCCATATGGATTCCATTCTGAATTCCTATTTACGTGTTTGTTTATAGCTCACAATCGAAATTTCTTCAGATTGTTCGCACAAAATATTTCGATATGCCTCCTTTGACTGTATCAGAAGCAATTGAGCAACTAGAAAATGTTGATCATGACTTTTATGGCTTTAGAAATGAAGAAACTGGTAAGATATTGTCTGTCTATCTATCTATCTATCTATCCATTCTTTAACGATCTAGTATCTATTCGGATGATTTTGGTACTGATTTGGATGATGGGTTGGATTCAGGTGAGATTAATATCTTATACAAACGAAAATCCGGAGGGTATGGGATTATAGTTCCTAAAGAAAATGGCGAAACTGAGAAGTTACAGGATGCGGATGCTGAAATGCTTAGACAACTCTAGTTTGCAAAACGAAGATCGTGGGTGTTTGAAAGGATGGAAGACATTGTAGACCATCTTCAAATGTGGAAAGCTCGAAGCCAGAAACGTGTGGGTGTTTCTTGATTTCAAGATTCGCTAAAGTTTGTGGGTTTATGTGTCTAAATGTGTTTTAAGTTTCTTTGAGACAATCGTGTGGTGCGATATGTTTATCACACAAGAACTAGGAAAACCAAGTCTGTAATCTCTTAGTCGCGACCAAGTATATCAGGTTACTTTTGTTCTTTTGAGAAATTGGCATGCCCAGATTCTTGCAGGTTCCTTTGTACCTATGCTTGACGCTGCTCAACTTTATGATGCATATGATATGAGCTCTACTTTTTCTATAGTTAGAATGCTACCACGGTATATGTACCGGGTGTTTGATTAGAGGTATTAAGCAATAATTAATGAAATAAACTGTTTGGTTTTATATAAATATAATGGGTTCATTCTCCACTAAATCAAATTTTTATTACAGGTTAAACAGGGGGATGGCTGCCTCTTGCTACTTTTAAGTAATTGCTCCAGCTTCACTTCTAGTGATCGATCAATGAGTCAAATCAGTTGAATCTTATTCAAACCGATGAAACAGGACTTTGGATTTTGGCGGGTTTTGGGTTGCATTAGGTTTTAATAGAGTAAAGTACGTTCTGGTTGGTTAAGAATTAAGAACATCATTCTAGTGGTTCGCTTATTATACTAGTCGTCCTTCTCGTTTGATTTAGTCTCTCTTCCCGACAATCGCTAGTTAAATCAGAGCATTTTTGGTTCGTATGCTAAAAATATACATAAATCTTATCTCGAGCAGTAAAGAGGTTGGTTCCAAGTAAACAGAAAAAAAAAACAAAAAGCATGCATTTTTTTTTTAAACCGTAAGTCAAACATATATCTATAATATTTTTATGTTTTTAAAAGAAATTACGTAAAAGGATCAAAATATCCTTGATTCAACGAAGCTAAATTTATACAATTTGGGGGAACAAAATCTGTAATTCACTCATTTTCATATTTGTAATATATAATCCAACATGATTTTCATATAAATAAGTAGTGGCTGAGGAGGTGAAAGGTCAGCACAAATAGGCCTAACATTGGAATGTTGTTCCGTCACACAACTAAACCCCACCTCGGATCCCTCGTCCCTTTTGTCACCCATTGATTCTTTTAATCCAATGGCTGCGATCATCTTTCCAACCTTAACACCCCCATTGGCGCTCCCTGTTTTCCCTCTCCTCATTTGCCATCTCTTCTTACATCCTTATCCCTTTTAGGTTTTTACCCTAACATCACATCCCCTCTCCTTCCCTTCTTCTACCAAAAAGCTTTCATCTTTTCATATGCCCATTTCATGACTCTCTCATACCATGCTTCTTGTTGACCCCTTTTCGGAGATTTTAAGGACACCCACAGTTGGGGTTCTTGTTCTTGACATGTTGCTGCTTCTGGTTCTTGTTTCAATTGCTTTCTTTATCGGGATTACGGTTGGATGGTCATGGAAACCCACATGGGTTTCCAACTTTGCTATCAAGCATCAAACAGTTGGAACCAACAACGTTGATTTGGGGTCTAGTAGCGTCGATAGAAAGATGGATAAACAGCCCTTTAAGTTGCAGCCATCCATGGAGAATCCCAGTTGCAGGTTAACTTTAACTTTGATTCTTATTTGGAAGCCAGTCTACTTGTATGAATTCAATATCTGTTTAATAAAGATTTGTGCAATTTTCTTGAGTTTGATGCACATGAACTGATGGCCATTCTTGTACTTGTTTTCTAGAGATAGTTGTTTGGTAAATACAGGCACCAAGATTCAGTAAAAAATTAAAAAGTTCATTTCTTGAAACTAGTATGCATATTCTTGCTTCATTTGGTGAAGGTGGGTCCAGAGGATATAAAAACCAACGAAGGATGAATCTTTATCAGCTAGATTATGAAGCATTCAACTGGGAATTATGTTCTTTCTTGGGGTGGGGTGGGGTGGGGTGGGGTGGGGCTTTTTAACATGTTACCTTTTCGGCTTGCAGCCTGTGAAATGCTTTGGCATGAGATTGTTGGGGATTTTAGTGAAATCATTGGTTCATTTTACATAATTGAATTCACAAGTGAATATTTGGGTTGGTAGTTAAGCTATATGAGGTATGGAGTGTGTACTCGTGAAGCCAACTATTGCGGGATGGTGCCTTATGTGGGTTCAAGGGCCCCTTCGTAGGCGGTGGTCCCCTGAGTTTGGGGAAAATGAGTTTCTAAAATGTTCTATGTGAAATTCACAAGCCTATGAAAGCCTCGGGGTTGTTTGGTTGGTTTTTTTACAAGTCATGTATGGAAAAAGTTGTCTGTGTGGATTAATTTATCTGTATAGTTCTGGAAGGTTTTTGTTGTTTGGAAACAATTTGGTTTCTGCATAAGTTATGCCCTAGAAGCTTATCGAATAAGCCACTTTCTACATCATTAAGCCTCTTCTAAACAGTCATGTATAACTGACCGAATAAGCTGTTAGTGTCATTGAGCTCATTATACTAACTAACGAACAAGCCCTTCTTGATCAGAAGCTTTTGATTCTCATTGTTTTCTGTGGGTTTTGACAAACCTTTGGTTTCTGATTTCGTGTAGTTCATCGGTTGTTAAAAAAGAGAACAATCTTCTTACAGATGGAGATTTGAAGCATCTATGGCACCTTGTTGAGAAGAGAGATGGAGGTCCTCCTTGGAAGCATATGATGGACCGATCAACGGCTACAATGACCTACCAAGCATGGCAAAGAGATCCCGAGGTTTTCTTCTTGCTTATTGCCACACATAGAATCAAAGATTAAAGCCACAATTACCCTTTAGACCGTACCTCTGTATGGAATATACTGCGTTCGTTTGATTTGGTTAGAAAGCAGGTTTTTTGTCCCCAAAATTGTGATTGATTTGATCTTCTCTTTATGTGGTTTGGCAGACTGGTCCTCCTCAATATTGCAGCAGAACTGTTTATGAAGATGCCACACCTGAATTGTTAAGGGATTTCTTTTGGGATGACGATTTACGTTTGAAGTGGGACGATATGCTTTTACATGCCACGACCCTGGAAGAATTTCGCGACGTAGGAGCAAGTGTCGTGCATTGGATACGTAGGGTGAGCCGAGTTTTGTTCATCTTTCTGATGAATTGTGTGTATTACCATTTACATTCGTATTCTTACTATCGTAACATGTCTATACAGTTCCCTTTCTTTTGCAGTGATCGGGAATACACGATTGGCCGACGGATGTGGGATTTAGAGGGATCGTTTTACTGCGTGACAAAGGTATCACAAAGTAGAGATAAATGTTAGGATCTGTTTGTTAGCAGCTTAACGAACTTAAGCTTATTCGTGGCATATATATATAGAAATGGCTTATTATGAAAGCTTCCAAGGGAGTTTTTTTCCCCCAAATCTGCCCTCTCAGTCAAAAAATATGTTTCATTTATGAAAAACCCTCCCAAACAAAAACTTTTCCAAGCTATATCAGCAAATTAATCCACACGGACAACTGTATTCATACAGGACTTGATGGAAAACCAACCAATGAGCCCTTTCACATGGGCTACATTTGGACCTATTCTCCTTGATATATGTTTTAACTTCCTTCTTTTTGTAAGGGCTATCTTAAAGAGTGATCTGGGGTTGCACGTACTGTAACATGGTATCAGAGACGAGGTCTACCATTTTATGTATTTGATACTGTGGGGCAATCTGTACCCGTCTAGTCCCTTTCAAACATTATATGCTTGTCTAGTTTCTATTAGAGGGTGCATGTTAAGAGTCTCACATTCTATTGAAGCCTCTTGTCTCTTCTAGAGCTCTCTTGGAGAGTATCTAGATAGGGTTCTTTATGTTTTTGTAATAAGATAACTCATATACGACAAGGTTCCTTTACTTGTATCTCGTTGTTTCTTGTTTCAGGGAGTGTCCTGTCCGTTGGTCCCAAGGAAGCAGAAACCACGACGTGTTGATGTTTATCATTCAAGTTGGTTCATCCGATCAGGTACCGTGTTTTTCTTTGGTATTGGTTTAATGATATAGAAAATGACATGTTTAGTGAGATTCTAGGGGGAAGCCAAGTTTTTTTCCCCAAGCATGTACATTTCATTTAAAGAACATGCTCCTTTCATCTATGAAAAACAAAAAGCCTTTACAATCTATACAGACAACTTTATTCATACAGGACTTGATAGAAAACCAACCAAACAAGCCCCTTGGTGTATCTGGTATTCCATTAACATAGGAATGGATGGTCACTGAAAGAACCGCTCTACGTATTAACACTGAATCTTACTTTCGAACGGGATGTATTTTTATCAATTTGGTTTGGTTTTTATTAACAGTGGGATCAAAGAAAGGGAACAACCAGCCTGCAAGTGAAGTGGTATTCTTTCATCATGAGGACATGGGCATCCCTTGGGAGATTGCAAAATTCGCAGTAAGCCAAGGGATGTGGGGAACAGCCAGGAAGGTCGAGCGAGGTTTTCGTTGGTACCAAAACGAGAGAATTTGTTCAAAGACGACATCACCTCATATAGCTATGGCTGAAATGAGCACCAAAATCGATCAAAATTACCTGGCTCGTTTAGAGTCTGATGAAGATCACGATGTGGCAGAGACCGAAATGGTGGTCCAGCAAGAAAAGCAGGGAGGGATAAACTTGCCGAAGCTCCTAGTCATTGGTGGGGCGGTCATCCTCGCTTGCAGTCTTGACCGGGGGCTATTGACGAAGGGTGTCATATTCAGGGTCGCAAGACGGTTTGGAAATGTAGGAAGACGATTTCCACCAACACAGTTATGAAACCGGTGGTAGATGGTATACGTACAGTGTCTATATACAGTCATACAGAGCGGAGTAATGTGTTATTACTTAATGTACTTGTGATGAATTGAGATATATAAACATAGTTAGCAATCTTTTCTAGTCAAATATGTTGCTTTCTGAATACACATCTAACATCAACATTCGTTTGTTAGCAGCTTAACGAGCTTAATAATGCAGGATTCTGCAGTTTAGTCAGTCAACTATACGCGACTGTTTGATTGTTTCAATAATGCAGAAAATGGCTTATTCAGTTAACTTAAGGGGTACTTTTATACAGAAAGTTAAGGTTTTTTCCAAACATGCCCCTTCCAGTCAAAGACACATTCCTTCTATACATAAGAAAACCCTTCGAAACAAAAACCTTCTCAATATATACAAACTGAATAAATCACGCAGACAGCTTAATCTATACATAGCTTAACAAAAAGACCAACCAAACAGCCCTATGGAAACTAACTGCAAGCTAAAATCCAAAGTTTGCATATAGTTTACAGAAAAACCATGTGTTTGTATGGCATTAACTAAGTTGCTATACAAACTAACTAGAGCAACAGGTTGCCGTAGACATGGGAGGTCAAATTGCTCAAGAAACTTGAAGACTAATAGGGCATTACCATTCGCTTCCTAGGTCACTTATCTTTACCAATGAACATGGGGAAAAAAGAATCTTACCTAGTAAGGGGCATATGGCAACAACACGAAGTTCTCAACTGGCAAGTAATGGAAGTAGCATATGTTCTTACCTGGTAAGTGAGGATCAAGGTGAGGGAAGAAACGCTTACCCAGGAGCATATGGTTGCAACAACATAGGTTCTTACCAGGTAAGTGAGGAACAAGATGCTTATGGAGCAGTTAACTAAACACTTACCTTGCTGGATGAAGAATCTTACCCAGTAGGAGGGAAGATAAGAATCAAGAGTCTTGCATGCGAGAGCAAGTGATGCCTCTTACCCAGTAAGCAATTACTGGGAATGTTACCCTAAAAGGTAAAATCAGAGTAATTGTAAACGGCCCATTATTGAGTAGAACTCAGTAAGACGTTTACAAACAATCTGTTTTTTGCCACTAAATGTGAAAAGCATTTGGTAAAATGATTGAGAAGTTCCAAGAATAATGGCAATTGCGATTGAAGTAAAACAAAAAACAAAAATCAAAGCTTTCACTTAGATTCCATAAGAAAACTGTGTGAAATTGTAGATTCAAGTACAAAATCCCAAAAACTGGAAAACGAAAATACAGAAAACTACTATCGAATAGGTTACTCAAGTTTGTGAAAGAACCATTACATATTGAAACAAGTTTCCTAATCAAACAAGCTGAATCCCATATCATCATCACTCTCTTCCTTTGCTTCTTCCTGAAACACATCAAAACCACAACAAAGTTAGAAAATATTCCAATCAAATCAAGTAGTCGAGCATCAAATAAGATGAAAGAGAAATCGCAGACCTTCTTCTCTTCGGCTGCAGGCGCGGCGGCAGCTGGAGCAGCACCACCACCAGCGGAGGGAGCAGAAACGGCAACAGCAGCACCACCACCGCCAGCACCTACGTTCATGATGAGATCCTCAAGGCTCTTCTTCTCGCATAACTTAGCGAAGAGACTCGGCCAGTAAGACTCGATCGAAACATTTGCTGCGCTTACCAATGTAGCAATCTTCTCCGACTACAAACATCGTGAACATGAAGAATCAGAGACAAAATCAAACATAAATCAAACAAGAAAAAGGAAATGGATCTACAGTGATTGGGATGCCATCGTCGTGAAGGATCAAAGAAGCATAGGTACAAGCTAGCTCGCTGACCGCCATTGCTATGGAAATCCTTTGCTACGGTGCGGCGCGAATTTATGCGTTTTGAGACGATGAATCAGCGTTGAAGACAAGAGAAAAGCAACATTAAATAGGTTACAGATTTAGGGTACAGATCTTATTGGGCCTGTTGGATCCTATTTTCAGCCCAAGAAATCCTCTTGGGCCGAAACCCACTAAACCCATTTATTGAAAAGACCATAAAAGAATCACAATCAACATGTAACTTCCATATTTTATGAACCAAAACAATATACCCCTTCTCCGCCGACTCTTTAGACTTAAAAACGCTAGTTTTAAGAGGCAAATCTTTGCCTGTTAGGTAAGAAAATAGCAAGTTACAATTTTTTTTATAACCGTATGTATTCAGACCAACTTATACGTAACTAATACCATGAATGGACTGAAATCATCCCACGTAAACCTCAGGCTTTGGCTGCATCTGGATTCGAACCCAGAGAAGACGAGATTCCATTATATCCCATGGGTCTTAACCAGTAAGCCACAACCTAAATGGTTACATGTAAACGCTACTCTGGATTTAAAGCAATCATTGCACTAAATTGTTTGTGCCGACACAACGTCCATGATGCCTCAAAGTTGGGCACCGTGCATGCACACCGACATTCGGCTCACGCCCGATACCAAATTGTTTGGGGGGGGGGAAATAAGAGCAAAAGTCTAGTATTGCGTCATATTTGTGATACATTTCAGACATCTAATACACTCAAAAGAAGTTTCCTAAAACGTATCTATCTATTCCTTCTTGATCTATCTTCTGCCCATTCGAGTAGAGGCTGCAAAAGCCTGATGAAGTTGTGGTTGGCTCAGGGACTACGAACCTGAAGAAGATGGGATAAAAATGAATTAGAACAAAAGGATTTTTGATCCATCATTTTTTTGGCAACCATAGGTTTTCGGGCCAGCTTACGGCACCGACTAATCCCCCAAGCGACCACGAATGACCTGGAGTTATCGCAGGAGAACCTCCATGGCCACAAGGTTTTTGGCAGCGCCTGAATTGGATATGAACCCGGGGTAGATGAGGTTTTCGACTACATCCCCAGGATGTTGATCCATCATCGATAACCACTAAATTGGTCCTAGGTCGAATATTTTTGGTAAAACATGGAAGTATTTGCAAAGATAAGCAACACCCGAATAGGATACATGTTATGCCTGAAACCAAACAAACCCAGTATATCTGGTCGCTCAAAAGATGTATGTTATACCTTGCGAGGTGATTCTGACATTGACTTTGACCTTAACCTTGACCTTGACCTTGACCTTGACCTTGGCCTTGACCTTGACCTGGCAAAATGTGGGAGAAAAGGAAGGTAGTCATAAGGCAGTAGTTAGAATTTAGAACAAAGGAAACAGGTCAAATAAATAAATATGTTGGCTATACTACCTTGTCGGCTTCCCAGGAGATGCCGATCTAGATTCTGATGGCGATCGCTGCAAGGATTTGCTGCTGGCAAGAGTAAAAGTTAAATCATAAAATTATAAAGCGACCAAGAATAAGAATTTATTCGTACCTCCTGCCCCTGCTGCAGCTCCTACTTGGACTCCTAGAAGGGCTACGATCATACTTCCTTACCTACACTCGCAAACCTAATGAAATGACAACTTTACCCATAATGATAAGGGAGTAAAGAATTTTCCATCTCATAGTTAAGGACAAAATTAGAAAGTAGATACTTATTTTGGTACATACTGAAATAGAAATGCGGACACTTATTTTGGGAGAGAGTAATATAAATTGTTTTGAAGCTAATAAGAAGCAAAAATATACCGTACTGTAACATGTTTCAATAGTTAAAAGGAGAAATTTTGAGTTCATATCCCACATATATTACCAAAAGAAACAAATTACCCGAATATACGTCTTTGTCCATGGATTTCTGAATTCGGTATCATCAAGCTTCCTTATCTAAATGACAAACGACACATCATATGTTGAATGGACCGAATATAGATACTAAATACGTTATAGTTATACCAAAACAATGTACTTCGCCAACTTACAGCATATTTCATGTCCTCGTAGTTGGTATAGTCAACAAGACCAAATGTCCCTACATATGAATGTTTGGTTAGAATAAGACATCCATGGTAACTAACATGTAAAACATGAAGGCTGTAATAAGAAAAAGTTCATAATGCTATTATATATACCCTCGCTATCACGGGAAACTTCAGCAAAACATACATCACCAGCCCTACGCATATGATCCTGAGATATTTTCTATTGCAGTTATGAGGCTGCACAAGTTGAGGCAAAAAAAAAAAAAAAAAACAAGCTAAAGGCACTAGATATAACTGTTACCTTAAGATCCTGCCACGAAGCAGATGATGGCAGACCTCGAACGACAACTGCACAAAACAAACGCAATGTTGCAAAATTCTTAAATGCGCAAATAGGGAACTGGTCTGAAAAAACAAATGACAGTTTACGTTATAGTTTATTATTGATTCATATCTCGGATGGCACCTCGATACTCAGAATGTTGTGAAATGCCAAAACGTCCACTGCTGCTGCCACTGCGATGGCCACCCCCATAGTCACCACGGCCATCACCTGAAGATGATTGCCCACGACCCCCATGAGCAAGCTCAACCTGCACAGAAGGGTATAAGAAAGGTTTTTAAGTATATATATAAACATTACTTGATAACAAAGAAGTACTCAAAGTTTCTTGTTACCCTCAGACGGCAACCATCAAAATTATACCCATCCCGCCCCCTAATCGCGTCCTCCGCATCTCGAGCATTGGCGAACTACGATAAAAACAACACCAAGCAGTCAAAACTATTCTAGTATTTCAGCCCTCCAGACCAAAAAGGAAGAGGTTCAGAGAATGAAATACAAAATTAGTACATTACCTCCACAAAACAATAACAAGGAGGACGAGGTGGAATCTTCAATTCTATGTCCAATATGCGCCCATACTGCATGAAGCAAAAACTAATTCAAGAAAACTAAGTGCACCTCAACTTCAACTGAGACTGAAGTGGTTTTAACCATTAGCATCAAGAATTCGAGTTTGGGTATTGATTATCAACATTCATTGAATTCGAATTTGAAGGATGTCAGAAACGTTGATCTAAATGGAATATGAATACTGATTTTCACAACATCCGTTCAAATTCGAATTTGAATTTCAATGTTGGAAACTTTAAACAAATTTGAATTTGGATATCAACACATATTCAATTCAATTACTATCCATTTAAGATCTGGATATGAGATAGGAAACATAGAAGGGATCAAGAAAGAAAGAAAGAAAGAAAGAAAGAAAGAAACAAACAAACAAACAAACAAACGGTGCAGACCTTATAGAAAAGATCTTCAACTTCCCATTCTCTTATATCCAGTGGCAGGTTTCCAACATAGATTGTGCGTGAGAAGCAACCACTCATTTTCAGTTCCAAATAGATAGCTCCGTAAATCAGCACAAACTGCAAAGAAATATAAATCAGAACTCACAGTGACACCAATAATATGATACTTTCTTGCCTAAAGCTACAACTACTGTGTCCTTGTAGGCATTTTCCCCTCCCTTGCTGTATCTAACAATCAACAAAAGTGAATTAGAACAAACCCATGAATCAAACCAAAGAGCACTCGTCATGATGAGCGGTGCTCCACAAGCTCCAATGCTCATGGGTCATGGGGTCCAAGAAGCTCCACAAGCTCCAATGTTCGTGCAATGAAATTCTCCTCATCTTCTAAATTCCTCTAAAGCTCCAAACTGCAGGGTTTAAACATCTCTACATGCCCAAACACATTCTAAACCCTGACGGAAACATAATCCACAAATTTACGTCTTCAAAGTTTCAAGAAATGACAAATTGAGATACTAACAAGATATCTATATAGCAACTATTCAATAAAATAAGTAGATTACACAGTCTCTCTGCCCGCATCCCTCCTTCCGAATGGTCTATAGGTTTGATTTGGTCTAAGAAAAATCACACAATTACTATCAGAATGAAACTCAAGCCATGTAATATGAATCTGCATTAATTTTTTCAATGCTGGCAATGAATTGCTCCATCTAGGGTTTCTGATTCTGTCTGTTTCACTGTAAGGTAGAAACTCCCAAAGGATTTTGTAAATCGAATCGCACACACGATGAGACAAAGATTAACGATGATTCGTCGGACATTATTGAACAAAATCATTGAAAAACTTGAAATAGAAATTGTTCGTAAAAATACAAATCAAATACCTGGTTGAATTTAACGGCAACGGAAAATCGGCTTGGGCGCTTTCCGTTCTCCGGAATCCCGGTGTTTGAGTTGCTTGCTTCGTCTCCGACTACCGAAAGGAGGTCCTCAAAGCCTTTATATACGTTGGGCTTGTTGGGCTTTCTACTTGTCATAAATGAGAGCCCACCTCTCTCCTGATGAGATATTTATATACGTTGGGCTTATTGAAGTATTAATCGATTATGATGCTGATGTAACGAGTAATGTGGTATCCTATTATTAATTTATCCTCGTTTTATATAACCTTAATATGATATTTGTTTTATATGATATATATATATATATATATAATCATCATATAACTTTTAAGGACAACTTGTCTAGTTTTGTCTTATTCAGTCATGGTCGTACCAAATACTAGACAGACACTTGTTCCGTCTTCCAGTCATGTCCAGTTCTGCCTTCTTGTCCAGTCCAGTTCAATCACATCCGCATACCAAACGTTACCTTATGGCCATATAAGGCTTTGACAACATATGGACATGCTCAAAGATCACGAATGACCTAAAGTTATTGTAGGTGAACCTTCATGATCACAAAGGTTTTAAAAACGCCTAGATTCAAACCAAAAATTTTCGTATACCATTTTGGACTATAAAAAAGCCTTTAAAATGATTACACTACAAATACTGGCATCACAATTTATAACATAATATACCTTTAATCTCAAATCAATTTATAGATTATGTTTTAAAAGAGGATTGATCTGATGTTTATCATTACAGTTCATTTACTGGAACTATTCAATTATTCTCTCTCTTAAACATGTATTTTTATTGATGAGAAATATTACAATACCATTTATTTCTCCTATATAGAATTTTAAAGGAATTTCTCTTTATTACTTTTTCTATTTCACCACATGGTTATTGGCTATCAGAGCATAAAACCCTTCCAAATCGTTAAAATGTCTATTATATCATAGATGTTGTATATGCTCATAATCTCAACAGGTAGATGCTTATAATCTCAACAAGTAGAATATAATTTAGTTGATAAAAAATTTAATAAGATATTATTTATTTATCCTAAACTTCGAGAAATATGATCACATCCTCATTCTCATCCCCAATGGGGAACAGGGATCCACAATAATGAAACGGTTTTTTTTTTCTCGTTTATATAAATCAAATATGTGAAACAAGACAAATATTTGTTAGGCATTAAATTGGCCGAGAGAAAAGTCTCTTGCTCCTATTAAGCTCAGTCTTCGTAGAAGTAGGTAGTGTGTCTCTTCCTTTTGATTCTAAAAAGCCCGTTCATAGCCAAGGCGAAAGGATGAGACGGTATAGCGTGTCATTTCATAACCGTTCGTAACTAGAGAGAGATAGAATAAAGAACAGATTTCCATTAAATCTAAAATCAAAAGAAATTTAAATTAGTACAAGAAATTCACAACATTGTATGATAATTAATAAGCTAAAACCCAAAGAAATTCAATTTAATAAAAAAAAAATTAATGTCACACGTACCAAAACATATCAAGTAATTCCGAAACCATATCGGATAATACCTAAAATATATTGAGTAATTGTATTTAGATTTGATATCCAAAATATTACATACTAACATAAAAAAAAAGATTTTAAACCCACTTAGAAAATAAGAAATTATGAATTACCGATTGAGTTGAAATAAATAATATATTTTTGATTCATTTATTAATATATAACGGGTACGGCGGGGCTGGGAGTGCGACACCCATCCCCGTCCCCATTCTCATCCCCAGTTTAGCATGAAATCCTCAACCCCGACTTGGACAGATGGATCGGGTTCCCCGACGAGTCAGATGCCATTCCCATACCTAGTTAAAGATGCTCTACTACCACTATCATCTTACGGTCCTTGCGATTCAACATCGATGATTCATGTGGTTTGCAAGTTTACATTTTTTGGTTCTTCGAAAAAAGTTTGTAAATACGGACATTTTGGTGTTCATCTAAACCGCATAAATCGTTGATATCATACCACACGGTTTAGAGCTCTCAGTATCTGATTTATATTTTTGTCAAACTGCACTTTGTTAAAATATTGAACATTTTTTAGAGCTGATATTATATCTATAAATTATAATATTATTAAATTATAACATGACGTTCATATGTTAATCAATTTTATATAAAATTTAATTGAATGAATAATTGTTATTTATAACTAGAAGATTACTCGTCTATTGCAGCGAGACACATCTTGATTTTAATTTTTTATTTTATTATTTGTCTTTGTCGATATTATAATACGATTTTATGTGTTTTTAAGAAAGCAATAATGATTTTGTTTTTGAATAAAATATAAAGTTGAAGATATTATAAAATTTAAAAAAAAATATCAATGTTAATATCAAATCAACTATTTAACAGTTCTAATTTTTTATGTAATTTCTTTAATTTATTTTTTTATTATAATTTAATTTAAGTCTAATAACGAAATAATTTATTTTTTGTTTAATAATTTTATAAAAATAATAATTATTATGTTAAAACTCAATGATGATCCTAATTATATTTTAGAATTTTATATTTAAAATGAGATGTTTATCCTGTATTTAATTATTTTTATCTGCAGTTAGTTACACGAATTCAGAAATTGAGCTTTAATAAGTTGTACTTACGCACAATCTAATTGCAATATTGAGTTTTAAGTAATATGCATTAATAAACTGTACTTTACTCATAAAAAATGATTTTTAAGAGTTTTTATCAAATACTTTATAATATAATATAGATAATAGTAAAGTTTGTTAGTTTAAAAAATAATCTATTTAATAACTAAACGTTTTTATTACTAAATTAATGTGTATATTTTTTTTAATATGTATTAATTGAAAATTAAATATTATTTTAATAAATAAAGAGTTTAAAGTTGGTTATACCTATATTTATACTATACTAGAATGATACTTGCGTAATGCAGCAAGATAAATCTTCATTTTAATGTTTAATTTTTATTATTTGTCTTGATTCTATCAATGGAATATAATTTTATATGGTTTTGAGAAAACGATAATGTTTTTATTTTTGAACGAAATATAAATTTGAAGATAGCATAAAAAATAAAATAAAAAATTGATATTAGTATTAAATTAACTATTTAATAGTTTCATTTTTTTGGTGTAACTTCTTTAATTTAATTTTTTAGTATAATTTAATATAGGTATAATAACAAAGTAATTTATTTTTGATTTAATAATATAATTTTTTATTAAAAATAATAATTAAACATTCGGTTAGAAACTTGATAATTATCCTAATTACATTTTAGATTTTTTATTTTTTTAAAAAGAGATGTTTTATCCTCTATTTGATTATGTTTATCCGTAGTTAGTTACACAAATTCAAACATTGAGCTTTAATAAGTTGTAGTTAATGCATAATTTACTTGTAATCTTGAATTTTAAGTAATATACATCAATATACAGTACTTTATGCATAAAAAATGTTTTTTAAGAGTTTTTGTCAAATGACTTATAACATAGTATAGATTATAAATCATTTGATAAAAAAATTTAAAAACTATTTTTTATGCATGAAGTATTGTTATTGATATATATTACTTAAAATTCGTGTAATTAACTGCAGATAAACATAATCAAATAGAAGATAAATATTTCATTTTAAATATAAAAAATCTAAAATATAATTAAGATAATAATTGACTTTTAACAAAATACTTAATTATTCTCTTTATAAAAAATTATATTGTTAAACAAAAAAATAAAGAATGAATTAAAAAAATACACAAAAAATAAGAAATTTAAATAGTTAGTTTGGTACTAATATCAATATCTTTGTGATATCTTTATATTTATATTTTATTAAAAAATAAAAACATTATCGTTTTATCAAAACCACATAAAACTGTATTATAACATCAATTGAGTAAATAAAAACCAAAATATTAAAATCGAAATATATCTCGTTGTTTTATACAAGATAAAAACCAATTTAAGTAGAATGGTTCCACCGAACGAATTTAAATCCATTACGGTAGGAACTCTGCTGCCGTAACCAAACACTCGTATCCAGTCATCATCCGACTCATAACCCTGGGATCTGCACGTGGCATTTTGCTACCACGAGAGACTGCCACCGTATCACCATGACCATGGCTGCCTTCCTTAATCCACGTCACTTTTTCAAGTTACCCCCTTAAGCATATAATTTTATCAAATTAAGTCCCTATAGTTCTCTATACATGTTTATTTTCTTTGTCAAAATAAGTCCTTTACATGAAATTATTTTCGAAAATAATCAATCGCTTTGTCTCCATTTACTTTTTAACTACTGTTTCAAGTCAATTCTTATTTCTTAAACTAGTCGTTATTTATGTAATTACGTACTCAATTCTTAAACCAGTCATTCACTTATCAGACAAGACTCTCGGTCATTGCATTGCTCTTGTCAGGTGAGATTATCGGTTCTTAACATGTTCATCTGAAAAAATAATGCAACCTGTTAAGCATTTACCAAGTAAGTATATGATAAACGACCTGATTTATCATTCGGTAACCATGTTTTGTCAAGCTACCATGAGACCCTTAAAGACTCAAAAACAGACCACTTAAAATATTAAATGGTTATCAATGGAAAACATTTGTGATTTGACCTTTTACGAGTGTAGCGACTTTGTTAAGCTTTCGGATATGATAAATACGATGAAAGTAGAGCGAGTCAACCTATTTATATATGTATATGAAGTTTCCTATATTGTTTTATGGACTCCAAAGTTTTGCCATCTGGGTGTTCGTTTTTTTAAGTGGTAAATATCTATTTTTTACTGTTTGACAGAACTGCGTCTCCATTAAGACTATAGGTGTTCACGGTCCGTTTTGGACGGTTTAGTAAATTTTCAAACCCAGGGGGTTTGGTAGCAAGTGACCAAATCAGTTAAACCGGACCACAATTTTATCAATTTAGATAACGCGATCAATTGAGAAAATTAAAACTAGAAAACATACATGTCTTGGACAAAATTTTTAATTAGACCACAAAAATTGAGCTTATAACATGAAAACTGAATATAATTATATATATACGTATTTTTGGCAGTCGATTCGATCCTAACCAATAAAAAAAGGTGAAACTGTAAATCAGACCGAACCAACCGGTTTCGCTATTCTTCAAACCTAATCGAACCACTAGACCGCTTAAACTGCCAAAAACAATCTTGTTTGACTTTGTTCGACCGGTTTAAGCGGTCCAACTGTTTTTTTGAACACCCTTTTAAATAAGATAGTTTTCGTCTCTGATGTTAGCTTATATTTTTAAAATAGCAGTGAGTTGTAAATTATAGAGACTAAAACTAAAGTAAGTTTTAGATAACTGTATCAAAACAACAATAAATTGTAAATTATAAGAATAAAAATAATAATTTTAAAACTATAAGACAAATGTAGCAATTTTCAACAAATTACAAGGACTAAAACATAATTTAGTCCTCATATTTTAATAAGAAAAAATGCACGTGTTTTAAATAATAAATAAATATGTAAAATTATGGGCGTTTCTAATATTTTTTTTTGTTCAATAAACGTTATATATCCTTTATTATTATTATTATTATTATTACAAATTTAAAATTTATTAGAAAGGTACTCGTGCAATGTAGTGATATACATATTAATTTTAATGTTTCGTTTAATTTTTTTGTCTCAGTCGATGTTATAATACGGTTTTATGTGGTTTTGAGGAAACGATAATGTTTTTATTTTTGAATAAAATATAAACATGAAAATATCATAAAGTTTGAAAAAAAATATATTGTTATTAATACCAAACTAACAATTTAAAATTTCTCTTTTTTTGTGTAATTTATGTGATTCATTTTTTGGTTTAACAATATAATTTTTTTATAAAGATAATAATTAAGTATTTTGTTGAAACTCAATGATTATTTTAATTATATTTTAGATTTTTTATATTTAAAAAAAAGATATTTATCATCTATTTGCTTATGTTTATCTGTAATTAGTTATACGAATTCAAACATGGAGCTTTAATAAATTGTACTTACATACAATTTACTTGTAATCTTGAATTTTAAGTAATATGCATCAATAAACAATACTTAATGCATAAAAAATGATTTTTTAGAGTTTTTGTTAAATGTTTTATAATATAGGATAAATAATATATAAGGTTTTGTCTCAAATGATTTTTTTCATTTAAATATAATATTTAATGTATTGATTAACATATATTTATTTCACAGTGTGTTTGATTCATATATATGTGGTTCATAAGATGAAACTTTTTTACGTGTATTTTTTGTTTCACAAACACGTCAAAAATATTTTCATTGTGAACCGAATACATGTGAAATAAACACGTTGTAAAACACATATATATTTATAACAGCATTAAATTCTAGCTATAAATAGGGAAAAAATCACATAAAATAACACATGATGCACTGATTCTTTTCTTTTTATTAACATGGATATCCAACTCGTTATGCGGGTCGACTAATCCCATGGCAACCACCTGCTTTGCAGGTAGCCCGGAGTCACCGCATTTGAACCTCCATAGCCACAAGAAATTTGTTTTCCCTGGGATTTGAACATGGGGCCTCCAGACACTTTTGATCTTTGAAGTCCAAGTTTAAACCAATCATACACCACCATTGTGGTTATGATACACTGATTCTTAAAGATTTCACGATTTAATGAGTTCTCAAAAGAAGGTATTCAATCGATAATTATATATAGTTTTTGTGGCATGTTTCCTCTCCAAAACCAAACTGCTTTCTCTTGTCGTTGTTGTCCCATACTTTCATTGACCCTAAAAGCAAAACAAGGTTGCCATCTCTCGTTGATGCTATCCCTTATATATTTTCGTGGAACCCAAAAGCATTGTCGTCGCTCGTTGCAGATATGCCAACATCCTTCGTCTTCAACAACATGAAAACACACCCGTACCCTGCCCCTCCTCCCATTTCTTCTTCCTCGCCTCTCCGACGTCAATCGTAAGCTAATGAGACTCCATGCTCAAATATAGAGTTTGGACATAAAGGATAATTTACTCTGTAAATAATTTGTTCTGAAACAACTTTTTTCTACTTTACATATCTCTCTCTCTTCGTCGTGACATTACGTTAGTAGTAGAGCAAAGGGCAAAGGTGAACCGAGGGTTTAAATAAGGAAGGGCGATATTGGAACCATATGGCTTGTGTATAGTCGTTCAAATACCCCCAACATATACACACACATATATACATATACACATATATGGGTTCATTCAAGAGAGAACTGATTAGTTTGTAATAACTGTGAGATCCAATCTCAACCACAAATCAATGGATAAATTAGGAAACTAATATTTTGGTAATTTGACTTAAAATTATAATTAAACGACATTTTAGGTATTTTAAATTTTAATCTCTCCCCTCTCTCTCTCTCTCTCTCTCTCTCTCTTACTTCCAGCCTCCGACGAACACTATGTGATACCCAAAATACAGCAATATACACAATGTGACACCCAAAATGCACCAAATAAACTTTGAGACCACTGTAATACCAATTGTGGTACCACTGTAATACCAATTGTGGTGTCACTGTGATACCAACTATGGTTCCACTGTCACAGGTAAGTGTTTAGTAGTCGATCATTGAAGATAGCGTCTTGGTCAAACAAGATGACCAGAGGAGGTTCCCGGAGTTGTGGTAGGTACCAGAGAAGGCCACTAGATTTGGTTCGTGTGTGTATATACATATATTAAAATAATTAAAGTGAATTTAATAATCATCACAAATTACTAGTTTATCATTTGTTTTATTTTAGTAAATAACATTAATTATTTAAAATGATTGACTCATATTGGACCTCATAGTTACTACAAACTATCTAGTTCTATTTTGATTAGGCCTCTACACACACATGTTGTATTTGAACTCCCCTCTATATATAATGCAACGACTTCAATATATATATATATATATATATATATATATATATCTATCAACGCTAAATAAAGGATTCCCCCAAACAGACAAGTTCAAGTATCTATAGTTCATGATGCATGAGGAGGGAGTTGTCGAGGATTACATAACAGTTCACACAAAGATCGTATGGTTAAAGTAGAGAGGTACTACAAAGTCTTGTGCCACAACAAAATGTTGCTTATACAACAGGGAAAATTCTACATTAAACCATATATGTTTGTATGAGTCAAAGTGCTGGGCAATGAGTAATACACACAAAAGGAAGTTAAAAGTTGCATAAATGAAGATGCTCAAATAGACACGTGGTATGAACATGTTGTATATCGAACGATACATTTTTTCATAAGAGTTGGAAGTTATGACAATGACAGATAAATTGAGATGATGGTGATGTACGCAAGAGATAGGTCATAACATTGGTGACGAGGGTAGAAAGTATGACAGTTAAGAAGGTGAATACGAGGGGCAAGTCATAGAGGATGTACATGATGTTCTTAGACATTTTCGATGACGTGGCCACTTATAAGAACTATTGGAGACACATGACCAAGGAAGTAGAGTAGTAGACGTCGAGAAGGAGAGTTCAGACGGAACCAATACCATAAAATTATCGATGCTAATAAGAAACACAATTAATCTCATGAAGCATGAAACAATGATGTGGGAAGATTCCATTCCTTGAATTGGGTTTGGAAGTTGAATAAAGTCATTGGTTTTTTTGGGCTTAATCACAGTTAAAGATAAAAACCTACTATAAACTGACGTTTATAACTTTTTATTTAATTTTAGAAAATTTTATTTAAGTCAATGATTTATTGAGACATATTACTTCTCTTATTCTTTTAAGTTAACGAGCTTCTTGAATGATTCTTCATACACAAACATACATACACACACACACACATATATATATATATATATATATATATATTTGCATGTGTATATATGTATAAGAGAAGAGAAGTATATAATATGAAAATTATATATAAACTGAAGCTGCATACTTTTTCCGTAGGATACATAATCCAATTACATGTCAATTCAATAACAAATATAAAGTGGTATTAGATGAAGTGTTGCAATCATCTTACGAGAACTCAAAATCAATATATATATATAGTTGTGTTAATGTGAGACATGATTGTTTCATAAGATACGTGAGACATGATTTTGCCATTCGAAACTTCACAATAAAATGTTGTGAAGGTAAAAGAAGCCGAATTTTTACAGCATTTTACTATGAAGTTTTAAGTGTAAAAATGTGGTCTTACGGGTCTCACAAGAACAGGTTGCTCTCACTTGTTCCCAAGCCTATACATATATGTCCATTACAAAATCAATTAATTTTTTTTCGTGAATAATAATAATTTTCTAAGATGTTATAAATCTCATTTTAGGTCACAATTTAAACAACCAAATTAAATTAAAAATCTCACATGAATAAATAATCTAAGATAAGTAACAACCTTTGTAACATCTTTTATCAGATAAAATTCTTGTTTTTTATCATTTTCATCTGATAAAATAACTGATTTGATAGACGTTTACATGAACGATCCTAAATTAAATAATCATAATTAAATAATAATTTAATTATAAAAAATTAAATAATCATAATTAAATAATAATTTAATAAAGAAACAAAAAATAAAAATTAAGGATCTTTTTCCATCATTAAGATGTGACCCCACAAAATTTGTCACTATTATACATCAAGAATGCAAAAAATTAATATCCCAGAAAAATAAAATGATAAATTCAAGAAAAAGAAAAGCAGAAAAAAAGAAAAGAAAAGAAGGGTTGTTGTTGTTGTGCTACAATGAATGCTTGTTCTAATGGCTTCATTTCTTGAACATTGACGGACAAATCAATCTTTCTCTCTCTGTAACACTCTTTTCCTCTCTCTACTCGTATAAATATTCCATCTTTATGTGTATTACTACTACAAAAATTTGTGGGTTATATGAGTCTTTTGTGGGTTTTTGATTTTGATTTCGATTTCTGAGGATTTGAGATAGAGATGGTTTTGGTTTTGGTTCTTGGTTAATGTGCAATCTTTAAGCTCAATTTCAGGTACGATTCTTTCTCTAAAATGGAAAATTTCAGTCCTTTTTTCTCTTGATTGATTTCTAGATTCTGATTGGTAGTAATTGGGAATTGCACAGCCACACTGTTGTTGTTTTACCAGAAGCGACATCGGTCATAAAATAATCCAGATCAAATAAACAAACCAGTTTCGAAAAAGATTTGATCGCTCAAATCCATCAATGGCTGTTGTTGAAAATGCTCGTAGTATCAACGTTGTCGCCTCCGATGTCGATCAGTCAACAAAATCCTCCTATAACAACCGTAACCCTGTAACTATTTCTCACCGATCAAACGATTATCATCATCATCAGCAACTACAGAAGGTGACAGCACTTCAGCCGCCGTCGACCAACGGCAGCAGCATCACCGGCAATGGTTACGTTGCCGGTGATGATGATGCTGGAGATGGGTTTAAGAAAGAGATGAGCGATTTGGAAGAAATGTTGTCAAAACTTAACCCTATGGCTGAAGAATTTGTCCCCCATCAAAGGCCTCAGTTACTGCCATCATCAGCTGCTCCTGCGGCCCAATTTGGTTATGCTGCTGTTAACAATTTCTTAGTTCATGCTAACAACGCTGTTTTCGCCAATGGCACTCCCGCTAGAAGGGTAATAAACTTGAGCTTTTGGGTACAATAATTTCGATTTGCCCCTTTTGTTGTTTTGATTTCTTATGTTTCTTTAAACACCCTCTATATACTATGTTTATTAGCTTCAAGAATATACACACACACACACATAAGATTCAGGGGAAAACCACAAAAGCTTGAAAAACCAAGCAACACCCAGGTAACCATTCATCTTGACGGCATGGTCATGTGCATACAGTAATCTGTAAGCAATTTGTCCGGTATGTACATGTGCACAGGCGCATAAAAACCAAAAACCAGCTTCAGTTACGTGTATGCACGTGTGCATACCGTCTAGATGAATGGTTATGAGGTGTTCCTCAGTTTTTCATTTTTTGGGTTTCCCCGGATCTCCCTCTCTCTCTCTCTCTCTCTCTAAATTTGTCACTCGGAATCATGTTTTGCTGAACTTTTAACAATGGGTCTATCCTCTGGTTATCTTGTGCTAAAATTGCTGATTTTTGGGGCTTTTGATGTTATGGTCAGAAGGGTAATTTCAGTCATGGGAAGAGAAGGATGAATAGCCGAACAAGCATGGCGCAAAGAGATGATGTGATCAAGAGAACTGTTTATGTGTCCGATATCGATCAGCAGGTAAAGAGTCATGTTTATTTGTTGTGGGAAATCATTTCTTGCGGGGATTTTTTTTGTTGATTACTAATCAAGATTTAGACATGTGATGAATCTTTAACTATTTTTCATGAATTTAGGTAACTGAAGAACAGCTTGCAGCTCTCTTTGTTAACTGTGGACAGGTAATCGTGGTACCATTTTATGGTTATGCAGTGGGTTTTCATGTATGGTATTGAAAATAGATCATGTTTACAAATGTCTAATGTTAAGTTTTATTTTGCACACTTAGGTTGTGGACTGCCGTGTATGCGGTGACCCTAATTCTGTTCTTCATTTTGCCTTTATTGAATTTACTGATGAGGGTATGCCAATCTAACCTTTAGCACCAAGTTATACTTTTGATTCTTTTATTCGGTGCAACATTTCATCGTTCTTTAATGTTCTTGCAGAAGGTGCAAGAAATGCATTGAGTCTTGGTGGAACTATGCTTGGATACTACCCTGTGAGGGTTCTGCCTTCGAAAACTGCAATTGCACCTGTAAATCCGACCTTTTTACCCCAGGTGACATTCTTTTGCAAACGGTTTGTGACTTAAAGGTTTTCACTTTCATTAATGGTGGTAATCTATGAATCTTAACTCGTTAATTCTGTGTTTTTATAGTCTGAAGATGAGAGGGAAATGTGTGCAAGAACCATCTACTGTACTAACATCGATAAGAAGGTAGTTTTATTGTTTACTCTTCAACGGCTATATATTTAACGAACTCTGAACGGAATGTTATCTTTCTTTTAATGAATCAGGTTACTCAAGCAGATGTTAAATTGTTCTTTGAATCACTTTGTGGAGAGGTTTGTGGCTGCCCATTTATAAAATTCTGAAATTGCTGCTGTTACTTGAATACCTAACCGCAGGTTGTGGCATTTCTTTTTTCTAGGTTTACCGCTTGAGGTTGCTTGGGGACTATAATCATTCCACCCGTATTGCCTTTGTTGAGTTTGTGATGGTAAGTTTTCATGAGCCTTTTTAAGGTCGCTTTTTGTTGCTCAAATTGTGAAAATATTAACTTCTGTTGGTATGTTCTTGATTGCTCCTAACCTGCTTTTCTTGTCCCAATTTTTGTTTTTGGTCTTTTTTGGACACTTTTAACAAGCTGGGGCAGACTGCGGACCTACATAGGAGCATACGGTGGCACGGGTCATCGCTTCATGGTTTTGTCATAAGGGAAAAAAATTACGTTTTTGAAGGGTGCCGTTATATTTTTTGAAACTCAACTCTTGGCACAAGTTTTTAATGGCAGAGTTGGTAAATATTGCTGCCTTTGTCCAAAAGGCTTGGGTTCGAATCCCACTTATGTCAAATTTCTTAGTTTGTCAGCTTATATTGGTGTTCTATTATATACCTCGTGTTTTAAAAAAATTGTAGACAAAACTCGAACATAGGTTCCTGCTGTGCGGAGAAAAGGAACCAACCAACAAATCTATATTAATGTTGTCAAAAATTTCTATTGATTTTTGTTTCCTTACTCGTCCACAATCCTGTCACCTTTGTTTCCTTACTCGTCCTTTCTTAGGAAGATTCTAGAAACCACACCCGAGAAGGTGAAACCTTTGCCACCCGACCATTGACGCATCCCCATGATTTGAGAGGCATGCCAAGTGTGGGATGTAAGTGTATATATGTCTATATAAACAATTAGCAAGTAGCAATATACTAGTTTGTATTTGGGTCATATTTGTGTATTAGTTGGCCTCGTATCAGGATCAGATTATGTCTATATTTGTATATGGCTAATTGGCTATATGGAAAGCAGACTAAGTAGGTTTCTATTTAGTCGAAAATTTAGAATTTTTTCGCTTACTTAAAGGTCTGTTGTTGGTTATTTACTATCCTTTTGCTGTTAAGTGAAAACTATGTCGATAATGCTTCTTTGCTCAGCAGAAGAGTTCTGTACAGTAAAAATGCATTCTGAAGTCATGGGGAAAAGTGCTGTTTCCCATTTTATGGTTCTCGTAGGAGGTGTTTGTTTTGAGCCCGATTAGCAAATTTGTTTTGAGCCCGATTAGCAAATGTTGTTTAGAAGGCTCTTCCTCTTTAAATTTGGTATCATGAAATAATAGTGTAACCTTTTCTAGTATGCCTTCATATGCATCCCTTATGATGATTGTGCAAAAGGGTTTGTAACCGGCAACCCGTGAGTTGGCCCACACCCCCTTGCCCCAAAAAACAAATCAGGTATGCAACGGCCCACTAGATAGCTGGCTTAAGCCCACAATGCCCGCAACCTGTTTGTGCAAGTACACCATCCTGGAATCAACTGTGTTGCACCCTGGTCCCGATTCTTTATGATGTTGGTTCTATGATTCTTGAATCGTAGCAAATGTTGCTTGGTACATTTTTTTGCAACATATTTTGTTATATGCTTGTCTGGACCAAATGTAGAACCATACCAAACCAAACGTACCCGGTATATCCACTAGGGTTTCCTAGTGATGTGAGCCCTGCTAAATCTTGAATTGTATTGAATTTTATGTAATACTTACAAGTCTCTTCCTTTTGATTTGAACATAATTTCTAAAATGTCTTCTTGAAACTTTCTTACAGGCTGAAAGTGCAATTGCAGCTCTGAACTGCAGTGGTGCGGTGCTGGGATCATTGCCGATAAGGTGGGGGTGGTTTTTTTGCCCGAGTCATCTTTTATCTATATTCCCTTAGAGGGAGGGTCGTTTAGGAACCCACAGACCACCCTTTTTGTGAGTATTCATCATGAATAACGTGATAAAATATTCATCATATGAATACTCACAAAATAGGTGGAGCCTGGTTCCTAAAATGTTTAAGGTTTCTAAATGAACCTGCCCCTATTCTCTTATACTCTCCTCTGTTCCAAAATAAATGTTCACAACGGAAAAGGCACATTTTTAGAAGCGTGTAGTTATTACACTTTTTAATTAACTAAATGACAATACACGGTGAAATGGAGCTCTCAATCTCATAATTAAGGGCAGAATTGGAAAGTAGCCACTTTTGAAACTGGGTACTTATTTTGGGACAAACTAAAGGGTTGTTTGGTTGGTTTTCCATTAATTTCTATATGGATAAAGTTGTTTGTGTGGATTAATCTTTGTATGAATAGATTGGGAAGTTTTTTGTTTTGCAATGTTTTTCATAAATGGAAAGAGTGTTTTTCAATTGGGAGGGGCATGTTCGAAAAAACTTGGCTTTCTGCATAAAGCTCCCCTCTAGAAGCTTACTGAATAAGCCACCTTTTATATCATTAAGCCACTACCAAAAAATTATGTATATGATCCAAATAAGTTGCGAGTCCCATTATGCTGCTAACAAACATACCCTAAAATAGAAATGTGGACACTTATTGGAACGGAGGAAATACAAGTTTCCATTTTTTCACTTGTTTCTTGATTCCGGACCCTAGCCATCTCTAATAGACTGGATTTGATTCATTCTCGATGCAGGGTGAGCCCTTCGAAGACTCCAGTCCGCCCACGTGCACCCCGTTCCGCCATGCACTGATTAGCTTCGGATTTCTTTTAGATCGATCTGCTGCTCTATATCTACTACTTATACATGCATAGATAGATACAGAGAAACTGTTGGTGGTGGCATTTATGTTTCTGGTTCCGTCTGATGCATCGAGTCCAAGTATATGGTTCGTAGGCTCCCGAGACTCTGTTAACCTTTTAGTTAAACGCACGGCACTATTTCAAGTTTCCACTAGGCCTTAGTTTTACTCGCCCGTTTATTTTATTTTTTGCAATATTTACCGATATTTTAGTGCAATTTTATCAAGGTTTTGTCACAATGCAGGATATGTGCACCTTTGTGTATTAGTTGCAAGATTTTTCTGCCACATTTGCTCGCTATATTCACCGAGAACTCGTGATCTCAAAATCCTTTTCTGGGTTTGTTCTTTCTTGAATCGAAAGCCGATAAGATTGTGATAACTTGTACAGTATGCAATGAAAGTTGTACCAGTCAGTTTCTTGAAAGAGGCTAATTACCCTTTTGCCCCATTCTCTTCCCATGCTAACAAGTAACAACCCATCCAACTCCAACACTCAACTTTCTTCCATTTATAACAAACATTTCAATCTTTATGGGCAATACTTTTTGTGCAACAAGAAAAACAGCTTCAAGAAGCACGGAAATGGAAGGGGAGTTCGTTGAGCCGGTTTTGGTGAACGAGATGTTGGAAAGGGCGGAGTTGGAGCGCCATCTTCTTTCTGCCAACCATGAGCTCAAGTCGGGATGCAAGTATCATTCTCCACCGGCACAGGAGCAGGATTTGAAGATCAGCCCGGATGCTGAATCGGTTGTGGCAAGTAAACGGGCTTTGTGTAGGATCAAGATGGTGATCACGAAGCAACAGCTTGCGGAACTTGTATCGAAACGGGTTTCAGTACGAGATATTATCGAGGTGCGAAGGCGGATAAATGCTGCTCGAATGGTGGTTTGCTAGAGGCCTGGGCTCGAGTCTATTCCTGAAGAGAATGAAATTGGATGCTTCCCTTGAAGCATTGATTTGCTTCTATATACTTCGGCTTTCAAAATATAAAGAGGTTAAAACCAAAGTACACTGAATCGAATCGAATCTCTTTTCAAGCCAAATATATTTCGGTTTGGATGGTGGGTCGTCGAAACCCGCTTAATTCATGTCTAGTTGCCATGAAACATTCCATGAACCGTATCTAACACGAACATAAGTGATTCAAATAAATAAAGCACGTTTCAAGGCATGCCTCATGCCGAACTGAATGAACGCGAATCATGTTGGTCGTTGAAACCTGCTCAATTCATGTAAGGTTGCCAAGAAACTTTCCACAAGCCGTTTCTAACACGAACAAAAGTATTTTGAATAAAAGAACTCGTTTTAGGTCGAATGTTTCTTAGGGTTCGTTTGGACGAGCCGCAAAGGGTAATACCCTTGGGTTTTTCTCGTACGGATTAACCGTACCGGATTGTCATGAAAATTTCCGTGGGCCATGTGCAATGTTAATGAGAAGTTTTTCATCAGAAAGAACTTGAAAAAACTCGTTCTCGTGCAGGAAATTGCTGGAGCCACACATTGGCTAAAGCGAACGAACGCGCACGTGCAGTTCGTCGAAACCTACTCAAATCATGTTGTATCATCACAAAATTTCCTACCCATGGCGTTCTTCTCGTTCCAAGATTTGATTTGACTGGTCATAGGCCTAATACGAAGTCAGGTAGCAAAAGTTATGCACGTTTAATGCACGACACCATTTTTGGCCGATTGCACCAAGAGATTGCCATGAAAATTTCCATGCACCGTCTGCAATGCTAATGAGAAGTTTTTATCAGAAAGAACTTGAAAAAAAACCCGTTCTCGTGCTGGAATCGCCAGAGCCGCACATTGGCCAAATCGAACAAACGCGCATCGTAAAGTTTGTCGAAAACCCACCAAAATCATGTTGTATTACCAATGAAACATTCTACCCATGGAGTGATCCTCGTTCCAATCTTCGTTTTAACTGGTTATGGGCCTAAAACAGAGTTCCATATAAAAAGTTATGCACGTTTAAGAACGACACGCATTTTTGCCGATACACCAAGGGTATACCCTTGGGTTTTCTCCTCCGTACCGACAGTGCCAGATTTCCATGAAAATTTTCATGGCCCATCTTCAATGTTAATTAGAAGTTTTTTACCAGAAAGAAATAGAAAAAAAGAATATTCTCGTGCTGGAAGTTGCCGGAGCCATTCAATGTTCATGGCGCGTCGTGCAGTTCGTTGAAACCCTCTCAAATGATGCTGTATTACCACAAAAATTCTTGCAGAGACCTTCTCCCCATAACAAGTTCCGAATTGGCTGGTCATGGACTTAAAACGGAGTCCCGTAGCAAAAGTTACGCGTGTTTATGCACGACACTTATTTTTGGCCGATACACCAAGGGTATATACTCTTGGGTTTTCTTGTACGAAGCGACCGCGCCAGATTGTCATGAAAGTTTTCGTGGGTCATCTACAATGTTAATAATAAGTTTTGCACCAGACTCAACTTTAAAAAAACTCTTCTCGTCCGGAAACTACCAGACCACGCATGGCCAAATCGAACGAACACGCCTTGTGTAGTTCGTCAAAACCTACTGAAATCATTCTGTATTACCACAAAAATTCCTACTAATTCCTTGCTCCTCGTTCCAAGTTTCAATTTGATTCATCATAGGCCTGAAACGAAGTTTCTTTGTAAAAGTTATGCACGTTTAAGCGCGACACCCATTTTTGGCTGATACACTAAAGGTATACCTTTGGATTTTTTCTGTCCAAACTGACCATGCTAGATTACCATGAAAATATCCGTGAGTCAACTGCAATGTTAATGAAAAGTTCTTCACTAGAAAGCACTTCTCGTGCTGGAAATTTCCAAAGCCACACATTTGTTGAATCGAACGAACATGCGACATGCAATTCGCCGAAGCCCACTCAAATCATGATGTATTACCAGAAAACTTCCTATTGTTCCAAGTTTCTATTTGACTCTTCATTGGCCTAAAACTCGTTGTAAAAGTTATGCACGTTTATGCGCGACACCCATTTTAACCCGATACACCAAGGGTATATACCCTTGGGTTTTTCTCATCGGAATCGACTGTGCTGAATTATCATGAAAATTTCCGTGGTTCATCTACAATGTTAATAAGAGGTTTTCCATTAGAAATAACTTGAACAAAAACCATTCTCATGCCGGAAATTGTCGGAGCCACACATTGGCCAAATCGAATGAACGTTTATCGTGTAGTTCATCGATACCCTCTCAAATCATGTTGTATTACCACAAAAATTCTTAGGCATCGAGTGCAACTTGTTCTAAGATTCAATTTGACTAGTCATGGGGCCTGAAACGGAGTCCCATAACAAAAGTTATGCGCATATATGCATGACACCCATTTTTGGCCAATACACCAAGGGTTTTCTCGTCCGGACCGATCATGTAATATAGCCATGAAAATTTGCACAGTCCACCTGCAATGTTAATCAGAAGTTTTGCACCAGAAAGAAGTTGAAAAAAACCCTCTTATGATGGAAAATTGTCGGACCACACATTGGCCAAATTGAATGGTATCTTCCTTGTTCTTTCTGGTGGAAAACATCCCATTAACATTGTAAATAGAGCACGGAATTTTCATGGCAATCAAACACGGTTGACCTGGACGACAAAAACCCAAGTGTATTCCCTTAGTATATCGACAAAAAATGGTTGTTAACGCTTAAACGTGCATAACTTTTGCTACATGACTCCGTTTTAGGCTCATGACCAGTCAAATCAAATCTTGGAGCGATCAACACACCATTGTTAGGAAGTTTTGTGGTAACAAAACATGATTTTTGTGGGTCTTGACGAACTGCTTGATGCGTGTTCGTTCAATTTGGTCAATGAATAGCTCCGACAATTTCCGGCAAGAAAACTATTTTTTTTTCAAGTTCTTTTTGGTGAAAAACATCTTAATAAAATTGTAGATGAACCATGGAAATTTTCATGGCAATACGACACGGGCAGTCCGGACGAGAAAAACCCAAGGGTAACCCTTGGTGTATCGGTCAAAAATGGGTGTTAACGCTTAAACGTGCATAACTATGGCTATGAAACTCCGTATGACCTGTCAAATTGAAGCTTGGAATGAGCAGCACATCATGAGTTAGAAGCTTTGTGGTAACACAACATGATTTTAGTGGGTTCTGACGAACTGCATGCTACGTTCATTCGATTTGGCCAATGCGTGGCTCTGGCAATTTCCGTCAGGAGAATGGTTTTTTTTTCCAAGTTCTTTCTCGTGGAAAACATCTCATTTGTAGATGGACTACGGAAATTTTATGTCAACCCGACACGGTCGGTCCAATGGAGAAAAACCCAAGAGTACCCCATGATGTATCGGTCAAAAATAGGTGTTATGCTTAAACGTGCATAACTTTTGCTACGGGACTCTGTTTATGAAATGTTAATAAGAATTTTCACTACAAAGAACTTGAAAAAAACAGTTCTCATGCCAGGATTTGTGGGAGCCATACCTTGGCCAAATCGAACGAACGTGCGTCGTGAAGTTCGTTAAAACACACTCAAATCATGTTATATTACTATGAAACTTCGTACGAACGGTGTGCTCCTCGTTCCAATCTTTGATTTGACTGGTCATGAGCCTAAAATGGAGTCTCGTAGCAAAAGTTATGTACTTTTAAACGTGACACTCATTTTTTGCCGATACACCAAGAGTATATTTTAAGGTTTAGGGTTTAGGATTTAGGGTTCTTTATATAGAGGGGAGACCCTCGTCCTATCAAGAGAAAAACAACTAAAACGGGGACCGTGCTCAAGAGGAAGCAAAACCGATGTAACCACGAGAAAGGATCAAAGGATCAAAGCAAAGAAGAAAATATGCCTTTTATCTTAACTCTCATTTTCATCGAAATCCAACCCTAAAATATTATATATCTATATATAGGCTTGGAATAACGTGAGATCAACATGTTTTTGTGACCCGTAGGACCACCTTTTTACACTATACAGTAAAAACACTATGAAGATTCTTATTTATATACACACATGATAGCGGAGGGGAGCAGTTTAATCTCAAATATTTTTAATTTGGGTTGTTTTTAGCAATATCATACCTAAATAAAATGGTTGAATAAGTTGACATCATCAATTTTATTTTTCATAAATGAACCACCACCAAAAAATTATCTTTTCTTCCTTATCGACCTTCCTCGTATAGCAGGTGACGGTAAAGGTATTCGATCTTTTAGGTCCCGACTTCACCTCGACGGTTAGGCCACGATGCCCCTATCGAAAATAGAATCGACTACGGAGTCAAGCCACAGCACATGGTTTTATGATTAAAGCCTTAGACCGAAATATGACGCTCTTTTCTTACAAAAAAGGAAAACACATGTTTTTATTCCCAATTAACTTTGCAGATTATTCCTGGAGAAAATCAAGATTTAAACAGATCGGATAGAAAGGGAACTCATTCTTCTTCAGCGAAAGGATCAACAGGAGGTATCTCCCCTGTGAATGATTCGGCTGCAGGTGCTTCCAAATCCTCCACTGGACGGAAAAACGCCTTCTCATCCAGCACCGTTTCTTCCGTCGTACACGTCACCGCAGCCTCCTCCGACTTCAGTTCGTCATGTGGTACGAACACTCCCGTCTCTGGATCAGGCTCCCAGTATTGTTGATCTTCGACACGAGGAGGAACCCGAACCTCATAGTCTACTTGCTTTTCGTAAGCTGATTCATGCAATCTCCTCCTGCCACAATCAACCATCCAAACCAAATAAACGCAGTATATCCCACAAAAAAGGGGACTCAGAGAGGATCAGATTTACTCAGACATGACTTCTACTTCAAAGATAAAAGTGACTATTTTCATAACAAAGAGAGAGAGATGATTTTCAAAGATTGTTGAAAGATCAACAATAATAACATACATATATAAAGGCCGTTTATCATACGGTTACCGTCAATCACATCATTTACCTTATCAGGTGAGGTTTTCAACCAACAAAATAGATTTGCGGTAACCGTCTGGTAAGCTTTTACTGGGTTAAGAGTCGTAATGCTAAGAGTCTTGGTCCTTGTTATACCTTTTACCGCCCAGTAAACGTTTATCCGATAAGAGTTTGATAAACAGTCCCTAAACAGGTGTACAATACAAGCAAAACCAATGATACCTGTAATAAAAAGTTACCTGAAGGTAGAGAAGGAAGAGAAGCAGAGGGAAGGAGAAGGAGTTGCAGCCTGGAGATGGTTGATGATATGCTTCCCAGCCATGGCAATTGCATGGATATGGACTATGCACATACATATGTATATATGAAAGGATGGCAAACCGACTCTTTCCTCTATTTCTGTGCTCTCTTTTTTCTTTATTTTATTTCATCAATTCCAAAACTCCTTTTATACATATCATCATCTTCCAAATTATATATAATATGCAGATAAAGGCTCAACCATTTTCATAGTCAAACAGAAGTTACATTTATAAAAGGAACTACTTTTATAGAAATTTCCACAACATACATACATATTTCATGCTCCATGGTGTTATACCTACATACCCACTAACAATAACCAGTGTCTTACACCACCACCACCACCACCACCACCACCACCACCCTTTATTCTTACTACATACATATATAACAAACCCACATACCACCACCAGTCCTTATATAAACTACTATTCATATCGTAGACTGACCTCCACAGATCACGCTACCGGAACCCAGGAAGTCAGATATGGTGGTACTTCTCACGGGTGAGCAGGTTTCTCCAAGTTCTCCAGTGGACGGAAGAAGGCCTTCTCCTCCAACACCGAACCGGAGCTTGCATCCGTTGCACCGGGTTCCGACGCAGCGGCAGCCTCATCTGCAGGTCCAAAGACCCCTGTCTTTGGGTGTGGTGCCCAGTACTTTTCGGGTTCGGCTCGAGTAATTGCTTCCTCTGGGACCAGTGTTGGACGTACCTGATCGTCTATGTTCTTGTCGTAGACCGATACATGCACGGCCCTCCTGATAAGAATGTAGACATAGATAAGCCCTCATGGTACAAGAAATAACCTTTAGTTTCTTGACCAACTCTAGGCAAGTTTTTTGGCTAATTAAAAAAAAGGGAAGCATGCAACTTAAACATCGCTAAGATTCTTCTAGACCGAGACTTGGTCAATCTCTTTGTGGATTTTGCTGGAAGTGAAAAACTATTGAAGAAGAATTGTAAAATATCTTCTTTAACTTATTCCAAGATATTGTGAGAAAAAGATGAAATAACTATTGAAGAAGATTTGTACAATATCTTCTTTAACTTATTCCAATATACTGTGAAAAGATGATCCTGTGGTGCAGAAGTTTAAAAGAAGAAAATTAAAAGGATAAAGTGACGATGACTAATTGAAGAAGAATTGTATAATATCTTTAACTTATTCCAATATATTGTGAAAAGATGATCCTGTGGTACAGAAGTTTAAAAGAAGAAAATTAAAGGGATAAAGTGACGACGACTAATTGAAGAAGAATTGTATAATATCTTCTTTAACTTATTCCAATATATTGTGAAAAGATGATCCTGTGGTGCAGAAGCTTGAAAGAAGAAATTTAAAAGGATAAAGTGACGATGACTAATGATTTCCCATGTGTTGGATGGCATTTTCGGTGTCGTTTTGTTGCTTTCCATCAAGAGGGTCCGGTATTGGATAAGCTTTAAACAACTGGGTGGATGATTAAAAGATGACACTGGGCACTACTTGTGATTGTTGCGAGGACACACACGTACATACATATTTGTACCAATTCAGGCTTGTGTCCATATCAAGGAATCAGCTCCATAAGGTAGCTTCTCACATGGAGATTACTTTCTCTTATCTGTTTTAATTGGTACTCGTATCTACAAGATGTTCCCACTCAATTAACTTGCAATTTGAAACATGAGGGTACGTATCATAAGTCCTTTCTTTCACGCTTGTTTGGTAACAACATACCAAATGATTAGTCGATGAGGTGGTGCAATGATTTGTTATCTTGTTCCTGTCTTGGACTAGATTGATTCTCAAGATATGGGGTGGGTTGGTGGGTCCTAATCTATCACCAAAAATCAGCTACCTAGTGGTCCAGAGCTTATCCAATGTCGGACCCTATTAATCAAAAGCAACAAAACGATGCCCGAAATGCCATCCAGCACATGGAAATCATTAGGCATCCTTCTAAATGGTGTACGGCCCCTCTTTCCTCTTTCCTTAAACTTCTACACCACATGATCATCTTTTTCACAACTATATTGGAATCTTACGAAGGAAGATATTATACAATTCCTCTTCAATCTCCTTCAATAAGTTTCTCAGTTCCAGCAAAATCCACAAAGAGATTGACCAAGTCGCGTCTAGAACAATCTTAGAGATTTTTGTGTTGCATGTTCCCCGATCTATGCGACTATTTGTATATCTAAAATGATACGAAGTTACCAATACACACATATACCTAACTAACAGATTCAATTAAACAATCACCATTGACGGTTTGTGTAAAATAATTCGATATTCTGATCCAACAAGTTCACATAACATCATACAATTAGGATATGCAGCTCGATAAATTCGTCGTATTAACTCCTCCAAAAATTGATCCGAAGTATGTATACCTGAGAATGAGAGGTGGATCACGAGCAGATGAGGTCCGGATCTGGCTGACGAATCGCTTCCCCAAGCTTACGATGCTCCGGCTATGCGAATTGGCGGCCATACAATAAGCTTTTTCCGATGAAGAAAGAGTAGATGACAGTCAGCGACGGAGATATCGAGAAAAAGAAGAGCGGTGATTGTGGGTAGGTGTGTTTTCTGTGTCTCTATATATATATCTGGTGTCTGGTGGGTAGGTCACTCAAGTTTCTAAAATTTTCAATTCTGGCACCATAGTTTGGAACTTGTTAATATGAGTATCATTATTTGTAAAATCTCTCAATATGGTATTTCAGTTGGTTGGACTACTAATCCTAAAGACATTTTTAGGGGCCGGTTACCAAACACTTAACGGGTAAGCGTTTATCGGATATCATTTACCTTCTGGATGAACATAACAAAGACCTAAAATCTTACCCGATAAAAAGCATACTAAGAACCTAGAATCTTATCCGGTAAAAGAGAGATAATACTCTTATCAGTAAAAAATGCTTAACCATTAGTATAAATCATATAAACAATTAATTGAAATATTTATGGAAATGATGAGGATTCTATTTATTATAATTTGAATATTTATGAAAAATTATCAATATTATATTATAAAAAGATCCATCGGAACTCGATAGACAGTTAAGATCAGTTTGCATAATTTTTATTAATTATAGAGTTCTCGTAAAATATAGGTGTTGTCGTTTGATATCATGAATTTGTTAAGGTTTTAATATTAAAAAAAAAAGTTTATGATGGGAGTTTGGTGAAGGTATTAAAAGTTTAGGGGTGAATATGTAAATTTTAGAAAACACAGATTTCAATTATGCTCCAGAAGAGACTTTTTGGTGAAGGTATTAATGGATATGGCGTCACCTATATATATATATATATATATATCTATAAATAAACAACGGTGCTTATTTGACTAACCTGAATCCGGCTTTGACCTTCCCGTTTTGGTATATTCCGAGGAATATACGTCGGACGTCCGTCAAGATGACGTGGAGCCACGCGAAACACACGGGTTTGGTCGGATCTAAATATTAAAATATTATATTAATTTCTGTTAAAAGAAAATATTTTATTATATTCGAACTCGAATTACTGTTACGAATCTTTATTTTAAATTAATGGTTACCTTTTGAATTCGCTGTGGGGAATCAAAAATTTGGATTGAGTAGCAAAGATAAATACTAAATTATATTACTCGTTACATCAACATGATAATCGATTAATACTTTAATCTAGAAGTTATAATGAATCAATGTTCAACCCATTTATTAAACATGTTGAAAATCTAACTCAACTTAACTCAAATTTGATATCAAAATAAAAGTTTTTAATAATATAATGTATCAAAATAAAAGTTTTGAAAATATCTTACTCGGAATAAGAATAAAGTTAAATCACGATACAATATACTTTTAAAAAATCTATTAAATTAAGAGCGAAAAATTACAAGATTTGACTTCATTTTCGATTACAAAAGTGGTGATAAAAGCAAGAGGATTAATAAGAAATTTCTCCTCTTTTCTATTTACATAAAAAATTAATCACAACAAATATATTTCCAAAACAATCAACGAATACGGTTCAAATGAGCGAACGGTTCCGGTGCGGCTTTCGGTGCCGCCTTTGCAGCCACGTCGGGGCTCCCGAAAACGTTCCAAAACCGCAATGTCTCGTCGCCAGCCGCAGATGCAACCGTGCACCCATCAGGGCTCTGAGCCATGAACAGAACCCTCGATGTATGACCCGTCAGTTCAGCCATCTTAACCATCGACGGGTACTTCCATAGAGTCAATTGGTTCTGTGTGAACCCGTGTGAGCTCAGCAGTTCGCGTTCGTTCTTGTTCCATAAAAGTGCACAAACTTGCGAACCCGTGTCCACGGAGTTCAAACACGAGCCGGTGTGTGTGTTCCAGAACTTTATACACTTGTCGCCGCCACCTCCACCTGAAGCGAGGAGATTCGCCTGGAACGGACACCACGCGAGGGCTTTGACCGCAGCGGTGTGCTCCTCGAGCCGGTGGAGCCATTGGGTTGGAGCGTTGGCAGAAGCCATCGATCGGTCCCAAATGTGAAGGAGATTGTCGTTGCCACCACTGGCTAACTGCTGGCCGGAAGCCGACCATTTCAGTCCGCAAACTTCTTGGTGGTGGCCGCTGTAGGTTTCGACTATATGCGATCGAACTCGCACATCGTTGTTTACGATCCGGCCATCCATTCCTCCGGTGGTCAAGATGTGGTTGTTCCAATCCAAAGCTCCGACTCGAGATTGGTGGCCGCCTCTCAATGTTCTCAACTGCACGATTCAAACCGAAAGATTTAGTAAAACTAAACAAACACCATATCAAACCGTAAGATTCAAAACCAAGAATCATTCAAATCAAATCATTACCAATCGGTTAGATGTCGAATCCCAGAGCTGGATATCCGAATTGTTTAGCCCGACAGAGATGTGTCGACCATCGGGTGCCCATTTGACGCTGGTCACCGGGCCGGCTTCATCGTCTACTGTCACGAGCTCCGAAGTATTACCTTCCGAAGCATCCCATAAATACACTGTGTTTCCTAGAGCAATGGCAAGAACATTGCTGCTTCCCCAATCCAACAGATTCAAGTAGTAATCATCGACAAGATCGGGAGCATCAAGAGTTCTTTCTGAAGTCTTTATAACGAAAACAAAACCGCATTTCAGTACTCGAACAAGATCTAAATTCGAACCAAACCAAAAAAACCGATCTTGCAGGCGCTCACCTGAGGAATGTATCTACGGGCCTTTACAGGTTTTGAGTGCTGAACCGAAGCAGAGCTGTCGTTAAACATGGCTTCCGATGGGGTTGGAGGCTTGTTCTTGAAAGCTAGAATTCTGGTTCGGTTCATGTTAAAGCTATCGGCCAAATGCTTCCGGTACGCTTCCCTCGACGGCGAGCTAGTCATTGGATTCTCCTTACCTTTCTTCGCTTCCGTTAACATGTAATGTGCGTAATCGAAATCCATTGCTGATCTATTCGGAATGAATCTGTCCAACTAAAATAAACAAAACCCATTTCAGAAAACCAAATCAAAACCCATTATAGAAAACCACAACTAATCCCTAGATTCGATAACAAATTAACAGAAATCGCGAATTACGTTTTCTCGAGAGTTTCTTCTTTGAAGAAATTGCTCCTGAAGGGGGCATCGAGATTGGGACTTGGTAGCTGAAGAACTTAGAGATCCTGCGTCCATAATGTTAGTAGAAACAAAAGATATATGTAATCAAAAGATAAAGAAATCGAAGAATCCTGCAAAACAGAAATTGGGTAAAGTAGCAAGATACAGAAATCAGATTAATGTAAGAACAGAAATTAAAGATTAATCGATTAGAGAAGGCGTAAGCGAAATCGTTAGTTGCTAAGATTGCGATTGAATTAGAGAGCGTTTGTGATTAATCCGATTGAATTTAGGGGTTTATATAAACAGAGAATTAGGGTTTATAATGGCGTTTCCTGGTGGCGCAGCAGCGGCGACGTTGAAACGGCTAGTGCGTTTCAAAATATATCCGTTGTAAATTGTTGTGACAAAAATACCCTTTGTGGGCCTTGGCTGTACAAAGCCCAAAGCGAGATATGTAGAATAACTCGATGGCCCAAGCTCAAAATTTTCGAGATGTAATTTCAATTGTATTTATTAGAATTTTTTAATGAAATATTTTGTTATAAATATTGTTTTAAATATTTAATAAATTAGATTAATTAATTAAATAATAATAAGGTTTAGAATGAACATATGATAAAGTTTATAGAATTATACAGCAAGTTGATAAACTCTATTCTGTTTGTAAAAAGCTTGTCTATGATAAGCTAACTAGAACTTAGGATTATTTGATGGTGTCATACGAGAGACGGTTAAAAGGGCAATGCCCCCTTGGGGGCCCTAAGGGTAGCGCTATAACGGGGGCTCAAGGGGGAACGCTACGAAACAAAAACAAAATGGAAGGAAGTAGACATTAAGGATTTCAGTGTCAAGTCGTGATAAGAGGTTTTCATCAATTTTTGTAAACACCGATGATTTAGATGGTTTTTAGTGTGTTGTGTTTAGGTAGCAGATGGATGTTTCATTGTCCAACTAGCTGATGGTTTGCCACTGAGGTTCATCTAGCAGATGGATACTTCAACATTCAGTTAGTTGATGATGTTCAACCAGTGGAAAGATGCTTCAACGTTAAGCTAGTTGATGGGTCACCATTGTTGTTTAGCTAGTTGATGGTTTGTCACTACTGTTCAGCTAGCAGGCTGATGCTTAACGTTCAGCTAGTTGATGAAGCTTCAACTATCAAAGTGGATGTTTCATCGTTCAATTAGCTGACGATGCTTCAACTTTCGAAGGGAATTGCATCAATTTTGTAATCGGTCTTGACAAATTTGGCTTGAAATATAACTTAAGCAAGTTGTCACGTGATGTTAAATTTTATCCAAGTGATTACATACATAATGAGAAAATAGTCAAAAATCCGACCAACCTGATAACCCAACGCGAAATAACTCAACCCGGAGCAACCCGATGTCTAATCGAGTTATAAAATTTTGAAACTGTAGGTATTGGGTTAGTATTATTTGAACCCAATCCAACCCAACCCGAGGAACCCGATATCCTTTTATTTCTTTGATTTAATATGATTGTTGAATTTCTAATAATATATACATTAGACAATTAGACTATCATGTACGCTCTCCATATACGCATATTTTCAATCTATTCACATATGTATACAACTCATTCGTGTATATGTTCGGTAACTGTGAACATATATATATATATATATATATATATATATTGAGAAAATTAACTGAATGTGATATACGTAAGAAGTATGAATAAGTTGTATCAAATGGTTGATGATGAAAAAAAATTATGAGTAGAGAAATAATATATTTAAGGTTAGATTTTAGAAGAATATTTTAATGTACCAGAGTATCAACCTGACCAACCGTACAGTTTGGGTTGGGTTGCACTTTGGTTTGGGTTAAGGTTTTTCAAACCACAAGCATTGGATTGAGTTGTTCAAATGTCTTCAACCAGATAAATCCAACCCATAAACACCCCTACTTGAAGTTGTACAAAACTCACTTTTAAAGATAGAATTAGGACTCGCCCACTTTAGAGTCTTCGTCTTTAGATAACAAAAAATGTTGGATAAATTTGATACAAAATAATTAAGTGATCAAAATGATTAACAAACTTCGTATAATTTAGTGCATAATAATGGATATTTCATAAGCTAATATACACTATCATTTTAATTTACTGATATGTGACTTATTGATAAATATTGTAAGCTGATATACGCTATAAATTGATAAATTGATGGGCAAATTGGGCCTCAGCCCGGGACCGATTGGTATCGTGTTACAAGTTTTATGTGACCGGTTATAAGGTAATGACGTTTTTTGTGTACGGAGATTTTTAATTTCTAACTCCATAGAAATATACCAAGAAAACAACTATAACTAACAAAGGCCATATACATTAGAATCACAAACAACCACAAGCAGCTTCAACATTATCCGATTTCAACAAGAAAAAATCGCTCTGCTTCTTTCACTCGATCAAACTTAGAGCTTCATCGCGATACCCATTCTTGAACATGCCCATCAAACCCGACAAACCTCAAGTCTAAAACCCATGTAGACCAGATCAGAGTTCATTCTCATCCCAACTCTGCACCACTTCAAAATGACTAGCAATGGCTGCCTTCAAAATCCTTCCGTTTTCGAAGTTGAAAGTAATCATCTTGACCCTGAAAGTCAAAGTTGAAAGTAATCATCTTGACCATGAACTTAATCATCTTGACCCTGAAAGTCAAAGTTGAAAGTAATCATCTTGACCATGAACTTAATCATCTTGACCCTGAAAGTCAAAGTTGAAAGCAACCATCTTGACCATGAAAGCAAGTCAAAGTTGAAAGTGATCATCTTGCTAGGCTTCAATGTTTGACAACCTCCTTTCTTACGTATCTCCTCATTTGAGAAGGCTTCTTTCTTGTAACCCCAAACCTTCTCACCTTTTCCAGTTTCTCTCTTCTCCCATCTATATCAGCCCGAATAGCTTTATCTCTTTTCTCATCCGACATCAATGCCAACCTAGCAAACTTCTTCGGTCTAACTTGCCCAAGTCGTGCAGATATATCTTGAAAAGCAGGAACAAGACCACGTCGTATGTAACATCCTTCAATGAGTTGCATTGAGTTGGTCTCCGGGATGGTAACGCTATTCCTCAATTCAAGATCCAAGCAAAACGGCGAATCTTTCAACCACATTCTTAGAGAATGAGCTTTTGCCACGAGTAACCCGCTTCGAGTTTTACATGGCAAGAATGGAGATCCCATTTCCCAAAGATAAGCTTTCAATGTACTGTTTAAAGATACATCATTGTATTCAGAAACCCCTGTGATCAACACAACAGATTTTGGAGATAGTGGAAAACCCTCCAAGGATGCATCCTGCAATCATCACAAAATGGAAATCTAATCTTTATAATGCACTTAGAGACTGCATTTGGTATCCAGACAGGAAAAGACAGTTGTTCAGCATTTAATAAGACAAAAGTGAACAAGGACTGACCAATTTACCCCTGATGTGTTGCTTATATGTTTTGATTAATTTATATTATAATATAATAAATATTTTATTATAACAAAATATAGCATTAGAAAGTTTTCATCAAGATGATTAAAATGACCAACGACAAGGGTTGTGGCGTAGTGGTTGAGGTCCTGCGGGATGTGGTGGAATATCCCATCTGCCCGGTGTTCGATTCTGGGCATACACAACAATTTTGGCAGCTTTTAGTTTATCTTGGTTGATTTTTTGCAGTCACAATTAGTCCGGGCATAGCCTGAGACACCCTTCCAAAAAAGACGATTAAAATGACACCGAAATAAAAAGTTTATGTAGTTTCGAAATTTTATTTTTATACTTCTCCTATATTATTGTTATTATTATTAATATTTAATAAATTACATAAACTAATCAAAATACAGGAACCGTACAAGAACAATATTTTGAGGACAGTAAAGTGAAAGTTTAAAAAGCATAAAATACAATAAATAAAATTTAAAGAATGAATAAAATATAAAAAATGAGGCGTATTTGATGTTTAGAACAAAATTATGTTTTATTTTGAGGTTATATATTTTCGTTCCACCTTATTCAATAGGGTGGGGTGGAACACTTTGTTCCTGACTGTTCCACATAAAAGTCCTGCTAAACGTGAAACAGTGATCCCTGTTCTGTTAGTTCTGTTCTGTCTAGTGTACCAAACGCACCTTTAAAGAAGGTGTAACAATAGAGAGACGAAATGAAACTACTTTTACCTGCATGTGGTCAAGCCATAACGTAAGACCTACAAGAGCAGCACCGGCGGACAACTTTCTGAAATCAGCTCCCCAGTCCTTATCAGCGACCCTGCACAAAGAAACCGTTTTGTTTGCATTTTGTCGACATGTATTCTACAAATATACGACTTCTGTAAACAAGAATGCTAGATATTCATATGTCTACCTGAAGACATCATGGCGATATATATCTTTCTTGACTGCGAGTTGAAACACCCATGAAGCTGTGGCGCGAAGCTCAAATGCCCATAAAAGATCTTCTACAGCGTTTATAAAGTTAAGCGCCGCATTATCTTCCACGGGTTTCAGTTCTCCCAGAACCTGGTCTATCTCCATCACCATCGATTCTGAGTTCTTCAAAAGCCTGTAAGATAAAAGTCAATAGTTCGTCGTCTAATCTCCACAAGAAATTCGCTTTATGGATTGAAAAAACATAAAGAAAGTGTAGTACTCGATTGGAAGATCAAAACCAGCATCTTTAATGGCATTCAAGATCATCATTGCTTCATTTACAGTCTTGCATAAACTAGCAGCCCTAATGAAACAGGTCCATATCCTGTGGTCTGGCTCTATGCCTTCTCTCCTCATCTCCGTAAGCTTTTGAATTCCAACGATATAATCCCGATTCTTGAAATAAGATTCTATAACCGAACAATACGTTAGCGTACTTAAGCTCTCCCCACTTGACTTCAAACCATTCAGCACTTTTTCAGCTTCTTCAGGATTTCCCGAGCTCCCATAAGAGATCATAAGCAAATGCATCGTAGCAATCGTGGGTTCAATTCCCGCTTCTTTCATCAATTTAAGTAACTCTTCGGATTTAGAATTTTGTCCTGTGCTTCTATATATCTTCATCATTATATGATAAAAAGAACGATCCAGATTATACCCTTTACGTCTCATCTTCCCGAAAAGCTCCTCGGCTTGTTCCACCATTTGTAGCTTACCGAAAGCTGCGATGAGACTCTTATAAGTGGTCAACTTAGCATCTAAACCTTCTTTGACCATTTCATCCATTAACGACAATCCTTCTTCGGGTCTACGATCTCTACAATACATCACTATCAAAGTATTGTATGTATTTTCATCTGGTTTAAATCCATCATCTTTAATCTTCTGGTACACTTGAGCTGTTTTCCTATAATCTTCAATGTTCGTATATAATCTGAGCAAAGAATTCCATATAAAAAGATCGGGTTTGAATCCAACTTCGACCATTTCATCAACCATGGCTTCGGCATCCCTCACATGTTTTACCCTACAAAGCAAACCAATCATTACTCTATAAAGATTCATCGTGGGAAAATAACCAGCAGCCTTCATTCCGTTGTATATTTTCTTCACTTCAAACACATTCCCAGTTTGCACAAATGCGTCAAGCATCAAAAAGATCGAACTTTTGCTGATCTTGAATCCCATATCTTGAAGTTCTTGAACCACAACATATAGCTCGTTCAATCTCTCATCGACAATCAAAGCCCGCATAAGCCCGTTAATGGATTCTACTGTCGGAGAAGGCCCGTCTCTCATCATGGTATTGAAAGCAGCTCTTGCTTTCTCGTATTGACCTTTTGAAGCGTACATTTGTATTAGTGCATTCCAAGCTTTTCGGTCTACAACAGGAAATCTTTGTCTAAGACTCCCAACCACACTCTCCGCCTTCTCCAAAAGATTCACCTTTCCGTAAGCCTCGATAAGATCAACATAAACGGAAATCTCATCAACTGATATTCCTTTTGATTCAGCCCGATCCATCAAGTCATGAGCAGTCTCTGGAAAGCCCATTTTACAGTACATAAGTGCTAAACTCGTATAAATGACTTTAGAAGGTCGTGCTCCGATAAAAGTCATGTCTGAAAGCACCTGAGAAGCTTCGGAGAAAAGTTCAGCCTCCTCGCAGGCCTTAATAAGAGATTCATACATGGAACAGCTCCCGTTAAACAAACTAGAATTCCTACTCTTTCTGTATTCAGCCAAGGCAGCATCTAATTGGTTAGACTTGCAAAGAATAACAATCAGAGCTTCCGTTACAATATGATGCGATCCAGGCGAATGCTCTTTTAGAAAATCGAGTAAATTTAGTGCGTCTGAATGTCTTCCAGATGAACTGTATGAACTCAATATAGATAACAAGTTTTCTTGATCCAACTGGAAACCTTCCAAAATGGCAAGTTTTAGCATTTTAGCAGCATAGTCATAGAACTCACCCTTAACGAGAATAGACGAAATGACTTGTGGGTTTAACTCGCATAACTTCTGCATATCGTTAATTACTTTGTGAACGTAGTCGTCTTTGTTTTCACGCTGAAGAGATTGGACCAGCAACTCGTAAAGAGAAAGATCTGGGGTGAACCCATCTCGAACCATATTGTTATACAACATCATCGCCTTATGTCCATCAAACTTCAAGTAAATATCCAACATAACCGAATACGCAAGAAGATCCGGCTTAATTCCAGACCTCACCATACGATCAAACGTCCGTTCAGCCTCAGCTCTCTTCCCAGCCTTCGCATATCCGCATATCAAAGCACTATAAGTTCTCAAAGTTGGCTTAATCCCAGCATCCACCATTTCCGACATCACATTTGCAGCCTCGGCAATCTTATTAGCTTTCCCTAAAGAATCAACAAGAACGGTATACGTAACAACGTCAGGATCACGACCACGGGATTTCATATCTCTATACAGCTGCAACGCTAAATCATATTGACCCAACTTCCCGTACATATGAATAACAGTATTATAAGTCATCTCATCCTCTCCAAATCCCAATTTCACCATCTCGTCACAAAGTTTCTTGACCTTATCGACATGCCCTTCTCTAGCAAAAGCATAGAGCAAAGAATTATAAGTTACTGCATCTGGAACGAACCCTTTGGACTCTATGTCCTTGAACAACAATTCTGCTTCATTACACAATCCACATCTACCATAAACCGATAACATCGCGTTATAAGTCCATAAATCAGGTTGACATCTATTTGCTTCCAAATCTTTAAAGATCTTGACCGCCTCCTCCAAGTTGGAATCACGCGAACAAGCACTCAAAAGAGTATTGTAAGTAATGATATCGGGTTGAAGCCCTGACCTTTTTACTTCACCTAAAAGATCAAGTGCCATATTTGGTTCCATTGAAGTGGACTTAAAACGGGCGTTGATCAATGTATTGAAACTAACAAGATCCGGTTCACATCCCTTTTCACGCATTCGATTAAGCGTTTCTTGAACTTTACCAAACCGGCCGTTTCTAGCATAAACCCCCATCATAGCATTGTAAACTTGTATAGAACTATCTACCCCTTCCTCAGATCGCTCAAAAATCTCTACAGCTAAAGATTCTTGATTTGCTTTACCAAGAACAGCTAGTATAGTTGCAAGCATTCGGGCATTCGGAGAATACCATTGGCAAAGATTTAGCCATTCGTAAACCTCCAACGCCCTTTGCCAGCTCGATTTTCCGACTCCTTTCACCAAGAAACAGAAATCAGTAGGTGTCATTTGAACCAGTTTATCGTCCAACACATCAGCCACAAATTCATTAGATTTTAACCCTAATATCTTATCAGTTAAGAATTGAACCCTTTGTCTCCAATCTTTGGCTCTTTTCAAAGCCAATTTAGTCATTTTCTTTGCCACTCGACGACTCTGCCAACCGAACCCTTTTAGCGTTTCATCATTCGTATCCAAAGGCTCATCCTTTCCTTCGATTTCCTTATCTTTTGGCTCACTACTCAAACATTCATCTTCAAAAACATGAAATTGTGGTGTCGTGGGTGAAACCGGGAACTGGGTTTGCTGTGAGTTATGATTTTCGATGAGTTCTTTACGGTTGGGCCATCTCACAGAAGGAGATGCTCTGCTGTAGCTAAATTTCTTAGAAGTTTCTTGTGATTCAATGGTTGTAATGTTATTTGTAACTGAAGAAGAAGAAGTTGAGCAGCAACGATTAGAAGAAGGGATGATTTTGCGTACCTTTGATGTATTGCTACCGGCGTTTGGTGGTGGTGGTGGTGGTGGTGGTGGTGCAAAAGCCACCATTCCAGAAGGGAAGGCCATCCCGTGGTGGGTTTAGAAAATCTTGCGATTTTGGCGGGTTGTGAAGAGGTTTGTAGATGATAAAGCGGAAATAGATGCAAAATACAATAAGCACCATAAAATCTTGATGTGTAGAAATGCAATTTTTAGGTGTTTTCAAGATAAAATAATTAAATGTTAGGTTATGATTGAGGATAAATATTTTAAGGTATAATGTTTTAATAAAATATAATTTAAAATTATATTGTTATAATAAAAATAATAAAAATATAATATTATAATAAGGAAATTTGTAAAAATAGATTATTATTTTATACATTTAATACTTAATTAAATATAAGAAATAGTAGTAAATATATTTCTTTTGAGATTGTAAAAGTGGTTTAGGTTTTTAATTAAAACCTCTATAATTAATTATAAATAGTTTTTTTAGATTAAAATAATTTAGGTAGGCAAAATCTGAAAGTTTATTGCCTTTTTTATTAGAAAAAAATTAAGGGCTTAATTAATGTGAAAGTTTATTGGATTTTTCTGAACTTTTTTCTTATTTTAATAACTAAAGTTCATTTTCTTCACATGAAACCATTAAAATTTACGGAACATATAATAAAAAATAATAATAACGGAAAGTAGCACTCTTCTTTTTCTATTTTAGTCACGATTTCCTTCATTATCAGTCTTTAATCACCATCTTCTTTTATCATTGTGTTGTCGCCATCATGTGTCCCTTGCAAAGAGGTCACGATGATGGCAATCAACACAGTTGCAAAGGAAGAGGATGGTTAAAACTTAAAGAGCAGAAGATGGAGGGCAGAGAAAGGAAAAAGAAGATGATCGACAAAATGTGCGAAATAATAAGTTATCTTCATAAATTTTTATTACAACATTCTACTTAATTTTTTTCTCATTATAATAAAACACATTCAAATTATTTATTATCAAAGCATGGTATTTTAAAAAATTTACTCATTATAACAATGGATAAAACGCTACCTTTTAAACCTGTTACTTTTGGTCTAAAACTTGAAAAAAAAATCTTGAGAAAGTGTTTCATGGTCCACGAAAAAATCTGAACCGAAATTGAAAGAAATCCTTGTGTTTCTTTTGGGGGAAACTTGTTAGCATATGAACTTCAAGAAAACAACACAAGAAACTCTCCACTTTTCCAAAATACATAAAAGATTATATATCTGAATTAAACACCCACACAGCAGCAATTTCTTCTTCTTTACATTATGCCAATGGTGCTACACAGGGTTACCATCCACAACGGCTATCCAAGGCTCATCTGTTCTCGATAGTCGATATACATAAAAAAAAGGTTTCCGACTGCGATTCTAGCCAGCCAGGTTGATCAGAAAGATGAGGTGCTAGCCGCCTTCATATCCTTTAGAGTGCTAGCTAGCCAGTCCAACCCTTCGTATAGCCCGTCTCCTCTAAGAGCGCACGTCCCTTGTATGTGCCATTTTCGGTTCTTGAGTTCATACAGTCCCAGACCTTCACACACCTCCATTGGTGTCATTGCTCCTTTCTGGATATAACCAATAACCCAAAAAAATCAGTTTTAGAAGATGCAACCATGAAACATACAAGCACTGAACATAACAGAAATCCATGTCAATAGTTTCTAATAGAAACATCCAAGCATATAACCACTTATCAGACTAGCAACGGTAATACAAGACTTCAAAAACCATAACGAACTTTTCAGGATGCTAGTTGCAAAGCAGCCTCATAACGAACTCATTTTGTCAAAAGAGTTTACTTATTTCAGTTATCGTGTTGGTGTTTATCTTTTTAACTTATTACTACTACTATCCTTATCTATGATGGCATAATGATTCCGTTAATCCCCTATAAATAGGGAATAAAATCATGTCCTTATTTTTAAATCCAACTTTTTAAACCAGGATGAAGACCATGCATGAGTCTATGTTTGGTTGGTTTTCCCTTAAGTTATGTATGGATAAAGTTGTATGTGTGGATTAATCTGTTTGTATAGATTGGGAAGGTTTTTGTTTGAGAGGGTTTTTCATAGATGGAAGGAGCATATTTTTTAATTGGGAATGACAGGTTTAGAATAAACTTGGCTTTCTGCATAAAGCTCCCCCAAGAAGCTTACTGAATAACCCACTTTCTATAGCATTAAGCCACTATCAAACAGTCACGTATAGCTGACTGAATAGGCGTGAGTCCCATCAAGCTCATTAAGCTGCTAACAAACAGACCCTCATTACTATACACCAACAGTGAATTAGAATTTACATCTATTGCATGGTGGACATATATCAGTAATCAAAGGCACGTTCATTTTTGCTTATGCCCAAACAATGATGCAATAACAAATTTGGTTTTGCAACAATTAGTGGAGATTTCTATTAGCATGAATGTCAATTGGACCAATGAAGAATTAACAAATATGCATTTAGATCTCATTCAATCTGTTTATTTTGGTGTTGAGATTCTTATGATTCACTATTTGACCAGTAGTTGGTCATAATCTATGTGCAGTAACTGAAAATTAGCCTTTTTATGTACTTCTAATTTCTTGCATTATATTGTAATGAGCCTATGTACATTATAGCTGTTGCATCTGAAGTTGAAAAATGAGAGAACTCGTGGCCATCCATGTCCAAGAAGACGTGAGGCTTAAAGTTGAAAAGCATGGTGTTGGTCACCTACTAACAGCTGATCGGGTAAAGAAAGGTCCAAAATTTGAGGTCAATAGTAAATGGGAGAAAGGTAGTACTTCTAAGGCTCCTATGCCAAATTCAGGTTCAAATGTTCGTACTAAAGGAGGTCCAAAACATTGCCTTTGCGGAAAGTATGGACACACGCATTCAAAAGAAGACCTTCAGTTTAGAGAATGGCTTGATAAGAAAGGTGTGTTCTTAATTTAGGTCGGTTATGAAAAAAATTTGACCGATGTTCCTTCAAATACTTGGTGGGTTGACACTAGTTCAATGGTTCGCATTTCTTATTCATTATTGGTCTTCCTTTCAAGGAAGACAATACGGAAAGAGGAAAGAAACACTAAGGTCTGCAATGGAGAAGGTACAAGCTGAAGCCATCAAAACTCTTTTCTATTAGTTTCAAGAGTGGTTCCAGGAGGTACTTGTATGCCAAACTATATGTTTCATGTATGACTACAAACCTCATTTTTGCATCTAAATCAGATGTTGACGGATATAATTTTTTTTTTTTTTTTATTAACCTGGATATCCAACCCGCTATGCGAGCCGACTAATCCCAGGGCGACCATCTGCTTTGCAGATAGCCCGGAGTCACCGCATCTGAACCTCCGTGGCCACAAGGGGATTTTTATTCCTCCTTGGATTTGAACTTGGGACCTCCTAGTACTTTTGACATTTGGAGCCAAGCTCAAACCAATCAGGCACCACCCTTGTGGTTGACGGATATAAATTTGAATACACAACAAATGGATAGTTGGGTATTATTCGTCCCAAATTGTTGGAATGGTTTCTTTTAAGAAGATAACCTGTATTATGTATAAACTTAAATTTGACGATGCCTTTGTTGAATACCTTTTATCTATGAATGTTCAAGTGGCATTAAGAGAAAATTACACGAAGTTAGATCCTCAAGATTTTGGCATCAACGTTTAGCCCACATTTCTAGAGACAGACTGCAATGTCACATTTAGAGGGCTCCTTCATAATTTAGATTCCTTTCAAAATAGTTATGGCCTTAGTAGCTCATTTTAAATTGAAGCTACATCGAGAAGTTGTAAAAACTGCATTTCTAAATAGTAACATGCATAAGGATGTCTTTATGACAGGCTGAAAGGTTTTGAGATTTAAGGCAAGTAACACCTAGCATATAGACTAAAGAAGTCCATATATGGGTTGACACAAGCCTCAAAACAATGGTATCTAGTTTCATGATGTAATGATAGTGTTCCAATTCAAGAAAATTTTGGTGGATTGGTCTCAATGAATAATGAGTAGGAGCAGTTATGTCATTCTTGTACTTTATGTCGACAACATTCTTATGACAAGCAATGACTTAAAAATGTTGTTTGAGACCAAAATCTTTTTTTGGGAAATTTAGACATGAAAGATTTTGGTGATGCCCTGTACACTAAGAATTGCTCCCCATCGAAAAGTGAAATAGAACCAAATGCAATACATACCATATGTTTTGTGATTGGAAGCATAATTATGGGCAAGGCACTAAAGATTTTATGTTGATGTTCAAAAGAACCAATAACTTCGAAGTTGTGGGTTATTTAGACAATGATTTTGGAAAATGCGAGGATGACAAGAAATCTACATCAATGTAACATTTATGCTTTCAAGTAGCCTTCTTTAGTGGAGAAGTCATAAGCAAGAATCGGCATCCATTATGATGGCAGAGTATGTGGGCATGCAATCATACAACTTGGCACAAAATCCTCCTAAAACCCCTAACTTACAGTGGTGAATTCTGTCTCAAGGCCCCTGAACTTAATTTGTATCAACAAGTGTTGCAATGAACTTCTCTAACAACACTAGTTCGAGTGGTGTCTTGACTTGAGAAAAAGTCTTAAGAGGGATCATAGTCAAAGAGGGCATTCCTTTACTCTCTTATCACATATTGTTCAACAATGGGTTGTGGTAACATTTATATAGAACCTAAACTTATATCGACTTGACAACAACCATACTTCCTTCTTAGATGCATACACTCCGTTCGTGCTCCTCACCGGAGTTGACGCAATAGACCCTTTAATGAGAAATATTGTGATGAAAAATACTGGTTATCATATCATATCAAGGTCTCACTTAAAAGTAAAACACCATAACTTAGGTTCTCCATCAAAGAAAAGATGTGCTTGATTGAGATCTTGCCATTAAATGAATTAGAGGAAAGCATATCATCAACTAAAGATTTCAACACCTTCACCAAGTATGCTAACTTTGCTTTATCAAATAAAGATATGATTGTAATATGTGACGAGATAATTTTGGCACCAAATGAGTAATTATACTAACTTTACTTTATCAAATAAAGATGATGACTATAACAGCGACGATAATTGTTGGGACCAAAATTAGTAAATATACCAAAGGGTCATTGGCCCAGCAGTACCCAAGTTACCAGTAGTGCTAAGCCTCCCTGGAGGCCATGGATTCAAGCCTCACAACTGCGAGGAGTGTGTGTGTGTGTGAGCATTTGCCATATATATTATATACTTCAAAAAAGAGAGTAAAGATCCTCTTGTTGAAATGATGTTGCAACAACTTAATGCACTAAAACAATCTTACGAGAAATGTAAGCATACCATGTCCTGTTTGTTTGCAAACACCAAGATGACACAATTAGTCATGAAAGGGTCATTGATAATGGCCTGAGAATAAAATGAGAACAGAGAGTCAGAAACACTGGGAGAGGGCAGGGGGCCAGGGAGATAGAGCAATCTGAGCAAGAAGACTTCTCTGACATAGTTATCTGACATGAAAAATACAATCATAATACCTGAAACTCTGCCTTTGCTTTGCTTATCCTCTCTCGGTCCAAAGAGTCGACAACATAAATCTGGACATAATACTTTTAGTATAGCAGATATTTTAAAGACCAAGGAATTATATTCCAACAAGAAGTGGGGATAACTTATCTCATTGTTGGGGACTCTTCAAGTAGATTTAATAAAGAGAAAAAGCACTAAAGAAGGTTGACTTGTTAAAATAAAAAATAGCACATGTTAAACACAACAGAAGTTGTGGTTATCCTTACCAATCCATTTGTGTCATTAAAATAATGCCTCCACAAGGGCCGCAACTTCTCTTGGCCACCGACATCCCAAACCGTGAACATCACATTTTTATACTGAACTTTTTCCACATTGAAACCTGCAAAACAAATGGTTTCAAATCTTCACCAATTTTTTAAATAGAAAAAACTTCATAAATAACATAAACATGTCTGTAGTTTAGGGTTACCCTACATGCAAAAAATGTGAGATCTAACAGAGTAAAGAAGTGATGCATAATAACCCATAAAACAAAAAAGGTGAATAAAGACAAGTATATCCTAGGAGCAATTTAAATATAAACGAATAGTAGTTGTGTACCACCAAACTGGCATGTGGTGGTCCCACATAACAAGCAGGCCAGAACCTCAAGCTTATAGAAAAATATGGTGGACATGATAAAGTGACATCTGTTTGATACTAAAATGAAGTATACTGTTTTCCCAAGCAATACATTTTCAAAAATTATGAACTGTGCCAACAAAGACTAAAAGGCTCTGAAGAATTGAGGAAGTGTAATTCTTCATGATGCAACTTTGACCAAGATTTTTCTTCAGAAGTACCAATCGTGACAGTACACATTGGCCCATAGCAAGAATTCCACAAGAACACCCAAGGAGTAACATTGTTGATGTAATATCTCAGGCTAACCGTACCAAATATTGTCCGCTTTGTCCACACATCTGAACTCACGGTTTTAGAACGCATCTGATAGAGGAGGTATCCAGTCCCTTATAAGGCAACCTTTGTTTCCCTCCCCAACCGATGTGGGATCTTACAGTTGACGTCAAATTTATCCTCGTCTCAGGATGACTTACCAATAGTAGGGACAGTTGATAAAACTTCTCCAATGTGCAGCTTGTACAGTATGGTTGTTTTTCCTGCTGCATCTAGCCCCAGCATGACAACCTACTTGTGCCAAAAACCAATTCAAAGAACTTGCATTAACAAAAGGAAGGTGTCTAACCAGATCTCATCAATGTAAAGTGCACCCAAACTTATTAAAGCAGAAAATAAAGAGAACCAAGATAGGAAAGAGTTGTATTCAAACAAGAATGCAAAGCAAATATGAGGTTTAAGAAAATCTAAGGTTTTAAATGAAGAATTGCAGCAAAAATCCTAGTAAAGGCCTGTTTGTTAGCATTTAGCAACTTAATGAGTTTAATGGGACTCACAGTTTATTCGCTCAGCTATATAAGACTGTTTGGTAGTGGCTTAATGATATAGAAAGTGGCTTATTTAGTAAGCTTCTAAGGGGAGCTTTACGCAGGAAGCCAAGTTTTTTCCAAACAATTCCCCTCCCAATCAAAAAACATGCTCCTTCCATCTGTGAAAAAACCCTCCCAAACAAAAACCTTCCCAATCTATACAGATAGATTAATCCATACAGGACTTAATGGAAAACCAACCAAACAGCCCTAAGTTCAGTTGTTCTGAGACAATCTTGATGAGGGAAATCAAACATTATAAATAATAAGTTCAATAACTATAAACCAGTCCAATTATTGATAATTACATCAGAATTCAGCCAAAAGTACATCCACCAGGCCGCCAGTGCTTAGTCTTCTTGCATGGCTTAATGCAGTTTTCTTAACTAGATGAAAATGTGCACTTAGCTTAAGAAATCTCAGCTCCTGCAGTATTTTGGTTATTTCTAATTCTGACCTCATCAAGGAGACATACTTACAGGTAGAAAGTCAAATTATTCCTAGTTTCATACCCATAGATGTAGATGAAACCAAGAAAATAGAAAAATATAAGAGCTAGTCCAAATGGGGATTGCTGTACAACTCCATAGCTGAATCAAAGATGCAAAAAATTACRTATCAGCCTAATTCAGTTCCAGTCTGTTGCATACTATTGTGATATAAGAACCCGAAATTTTTGTCCAAAAACAACAGTCTGTTAGAACCCCACGGGTTCAACTTACAAATTGATTACCTACGACATTATATCGAAGCTAACACATAATTCGATTTCAAGAAAAAGACGTGAAGTGAGAAAGAAGAGTACCCGCATCTCGCTGTTGCCAAAAAATGCATCAAAGAGCTTGCGAAAAACTTGTCCCATGGCTGTTTATATCGAATCAACTTCTTTTCTATATATTTTCTTCAAGTTCTTCACCTTTTTATGAGAAATACGTCGCCAAGAATCAGAGGAAATTGGGGCAACGATCGAAACCCTTTTGTCCCGTTGACGGAAAAGGCCCTGTGAGCTTAGTGGATCGGAAGAAAAATCCAGAATCAGAATTGTAATAGAAAAGAGCAGGTGGTCGCGTCGTTGCTTCAGAGAATCTTCCTTTCTGGCGGAGAAAGAACATGCCCAGGTCACAATTAATGATCTTTTCGTTGCTTTTTTTAATTCTAAATTCTGAATTGAATTAGGGTTCTCGTCTTTGGTACCATTTTTCCATAAAAATGGAGTCTTTTTTGGCTCCTACGAAGCCTTTGCGTATTAGATTTGTCTCTTTGTCCCTCGTTTTTGGTAAAACAAAGGACTCCATGAACTACAATCACAATTCGTTTTTAATTACTAATAATTGTTAAATGAGAACTTGCATACCAATTTCGTAAACCAACATGGTTGGTTCCGTAAGAGATAGGTTCGGTTGCGAACCCGATTCTCGTTACCAACCCGAAACCAACAAGAGCAACACTTGTCATCAATATTAATCATAAAATGCCCTAAAAACATTCACGTTCATTATTCATGATGAATAGGGACACGTGATTGTACCAACCAGAGCATCACTTGTCAGTGATATTGATCATAAAATGTTGTAAAAACATTCACGTTCATTATACATGATGAATAGGGATCTGTGTCATGCTCTCGGTTGTCCTTCGATTCGTAAATAGAAATTAGATTCGCAATTGAGTGTTCTTTGTTCATGAAGTTATTCATTTCTTGTAAATTGTTATGCCAAGTGACAACTTTGTAAATATTATATAACAAAACGGTATTGAAATTTAGCATTAATGTGTACTTTTATGACGAAGCGTCCATATCATTGACCATGTTGGTTATTGGCTTTCTCTGGATCCACCACGGTCCACAGCTAACAACCTCAACGCAAACTTTATCATAGTCTGATTTCGGAAACATTTTCACAAAAAATGTAATTTTAGAACAAAATGTCACATCTTAGAAACAGGTGGATGAGGTCTCAACTCAAGTTGAACCTCTCTACCCACCAGGTTAAGACATAATCTGATTTTGGGAACATTTAATGAAAAATGTATAACACCATGCTTTGGAACATGTGGATAGGTTAAACCAGAGATGTAGAATATCTCATCTACCTTGGATTCAATTTCAAAGGTACAAAACAATCAAGTGTTTATTAATTGTGATTTCTAATTTATTGGAATTAATCTGAGACATTGAACCCCACCAATAGTAATTGATAATACTAGCTATTGATCCATTCACCAATTGTTTTAAAAATGATTCCCATACATTACAAGTATTTGAAAACACAAGCCACAACCATGTTTTCATCATCAACAACTACAATGTCTATCACCAATCCCTATATTCCCTCCTACATTAATACCACCACCACCATCTACTGCTACCACTGCTCTACACCACCACCACCACCACCCATCACCAATACCATCAGAATGCCCAAACACCACTCAGCTCAGAATTAAAGAAAACTTTGAGCTAAATCTTGAAAACCAAATGTTTTTTGAGGGAGAATGGATTCTAAGGATCTCTCCACAAATGTAGGGTAGCAGAATCGCACTGCCCCCGCCACATTGAAAAAACAAAACCAACGAAAAATAGCTACATCCTTCATTCACCATGCTTTCTATGAGTCCGCCATCTCATCTTGAATCTCGTTTGGTGCAATAAGTCCAGGAATGCTTAGCATTCGTTGTCTCTCCCTCTCTCTCTGAGCAGCTGCTTCTTCTGCGTATAGATCCTTGTTGTCCTGCAAAATAACGTAATAAAATCATCACGTCACCACTCGAATATGCTATAGCTCGTATCCTTTTTCTTGCAAGTAAGTTACCAAATATCCACATGATTTTGTTTTAAGAAAACAAATAAGGTTCATTATTTGAGTAATAACACCAATTTAGCACTAGATCTAATGGCATATACCAAGATGAGCAATGATATGAAAAGACATAGGAGAAACCGCCAAAAAAACTAAGAAACACATTAATAACCATTCATTTGTATGACATGCACATGTGCATACAAGTAATTGAAGATGTTTCCTGGTTTCTATGCACGTGTATACACATGTGCATACCGGACAAATTACTTGTATGCAGGTGTGCATACCATATAGATAAATGGTTATTAGGGTGTTCCTCTGTTTTTCATTTGGTGGGGGGGAGACTCTCTATATATGTGTAAACAACATTGCCTTCAGGAACTTACTTGTGCTGAAAATTCTTTAGACTGTACAAGGAAGTCCCGTATGTGATTTTTGAACGTAGAGAGGTCGGCTCTTGACTCGAAGAGTCCATTCACAAATTTTGCAACCTGAAAGGATGGCAATGAGTATTAAGATTGCAAAAAAGAAAATTGTAAACACTGGATTTAGTATCATCACTTACCTCAGATGCTGGAATGTTGGGAAAAGAGGCGCCCAGAAGTTTAATCGTATACTCTCTAACAAACATCCCGTTGTTAGGATACGGATATGGAACAGTGGATGCATCCCATAAAGGCTCAGTCAACGAACCAGATTCCACCTGAAATTGTCACCATAATGGTTATATACTTGAACAAGAAAAACAAGAGATACAAGACCAAGTAGATAATATACCAAGCAGAATAAGTGTTGTAGCACCAACACATGCAACTTAAATCCCGGTTTATGGAATGTGTCGGTCAAGACAGCAAATATTTCTTGCACAATCAGCACAAAGTAAGACCGAAAGTATTGGTTACAGAACTCAGAGTTCTGCAAAACAAATAACATCACATTAAAAAAATTCATAAACAGAACTAACACAGACCAAGGGTCTCAAGAATCACACCTGAAAGTTCTTAAGCATCTCCAACAAAAGATTAAGACCGGTCTCAGCAATGTTCCTCTCAGTGTGTCGAAAAGCCCACATGACAGAATCCATTACAAGCTTTAATTGCTGATGTATGAGAAGAAAAACTAATATTACTACAAGTCCATGAGATAATAAGATATGCCCACATAAAAAGGGATGAAAACATGCAACATCCATAATTTTGTTAAAAAGTTTGAAGGATAAATCAGGTATAATGATTGAGAGAATAAACATGAAGACAAACCTCAGGTGACAACAAGATTAATGCTTGAAAGCAATGTGTAGCAATGGCCCGAAGTAATGAAAAAAACTTGAGTCGGTGTTCAGGGTAATCTTCAAAATTCTTGGTTATCATCTGTGCTCCAAATACTAGCATGTCAAAATGAGTTAAAAGGAAAAATGTACCAAGTAGGACATAGAATCATGTTAAGCTGCCTCTTTCACATCTTTGCATGTAAACCAAAGTAAAAGAACCCAAAAAATCCTAACCTCCAGGGTGCACTGAAAAATAGCTTCAAATATACGGGGAACATCATCTATCATTGCAATTTTGTACCTACATTCAATATGCAAAGTTAAAGAAAGTAAGGGACTATTTGTTAGCAGCTTAATGGGACTCACAGCTTATTCGTTCAGCTATACATGACTGTTTGGTAGTGGCTTAATGATATAAAAAGTGACTTATTCAGTAAGCTTTTAGGAAGAAGCTTTGTGCAGAAAGCCAAGTTTTTTCCTAACATGCCCCTCCCAATTAAAAAATACGCTCCTTCAATCTATGAAAAAGTCCTCCCAAACAAAAACCTTTTCAATTCATACAAACAAATTAATCCACACAGACAACTTTATCTATATATGACTTAATAGAAAACCAACCAAACAGCCCCTAAATCAGTCTGTTAAAAAGACACATTTGCCAATGATTCCCAATAGCTCGGCGATTAGGCAAGTTATGAATGTTGCCACCAGAGAACATACTTGTTTATGATTGTGGCGAATAGAGACAAAACTTCCGATTCTCTAGCATCAGGCAAGTTCCGAGCATAGTCACCAAGCACAGGATCCATCATAGGGGGCACAAATTGCTTTCCGATTTGGGGTTGATCTTCAGCCTTATCAAGGAAAGTCTCAATGAGCTTAAGGGTTTCCTTCTTCACAGACCTGTAAAGACAAACACATAATTAACACAATTCATCTTAACATGTTAAGAGCTCACAAGATATATATTACCTCAGAAGCTTCACATAAGAACTCCTAGAAGCATAGGGCCCCCCTTCAGCAATGCCAGATGATATAAGTTCACTGTACATTCTGTTCAATGCATTTAATTTCACAGAAGCAAGTGTTATATTTTTCGACAAACAATAAGAAACACACAAACATATCAAAGCATATTCCTCAACATTACGGACGGAATTACAGAATATATAATTAAGTTGAGCAACATACTTATAAACATTCAGCATGTCCAAAAAGATCAGGGTTATTTGTGGTAAGAAATAAGTCCCAAGCGCAGTGGCAGCACTTGTATTTGTCTGCAAATAACAAAAAATGCATAAATAGAAATAAAAGCCGACACTACGCCAAAACCAATATTGCAATTGTAGTGAAACAATATATTTAGTATAAACACGAACCTGCAATATATTAAGCACGGTCCTAATAACATCTTGATCCTTCAAAAAGTCCACATTGCCACGTGCATGGCCTATGATCTCGGCCCATTTCTGCATATACAGAACTGATCATAAGACATACTACATAGGTCCTGCTATGAACCTTCCCAGAAATACAATTTAAGGAACATTCTACATTAAGAACCCCGCCTGACCAAAGGGTAGAGCCTCGCCTCCCAGGTCAATGGTTCAAACCTCACCAACAGTGAGTGAGCGAGTATTTAATGTGTGTATATTATATACTCAAAGAAAAGAATCATGCCTGATTGGGAAGACTCATCAGCCTCTGCAAATACTCATCCCGTTTTGATGCCTCAGATTCTGCTTGAATCATCTGACCAACCTACCAAAAGAACATCACATCAAAACGTTTGTAATCACTAATATTCAGTAAATATGACTTGTAATATGAAGAGTTGATAACTTCATATTGGGACACTTGGACTTACAGATTCATAAAACGTATGTATCTGATGAGGCTCAAGGTCTGCAATTGTTGTTGGAAGAGTTGTAAGAAGTTCCGAGACAAATGGTTCATTCTCTCCAACCTGTAACAAAGAAGAAATAACATCATTTATAACCATCATGTATTTCTACACGAATAAAATAGTACCAAACTATAAAGAAATTAGAATGAGGTCAGAGTATATATTACTTGCACTATGACAAACTTGCGCTTGCATTTCTGTACAATCTTCAAAAATGTATCGCAAGCCATATCCTGAGAGCAGAAATCAACCACCCATTAGACCCTGGTTGGGGAAAACAATGTTTACCATTAAGTAGAAAAAATTCTTTCTGATGGACTATGGTTTAGCTTTTGGTTATAAATTACAATTACGAACAATTACCAAGCAAAGAAACAAACAAGAAGCTTAACCAATTAAGCCTACAAACAAGAAACTCGATTATGCATAAGATGTAACGACGGAATTGAACCACTTCATAGGACAAGCTACACATCTAAATATAGAAAGAAGTATCAAAATGATATATAACCTGAACTCCTGGATGTGTTTCATGCATGAACTCAAATAACTTGTTTACAACAGTCTTCAGAAACTTCCAATGGGCTCGTAAAAATCTCGGATATTGTCCCACAACATACCTGGCAGTGCGCAAAAAGATAGAGATTAAACAAACTATGGATGGTAAACAATAACTGCCACAGAGTAAAATCTTTGCATGCATACAGTTGTTGCAACGTAAATGCAATTTCTAACTCAATTTGTTTTATGATCAACACTCGTACCATTAAAAAACTATTTAGACAAGATAACAACCATACATTATATTACTCGCGATAACAGCTTTGTTGTCCTTCCCTTTTGTAATTTCACACAGATTCAGTAGATCACGGATAACCATAACAAGAAACCTGTTCTCCTGCCAAACAGAATTACAAAAACACAACAGCAAAATGCAATATCATATTAATACTTCACATGAGATATGAAATTATAAAATAAGCAAACACTTTATAGTATCATGCAAAATTCATATTGAAGACAACATCATGATGCATAGTATAACAAAACCCATGATCCTCTTCCTCTTTACGTGCAAAAGAACTCCAAGACGAAGGGCAGGTCAAATTAAAAACATTATCTGACATCTAATGAACACTCATGAAATACATACCTGGTCTTCCATCATGGACCCGGAAATAGATCCTATCGCCCAGCATAGTGTGTTCAAGTTATTCCAAGTCCAATCCTCACCATTGAGTTGTTTACTCAGTTTCTTTAGCATCTGGTGACACCCACGAATTAAAATAAATAGAAAAATGTCACTAAAATAATAATTTGAAAATTACCATACGTAAATGTCAACATTGAGTTCATGAAACACATAAGACAGATACAACAATAAGATCAAAATGGAATAGAAAAATAACAAGGTAATTATCAAAATTCAAAATTTTGTCCATCTAATCAGAACATTCTAAAGACAATCATGATAATTAAGTATTAGTAAAATTCTTGGCAGGTTGCCCTCATGGCAAATCTTTCCTTTGGGGGCAGTGGTTGACATGACAAATTCCAATAGAATAAAAAATTTTATTTTGGTCCTAGAACATGTTATTGGCAAATCATAACTGCAAATAGACTTGCTGCCACTGTGATCTTCTTAGTAAACAAATAAGAAAAAAGGCCTAAAAAATAATGTACAATAGAACCTCATGTTAATTTCATCATGGTAAGGATAAATATAGTGATGGAAATCCTTAATTTCAACAAGAGAACAAAAACATATACACAACCCCATCCACAAATACCCAAAGAAACCATACCTGTTTTTCAGTATCATCATGATCAAGATGTGATAAGTAGATAAGTGTCTCTCTCATAATCTGCAAAAAATTACTTTATTCAGCATAGAGAATAAACCAAAAAAGAAGTCCACCTATGAACTATATTGTGTTTTGGATTAGACGATAGGTAGTATTGAAAGCCTAATCTCACAAATTTGAATCCACAAGAAACAAGGTATCAGGAAAGTAATTGTATGCAACCTAGAACCATTAGACAGAATATATATATATTGATCTACTGTTTAATAGAGCATTTCCAAAATGTGTATAACCAATAAGAAGAGATCCACAGATTACATGGTTCAAAGTTAGTTGCAAATATTTACATGTTTCACAATTACTTGCAGACCTTTGCCATATTTTTTGTGTGCATCTTTATCTTCTCTCTTCTAGTTTAAATAAGCAAAAGATTACCTTATACTGAACAAGGACATCATTATCCTTCAAGGTTTCACGAACGATATTCCCATTTTCATCTTCCACAATCAGAACCTCTTCAGGCTTTGCCATGCGAGATATCATAAGCAATCTTAATTTTGACATTGGTCCAGCATAGAGTTGCCGTCTTTGCAACAACTGTGTACCAACACCATCAACCATACCAGGAATCATTGGCATCTGCATTGCAAACAAAAAGAGAAGGGAAAAAATCTTATCTTTGCATTATAGTTCATAGATAAACAAAATAAGATTCCAGTTGTGTCCTTATCGTATTCATATAGTATGAAAAATAAAAAAGAGAACATGACAAAACAAAGTAGAAGTTTCAAATGGGTAAGCATATGCTTGTACAGTAAAACACGAGACCTACCTGCAGTCCCATCATGTTTGCAGCTGCTGCATGGTTGTCGAGATTGTGGTTTGCCTCAAAAAGTTCCGTCACTAAAGAATTCCAGTAGTCCAAGCAAACCTGTTAAACAAATTGACGAAAATGAGAGAAAAACCATTTCTATCTTACTACAACAACCAACCATCACTCAAACAAGAAGAGCAGATTTTTTCATTTAGAACTAGAGTTGTTCACTGGCTGGACAGCCTGCTAGACCCATCCTGTCCGGACCGCTATAAAAGCGGGCTTAGACTAGCATTCTAGAAAAAACAGGCGGGCCCGGACTGACTTGTTAAAAGTAATGGGCGGACACGAATGATACAGAAAAATTTGGGTAGGCCCACCAGGCACCAGACATATTAATATTTTTATAATAATTAACTTTCACAATTAAAATTTACAATAAACTTGAAAATTCTTGATACTTATCAATTCCCACTTAATTAGGACTAATGATAATACCACTCTTTAAAAATCTAAAAAACAAAAACATAATTACCTCAATTCATCAATTCCTTATTATCTCTCATTCAATCATTTCCTTTATTGATACTCCCATATTTTGCGAAACATTTTTAGTCTAAATTATGTACATTTTTATGTATTTACATCTAATTTAAGTTGGAAAAATGGTTATGTATTTTGAATTATTTTACATAACTTGTGATTTTATGTAAGTTCATTTTCTTAAAATATAATCTTTTAGGTCCATTAGCCTGTGGGCAAGCCCGGCCCGTTTGTAGGGGCGGGTATGGGCAAGTTTTCAAGCCTGTAAAAAGATTGGGTTTGCTTTATTAGGCCCGTTGGACAAGAAAGATGACCCAGCCTGGACCCGACCCAAGCCCGCAAATGATCAACTCTATTTAGAACAGAAGAACTCCAGTTCTCTAGACAATGGAATATTCCCATAATGCAGATCCACATATAGATACTCTTAATTCAGACTCATAAAGGACGGAACAATGAGAAGGAGAATATATATTGAATTTGAAAACTGAAAAACAGCGAACCATACCTTGAAAACTTCTGTGTCATCGACATAAGAAATGTTTGTGAGATACTCTAGGCCCATCAAAAGCGAATTGATGTTTTCTTGTGTGGACTCCAGGACACGAATATGAAACTGCATGTGGAAGCACTATATTAGATGCCAAACTTATTGAATATTATCAAAGCTAACCAATCCCACAGACAGACTTCATTAAGCCAGGAACGCAAGCATAAAACGCTTACCATCATATATCCATGCAAGCTTTGTATAATCTAACAGCATTTTATTTGTGAACTTGAAACCTAAAACTAAACTAGGTGCCTATTAAAAGGCTAACCAATTACATGCAACAAGCCTTTTACACCGTAGTACCTGGGATAAGATCAAGACCAGAAACAGCTTCAAATGGTGAAAACCCTTGTTTCATCTTTGAAGACAGATTAACCAAAATCCAGCATCAATCCAGAAGATTGTCCACTAGAAACTAAGCTTGCCTAATCTTAAACTTTCTTGTCAAGTAACTTCTCAAAACCGAGGGTCTTCGTTAATTTCCTTTCCTTGATTTAAAGTTACAATCAGATTTGTGATATACAAAGGCTAGATTGTTGTTTTTCATGTATGAACCTTTTTTGCATAGATATGCTTCTAGAGTTTATTAAAAACCAAACCAATTTCCATATGAGGCTTCAATCTAATTCTGTCCACTGCCTGCCGGATAGAAAATGGAAGTTGGAAGGCCAACAAACTTTATCATGATTTGTTAAATTTTGCAACAATGTAGCTAAGATTCTTCAAAGTAATAGAGACAACCAAGAATAGTGAGCATAATACAACAACTTGCCTTGTAAAATGAAGTGAAAAACAATGCCAGATTCTGAATAAACGCCTGAAAAGGAACAAAAATAATGAACTTAGTTGCCTCAGAAACATAAAAGAATAGATATAACATTTACTTTCTGCAAGAACAAGTGTATACCTGTTCTTCACTAGAGCCATGTGCATATGCATCAGGTATATTCGCACTTGTTGGAAGAACAGTCTAAAAGAAACAAAAATACCACAAATAAATTCAACCACGCAAAATCTCGAAGATAAAAAAAGTAAGAACAAACTAGTAAAAAAGATACAAGTGCAACTGCAAAAGACTTGAGAATACATACCTGCAACTGGACCATGAATATGTTATACATGTTAACATATTGCATATTGTAGAAATCCCCAAAGTTAAGGGCTGCAACCTGTGTCAAGGGATGCAAGAAAAAAAACAAATTTAGTTACACCCATCTCCAAAAATCCCATCGACAACTTTGCAGAATACCAAAAAGAAGCATTACCTCTGTCAAGCACTGAAGGGTCAGATTACGATATGATGGCACAGGAAAAAATTTCAGGAGTGTTTCCAGCTGTAACATATAATAGCATCAGCTATAATGCATGAGAAGTGCACCAGAAAGCAGTAACGAAAATACAGTTTAGATGAGGAGGTTAATAGCGAGGAAGTAAAATACACACCAGTGGAGACTCAAAAATATATCCCAATGGAATCCACGAAAGGAAAGCATGCAATGTGGCCAGAGTAGCCCTGATCAGCTCAGTTCTTTGAGATGCTGATAGCACATATAAGCATAACTCATGAATGAGTTGAAACTCGCTGTTTCAGAAACACAAAAAAAAAAGAATATAACACCTTAGTCCAATAACAGATATGGCCAACGGTTGAGTAATAAGATAAGATAACACCTAATGAATTTCTTCCAAAAAAATTTGGCATAACAAGTAGTAGGCAACAGAAAAACTACAGAGCAACATAATGTTTAGCAAAAGGCAAGACTCTAAGCAACCAAAAGGGAAGACTTCAAGTAAGTTTACCACCTCCCCATGGGATTAGAAATAGCAATGGTAATGGGCATTTATGTAGACCCACAACCACCCTGCATGTGCAACTATGGGATGTGAAAAAACAGGTGTGGGACAAATATTGGAGCAATTTTCTAGACCCTACTTGGATCCGGGATAAATACAGGTATCTCGTAATTGTTGATCCCTCTTGCTGTTTTTCTTTTTATATTTACACTTTCTATAAGTTGTATGTTAAATATTAAAGAAGGTGTTAGATGTCCATTTAAATTAAAACAAGCAGGGGTTGGAAAGGATAAGGGGTGAGGTTGTCACCTTGTCGGAATTCGGTTAGGAGACAACTGGAGGCACGGCAAATAAGGGTGCAAGATGGATACGAAAGAGCCAGTCCATGCCCCATATTTGCCCTGGTGCCATCATCAATTAAGAAAACCCACATTTAACCCTCCAAAAACCAAAAAATAGATTAATCAAATGTGTCATTGGAGCATAAAGTTGACAGTTTGGGAGAAAGTAGCAACTAATCAGCATAGCCTATAAAATCTTCAGCGTTTGAGGACGCTTTTTCACGAAGCACAATAAGACTCCAGAATGACACAGAAAATAATGACCAAATGTGGGTCAGACTTTGATATGTTCAATCACCAAGCAAATATTCATATTTTCTCATATACTAGCAAACTGAGCTAAAACTATCGCCAAATACATCACAAACTTACATGGCAGCCTCAGTGGGTGGGTTCAAATACATAGTTCAGGACTTTAAAAGTCAAAATTACCTGTTCAAAGATTGTTTGAGCTCTTTTATCTTCTGTTGGGTCATTTCACCCCTTGAGAAATCAAACACCTCCTCACTTAGAAGCTGAAAAATAACTACCTATACTTAGCCACATATACCAGAACAGGTAGAAATATAAATAAAAGGAGATCTATCACACATACTTTCAGTATAGCCATGCAGTTCTCACAGATTGTTTCACTAGTTTTTGCTGCTGTAACCAGGTCAGGAATAAAGCTGCGCCACTTCGCTGGCCATTCATGTTTCAAAATCTACATATCCATTTACAAGTCAATCATCCAAGTTCCTTATAATGAAATTTAGTAAACATGATAAGAAAAGCAAAACAACAGCTCACCTGAACTAGTATAATGTTAAGTTTATTGACATACAACCTTTCTTGGCGGAAAGAACCCTCGTTGCTTGAAAGCTAAACAACATGCGAAAATCTTAAATTCAAATTTAATCTGATAGCTACAAAGAAAGATACCGCATTACCAAAACTAGAAACTAAAGCACCCACACCTTCACAATAACATCCGATATGTAGTTTTTCATTCCATCTCGCTGTTCAACAGGCAAAACATTCCACCTGTACTTGATAACACCTTCAAGAACCTGTAAAAAGAATAATATCAACTTATGTCTACCATCACAGGCAACTAGCATGGTCAAAGAACGTCAAGACAACTTAAAACCATTTTCGTACAAATCCGGTTGGTACTACGAGGAAAAAATCTGCACCCGGAATATATAGACTAAAGGAAAATTAAGCTTTTGTTAAACTCGGTTTATCATTTAAAGAGATGCTACAGCATATAAGCTCCATCCGTGGATTGAAAACAATTGGTACTTCTCACCCCATGCTAGATAAGATTATACATATAGCCAACAAATATGCGCTAAAACACAGAAACAGATACGTCTTTAAGCATAAAAGTTCCAAACAAAGTCCTTGTTACCAACATATAGATAAGATTGACATACTGGAATTGGTTTTCACCAGATTTAACCAATCAAAATTTGTTTTGATTTAAGAGAAACCACACCCTATCTTCCTTACAACATCATACAAAGAGATTAATTCAAGGGAAACCTAAATTTTTCTTTTCTAACTATTAGTTTCATTTCAGATCACATGAATGGTTGGCACATAAGGCATGCAAACTCAATTTGTGTCTAATTCTTATCATTCGAAAATCCTCTTTCATGGGAAAAAGTTGTTCAAATAACCCAAAATAGATGAAAAGGTTGTAAAAATTGTTGCAGCAACACATTGGGGATATTGGATATAAAGTAGCAAGGTTCCTATTATTCTACTCTTCATGAAAAGTCTACTTTTAAGAGTGTACACTAACAACAAGAAAATATCTCCCCAGCTGGACTAGTACTGAATTCATTCAATATGTGAATGCATGAATTCTGCCAGCAAACTCGTTTTAAGATATACAAATACACATCAGATTTCAAGGGAATGTTATCTATCCCAACAGAATTTTGAGTATAAAGGGTTGGGTTCCGGTGAGAAGGGAAGTTATGGTGAGAAGGGTAAGAAGGGATCTCCACCCTTGGATCAATCCTAAATGAAGTTCAACACTAGTGAGATACACCGAGATGCACCGGATCAATTCCCTTCTAAAGCGCAATTCATGGCTGGGCATGAGATTAAAAGTGAACAAGGGTGGAGATCCCTTCTTACGCTTCTCACCTTAACTCTTCTTCTCACACGATCCTTCACCATATTACAAAATAGGCATGAGATGCCCATATCATACCTGTAAAATACATACAAACATGCATACATATACAAGAAGGCTTGAGAAAATTGTTTCTTAATTGCTATTAGAACTATACCATAATAGAAACAAATCCACTGATTGGCAGCCAAAAATTCAACACTTCATTAAATTTTAAATGCATTGCAATGGATGATAGGACAATGCTTTAAAAGCATAGAAGCTTGATATATACATCTCAGTAGCAAATCAGACGAATATATAGTTAACTACGGCCAAACCTATACTAATGACAATCCTAAGACCGTTAAAGTCATATCAAGTCACTTCTGCATTAAGCATATGAAACCATGTTCTTATGGTTGAATAAAAAAGCAATGTTCACAAGTAGTGCATGACAGAAGATGGAAATAATAACCTGTAAAGCAAAGAACTTGGTATTCAAATTCTGTGTGTTTGATAGAATGTGAACCACTTGAAGCCACATGTCTGGATTATTTTGCAATTCTCGCAGTATATGATCAGCGGCAGTCCTCTGCATTGTTACCATGTATGCATAAGAAACTTTACTAAGGAAATACAAATAAATCAGCAAGATAAGTAGCAGAATGAGACATCGCAAAGATGAAAAAACAAACCCATATTCTAAAGCACATCCCACCACTTAAATCACCCAACAGGAATATATTCAAGTAGCAGTATATTTCCAAATGGTTAATAAGCAAGATTAAACAAACTTTCCACATGCCTAGTAGTAGCATCCATGATACAAGAAAACACCAGTCTGTTTTTTCCTTCCAAATGATAAGTAAGCTAATTCAACTGCTACAATGTACGTTTTCCAGTCCTCAGAAAGTAAAGAAAAGTGTGACTTGATTACAATTTTACAACCTCTAACATTTTGAGATTTTTCTTTGCTTTGTCAAAAAATAGACTATTCTTAGGTGAAATTGGTAAAAAGCTTTAAGTACAGGATTAAAATGCCTAATAATATACCAGAAAGACTTGTAGCCGCTGTTCTATAAATGAGTTCAACTCTCATATAGCACGTATTTGTTATCCTTTTTGCTCTCTGAAGCACAATATATACAAAAATCACATTATCTTCTCGTTTAACTTCATATTAGCATGAGTAAGTCGTTTTATCTGTTATAAATCAGTTTCATCAACTTGACATTTTGCAGCACAACAACATATGAGATAAATAATGTATGCAAATTCCTCAAAACCAGCAACATCACCACTGACTACCCCAGTCTATCCAACAATTCCCAACCACAGAGAAAACTTGTGATGCACTACCAACTCAATTTCCCTGCATTCTGTTTTATAAACCAATACTTTATTTCCCATTACAGGTAAGAATATATTGAAATCAGAACTTCAGACATTTACTCAAACAACATGGCCATCAGAAGCCCATCATCAATGCCTATTGACAGAATACCCACTTCCCACGATCTGTTCAACAAGCATAACCAGAAAAAGGCAACTACTTTCCATGCACAACAAATGAGGCAAAAATCTTAAGGTGACCCTTTCGGCCTTGCAATTGAGTGGTATACTGATCAAAGTACATCCAATTAAAACACGGATACAGCCAGAAAAGAAGCTAAAATCTATTTTCCAGTGAATAATTGTTATAGATATACGTATGGTTAAGGCGAAACGAAAAAAGGGGGATAATGAATGTAGGCAAACCTCCTCTTTAGATCCAGTGCCATAAAAGGCAGCAACGGTAGCATCAAGTAAACCAACATCAATCGGCTGACTTAAGTCCCTAAGCTTCTCCGCCGCCATCGCAGAGGGATCAAGAAAGATTGTAAAGTAAAACCCTAGTTGAAAACCGTGGAGTCGGGTTTCTTTAAAACCCCTTCGCAAGTGTACGGCCGAAACCCTAAAGGGGACAAAAGGACGAACACCGGATACCCAGATTGTAAACGGAAAAAGAACAAACAAAGACAGCTTCAAATTGAAGCACAAGAAAGGGTATACGAGAAAGATCGAAGAGAGAGAGAGGGAAAGAGAGAGGGAGACTTTGAAATTGCTATGGTTCCCTCTCTTTTATACTGCTTCGAAGACCTGGGGTGTGCCAATTCAGGCCTAAAAAACACTATTGAGGGTTTTGAATATGAAGTAAAGAAAGGTCGACGACTACCATCCATGGCTCTTTTTCCCATTAAATACACTCCAAAGGTCTCTCTCTCTCTCTAGAAACCCCCCAAAATTGGGGATTTTCAACCTAGCAATCCAACAACTTTTACCATTTTTCCTTTTTCTCTTATATGATTCTTGGAACCAAAATAAAATTTTCATCTTCTAAGTTTTGTTTTTATACTTGTTTAAATCGTCCGTAATAAAGCAAACTAAACGTAGATGCTTTCTCGTTTCAAGAATCACGTGATCGACCGTAGGTTTATATTATGAAGGCTTGATTTATATCGACCACATATTAGGGCATTTCGTAAACAAATGAACGTCGGTTTTTTTTAATAAATTGAAGATGGATTTGTAAAGGGTGTCGTAGACGTGTCATTGTTGTTTTTTATTTTATCTGATTTTACTGCATGGAACATGTGATTTTGGTGTATCTTTGCAAATTTAACGTTCGATAGTATTTCACGTGTGTTTAGAAACAATTTCATGAGTGGGGTCACGAGTTCGTCCATCTTTTTTGTCTAATTCTAACGTAAAACTTGAAGCAGTGCAATGCAAACTAAGCAAAATTACTTCCTTAAATGTGTAAGGTTATGACCACGTTTGTGTAACCCCGTATTTGTCAGGCTGTGAGTTTGCTTTTGGGTTGAAAAAAAACTAGTTTGTAAGGTGAGTCGTTTTAAAAGTAATGTGTATAGGAGGTCACTTGATAACAATGAAATATAGGGGTCAAAGTATAGCTAGTAACTCAAGGGGTTAAGTATCATGTTCCCAAACACGAGGGACCACTTATGTGAACTAAACCCTATATGACGATACAAGTTCAGAGCACGTAGGTCTTTTGATTCAACAAACTGGTGACCTGGAAGAAGATTTCGATTCGTCTAATATTATGTATCAACCATTTTGGCAAACTCGGTATAACAATACGAAGTCGAATCAAGTATGTGTTAGTTTAACCGGTACATTATATCCATGTTGGTTGATTGGTTTGTAACAAATTTGACATTCTTGTATGGCTTTACATCTAACAATTTGAACTTTTACGAGGCATTTCGTTCGTCTTAAGAAAAGGGTAATAGATATGTTTAGGAATGCAAACGGGAATGGGTATCTTAACTGCATTATTTTATATTGTTTTGTATTATGATTGAGACTTGGGATCACACCAGTATGTTTCGTGAGACCCATTATACCATTTTTTTACGCTTGAAATTCACAGTAAAACCTTCACAACGTTTTGATGTAAAGTTTCAAATGTAAAAAAATGGTGTAACGGATCTCACGAAAATAAGTTGGTCTCATGTGAACCCAACTCTTATGTTTGATGACGAACAAACCATCGACATACACCTTGATATTATAATTTTCATCCTCACCTTCAAAAACATCCAACCAAATGCCCCTTAACATTTCCGACGTGCCGTGTGGCACAAAAATACGAAAATGGACCAAAATGAAATAATTGTTAAAAACAATGGTTTAAGGTGAAAGTTTAAGATATTAAAGGGTAAAATAGAAAATCTATGAAGGTTTAGGGGGTTGTATTTGAAATATATTTTAAATGCATTTCTAGTTTTCTAAATGTATTTGATTGAAAATCAAATTACAAAATTACAAATAAAACATATATTTTGTAAGTGTATTTGATTCAAAACAAATTATAAAACTATAATAAAACGTATTTTTTAAGTGTATTTGACTGAAAGACAATTACAAAACTAAAATAAAATGTATTTTTAAGTGTATTTGATTGTTCTAATTAGATACTTTAAAGTGCACTTGAATGACATTAAAGTATTTTAATTTTTTTATCAAAAGAAATATATAAAAAATATAAAAAAATGTTTTTTTAATATAGGACAGTTTGGGCCTGGCCCAGGACCGGTTACAAGTATCCTTACCCAGACCTTAGTATTTTCGATGGGACCGGGACCGATTTAGGCTCGGCCTGGTCCGATCCGGGATCATTTTTGGCCACTTCTACGCTACAATCACCACCACTCCCATCTATTAATATTGTTATTATATTATATTTATAATTTAATATTTAATCAAAAAGGTATGAAAAATTTAACAATAGTACGGAGTTTTGTCATTTATTATTATGTCACTCACCTATGAGTAGATTCAATCCCAATTACTGTTAACCAAACGTACAATGAAACTGAATTGAATTCTTTTCAAATTCAAATTCATTTGATGGATTATAATTTCACTAAATTCTATTACGCGAACCAAACAACACCCTGATCGGTTTTCCCAAATAACCGAATTGAATATACAAAAGCTGAGTAACAATCGACCAAATAACAACCATAGCGATGACTGTTACAGAATTCGTGTTTATGGAATGCTTTATAAAGGGTTTCACCACGTCTCTATGCCTTTATGTTAGAAGCAACAATAGCGATCTGATCCCGTGATTTATTTTTTCAAATCAGATTAACTTTTTACTCCAAAGGCGTGTTTAATTGTCGTCTGAATCTGCACCCATGCCGGGTAGTTAGGTACTGAGTGAACCATAAGATAACATCGAACGATGGAATCGGGAGACGGTGAATGCAAACGGGATTCAATCAACGGATGGACTAAAACGTTAAATTTCTTTTCGCTTAAAGAAACAAAAGTTTGAAGTAAAAAAGACAAGGGGCTAAATATGATATTTACTGATACCTGAGGGGTATCACTGTAACATTGTCCTCGACAAATAACGAACTCGAAGCCTTCTTCAACATTTGAAACCCTAATCGCCGGAGTTTGGAAGGGAGGCGACAAAGAGATATATTGGAATGGCTGTCTTTAACGTGGTACAGAAGCGGAGGAGAGCCGCCATCGCAGAGCGCAAGAGAGCAGTACACGGCGATGCTTTTACCGGAAAGCTGAAGCATAAGCCCCAAAACACCACTATTTCCGGTAAACGTAAGCGCAAGCTTCTCAAAAAATGGCGCCGGGTATGGCATATTCCTGTTTTACTTGTTGTACGGTTTCTTATAGTGTTCAAACAAGAATGTTGGTTACGTGCTATTTGATGCGGTTTTCTGAACAATCTACTAAACATTGTACAGGACCAGAAGGAGGCAGTGGAAAAGGGGCTTATTACCATGGAAGATATCGAGATGGCTGTTGCAGATGGTATATACTTTTGATATATTTGTTTTATGTATTGATATCTGAAACGTTGCTGCAGTGACCTGAATGGATACATCCATTAGGAACCTTTTAGCTGTAGAAATCAAGGGAGAACAGATGGTATAAATTTTCTGATAGGCTTCTTCATGTTGTAATGCCCAAATTGGTATGGACAAGCCTTGACAGTGGAGCAACTTTTGTTAGGTTTAAGGGGGTTTAAACTATGCTTAGGGTTTGTTTGGTATAGATGACATGACATAACATAACAAAAACTTTGTTGCCCCATGTTTGATGCCACATTCGACTCGGATACGACAAGACCTGAGTGGGATAAAAATGCTATCTTTTAGTCCCACCAAAGCAGGTGGACCAAAACAACCTCCATCTCATCCATCCAGTCCCATCTAATCTGGTTTGCGTACAGGACATAGAGTCACCTTTCTTGATGAGTGAACTTCTTGTTCAATTCTCTTGTAAACATAGTTTGAGAAAGTCTGCTGGGCAAATTTTTGTGAATGGATGACGCTCTTACTCCCTTAGTTAAGCGTGTTTGAGCATCCTGTAACACCTTCTGTTATAGGTTTGTGTAAAGATCTTGTGCCTAATTGTCAGGATTTAATGGTGCCTTCTAGCAATCTAGTAAATTGACCAATACATGATGCACTATAATTGAAACAAGGGTGAGGTCTGTATACATTCTACGGTTTCTACCCCATACCCTACATTCAGATGGGATATGCGGGCTTTATTTAGTTCCTTTTCATGATACACTATCATTGAGAACCACTATGCTTATTGATAGTCGGACCACTTCCATGATTATCCGAACTTGGCTGGAGGGTATCTAGTGTATTTGTGAACTATGGTAGAATTGGATCTCTTGAGTTGCTAACTACACAGGCCCTGGGATGTGCTGAAGCACCCCTGTCAAGAGCATGCGATTCTGTTTTCTCACACTCGTCTTCACCAAAACAGTCGCCTAACTCTTTGGGGTAGAGGTCAGATCTGCATACATCTCAACCCCCGTCCTACTTTCAAGTGGGATTTACTGGTTCGGGTTGGTAATTTCTTTCCATGATTGGATGTTGTACATTTACGTTGTTGTTCTTTTCAACTCATCACATTGTGGTGGCTGAGATTGTCGTTTTTGCCATCCATTTCCTTGGCTCTATATCTAGGCAGTATACATGTACCATCATATCTCTTACCATTGCACATACATATTTACAGGATCAGGGACATCATCTCAAGATGCCAATAAATCTCCAGTACAATTCAGCATGAAAAAGTCTCTGAAAATTAGACCAAAGCGATCAAACAAGAAAGGTAGTCATCTCTGAAGATCATTTCCGCTAATCAAACCTCTTCATGTTTGTAGCAGTTCTTTCAATGTTCAATATTAATCGTGTATGACTTTGTAGGTAAGAAGAACAAAAGAAAATCAGATAAGCCGGTCAAGGAGGCTTCTTCATCAGATGTGATGGTGGAGTGATTGATTAGAAGAGGCTACTATTCGATATCTCGCTGTTACTTTCAAAACTGGTTAATGCAGCCATTAGATGTTTGTAGAATGTTGGCTACGCAAAGTTATTTTTTTTCCCAATTGAATATGTAAGAATGTTGAAACTACTGAAGTTAGAAGTACTGTTTTACTAGTTAGTTAATGAGATCCATTGTGTGAGATTTATGTTGGTCTTTGGAAAACATGTTTTGTATAATAGAAAACAGAGCACATAAGTTGACATTTAGGTGGAGTTTTTTATTTATTTATTTAAAGAGGTGTTGAAATCTGAAGTCTAATTTCATTTTTCATTGATAAGAGTTGGTGTTGAAGTCTGAAATTTGGATAAGTAAGAATGTTTTGTTTTACGTCTGAAATCTGAATCGGTCAAACTAGTGTAAAAATATAAATGGTAAATAGTCTTCTTATGAAAGTATAAAAGATAAATAGTGTTTGCTAACAAATCTCATCTAGCCCTTAAAATATGAACCATTTGATAGAGGACGGATTAGCATTAGTCGGTATTAAAGAATACTTTTACTACTTAAAATTTCAGAGGACATTTAGAAAACTAAGAAATACCCTAATAACAATTTCCTTTTCAAAGTTCTCACCCCTCAAAAAAAATAAAAGCTAAGAAACACTCTAATAACAATTTATCTGTACGTTATGGATACACAAGTAAAGGAAAATGTTTTCTGGTTTGTATATATGTGTGCATGTTGATGTTCATGCTAGACAAATTACTTGTATGTAGGGACGAACCCAATTTTTTTTCTTCAAACGGTGACACCATTTGATTATAAGAAAAAAATATAGGGAAATTTTTTCAAATGATAACACCGTTTAACTATAAGAAACAAATATACATATTTTTTTTCAAATGGTAACACCATTTGATAAAAAAATGACAGTAACAGAATTCGAATTTGGGTCTGGGATGGAATAAAAGTCTTGCAAACCAACTCTACCAAATAAAACTTGTTTTTATTGTAGTTTCAAAATACATACGGTGGCACACAATAAATTAATATGGTTGCACCTTTCACGAACCTAATTTTTTTTATCCTTCAACGGAGAAATAATACGGTGACACGTGCCATCTATACCACCAAATAGGTCCGTCCCTGCTTGTTTACATATGTTCATATAGTACAAATGAATAATTATTAGGATGATCCTTTTCACCTAAACCATATATATATATATATATATATATATATATATATATATATATATATATATATCCATCCATCCATCTGTAATCCACTCTTGGTCTAAATAAATGGTAATTTATATATTTTCTTAAAATATAAATGTTAATTTTATTATTATTTATAATTAAAGATTTTTTTTTCAAAAAAAGGGTATTTTCGTCATCTTTTATTATTCTTTCCAATTCATAAACTACGTCATATAATCAAACAGCTAGATTCCAATTCATTAGACATATTACAAACACTTGTCGAAATTAACAACATACCAATCGAATTCTTTACACTACCATTCCTCGAACCAAACACCCTCTAATAATATTTTGATTCATAGATCTTCAAAAACATTCAAACTTCAATGGTAAGTAACAACCACAATAAACCAATTCCCTTGAATGACTTTGCTAAAACAAGAACTAAACTAGTATTGCATCATTGCTCTCTGTGGTCTGTTACAGTTAAGAACCAGATTATATCTATCTCCTGAATAAGCCCGAGTTCTGTAGCGTCCTGCAGTAATCGGAAATGGTCGATGAATTCTTCACCAGTTCCCATATCTTGCTGGAGTTTTTCAGCCAGTCTCTCTCAGACACAGTTCTCGAAAATGATGGACCACTCATCGATAAAACCTGAAACCAGAAACAAAGTCCATAGAAACGGTCAAACATGGTTGCACTCTTGAAATATTGTAAAGATACATGGTCATGGGTGCACTTGTATGCAGACTAGCAGGACCTGCTGTTAGCAGCTTAATGAACTCAATAGGACTCGCATCTTATTGGTCAGCTATAGATGATTGTTTGGTAGCGGCTTAATGATATAGGAAGTGGCTTATTCAGTAAGCTTCATACAGAAACCCAAGTTTTTTCCAAACCTGTCCCTCCCAGTTAAAAAACACGCTCATTCTATCTCTGAAAAAGCCATCTCAAACAAAAACCTTCCCAACCAAAGAGCCCCTGAGACAGCCAAGCGAAAGAAAAGTGGAAGGTTTTAACTTCACAGGGGTAGTTTAGTAATTTACCTATCTTGTCTCATCTTCCTGATTTTTATTCCACCTATTTTGGTGGGAAAAAAAACTATACTTTTGTATCACTCACTCCTGTCCTGTGTTTGTTAGCAGCTTAACGAGTTTAATGAGACTCACAACTTATACGGTTAACTATACATGACTGTTTAGTAGTGGGTTATTGATGTAGAAAGTGGCTTATGCAGTAAGATTCTAGGGAGGAGCTTTATGCAAAAAGACAAAAATTTCCAAACCTACCCCTTAGAATTAAAAAACACGCTCCTTCAATCAATGAAAAAACCCTCCAAGATGAAACCTTCCCAATCTATACGAACAGATTAATCCATACAGACAACTTTATCGATACGTGACTTAATGGAAAACCAACCAAATATCCCCTAATTGTTGTGCCAAACGTGGGACAAGTTTTTGTTCTTGTCATATGCCATCCTGTCCTGCATACCAAACGCACCCTGACCAATACTACATCAAAATGGACGCCCCCGCCCCCGAAGTATAGAGATAGAGACCTGATCGCGTAGCTTCCACAAGAAAGAATGGTAGCTCTCATACTGGGTCCCCGGAGAGTCCGTGTCACTTTTAGATGGGATGAAAAATAACTTCAGTGATGTAGGATCAGAATCATCATCCAGACTCCTTTTGGGAGGCACAATATTCTCTTTAGTCCCATTCAGATGTTTCTGTTTGCTGAATGAAGTAGAGCTAAAATACTCACCAAGTGCTTTCTTTAGTTGTAGAAAATAATGGGGAGCAATATCTTGTTCATGAAGCCTGCAAACAATATGATAGCATATCATTATTTGTCATACATTTGACCATTTCACATCCAGATCTGACCAAAAAAAGGTGGAACTTTACAAATGAAAAACCGACAAAATTCTGAACCTCCCTCTCTCTTTACACACACACACACACACACACATTTTGCACATATACAGAATAAAACATAAAAAAAAAAAAGATAACTCACTTTGTGTGTACAAAAACAGGAGAAGCCATGTATTCTTCTGCAACCTCCTGAATTTTATCTTTGATCTCTTTATCAGAACCTAAATTAGAGCTTTGTGGATGTGAAAGGGACAAGGAGGATGGATCGGGTATGCTATGTTTTAACAAGTCCACCTGTCAATGACAAAGGAGGCCATACGACATTAATACATCATAGAGCTTACATACCCTATTACAAACGGAAGTAAGGTTTATGGACAAACATTGAGCAAGTTTTGACAATTGAAGACAGTTCCATGAGATTCAAGTGTGTGTGTGTGTGTATATATATATATAGGGTCAGGTTCATGGGAAAACCGCAAAAAAATGAAAAACCGAGAAACCATTCATTCGTACGTATGTACATGTGCATACAAGTAATTTGTCCGGTATTCACATTTGCATAACATGCACACGTGCGTAAAAACCGAGAAACGGTTTCAATTACTTGTGTGTACATGTGTAAATCGTACAGATGAACAATTAACAGGGTGTTCCTCGATTTTTCATTTTTTTTTTCTGGTTTACCCTGAAGATCCCTCTCTCTCTCTCTCTCTCTCTATATATATATATATATATATATATATATAGATAAATAGATGGATAGATGGATGGATACACATTCATGTGAGTATAAGCTAGTTGCTTTGCAGACAAAACATAAAAATATTAACAGAAGAGAAGTCATACTGTTGCCATCAAATGCCACATGTTGTTATCATGAACTCCTTCGGATACCACCAGAATAATGTGACAAATGGAGGTCAAGAGAACACCAAGCTAGAAGGGTTCCTTGCAGGATGTGTTACAAGATAAGAGTCAATTAGAGACAAACAAGAGCTGTATGGTTTAAAGATACCATCTCATAGAAAAATAACCATAATCAATGGCAACAAAATCTTGTTAAAGAAAATGGAGATCATGCTCATAGCTGTATAAAGCAACAATCCAGGGGCACACCTGTATACTCATCAGTTCATGAGCCAACTCAGCAGGTAACGACTCACCACCCAAAACTGATATTGTGGATGAACCATCAGGTCTAATCATCTCAGCTAAAACGGATGGACTGTATACAGGCTGCATGTGATTAAAACGAGTTAGAGAAAGAAGATACGGTTTGAAATGGAAGATCAAAGCCCGTCAACAGAGACTTAGATTATGAAATAAGCAAAGAAATAATTTTGATAGATCACACACATAATAATCCTGAAACAAGGCAAATGACCTCTAATCGTCACTTAGCATTTAGAAACTTAATACGATCAAAATCAGGCTAATTGGGAAACAAAAGTCCCATCTGCCTATAGTTTAAAGATAATAAACCTCTGATCTAAGATAGTTGGCAGAAGTTAATCAGTCGTGGTCACAGAAAATACTTAAGGGCTTGTCTGTTAGCAACTTAATGAGCTTAATGGGACTCGCAGCTTATTCGGTCAGCTATACATAACTGTTTGGTAGTGGCTTAATGACATAGAAACTGACTTAATCAGTAAGCTTCTGGGGAGAGCTTTATAAAGAAAGCCACATTTTTTCAAACCCATCCCTCCCAATTAAAAAACATGCTCATTCCATCTACTAAAAACCCACCAAAGAAAAAACCTTCCCAAGACAGATTAATCCACATAGACATCTTTATTCATACATGCAACTTTATCCATACATGATTTGATGAAAAACCAACCAAACAGCCCCCAAGTGTAGAACACAATTTAACAAAAGCCAAAACCAAACAGCCCCCAAGTGTAGAACACAATTTAACAAAAGCCAAACTAAGTAAAGAGAAGCTTAAAAGCCGAAACCTGCGTATCAAGAAGTATGATCCTTTCGGAAGTAATTCTTGGCTCAATTCCAACCGTACAATGCTTCGCCATCACCTTGGTTTCCACCGCTTCTATCGGAAATGGAGGCAGCATCCCTACCACCACCAATAAAAGCAGATGAATCACTATTACTATAGAATGAACACATCAAGCAATAAGAATGGAACCAGAACCACCATTTCTGTTTCTCAAATCAAGAATATGAGATAAAATTTCAGAAGTCTTTCTTGGAAAAACCATATTGAAGTTCCCAAAAGCAATTAACTTCATCAATTTGCTTATGAGCCATTATGATGTTAGAGTTTACCAGGGGAAGTTCCATCAAAGCCATAAATCTCGTTCATGATAGTAGACTTGCCAACCCCAGCCGGACCAATCACTCCGATCACCGTAAAATCAGTATTATCCGTCAAAAACTGCAACCATAAGAATTCAAAAACCAAAGAAAATGAAACAAATCGACGGGTAAGTGGCGGTTAGCGAAGGGCCAGCGACTTACGGGAAGAAAGCGATCGGTGTGGAAATCCCAGGAATCAGATAACAGATTGAGAAATCCGACGGAGGGAATACGAGTTCGAAGTGACGAGGAACCGTCATCGGGGCCACCGCCGCCTCCACCGCCACCAGGTCCGCGGTTGTACTTGGCGGCGGTGACGAGGGCGGGCTTAGCTAAGAGGATTTTGGGAGCTTGATGAGAGGAAACAGCTGATGAAGAGTTCGAATTTGAAGAACCGGTTCCTCCACCACCGATGCCTGCCATTGCCGGCGACTCCTAGCTGCTGTTCAGAAGAAAGGCTATTCAAGCGTATGTCATCTGAAGCAAACTTTGGTTTAATTGGTTTTAAGCCCCTCTAGTTTTTATATTTCAAAATATGCTTTTAAGTTTTAAATGTATTGCAAATCTTTATAATTTTTAAAGTGAATTGCGGATTTGGTCCTGAGGTATGTAGAAAATTATGACTTAGAGCTTCTAAACTTGAAAAATCATGGATATGGTTATCGTGTTTTTATATGACTAAGATCTCTCTTATTAACAGTCGTTAAATAAATTCATTAATCCAGTTAACTCAGTAATAAAAAGACCAACATGCCCTTGTTTCGTTGTCATGTTTTTAGAAAATAACACACACACACACATACAAAATGCATACATAGACGAAGAATAAGGAGACTTCGCCCAAAAAGGGGTTGTAGGTTTCAAGATGGGTATATGTGATTTTCAAGATTGGAGCGATGGTTGCAGTTGCAGCTGACAATGACTATGAGGTCGGAGGTGAGAGGATATTTTAATATTTTAGGTTAAAAATAAACAAATTGTATCAAAATTCAAAAGTAGATAAAAAGTTAATAGCCTATTCTTTATGTAAAATATTTAAAAGTAGAAGGTACTTAAGTGAAATAATTATAAACTTAAGGGGGTAAAAAGTACAAGTCACAAAATGTGTTGTATTTTCTCTTTCAATCCGATCGGATGCTACAAAAAACACGAAGAGGAAGTGCAGGCGATCTTCAACCCTAAAATACCCACGATCTTCATTTCCCTATTTCAACCATTCTTCATCTCAATTGATTTCAATGGCGACGATCGGAGCTAAACGAGGGTATGCCATGGCTTCCAATTTTCTGAAAGCCCTAAAAACCTCTTCTTCTTCAACGTCGGTCAGACGCTTCAGCGGCGTCGTAAACAGTGAAATCACCACCACCCACACTGCCAAATGGATGCAGGTTTGTAACCCCTTAGCAAAAAATATGTTCCTTTTTGATTTGTCAATAATGGGTCATGGGTGTTCATCGACATAAGTTCTAGTTGTTCAGTGCTTTCCCAATGAAGTTTAGGATTAGGGCATGAATGCGAAATTGTTACCGAACGTTAAAAATTCTAAGAACTTAGATTGTTTCTTTCTTTACTGATCATGTAATTGGTAAATAAGTCATCACGCATTGTTAAATCTTCTAATGTAGGATCTTAAACAAGATGAAACCAGTTAAACTAAGGGGGCGGAGCTACTTTTTAGATAGGAGAAATGAGCAAGTTTCATGTCCCCTTTTGATGTAGTTGTTTGGTTATGTTTTAAGTTTTATGCTTTAGTAGCTAGAGCGTAGGAGACTGGTTTTACATCTTTTGTTTTAAGTTCATTTAGGCTTTGCAGTACGCTCGATGATTCAATCAGTTTTCCATTGAAACTTGTCCATTTGACGAATGATTTATAAAATTCGTTGGTTGTAGTTTCCATGAACCACAACTTTCTTGAAATTGGATGCAGATTTACCATACACATACATATTTTGTGTGTATATGTGTGTGGGTCTATGTATGTTGGAGCTGCTGTGAGTAGCAATACCTACTATAAACAACCACTGTACCCTTTGGAGTGGAGGACAGGATTGGGAACACCCCGCTCTCGGATCCTACTTCTGAGTGTGATACACTTGGCTCATTCAGTCATTTGTTTTGATTTCTTAGGGCTTGTTTGTTGGCAGCTTAATGGGACTTATAGCTTATTCAGCCAGCTATATAGGATCGTGAGGTAGTGGCTTAATGATATAGAAAGTGGCTTATTCGATGAGTTTCTAGGGGGAACTTTATGCAGAAGGCTAAGTTTTTTTCAAAACCTACCCCTCCTAATTAACAAATGACCCTCCTAATTAAAAAATGCGCTTATTCCATCTATGAAAAATCCTCAAAAACAAAAATCTTCACAATCTATGCAAAATGATTAATGCACACAGTCAACTTTATCCATACAGGACTTAACGGGAAATCAACCAAACAGCCCCTATTGTTATTTGACATTTGTATTAATATTTAATGGTTAAAGATATACGAGCCTTGTGTCCTTTCTTCTTGAATCATTTATACTTTTCTAGGATTCATTTTTGTTTGGAGGAAAGAAAAAGTGTTCTGCAGACAGTCCACATAAGTGGTTGGAGGAGGTGGTTCTACCTTATTTAGTTGTCATTTGACTCATATTCATATGAGTTTTCACTGATTCATGGTTGATGTAGATCACATAAATGGGTTATACGTGCTTATGCATACAATACAAAGCACAAAGAAAGACACCCTTATCTATACTATCTTATTAAGCAAATTTAACAAAAGTCTTAAAGTCTTGAAATACTAAATGACCAAGATACCCTTTATACTACTCTTTCACTTTTTCATCCCCTCATCTTCTGACATACACTTACCCCCTCACATACACTCACCCTCTCACAACCATTTTTTTAAAATTATAATTTTAAATTTACACTTTATACCCATATAATTAGTTAATTAATTTACTTTACGTCCTTTACTTTTAAATGCTTTGTTGTAAACCTTTATCAAATTAACATACATAATCGTATATCAATTAAAAAATATATTTTTATTTTAACAAGTTACACAATTATAATCGTCTCGTTAATGCCTTCGAAATGAGACCAATATTGAATAGTTTTTGACTTAATTATATTATTATATATTATATATACTGTGAAAAAATATTTTTAATATTTACGATTTATATTTTTATAGTTATTTATTTATATATATACTATATATTTTGGGGTTAGGCTGTCCAAATTGCACTGTATAATATGTTCTGAATTAATATGTTTTTGGGTTTTTTTTGAAATATATATATATATATATATATATATATACATACATACATGTATTAATTGAACCTTAATCTGAGTTTCTGGACAAGAAAGAGGGTAAGCAGTTGAATTTCATCCTAAAACCCATCTTTTTTGGTCTTTTCATAGCTTATGATCTGTCAAATTTGTAGTTTTCTTTATTGGTTTTGAGTGTTTATCTTAAAACTCAAGTTTCTTGGTTCTTTGCTTTTGGTGTAAATCGAACACATTTGTGGAATCGTTTAAATATGTTGGATTTTAAATATATTGGATTTTAAATTGCCATACAATTTTTTTCATCGATAATATGTAATTGGAACCATAACTCTTATTTATTCAAATTGTATTAATATGTAAAGACCAAGTGCAACCTATATCATCGTTAAATCTTATCTTATAAAACCAGTGAAACTTCAAAATCGTTAAAATTCATTGCACCCGCCGCATTCCGCGGGTACACAACTAGTAACTGTATTGTTGTCCACCTTTTGAAAAAAAGTTTACTTTGAAGAATTCTGCATGTTGATTGCCATTCTGACATTATATTCTCAATTCAGACTTAAATAGTTTGTGTGTGTATTATAGATTGTTCTTAATTGCAGTCTTTCCAGATCCTGATAACCTCACTTAGGAATTTTCACACCAACATGTTAATCAAAGTGTATCTGTCATAAAGCATTCAACTAGAGATTTATGTGATTTAACAGTTTTACCATAAAATCCAGTTCAACATAAAACAATATGGTTGTACTCAAGGAAGTTAAGATATAGACCAGAAGAAGTATGATTTATGAACACTCAGATTTAGAAACTTCCTCTAGAATTGTATATAAACCTCTTTCTGGTGGGTATGCATAGAAGTTGTTGGATCGCTTTTCTCTGATGTCCAGTGGTTGGCTAATAATATTAGATTTAATATTATTAGCAGCTTAATGGGACTCACAGCTTATTCATTCAGCTATAAATGACTGTTTGGTGGTGACTTAATGACATAGAAAGTGGCTTATTCAGTAAGCTTCTAGGGGGATCTTTATGCAGAAAGCCAAAAAGTTCCCAAACCTGCCCCTTCCAGTTAAAAAACACGCTTCTTTCATTTATGAAATACTCCTTCCAAACAAAAACCTTCCCAATTTATACAAACAAGTTAATCCACATGGACAACTTTATCCATACAGGACTTGATGAAAAGCCAACCAAACGGGGATAATCCTCACTGTTTGCTCCATATGATTGGCAGGACACAAGCAAGAAATCTCCAATGGAGCTGATCAATGAAGTCCCCCCAATCAAAGTTGAGGGCAGGATCGTAGCTTGTGAAGGAGGTTCCTTTTTTTTTCCCGTTCTTATGTAGCATCAAGAATCTTTACTCTGTAATCAAGTCTAATTACTCAAAAGCATCGGGTTTACCATAATATGTTTGCTTAATTTGTTGTTTTTGATGTTTGCAGACACCAATCCTGCACTTGGACATCCAATAGAATTCATATGCCTTGATCTGAGTGAGCCAGCCGTTTGCAAGTACTGTGGTTTACGCTATGTTCAAGATCACCATCACTAGATTCAGCTCGAAACATCAATGTGTTGATGCAGCATGTTTCCAGCTTACTATTTTCCAAATTCAGGCTTTCATGTTCCTTTTTTCTATTTTAGCAAAGATGATGATGTACTCTACCTAAACCTTGATAATGTCTGCAAATAAGGATACTGATCCGACTACCCTATTCGATTTCCAACAAGTGTATAATTTGATATCGAAATGACCCTGTTTCTGGTGTCTCAAACGAGCAGGTGGTTTAAATTTAGCAGAAAGTGTTTTAGCTTAGCTCGTAGTCTCGGCCTTCTTTTGGCAACGCCAAGCGACCAATTGTTACACTAAGAGGCAATTTACAAAACACATGGAAAGGACCGAGAATCTTACTTGGTAAGAGGCATAACAACGATCAAGAGTCTTACCAGACAAGTGAGGGAAAAGACTCTTATCCGGTAAGCGCTTACCGGGTTTCAGACGTGGACCAACCATCCATTCCAATGGCCGAGAATGTTACACGATAAGGTGAGGGTGACGTCTCATGCCAATAAGCGTTTACCAGATAAGCGTTGTAAAGGTCCATAAGGAGTTGTTTAATTACAACTTAATAAACTTAATGATCTGGACGATACATTCATTTTGGGCTTGTTTGTTAAACAACACAACTGTTTGGTAATGGCTCAATAATATAGAAAGTTGCTTATTTAGTAAACTTTTAGGGGTGACCTTGATGCAAAAAGCCAATTTTTTTTCTTCCTAAAACCGCCCATTCCAGTTAAATAACATGTTCATTCCATCTATAAAACTCTCTCAATCAAAAATCTTCCCAATCTATAAAAACAGATTAATCCACACAGATAACTTAATGCATAACGGACTTAACAAAAACCAACCAACAGCCCCTTAGCCATACATGAGTGTTTCTTAACAGCTTAACAAATTAAGCCAAAATGGCATATATGGCATAAGCCATGACCCTTCACTTGTCTCATTAAGCTACCTCAAACAAATTAATATCAGAAAGTGAACAAATGTCCCAATATAATCCAACTCTCTCATTTTGCCACCCTCAAACTTACCCTAGGCAGAATTCATACTTGATGAAAAAAAAAGTGAACAGCCCATAACAAGCAAACAAATTAAAGATCTCAAGGTATTTTACTTCAAATATCATGAAACAATGCCCTAAAAGACCAGATAAAAAAAAGAGAATCAAGAAAGACGAACTTCTCATTTTATTGCAAGGAAATTCCCTTTTCTGCCTGCCTACAGACAAAACATTCAGCCACCTGCAAACCCCACATATACAATGGAGAATATGAAGCTCTTGCCTGCATACTCATTTTCTTCAACACAAAATCAATTCTTAAAGCTAATACAGACATCAGTAGCCAGTTAATAATACTTCTTGTTTGTATATCAAGGAAAAACCCTTTTATCAGATGTACCAAGAAATCTTAACAGGAATGAATATGCATGAATAACGCTTCATCCCCAAATCGAACGAATGGGTCGACCACCAAATGACACACAAACAGATAACTCACCTGCTTGCCCCAAAATGCCACCCAAACAACAAGAAATAACTAACTACTTACCACCACCATCTGTAGCCGCTAGCTTTCTTCTCTGTTGATGTTCTGCAACTTTGTAATCGACCACTTCACGAAACAGAATGGGATCAAGAACGCAATTTTCACTCCCGTAAACAGCGGCTTGAACACTAGCCATCAGTTTCGCAACCTCTCTTCCTGAAAACCCATCTGTTTTTGCAGCTGCTTCCCTAATTATATCGTCATTTAAGCCCTTGATTTCTATCTGCTGCTGTTGTTTCTGGAAAAATCTTGAAAAAAACCCTGGTTTTCTGGCACCGGCTTTAGCAATGTACTTGTCTAGATATAGTTTCAAAAGCTTGAATCTTTCTTCTTCTCCGGGTAAAGGGAATTCAAGAACTTCATCAATACGGTCCGACACGGCTGAATCAAGATCACCAGGACGGTTTGTTGCAAGAGCCAAGACTATGTCCTTTGATTGATCACCAGTGCGAAAAAGGAGGGCGTTAAGGGCGCTTCTCTGAGCTTCACTCATGTAAGTTTTGTTCCGCCTGGAATTTAGAAGGATGCGTATTAAAGATCTTTGGCAAATGCAACCAAAATGTTGGTGAGAGACATCTTCATATGGAGCTAAGGGTGCTTTTGGTGTCCAGACTGGACAAGATAGGACAGCTGTTCAGCATTTGGTAGCACAGAACCGGACAGGACAAAACAGATAAACCCAATTTACCCCTACTGCATTATATATATATATATATATATATATAATATATATTGATTAATTTATGTAATTTATGAAATTATAATAAAACAAATATTTTTATAAGAAAATATATCATTAGAAAGTTGTCGTCAAGACAATTAAAAAGACAGCAAAATAAAAAGTTCATGTAGTTTCCATTTTTCCTTTTATACCTTTTCTATATTAATATCTAATAAATTACATAAATTAATCAAAATATAAAAACTGTACAAAAATAATTTTTTTTAAGGATTGAAAGTTTAAAAAACAAGAACAATAAAGTGGAAGTTTAAAGAGCAAGGACAGTTAAGTGAAAGCTCAAAGAACATAAAATAAATAAATAGAATTTAAAGACAGAGAGACGTATTTGATGTTTTAGAAGAGAATTAGGTTTTATTTTGAGTATATATTGGTAAAAATATATGGCTGTTCCACCTTGTTCCGTAGGGTGGGGTGGGGTGGGGTGGGGTGGGACATGCCTGTTCCACTCTGCACCTGTCTATTCCACATAAAAGTCCTGCCAAACGTGAACCAGTGATCCCTATTTTGTCCTGTCCTGTCTAGTGTACCAAACACAACCTAAAGAAATAGAATCGTTACTTACTCGCATAAAAATGCATCTGCTTCATCAATAAAAAGCAACAAACCCCTATTGGATTTCTTGGCCCAATCAAACAGCTGATGTATCTTTGTAACAGCCTGGGAACCGAGGGGCGCAACATCTCCACCAGTCATCAATGCATAATCAAGTCCCTGAAATATAAAAGATAGTAAGTTTGGTTAGTTTTGCATCAAGTTCAGTATAGATAAAGCAGTCTATGTGGATTATTTTTCTGTATAGATTGGGAGGGTTTGTGTTTGAAAGGGTTTTTTCATACATGGAAAGAGCGTGTTTTTTAATTCGGAGGCAAGTTTGGAAAAAGAACTTGGCTTTCTTCATAAAGCTCACCCAATAAGCCACTATCTATATCATTAAGCCACTACCAAACAGTCATGTATAAATAAGCTGCGAGTCCCATTAAGCTCATTAAGCTGCTAACAAACAGACCCTAAGAAGTAAAGAACCAGCAAAGATAAGCCGAAACATGAATGCATATACCTAACTACCTGTATTTATATAGAATAACAATGGCAATAGAAAAGGCCACATACAGATTTTCGTGCCAACTCTCTGGCTGCCATTGTCTTCCCTGTTCCTGGAGGGCCATAGAAGAGCATATTCCGGAATGGTGCCTGATGAGATTTGGTATTGGCAGTTGCACCAGCCAACTGCTGAATTCTCTTTTGCAAAGATGGATTGAGGATGACTTCCCCAAATGCATTACCATTTTGAGAGGCTGAACCCTTCTGACCACCACGTGATAAAGTGCTTAATCCACGAGAAAAAAAGCCCGACCAAGGATATTTTCCTCTAGAGGATTCCCTGATCAGCGATGGTTGTCCCAAAATTCTGTCCACGTAGCTCCAGACCACCCTAGCACCTTCTCTGCATTATACGACATAAGCTATGTCAAGGAGAAATGGAACAACAATTGTTTTTCTTTATCTTTAATTAAAACTGAAAAAGTTGAGTAACCACCTTCTGAATCTATAATGGTGTTCATTTTTATCGTACCCTAAAACAGTTTGGAATAGAAGGCTTGTTATTGTACCAAAAGTAACTAACTAAGATGCTGTTTGGTTGGTTTTCCAATAAGTCCTGTATGGATAAAGCTCTGTATGAATTAATTTGTCTGTATAGATTGGAAAGGTTTTTGTTTGAGAGGGTTTTTTCACAGGTGGAAATTGGAATGAGCATATTTTTTAATTGGGATGAACAGGTTGAAAAAAACTTGGCTTTCTGCATAAAGCTCCCCCTATAAGCTTACTGATTAAGCCACTTTCTACCAAACAGTCATGTATAGCTGACCGAATAAGCTGCGAGTCTCATTAAGATGTCACTACATCAAGATGTCACATCTTAAAGTAAAAGGAACCGAATGGTACAAAGTAGATCTTAATAACTGGATAACATTCAGTGCATTTAGATATCTAAAACCAATTTGCATCACCAATTTCTGCAAACTACCGGCATCCTTCAAAATTCCGATAGGTACAATAGTATCTGATTGTCCAACAGAGAGAATCGGTTTCCAAGAAAAAAGATCATCAAACATATCTAGCATTTCAGCATACTGTCTTTTGCTATTAAGCCAGTCGCGTGAGCATCTGCAGGGCCATCTGAATAATTCTTTCCGGTTATCCATCTCACAGCAACATAAAGCACAAAACTGCTTGTAGAATATTAAATGCTCCACAATAACAGGCCACCAATACCCCATAGAAATGTTTCTACCGAAATAAGTTTAGTATAAGCCTAGACCAGGAGTTCATTTAGGACAACTACTAAAGTAGATTAGCAATGAAGGGATAAATTGTACCAAAAACTCAAAAAAAGGTTAAGGGAGCATTAAGACACTCAATATACCAGAGTTAACTGTTATACCTTGTTGTGTAGATCCCTGCAGCAAGAGCCGTGACACCCCCAACAGCCACGACCAACTTATTTTGATCAGTTAATATTGCACGCAATCCCCCTGGAAAACAGGTTATTCACTTGCTTCGTTAATCAAGAAGCATAGATAGTGGGAAATATTCTAGCTATCAAGATAAACATAACGTTATAACTAATTTGAGGCCTTTGGCCCAACTGACCTAACTAAGGGACTCTTTGCTTGGTTTTCCATCAAATCCTGTATGGATAAAGCTGTCTATATGGATTCATATGTTGTATAGATTAGAAATGTTTTTGTTAGGAGAGTTTTTCATAGATGAAATGAGTGTGTTTTTTAATTGAAAGGGACAAGTTCGAAAAAAACTTGGCTTTCTGCATAAAGCTTTCTCATAGAAGCTTACTGATAAGCCACTTTCTATATCATTAAGCCACTACCAAACAGTATGTATAGCTGACCAAATAAGCTGTGAGTCCCGTTAAGCTCATTAAGCTGTTAGCAAACAAACCCTAACTGAGTTTCCTAAACCAGTGCTTACGGGTTTGAGACTAGCATTAAACATGGTGTGTGCACTTGGACGAATTCGACCCTTTAAAGAAAGCATATGAAATAATGGTTTCACTACATGTAGGCAAGTTTTCTAAGCAAATAACCAACCTCCAATGTGTTCAAAAGTAGTGTTAATTGCAGAAACCCATTTCTCTCTCTCTGCATTTGCACGTTCTACCAGCATCCGCTTATTCACATCTTCCGCCAATTTGGCTTCATGGGCTCGTGCTTCTGCTTCAGCCATAGCCCTCACCCTGATTGTTTCTCTCTCTATCTCAGCTTTCTCCCTTTCTGTTTGTCTACGTTGTGCTTGGATTTGCTCTTCTGTTGCTCGCCTCGCTTGTTCTTGCCTTATAGATGATTCTTCTTGCATTTTTACAAGTTCTTGATTTCTTGCCCTGTGATGTTCATTTTCTGCCTGCAAAATATTCGAAGTTCATCTCATGCTGATAAAAATAACTGCACCAACCAAACCATAAAACTAAAAAGAAAAAGAAAAGGGAACATGCCTGCATTCTCTTTCTTGCCAGTTCATCCTCATAACGAGCCATCTGTGATTTTATTTGTGCTTGTTGCTGAGCCAGCTTTTTCTGTTCATCATATATTACTCGTTGCCTTTCCTGGGATTCACAGCTTATTCGGTCAGCTATACATGACTGTTTGGTAGTGGCTTTATGATATAGAAAGTAGCGGCTTATTCAGTAGGCTTCTAGGGGGAGCTTTATGGAGAAAGCCAAGATTTTCCAAACCTACCCCTCCCAATTAAATTCTATCGATGGAAAAACTTTCCCAAACAATTTTTTTTTTCAATCTATACGGACAAATTAATCCACACAGACAGCTTTATCCATACAGGACTTAATGGAAAACCAACCAAACAACCCCTAAGAAATACAAAGGGATTACATGGACACAGATGCACATTCTATATACAGCTCTAAACAAAGATTAAACACTTAATATGACCAAATTCGGTCTGTGCAGTAATTGCATACCCATTGTCTAGAATTATCTCAATTGAGGATATATGACTCGCTTGAAGAAATGGATAAAGCTATACCCAGAAGAAGCATATATATGAAGAAAATACAGCAAACTCAGCCAAATTAAGCACCAACAATTACAAAATATATTCTACAGCATCCATGGAGGTTCAATAATGATCCTCCTAGAAGTTCAATATCCTCCTAGAAGTTCAAGAAAAACAAGTTTGAAAACGCAGAAAGTGAAAGGGCTTGGACATAAGGCATGTGCATTAGTAAATAAAGAGAAAGATAAAAAGATAAAAATGATTAACCTCGACTTATAAACAAAGGGAGGTAGAGTGATAGATCACATGATTAAATCTCTCTGCCAATCACTGAACTTATTTCCATATCGAGTTTGTAAATGACCTAAAATCTTATCAAAATGTATTTCATTGTTTCCATAAATCAAGAAATAAAGAAACAGAAGACAAAAATCATCAAACAAGCAGCAAACCTATTGGTCACTATCTTAGGCCTAATTAAGGTGCTTGTGAGACAAAGTTAGAAATCTGATATGTACTGCCTAAAAGGAAAAAAACAAATATTTGCTTCCGTGACTCCATCACAACTTACAACCTAGGAAGTATCTACCGTATGTAAGGATAGATGTCACACATTTACATTCATGACATGATGAGGGCAATTACCGAAATTGCTAATTTATGCAAAGGGATCAGATTTTTTGAGGGTGCTCAACCATCTTGAACCATAGTTCCATTAAAACACACCAAATAATCATAACCATTTTGAATAATGAAGGTTCATAGTTTGATCCAGCTTCTTTTATTTGGAGCATTGAGCTTGTTTGACCATCTTCGAATCCTCAAGCACATATCAATGTCTCACATTAGCGTGACGTAAACAATTCTTGATATTGCTCCTTCAATTCTTTTAAGGACAAAAGCTATTGAGTTAATGATAATTAATAAGTGCACATAATCGACCATCTATTTCCGACCATGAATCGTGGAAGCCTTTTCAATTGTGGTGTATATAAGACCATGTGTGTATCTAAGTGGCATCTACACTACAAATAAATCACAATCAGTCAAAACAAGAATAAGACATAACCAAACCCATAATTTAGCATCCAAGTAAACAAGAACTACAAAAAATGGTCCAGAATCAGAGGCTTTAATTCACATTGATGAAAATACATCATAAAATCATCTTGAAAGAAGAAACAATGCCGGACTTACAGTTTCCGCTTGAGCTTGCATTGCTTTAAACTCAGCCATCTTCGAAGCTAATTCCGTCTGCCTAGTCTCTTCCTGCTTCTTCATCAACTCAAAAGCCTAGAAACACAACCACCACAAACTATCACAACAAAACAGACACAGTAGGAAGCTCAATTCATAACAATATTCATAATTACGAATAAAACTTAAACTTAAATAACTATGTAGGAAGCCCAATTCATTAGAACATTCATAAATCAGAACAAAACAATAAAGAAACTAAAAACTAACCCAATAATCGAACCTTTTTAGCTTGAGGTGAGGCAGCAATTTCTTTAAGAGCCTTGGCACCTCTTTCCAATGCCTCCGGATCAAATCCAGCAGAAGTTGTTCTCGGGTTATCATTACGAACCCGCGGAGTGGCGGGTGCGTCATTTGGCGGTGAAGACGATTGAGGATCAACCGACCCACCAACAGACGGCGACGGCGAAGGTGACGGTGCCGGTGCCGGTGACGGAGAAGAAGAGAAAGGAGGAAAGTTAAAAATCCCTGAACCAGAAGTCTTTGCCATTTTTGTATCTTCTAAAATCGTGAAATGATTTAAACCCTCGATTATTATTATTGTTGGGTTGAATCTTGAAGGAGAAGAAATGTGGATGGAGGCTTCATTTTTGATTCTTGAAGAATAGAAAACCCAAGGCAGAAGGTGGGTTCAGGGTTTATGTAGGGTTTCTTGACGGCGGTTTTGGGCCTTGAATTACACCCGGGTCAGGTGCACCGTTGGATCCGGTTCTATTTCAGAAGTTTTAATAAATAAATTATATAAAAAAATACATGTCTAATTTTCATTTTATTTAAATATTTTGTCTATGAATACAAATTATATGTTTAATGGGATCTACTTCAACTTCATTTCTCACTGTTTGTTTAGCAATCGTTGAACGGTTTGATGTTAAATAATCATAATGATTAAGAGTTTCTTATAATATAATTTAAAATGAAATATAATTATTCGATAATTGTTTACAATAAAATTAGTGTTCCAAATGATTAAAGAAGGTCTAGGATACAAAACCATTTATAAAGTTTTAGAATTATTAAAAGACATACATTTTTTGTCAAACAAGATTCATCTTTTAATGATTCAAAGACTGTCTTTAGTGGAACCATTAAGAGGTAGACAAACAGACACTCTCATGATATAATACAAAATGAAATATAATTGTTTATAATGAAATTAGTGTGTTAAATGGTTAAGGAAGATTTACAATACAAAATCATTCCAGAGTTTTAAAACCATTAAAAGACAGATTCTTTTTATTTTTACCTTCAAAGACTTTCTTTTTGTTGAAACTATCAAGAGATAAACAAACAACATATTTTCATATATATTTGTTGTTAATTTAAAAAACAAAAAACAGATTAGAATGCGGCTGATTGAAAAAGCTACAAACGAAGAAATTTGGATACAAAAAATGGCGTTTGCCATCAAGAATATAAATCAATGGCGTTTGCCATCTTGACAATGAAGAATATATAATATAAATGAATGGCGTTTTACGGGAACTGAAACGATCCTCCGATCTGATTCTGGCCTTGTGGAGGATTAATGGCCACCCACAAAAGCGATATCGTGATCGCAATCAATCCCGACCACACAAACACAATCGTCGGTGTTCTTCCCCTTCTTCCCATCAACCCTTTTGCAAATGGATACAAATGAGCCAACACCCAAAAGCTGAAGAACACCCCACCAAGCAGACGACTCCATTGCGGAATCGTACTGTAAATCGTCCGACTAAACCCTACAGCTATCGCGATCAAGTTCACCATCATTATCGTTATCGGTGGAATCATCAACGATGTCCATTTCACCACGTAAAGATCTGCAAACTCGTCATCTTCATCATCTCCGCCGGATTTTGACGTCAGCGTGAAGGAGATCTCAATTCCGGCCACCACTTTCAGAAGACCCTGAAGAACAGCGGCTAAATGCGCACTGGTTCCTCCGATCAACCAAAACTGTTCGTTTCTCCACCACTCTTCTAGCTCAATTCCTGACCACTTCACTTCAAGAACAGCGAGCATGACGATCGTTAGAGTTATGATCAGTAAATACACGAGAAATGTGACGTTCAGGGTTTGCACGATGAACTGGCCGGAAAAGAGCGAAAGCGCCGGAAGAAAGCAGTAGACGATCAAGAAGATGGATGTGAACGGATAAATACCGACGTTCAGATACGCGATTCGTTGTAAAATCTTCATTCTTGAGCTTGCTAAAAGCGCGTTGTTACGTGAAAAGAAGATCTCGACGGAACCGGTAGCCCACCGGAGAACTTGATGAAGTCGATCGGTTAAATTGATCGGGGCTGTACCACGGAAAGCGTCACGCTTTGTGACGCAATACACCGATTTCCATCCGCGATTGTGCATTCTATAGCCGGTGACGACGTCTTCGGTTACGGATCCGTAGATCCACCCGACACGTTGTCCCCATTCGGTTTTATCCTCGTACCAGCACGAGATCACGCTTATGGCTTCAGCAACGGTGGATGCATCGAGAAGCTCCCGAGGGATGGTTAGAGCTCCGGGTGGGCGGCCGTTCTTGACAGCCGGATGGTCTGCAAGGGGACGGCCTTGGAACTCTGCCACGGGAATGGAATCAATTAAGAGAGTCGAGTTTCCGAATTTCCTAGGAGCAAGAGAAAGATTCATGTCTTCTTCATCGGAATCACCCATTCTTAGAGCTCGATTCTCTTCCGGCGTGCTAAATTTGACCTTTTTACGACCCGTACAGCAGCTACAGAAACTCGCGTGGTGCTCTTTGGTTCGAGGTGGATCGAACCCGTAGAGCGCAATTCTGCGAAATAAGCATCCGGTTCCAACATAGACAGGACCCTGGAGCCCGTCAAGGGCTCGCATGTTTCCGTCAAAGAAAACGGTATTATGGTTGGCGTAACGATCAGACGGATCGATACCCTCGAATCTTTGCGGGAACTGGACGTAGCAAATCCGATCGCCACCTCGATCCATCATGAAACACATCCCTTCTCTCATGGCCTGAGAGTTATAGATGTAATGATCACAGTCGAGATTCAGAATGAATGGACCGTTTGACATGATTGCAGAGGCTCGGACAAGTGCGTTCATGGCCCCCGCTTTCTTGTTGTGATCGTATCCTGGACGCTTTTCTCGAGATACGTAAACGAGCATCGGAAGACGGATGTCGACGTCTGAGAAATCGAGCATCCCGGCATCATCTTCTGTACCTTGTAATGGATCATCACTTGGAGGTTTTAACATCACCTGTACCAATCAAGAAATCTTAATACCAAGTGGATGTTTAGTTGGTTTTTCATTAAGTTAATCAATGGATAAAGCTTGCTTTCTGTGTGAATTAATCTGTTTGTATAGATCACGAAAGTTTTTGTTTGGGAGGGTTTTCTCCATAAATGGAAGGAGCATGTTTTTTTAATTTGGGATGAGCAGGTTCGAAAAAAACTTGGCTTTTTGCATAAAGCTCCTTCTAGAAGCTTACTGAATAAGCCATTTTCTATATCATCAAGCCATTGCCAAATAGTTATGTATAGCTGACCGAATAGGATGCAAGTCCTATTAAACTCATCAAGCTGTTAACAAACATATCCTAAATGGATAAAAAAAAGGTATTAACACCAACTAAGACCATGACTGATAACCATAAACTAGCTTATTTTTTGAGCTTATTAAAAAAACTTTCTTCTTTTAGCCATAAGCTTATAAGTTAACTTTTTGAAAAACTACTTCAATAAGCATTTCATTAAGCTGCAAGGGCTTTTTTAACTTTTTCCAATCATACCCCTTATATTTTTCTTTCAACATGTCCTTTTTGGTAATCTTACATTGCTTATCTGTTAGTTTTTACCAAACATGACCAGCTTATTAGCCATTTAGCCAAATAGCGTAATTCCTTCGATTTAACTAGATCATCAACAAGATAGATTAAAGTTTGTAAATTTTACCTGAATGATTCCCGAATGATCGCCTTTCGAGTGTTCCGGTGCCGTAGTCAACCAAGTCCCGGGCCAATGAGTTCCGTCTGCCATCCACGTCGCTTTTTGAACCTTGACGCTCTCCAAAGGTTCATCGTCCCTCTTTTGTCTCTGTTGTTTCATAGCCTTTATCTCCTCGCGTGCATGATACGCATCAGACCGACGACGAATGGAGTCCGGAAGACCGTTGATGCGAACCTTAAACTCATCAAACTCTCGTTTTACCCTTCTACGATCCTTGACAAAATCCGATTTCACCTTGTTCTTATAAGGATCCCTCTTTAGATTGAAATACGATTCTGGGTTCCTAGGCTCGATATTATGTTTCCGGCAAAACGGGACCCACATGTTAGCAAAGCTTGCAGCTTCCGCCATGGCTTCGAAGGTCAAGAGTGCACCACCATCATCGGAAACATAGCAGGCCAGCTTCTCAACCGGATAATCAGCGGCTAAAATCGATAAAATGGTGTTTGCAGTAACGAGTGGCGGTTCCTTCTCGGGATCTGCGGTGGACACAAAGATATCGATGCCTGGAAGATCGGACTTCCCGGTAGGGTTGTTTAGGGTTGGTAATTCGAATTTTTCTTTCAAAACATTAAGATCCGTGGCTCGGTTGACAGGGTTGAGCTTCGGCATTTGGTCAAGAACCCAAGAGAAGGCAAACCATAGTTCACAAACTACCGACATTCCCCATAGCCAGATTGCTTCGTTGTTTGGGTGGTTGATCCTCCATGCCAAGAAGAACACAAGAACAACCATTCGCACAAGAATAAGAAGCCTGCACGTAAAATACCAAGAATCAAAACCATTCCAAAGTTAGCGGGTTGTTTGTAGGATGCTGAATGATTAAGTGGTCAGAATGATTAAGATGCTCCATATTACCGGTCCCGAGGGAGGGTGAAGCATGAAGTTGATTCATTTGCGAGAAGGTGAGAAGTTCCAAGATCATATATGATTACACGTGATATGAACGCTTAATCAAACACATCGAAGAAGGACGTAGCCGACTTGGTGAAAGCAACCTGTGTTTAATCATATATGATATTGGAACTTCTCGCAACTGGGATATGACGTGTTCATTTGGTTTTGGTATATGATCCAGTGCAGGATGAAAAATGACTGAATGAACAGTCTGAATGGCATATAATTACTTATAATGGGATGCCTAGGATTTCAAAAGACTTGGAGATTCCTTCAAATTACATCAAAATCTTCTATGTTAAGCATATGAATATTGAACAATGGAGGTCACTGTTTGTTATCGGTTTAATGAGCTTAACGAGACTCGCATCTTATTCGGTCAACTATACATGACTGTCAGATAGTGGCTTAATGATATAGACAGTGGCTTATTCAGTAAGTTTCTATGGAACGTTTTATGCAGAAAGCCAAGATTTTCAACTCTATCACTCCCGGTTCAAAAAGACACTCTTTCCATCTATGCAATAACTCTCTCAAACAAAACACTTCTTAATCTATACACACAAATTAATCCACACATACATCTTTATCCATAAAGGACTTACCAAGCAGACTATGATAAAGGAAACAAGAGATATACCGATACGGGCTCAAAATTGCAGCCGGGATCCTTAACTTCCGAGTGAGCGGTCTCCATGGCTTATTCATCATTTCTAAAGACTCGACGTGATCGTTATCTTTTCCGTTCTCAATTACACCCTCCTTCGGCCATATTGCATTCCCATACCCATAAGTCCCACTAGTTTCAAACAGCCATCTGTTATGATCAAAATCCCCCGTCTGACTCCTCATCAACACCGATTTCGTCGACTTCATCAACGACAACCTCCTCTCCGGTTTCGACATCCCTGCCAGTGGCGGCAATGGCAGCGGCCTAACACCATTTTCCACCACCAATTCATCCAAATCAGTCGTCTTATACAGCTCTTTACAACCTGGACAGATCCCATCACCTGTCTTAATGGCATCCAGATAACAATCCCTACAAATCTTGAAATCGCATTCGCACGGAAGGATATCGGATCCTCGTTCATCGCTCATCACATTCGCATCGCAACCCGGAACCGAACACGAAGATCCTTTAGCACCCGCCATTTGCGGATGACTGATCTCGGAATCGATCACTTTATCCATCAGATGAGCTCGAGTAACAGCATTGAATCCACCGGTGAAAAGTGAACTTGAAACATACTGTTCTTCAACTTTCTGCGAAATCGCATCCATCGGCTGATTATCCGGCGTCGGCGGCAGGTGGACAGTGTAATTCAAGAAATCTTGACTTCCGAGCTCACTATCAAGATCGTCTCTTGAGTAATTAACATATCTCCCCGACGAAGTCCGGCGAGCGAAGGTGACCGTCGGCGGTAAAGGGGGTTTGTTATTCTGTGAATCGGTAGCATCGGAGCTTATAGAAAGATTAGAACGAGAACCCTTGAATGATTTCGACGCCATTTTTGAAAAAAACTTGGATCTAAGAAGAGTTAACAGTAATGTCAGCACGGAATTGACTAAACTGAGAAAGATTTCTTGAAAGAAAACCCACTTGTTGGAAATGCAGAGATGAAGAACAGTGATGAAAAATTAGGGTTTAAATGGAGTTGGATCTAAATCTGAAGAAGGGAAGCTGCTAATAAGGTGAAGAAATGAAAGCTGTCATCCCTTCCGACATCACATGTGAACGTGAAGCCATGTATTTACGCGTAATTGCAAAAACCATTTTTCCTTGAAAAATGGAGACCATAATCTGTTCATCCCACGATCACCGCCATTTTTTCCTTTTTTAAAATTGTGTGATTTGGATTCATGTGCTTATTATGTGTCTTTTCCTTTACAATCACCATAAAAATCGTTTCTTTTTCTTCTTTAAAGAAAAAAATAATCAATCATCAAGAAAATTACTTTGAAATTCTTGATCCCTTTTTGAATACTTTAAACACAATCATTATGGTTTTTTTTCCCCAAAGTTCTTTTTTTTTTTAACAAACTTAAGTTTATGTACGAAGGTCAGTCTCATACCAGAATGATACATATTTAACAAAATAAGAGAACATGTGATTTTACACTAACATTACATACATAATCATATGATCTGCCACAAGACGATAGGGTTACTTACACACTTTTTTGCTGTTAATGTAAAATCACATGTTATTTTACACATAATTTGACTATTATCTTATTTTCTTAAATATAAATAATTTTTGAATGGATTTTTGTATTTATTTGGTTGTATAATAAAAAGTTTAGACATAATTATATATTGTTTTAATATATTTATATTAATAATATTTTTTGATACAAATACATATATAATTTATATAGATTTTAATAAATTATAAATAAAAATATAAATGATATAATTTAATTAATACATGGCATGAAACTATGAAAGCGATGATCCAATCATGCAATGCATATGGCGCGAATGTGGGTTGCACGTCCCCATGATGCTTCTTCATCCCCCTTGTATTATTTATGATTCTCATCCTCACACATTCATCATCATCACCATCACCAATTCCCCATCATCATCATCACCACCATTGTATGATTCTTGATACCTCAATCAAACCTCTTCTATAACAAATAATGGAAACAAACCATCTTTTACATTCCTATATCAAAAATCAACATTGAAAACAGATTCTTCTGGTGTTTAGAAATGGCATACAACAAATTGGAAACAACCCCATCATCATCATCATCAGGGAGGTACAAGGCTCGTAGTAGTAATGTTTGGTGGCTTGCAATCACACATACAGATACTTCTTGATTCTTTAACAACACGCTGCGATCTCCGTATATGAAGCTTAATGTTTGCTACTTTACCAGCCATCTGTTAACACACCAACAAACACCATATCAGATTCGCACGCACTGAACTAAATCAAACCAAACACGCCCAGTATTAACCAAGAGAAGGTGGGATATGGAGAGGTGAGATGTAACACAAACTTGAGCTCCACCCCAAAGAGTAGAGCGACTGCTTCCACAAAAGACCCCAGACATGTGCCAAGTGTGCAAAAGAAGAAAAAAATTGGCAGGCAATGAATGAATAAAGGGTCGGGTCTAGTTTCATTGAGATAAAGAATAGCGCACCATTCGCCAAACCAAGTCTTCTGGCCCCAACGGCTGAGCAGGATGGGAGTATAAGAAATGCCTCGTGTACTGTTACATATATACAAAAATAGAAGCATGAGAATCCAGAAACAACGGAATATTGCTAAAAGATCATTTCTTAAACAACCTGATCTATATTTATAAAACATCAGTAACTAGCATAACTACATAACTATACAAGGATGTACGAGTTATCTTGCATAGTCACAAACCTTGGCCAAATTATCTTGCATTTCTCTTATTTGAGTAGGTTTAATACTTCGCAGGTATGCCAAAAGCCACCCTGGCTGCACGGCATCACTTGAAGAAACAAACAAAGATATCTGCAGTAAGCGTTTAAACTGAATCATCAGTGATTGATACCCAGACAATGTGCATGAAGAAACAGGGACATGTATACCAATAACAATTTCATATGAAATCAAAATGATGATGAATAAGCCTCCCCTGCAAACTCCCAAAAAAAGAAAAAACTTCTGACACATTTTATGAGCATTTCTTGGACCTTTTACAAAGCTTCAAGCAAGACTCTTTAACAAATGCATAATGTACAAAAACTATTACCCTTCACTTATATTAACTTTGAAATGTGTCTTTATAGTTAAGGAGAGATGCATCAAGCGGAAATGACATACTTACCCTACGATAGTCAAGAATTCCTTCAAAAGGAAGCTCCAGTTCATCACTAACTATAACCGGTATGCATCCACTGACAATGGCATCAAACAATCGAGCGGATGAAGGAGTATCACCAGCCGGACTCAGGCAAAACACGGACCTGCTTACCAAAAAAACCAACTCAAGAAAGATATAATAACAGATCCCGGATAAAGATACATGATCCAGCAACAGAAATTTACTTGCGCATGCCACTTTGTGCGGCTATTTTCCCTGCCTCTCCGGCACTGCCCTCTTCAATGATAACATCATCAGCATTACCAAGTTCCGATCCAAGTTTAGATCGGATTTTTCCTCCCTGAGAGTAGGATATTATAGGTGAAGATCACATGTCAACTTTAAGAGTGCGTTTGGTACTCAGACAGGACAAGCCAGGACAATTGTTCAGCGTTTGGTAAGAGAGGACTGAACAAGACTTGTAAAATGATCAATTTGCCCCTAATGAGTTGTTTATATATTTTGATTAATTTATGTAATTTTTTAAGTTATAATAAAATATATATTTTATATAACAAAATGTACCATTGGAAACTTTCGTCAAGACGGTTACCATAACACCAAAATATGATGTTTATGTAATTTCCAAATTTTATTTTATACCTTTTCTACATTTGTTTTTTATTATTAATATTTAATAAATTACATAAATTAACCAAAATATAGAAAACGTATAAAAATAATACTTTGTGAATAGTAAAGTGAAAGCTTAAAGATGATAAAATACAGTAAATAAAATTTAAAGAATTGATAAAAAGTTAAGAATATTTGATGTTTTACAAGAGAATTAGGTTTTATTTTGAAGGTATATTGCTAAAATATAGGTTTGTTCCACTTTGTTCCATGGAATGGGGTGGAACACGCTTGTTCCACTTTGTTCCTATCTGTTCCACATAAAAGGCATGCCAAACGTGGAACAATGATCTCTGTTATATTATGTTCTGTCATGTCCAATGTACCAAATGCAGCCTAAAAAACTAGATCTAGTCAAACTAAGCCAAAGAAAATCGAGCCAAGCTAGCAGCAAGAATATGCAAAACCCTTTTCAACAAAACTAAACGAAATCAGTTTTTAAATTTTGGGTATGATTCATACAGCGTTTCTTTTAAGCCTCCCACGAAAGTACAGCAGTGTAGTTCTCTTTGATGCACTTTCTGATAAGCATTTGGCATCACATAGATCAAGATTCGGGACATATGGAAGTATCAAATCTTTTTCAAGTGAAACTTGGCCGGGCTTGTACCTGAAATTGTTTAAGGATCACAAAGTGTAAGTCAAACATTAGATGAATGTATAAAGTTATGATTTTGGAAAGAATAAAAATACCAGTTCCCTGTGGAGTCCATATCTGGTAGCAGCCATATTGCATTCTTAACGTATTTGCGAACAGACTTGAAAGACCATGGATGATGAATTGGAAATATGTGATCTCTTCCTTCAGACCGCTTCCACGCAGGCTGATCCATAATCCACTTCAACGCTTCCTAAACAAGTGATACAAAAAAAATGGAGCTCCATTAGAGGACAATCCCAGATTTACCAAATATTATGATAAAATGCCAAAGTTTCAGTACAACTTGTCCTATAATTAGTCACAGGGACTCATTGGATTTCAGCATGGGCATTCTACTCATGATTTGCCAGCCTAAGTACATGTAAACTTTGCATTCCAATTATGTATGTATGTGTGTATTCAATAAATTAATGGGCACAGCGAAAAAAGTCAACTTCTTGCATCTTCATATGTGCATTCAAAATTTTTAATTGTTTGAAATCTGGAAGTATGCAATCACGCTGATTTGAAATCCAAACAACAAACAAGTTCAATGAGAATGAATAAATCTTTGGATCACAAAAGAACTCATGAAGCAACAGTTTTTAGCTGCATATAACCCAAACCGAACATACCCAGTATATCCAACCAGAGGTAGAGTCTAGGAAGGGTAGGAAGTAAGGTGTACACCGACCTTACCTCTATCTCAAGAGATAGAAAGACTTTTTCTGAGAAGACCTCCCGCTTGCAAAAAAGGTTAAGGGGCCGTTTACCAAACACTTACCCGATAAGTGCTTAGCAGTAAAATTCAACACTATCACTTACTTACCGGGTAAGATTTTAGTCCACCAAAACAGCATCGTATGCAACAATTTACCCGGTAAGCGCTTATTGGTCCTTGCCATATAATGTGACTTCGTAAGCGTTTACCCGGGTAAGTGTTTGGTAAACGGCCCCTAAGTAAATTTCATAAATAAAAAAAGTCCGCAAAGATTTGCCAAAAAAAGATTAGTTTTTTGGACATTATAAAGGAAAACAAAGAGCCTACTTAGCTAGAAAGCACCTACACACCAACGAAGCCCCTATTCCTATCATAAGATTTATGCGACTTCCATCTTTCTCTCATGCGCTTTCTTCATTGCCCAGCATTCCGACCTTAGATACAACATAGTTGGTTTGATGGCCACCTGTAGAATTTTCCCTTTAGTTTTAAAAGGATCTTCTGGTCACACAAAAATCCCATGGCCTCCCTCCACTTCAGTCAACTTGTTCTTATTCAATGTCCTCCTCAATTCTAAATCATAGATCCAAATACTTGAAGCTGCCTTTTAAGGTATCATTTGCTCCCCAATGTTTACCTTGATCCCCTTTTGTTGCTCGCTCCATTAAGATTGCATTGCACCAAAGATACTCCATTTTTGAACGGCTTGTGCGTAACCCTCTTGCTTCCAACTTCCAAGGCCTTATCTTTATTGCTCTAACCTAACATTCACCTCGTCTCCATCATTAGAGCAATGTCATCAGCAAATAGCATACACCAAGGTACACTTCTCCGGATTCCAAAATTACAACAAAGAGGAATGGGCTTAGCGTTGATCTTTGGTGTAGGCCTACCTCCATTGGGAAGATAAGCTTCTACAGGTATATTAACACCATGGTCTTTCTTAAGATCTCTGCATTTTTACATATCGCATCCGTCTAGATGATTGCCTCGGTCGTTGACCTCCTTGCCATGAAGCCGAACTGCTTCTCCAACACCACCGTATCGTGATGCACCCTTGCCTCAACTACCCATCCCCACAATTTCACTGTGTGGCTAAGAAGTTTTTTGCCACGATAACTACCTCGCAACTCTAAGCATCGCCTTTGGTCTTATAGAGGGGAGAAAGAAAGAGGTCTTTATTGAATCGAGGAATGACCATGTACTCCTTCCCTTACGGGGCCCATGGAGTAGCGTATTTCGATGGAACGTGCGGAACCACATATTGGATCACTCCACCACCACACTCGGTCTCCACTCATCTCACATCCAAGCATAAAACAGTTACAGATCAAAACATAGAAAGCAAATCTTCTTGCAAACTAATAATCGCAGTATATTAGTTCTCGCAATCAAAGGGACATATAAAAGGTCATGATTTCTAACATTTTCTAAAATTCCAACTATATGTGGTGCAAGCTCGTCAAGAAATTTTTTAACACACAAGACAGTCAAGATATTCAAATTTGCAGCAGCTTATAACCCACAAGCAACAGAATTCATGATAAACTTGAAAGGGCAAAGAATGCTTTACAAGCAACACCAAATGCATGATGCAACATTATATGGTATAAAAAAGAACATATAAGAGAAATAATTAGCATAAGCCATGGATACACACTCACACCCTGTAAAGCATCTTGCATTGCTGTTTCTCCAACAAGAAGTAGCTAATGGTTGTGAAAAATGGAACATAAAAAAGGTCAGCATCCTCCTTCCTATGAACTCTTACAACACTTTTCAAAAGCCTTTCTGATTCTGGAGCAATTAAGTCCGCCCACAGCCAGTAATCAATGGAATGCTGCACGAAGAGAAAATGAGTTCGTAAGATAACATACTGCCAACCTCAAAAGATCACCAATGGATAATAAAGATGCGTTTTTGGGTAAAGAAAGAACCCACCTGTTCGATAAGCCGATGAACAGGACTGCCATTAGAGGTAAGATTAAAGGTTTCTTTGTAAGTATTCTGGAATAACGAAAGCATATCGTAAGTAAATTTGGCTGGCATCTCGTAAACGTAAACCCTAAGAGGCGGAGAAAAGAATGAACCCTTTTCATCATTATAAACCCTAGCAGTCTCTGTTCTCCAGATGAGATCATCTAATCTCCTCACTTGCTGATCCTCTTCAGCCGCTGAATCACCGACTGTATCATCAGGAAGATGGCGAGATCCATGAATGCTCCTCTTACTCAAGAATGATTCAAGTGAAGCGACAAAAGAATACTCAACATTAGGATTAAGATGGGGTTGGTTTGTATTGGAAGTGTGTATGGAGATGGGTTTAGCAGGGGAAGAAGAAGAGAAGATGCAAAAGAGGAGAACGAAGCAGAGGAAGGAAAGTAGGGCTAGAAGGAATGGAGATCTGGTGATTTTGGTAATGGGGTTCATGGAGGAAGAAGAAGAGTATTGCCTACCACCAGCCATCTTGCCCACCAAAGAAGAAAACACATAAAGATGTTCAAATCTTGAGAGCTATGAAATCGTAAATCTTGAATCTTGGAGTTATGAAATGGTAGCAGCTGAGATTGATAACAAATCTTTAACTTCTTTTTACATAGACAAAGTTGGGTTTTTGAAAGAAATGAATCGAAACCTAAGGAAAATATACGTTTGTTCAGAAAAGAGATTTTAAGATCATTTGAATGATTTTGTATTATATATCTTTATTAATCATTCGGTGTTTTAATTTCGTTGTAAATAATTATCAAACAATTATATTTCATTTTAAAGTCTTTTGATCATTCTGATAACTTGATCATTTTATACAAAACCATTCAACAATTGTCAAGCAACATCTTCTATTTGTTTTCAAGTTGGTATTTTTATTATTAAGAAAAAAAAACATTTTATACAAAACCATTCAACATCTTCTATTTTTATTTGTGATAAAGTTTCTGTTCCTTTTCTTCATAGGAAAGAAGGGGAGAAAGAAGAAAGAAACCATCCCCTTTTTTCTTGTTCAATACCATCAGTGACATAAATGCATCTCCTTCACCATGCTAGATACTTCTATGCTAGTTGGAAATAACAACCATTTTATGAAATCAAGCGAAAGACGGACTTATTTGCCCGGTATTTCTTGGTAACATATGTACACCAGCAGAAAAAACGCTTTCCCTTTTTAATAAAAAGAAGGTAAGCTTCATAGCTCCAATCCGGTAAAGGGGCTTTGATGGAAGCCGTTTATATCAGTTGGGTTGCTGGATACAAGATCCTCGTAACAGGCTGCACCAACATCGAGTCAAAAGAGGACAATCTTTAGAAGCAACAGATCGGGACACCAAGAGAGCGTTTGGCCTTCCGTTATTTTCTTCCTTAAAAAAAGGCTTCAATATCTATAAAAATACAAGCAAGTAATGCATTAATGGCAATGCAAAATTGACAAGCTGAGTGACATAACTTTTTCTGTTCAGTACATTTCTTCTTATGTTTGTAGAGTGAAATCTAGCCACAGTTCAAACCACAATCAACTTGGGTTAACACAAAATGATTGGAGAACTAGAAACAATGATAAAGTTCCAAATATAATCTCCCCACACAAAAAAAAAACATAAAACCAATGAAGAAAGGAACAACATAAAGATTCCGAATTCGTATTCATAATGTGCCAAGAACGGCCTAAAAGCTAATAAGATCATCTTTAGATGACGGATCCTTTCGGGGTTCAGACGAGCCACCACTTTTCTTCCCAAAGATCATCTCATCAAGATCATCCATCATCTCATCGTTGTTACTGTTGTTGCCACGAGACCCTGCAGGCTTTCTGATCAACGATTCTTCTTTCGCTACTTGAGGCGGCTCATCAGGCTCTGTAGCAACAGCTATCATAGCGGGTTCTGGTTCTCGTTGCACCTCATTAGGTTTCTTCATTTCTTCGTATTTCGACAGGGCTTTCTGAAGTTCGTCGTTCACGCTCAACGCCTCAAACAATATGGCCTCATCGTCTCCTCCTCTCTCCACCATTCTCTGGATCGTAAGCTGGGACTGGCGGCATTGCTGTACGAGTGCCATGGTCAAGTCGTCCTGAAATGACAGCAAATATAAGACCGTGGGTAAACACTTGCCAAAAAGACCAATTTGCCCATCATCCAATTGAATAATAGCATTGGCAGAGACATAAAGATCACTACTAATAGGCTTTCAAGAGCCAAACATAAAATTTCCTTAAAATTATGATACTTCTAATGAATACATTTTGTTATATTCTAACATGTTTCCACCAAATATGTTGATAAAGTAAGTTGCAGCAAAATACTCTGATCAAGTGTATGAAAAATCCAATATAATATTTATAAGAGCGAATGGCACACTTCACCCAATAGTACAAGGCTCTAAACCTCCCGGTCCACAAACATCAAGAACCCTCATCTCATAAGTCTTTATTGAGCATATGTCAACTTTTATAGACACAATGGATACGAAATATGATCATGACATACACTGTAAATCCAAGAGAAGGGGTGCCTAATATATCATGTATGGAATTTGTCTGATTATCGTGATTGTCGACTGAAGCATCACAAGAAGAAAGCTCAAGTAAGAGCCACAAAGATATCAGGTAAAAAGTCTGATGGACAGTCCATAAATGAATTACCATAAATGAGCCCCAAAATGGTTACATAATCATCATCGTGGTTCCGTTAAGAAAATATTGTTGCAAACCAGAACTTCTACTTAACCAAGTGACTGGTCAACTCTATTGTAACTAAAGTGCTTTACATAAACTAAAAATGGTAAGACAGCAGTCATGATGTGTTCTATAAATTCTATACCAACAAAAGTTTTAAGAGGATCATGCTGAAAAGGATTAGGAGAGCACATATACATGATGAATATTTCAATGTAGTAATGATACCTGCAAAGCATCTTGTTGGGGTGAAGAAGATAGAACAGTTGACAGAAGCTCAAGACTGTTCCGTGCTACATCAAATGCTTCTTTTGTTTGTTCTGCTGACATGCTTCGAATCGGAATCTCTTGAGGAATCTGCTGCTGTGGAGGAAAGGGATACGATTCCGGAGGTGGAATTGAACGAGGAGGGGTGAATATAGGAGCCAAGCTCTCGGTATCACGACCAGGGAACCGTATTCCTCTTGATTTCAAACTCTGTTATTACATAATTAAAGAAAAGCTTAATCTCACAACAGATGTAATATAACCAGAACAAGAATCACAATCAGAACTCCTAACACTTAATCTCGCTATGTTTCTTCACAGCTTCACTTTTAAACTATCTAGAACCAAAAAAAATCATAGCTATAAAAAGTATAAAATTGCCCTTTTATGTCAACAATACCAAATGAGAACAAGGGAACAGCAGCCGAGGAATATAAATATAAAAGAGAGAGGAAGCTAATAAAAACCTATCTGTAAGAAAACCTTGTCGGATTGAGAGCTTTTTCATTGTAAGCAAGAAAAAGATAATCATTGATTTCAATATATCTATTTTACCTTTAGCATTTGCAAACAGATAGCCCTTGACAAAGGAATATAGAGACAGCTAAGAGATTAAAACACAGCCTCATGCTAGCCACCCTTCATGTGATTAATCCAGATGTTAACAAGAACCAGATTTGGTTTACAAAGCAAGCTCTTTTCAGATGATCTGGACTAATCGGGTGTGGGCCATGTAGGAGGACGAAAGGGGGCCGGTGATTTGCACTTAGCTGCAAATATGGTCAAAATACCTTTTATCTCTTCATAAACATGCAGATATATATATAGGGTCAGGTCCAGTGGAAAACTGTGAAAAATTGAAAAACTGAGGAACACCCAGGATACTGTTCATATGGATGGTATGCACATGTGCATAACATGCACACATACATAAAACCCAAAAAAAAAACTTCAATTACTTGTATGCACATGCCGTCCAAAAGAATGGTTACGATAGTGTTCCTCAGTTTTTCATTTTTTTAGGAGTTTTCCCCCGAACCTCCCTCTATACATATAGGAGTTAATAGATGAACTTATCGTCCCCATTTCAGCCCCTTGCATCCGATTAATCCAAATCCACAAAATGATTAAATTGGTTTTAGAACATGTTCTTTTGAGATGATTTGGGACAAATTAGGGGGGAGGGGCGCGAAGAGGCTGACGGTTTGCAGCGGAAATACCTTATATGTCTCTTCATAAACAGGCAGATATCGAAGCTCCTCAGTAGATTCTCCCCATGCTTCAATTAGAATCAAAGCCTTATTGCGATTATTGACCACTGTCTGGGGATCGTCGATTATCTTCACCATTTCATCAAGCACCCTCTCTGCAGCAACCTCAGAAAAAGCCTTCTCACAGTTCTTGACTACAGTCTCGAGCAACACCAGAGTCAGGTACTGAATTCTAGCGTTCTTCAGCATGATCCTTTTCTTTATGGCACGTATCATGTCAATGCTACTAATCCTCTCGTGGTTAATCATATCACACAGTTCAAGATTCGTGGCCCAATCAGGCTCGTCTAGAGTTTCCGCAGTTGCTTCCTCCACAAGATTATCAGCTTCGTTCGGACCTTGAAAAAACTCTTTCATTTTAAAACTCATTGAACTCATACCCGCAGTTATCTTCTGACCGACCTCAGATCCACCAATCTTAAGACGCTCACCGAGGGCATTAACTTTGTCCATTAGATTATCACTCATGATTACAAAACCTAATCTTCAAAACCCTGAATTCAATCAATTCAATCAGACCTTCAAAACCCTAATCAGCCCTAATCTTCAAAAATCAAAACAAACCCAATTTAAGAATCCAATACTCCAACAGATTATATTATCAAAACTTAATAAAACAACTCAACAAGTAATTTGAAAATACTACTACTATAATCCGAGAATCTCTTGCAATTTCAAGAAACCAACAACAAAATCGGATGGTTTCCATAAGTAGAAATCTGGAACATAATAATGTAAAGGGGAAACGATCAAAGGAAGACCCGTAACTTGCACTGATTCAACAAGTAGCTGCAATAATTCGAGTATAAATAAACAAACCTACACATGATCGTATTCTCCAATGAATCAAATAGTGATCAGGTGATCAAGAAATCGATGGATGGTAACAAAAATTTACAAGCATGAGCGCTAATTAAAACCCCAATTTCGACAGATTAGAGATAGAAATGAATGATCACATAAGATATTATAAACAATTTCTACAATAATCATCAAAACATAATAAAATCGAAATCAAAAAAGGAGTACCTTTTGAGCAAAAACTGAACCAAGATGGAACTGTTCGCTTGTGGGTGCGTATAAAAGGGGTTTATAACTTGTTTGCACGGAAGACTTGCAGGTGGGTCTGGGGTTTCCTTGAAGTTGCAGCAAGTCTTGTACTCTTGACCTTGATCGGTGGATATATTCTTCAATGTTACAATAACAGTCCCTATACATATATCATATGAACACTTTTCCCCTAAACAATTTTTATTTCAAACATTTATAGTCCTCGATGATCATTTTTTACCGTGTTCAGTCCCTGACTTTGTTAGTGTTCATTTGAGGACGAAAAAGTAGTCATGTTTGCTTCGCGTTGCGTCTTTTGAAAATACATGTTTATTTTATTTCCAATTCTGCATAAACACAAAATGCACACAATAAGAAACAACATATGAAATTAAGATACGCGTGATATACATATACGCTGTATAAGCCGTTTGTTTCCTATTAGAAAACGTACTTATACGATTAGTTGATATGATGGTCTTTCTGTCGGTACAAAATTCATGCACAAAAAAGAGTAAATTACAATTTTTGTCCCTATGGTTTGTTAATAAACCTGATTTTCGTCCATGTGGTTTAGAAATTACAATTTAAGTCCCTGTGGTTTACAACTGATTGTTATTTTCGTCTATTGACTAGTTTCTATCTTTAAGTATATGGAACCAAGACAGTAAGGATTTATAAACCAAAAAAATCGAAAAAACAATAAACTGTAAATTATAAGAATAAAAACACAATGAATTATGAAATCATGGGAACGAAAAGCAATTTCTAAATCACAGTGATAAAAAACGTAACTTTTAACAAACCACATGGACTAAAAATATAATCTACTCTAAAAATGACAAAATCATGCAATATTAAAACCGGATGACATAAAAACCTCGATATTTGACGTTATGTCAGGAGTTTGATGTAACGTTGCATTTTGCATTAACAAAACGAACATTGGAAATGATAAAGAAAGAACGATAATGCAGACGTAAAAAATAATGCATATTATGGAGTTCGACAGAGGTATGTTTGAATAATTTACATGTAACAAAGTTATGGGCAAACTGATTTAATAATTTCATTGAATTTCCATTCATTCATGTCCCTGATGTCGTAAACAATGCATGTTGCATTTAATAGGCAAATTGACACACACTTGTACAGTTTTTCACACATATTTTTTTTTAAAATTTTGTTCTGCAATTAGAGGATTTTCATGAAATATATACATCCCCTAAAGTTGAGGCAAAATCTGCATGTAATATGCATCGTATTCCTAATCGCTACTTACATGTAAATATAGTAAGTTTGTTTATTCCAGTCTGGTTTGAATGTTGCTTCGAGAAAAGGGTAAAATGGTCATAATGTGTTTGTTTTTCTTTTAATAATTTTATTTACAGGGAAATTTGTGTAAACTACAAAAACCACTGTTGAGAAAGTCTTAAAACCTGAAGTAGTCCTTGAAAGTTGTTTTCTTACCTTTTATATGCTTCTTCATGTCCATATTTTTGCATCCTTTTTACTTATAAGCAAAACTCGTGCAAAAATATATAAAAATATTTGGGCTTTTTTTAAACTTGAGCAACCTAACCATGAGTTGGCGTTAAAAAGGGCCTCGATGGGCCTTCTTCAGAACAAATTTTTTTTGGGTTTTCAGGCTTATTGGCTTTTGGGTAGATATGGCCATTTCAGCCCCGTTAGGAACGGTTATGAGATCGCGGTTTGGGACCTGTTGCATTTTTGGTAGGATTTGAGGGACCGGCTTGAAAAATTAAAAAAAAAAATACTTGTTACAAGAACCCTTAACCAGATCTCACCATATACGACGGGACCAAGACCGGTCCGGATTGCTACTGTTTCAGCCCAGGATTGGTTTTTATCCATGTCTACTATGAGGAATGGCTTGGACCGAACTTCTAGCGTTTACCCATCTTTGTACATATATACCTAATTACTTTACTCCAACAACTTTTAATACTCTTTATCAAACAAATTCAGTATATAGCTTAAAAACAAACATATAAAAAGTAATCTCCATCAAAATTATAAGGTTGAAGGACCATTTTTGTAGTTTAATATATCTTCAATGATCCAAGTAAAAGTTCGACCATGTTTCAGTTGAAAAGGAAACAAAAGATAGAGAAATCAAAGGGGCGTCGTGGGGCGCCGCCGGCACTACCCGACTGAGATCATCATCCCGATCGATCAATTTGCCAATGCTGTTTTGTGTAATATCAAGTTACTGGTACTTCTTTCCATTCTTTTTAACTACCCATTTATCCACTTTCTGTAAATTTAACCTTAATCCATGCTTTTTTTTTTTCTGTTTGATTCGAAAGACCATCAAGAAATCTTGATTTCAAGCAACCAAGTATTGGGATTCTTTTAAAATATGTTGGTATACATGCTTTAGGTGGACTGATTCTGGGCAGATGCTATGGATATTATGTGCTGTGCATCTATCTTAACGAAAGTTCGCATTTTGGCTTTCAAGCTGTGGGCTTTTTTACTTATTTTAAGTGCAAGATTGACAAACAGTAACTTTTCTGGTTAGAATATTTGGTAATCGGAGTTAGTTTTACAGAAGGTATCAGAATGGAAGCATTTGGGAGATTGTGATGATTGAAATTGAAATTTTTTATTGGGATGGATGGAATCTGTGCTATCAATTCATTTGGGGTTGTCTGATGCTGTGTAATGGTGGTACCTTGTGTAGAACCATGGATTAATTGGGATAAAGATATTGGATACGATGGTAATTTAAAAGAAAAAATCAATGTGAGTTTGAAAAGTCTCAGAATTACAAGTAGTAAGAGCCTGTTGGTTAACAACTTAATGAGTTTAATAGGGCTTATAGCTTATTCAGTCGGCTATATAGGCTTGTTTGGTAGTGACTTAATGATACAGAGGGTGGCTTACTTGGCAAGCTTTTAGGGGGGGACTTTATGCAGAAAGCCAAAGTTTTTTCTTTAACTTGCCCCTCCCAATTAAAAACATGTTTTTTCCATCTTTGAAAATACCCTCCCAAACAAAAACTCTCGGTCTATAGTCTATACAGACAATTTAATCCATACAGTCAGCTTTATTCATACAAGCCTTGATGGAAAACCAGTGAAACAGCCCCTAAGCTTATGCCAAGATGCATATTAATTTTATTTTTGGTGATTCGACTTTATAAGTCATGGTGCAACTATTTACTAGGAAACCTTGGGACATTTTTTTTAATAATGGAACAGTTGAGATGCTTTGATGACTGACCCATTGATAATTCATAATCAAATTTGTTTTATATTGGAAAAGCTTTATCATTCCAAGTCAGGGGTCACGGAAACAACTGTTTTAATCTCTGGGTTGCAGATCAAGTTACGTGCGTCATATACTCCCCAAAACCCACCTCAGGTGGGATATATTCCGCTCTTTTGGCTTGGTTTGGTTTAGACAACAGAAATACAGGCTTCAAAACAAGAAGCCTTTGTGAATTCTTGAAGTGTAATAGTAGAGTTAGAGTCTGTTTGTAGCAGCTTAATGAAATTAATGGGACTCACAGCTTATTCGGTCAACTATACATGACTATTTCATAGTGACTTACTGGCTTAATAATATAGAAAGTGACTTGTTCAATAAGCATTTAAGAGGGAGCTTTATGCAGAAATTCAAGTTCTTTCAAAACACGCCCCTTCCAATTAAAAAACACGTTATTTTCATCTATGAAAAAGCCCTTCCAAACAAAAACCTTCTCAATCTATGCAGACAGATTAATCCCCACATACAGCTTTATCCATACATGACTTAATGGAAAACCAAACAAAAATCCCCTTCGTCTAAATACTGCATTGTTACTGGACAATGTGAAGTTAAACAAGCATACATGCACATATATTCACACACATTAGCACGTGTTTTTACACACACTATATATGTTGCTAAAGTAAAGCTGAAGCTACATTTCTTCGTGTATCTGCATATTCAACTAATACTCATTACATTAGTTATAATGCTCCTTGTAGGTTCTCATTTAATTACCTGTCAACAATAACTAGCTTTCATCAATCGGGATTTGAGTGAAAGACGTTGATTTGAATTTGGATATGATGGATGTAACATGGCTCGGTGCTATCTTAGTTGGGGCAGGTTGCCTTGCTTTGGGGTTCTTCATTGGTGCACGAAAATCCAGTCGCAAGTTTCTTTCGACCAAGGTAGCTGAAGCCACTGCACTTGTAGATGGAAATCAGAAGGGTCGGGCCAAAAAGCCCCTTGAGATTGAAAAGCTGGCTGAGATTATCGAGGATTTTAAGATGGTAATCTTGCCTCCAAGCATCATATCCCTCTAATGTGTGTATGAGTATGCATAACTAAAGATTATAGGCTATAATATAGATTTTGCTTCTTTTATGCAGGTGTTGGTGGTAAGGAATGACCTAAAGATGGGGAAAGGAAAGATTGCTGCCCAGTGCAGGTAGCTCGGACTTTGTTATGTAACTTGTTAAATGGGTTATAGGTTGAATTGCAACCATGTTGATGGTGTAGTATTCATCATGAATGTTCTTGTTCATTATTCATGATGAATGGGGACAATAGGGGACACATGTTGCTCTCTCTTTTGTCCCTCGGTTCACAACGGAAAAAAGATTTGCAATTGAATTCCCCCTCTCTTTTTATATATACAAGAGACGTTTCATTTGCAAACCATCTAATTCCAACAAACTATACAAACCATAATAATACTTATATTAGGAAATAATAGAGATATTTATGGACAATTATCATGATTCATTAATTATGATCGAGATATATATGGAAGATGATAAGGTTCATTCTTTATGATCATGATTATAGATTAGGAAATAAAATGAAATCAAATATTTATTAGATTAGATGGACGGCTAAGATTGGTTTGTAAATGAAACGTCCCCTCTCTCTCTCTCTCTCTCTCTCTCTATATATATATATATATATATATATATATAAACTCAAAGGGTTTAGGAGAAAATTGAGGAACGCCCTAATAACCATTCATTGTCTATTATGCACATGTGCATAAAAGTAATTTTTCCGGTTTCAGGTTGTAGTATGCCATTTGAGAAACGCATCAAAGGAACATATAGAATGTAAAGTAGAAATGGAATTAAATTAGTGACAACTTCTAGTATTATGTGCTTCCAAATCCTAGTTTCTTTGATGCATGCATCACATGTGGAAGCCTCTTTAGAGGATCGTTTATGTTATGAGATTATATGTTTATATGATATGAAGGATGGGATCTGGAGAGGTAGAGGGTGGGAGATAGGATTAGTAAGTTAGACTAGGGATGGTTTCCTTAAATTGGTTATGCTTTTCTTGTATCTGCTTTTGTTTGTATGCTATTGCTTATTCTTAACCGACTTTCGAAACTTTATCATATCTTTCTATCTTTGGCAAACGGAAACAACCGCCCTACTCTTGTGGTAGAGGTTATGTCTGCTTACATCTTACCTCCCTAGACCTCACCTCTAGGTGGGATATACTGGGTTCATTTGGTTTGGTTTATGTTTGTATGATTTTGTGAGAATGACATAATTATGTTGGTTTGACAGCCATGCAACTTTGGGTCTCTATAAAAAGATTCTTCACAGGGCACCTAAAGCTTTAAGCAGGTAGCTTTGTAAACCATTTCAATTTTGAGGGAGATGGACCCTAAAAATGTACTGTTATGTGTTTTGTTGTTGATCATGGTGGATTTTCTTTATATATGCAGGTGGGAGATGTGTGGGCAGGTTAAGGTGGTGGTGAAAATTGAAAGTGAAGATGATATGCTGGTTTTACAAGTACATTTTTATTGCTGTGATAGTGTCGTCTATAACATAATGTTTGCCTTGCTAACCTTCAAGTTTTCAATATAATGTGCCATTATAGTTTCACACTTAGGGGCTGTTTGGTTGGTTTTCATTAAGTCCTGTATGGCTAAAGTTGTCTGTGTGGTTTTCATTATAGTTTCACACTTAGGGTTTTCTCACAGATTTGAAAGAGCATGTTTTTAATTGGGAGGGGTAGGTTTGGAAAAAACTTGGCTTTCTGCATAAAGTTCCCTCCTAAAAGCTTACTGAATAAGCCACTTTCTATATCATATTATCATTAAGCCACTACCAAGCAGTCATAGATAGCTGATCGAATAAGCTGAGTCCCATTAAGCTCGTTAAGCTGCAAACAGGCCCTTATATTTATATGGAGAAATCTTATACACTAAAGGCCATCTGTTGACTTAAATGCATTTTATACTTATTGAAAAACCGCAACTAGAACATACCGTCCTTTCTAAAGGTATCTAACTTGACCAATTTTAAGGTGGAAATAATTAGAGGCTTAACAATGTATACCGTCCTTCCTAAAAGTCTCTAACTTGACCAATTTTAAGGTGGAAGTAATTAGCGGCTTAACAATGTGAGAATGTTTAACCCATGGTTGGTTAAGGCGAAAATACTAACCACATGGCAATGGCAAATACTAACTAGATTTCTGATGATGCATAAAACTAGTCTTAGATCCTTTGTAGTAGAACCTCGAAGGTTCATTGCATCTACAATTCTTGATGAGGAGAACTTCTATAGAAATGGGAGACCCCGTTGTTATTAAGCATTCAAGAATCAAGATTACAAAGTCATTCAAGAAATGTTCTTAACAATAAAAGCTCTCTTTCCTGATCCATTTTCTGGGTACTCATCCTTTATTTGGAACTATTTGTTATGCAGGAAAGAGCAAAATCAATGGCTATACCAACCCATATTGTCATTGATGCTGGCCGAACACAGATAGCACCAAGTGAGCTTCTTTTTGTTCTTCTAGTATAGAAGCTATATTTTCCTGAATTCTGTTTGTAGGATTCCAAAACTTTTTTTTGTCACAATCCCACACGGGGGCAACAAAGGCTGCTTTATAAGGGACTGTATACCTCCTCTGTCAGACGTTTTAAACCGTAAGCCCAGGTGTAAATAAAGTTGGACAATATCTGGTACGATTGACTGGGGATGTCACATTTTTTGCTGTTTATACAAATTAGTTAAAGAGAAACTTATATGCATAAATATACAAATCCCCCTAGTGGATATAGAAGTATCTTGCTCCCTGTTTTCAATCATTCATCATGTATAACCTCTCCCTAATTTCATCTACTGATTTGCTCTGCAGTTCTCTTTTCTTGTTTCCTATTTTCTTTCTGTTAGATTTCGTGTTTGTGCATTGTCGTTGGCCTTGTTTTAAGATAAATGGTGCGGGAATTATCTGATTTTTCTCTTTTTTTCAGATTCAAGGACAGTGATGGCGGTTCTTGGTAAGTTTAATGTTTTCCTGTTTGTTCTTCTTTCCTTAACAATTTGTTAAAACTTATCTTCAAGTGCATACATATGCAGGACCAGCTGAAATGGTTGATGATGTGACTGGTGGGTTGAAGCTTCTATAGGGGTCTCTCTAGCATTACTTTGCAGTTAGTTGCCTACCTTGGAAGAAAAATGTTACGCAGATCTATTAGATTTTTTTATAACATTTTCTTGATCCTTTTGAAACAAGTCACGTTAACGAAGATACTGATGATGATGATGAGAAAGAACCTCTATTATGGTACCATACTGGATGTAGACATTCTGTTACCATGTTTTGCATGAATTATATTACAGTTTTTGATGCATTATTCTACTGCTGAAATATATAATGGATTCTATGAATAGAACTGTATATGCATATATGGATGGATATCTGCAATTTGCATAGGTGCATACAGATGACCAGCAGCTAAATAGAAGGAAAAAGGAGTGATTCACAGAGCAGTCGAAGGATCGTGTGAGAAGAGAGTTAAGGTGAGAAACATAATCACTTTTAGTCTCAAACCCACCCATGAATCATGTTTGGTGCATCTCATCTCGGTGCATGTCATCCTAATGTGCATCGAATGATGATCTATTCTTTCGCTTATTACCTTAACTCTCCTCACCGCAACCCAACCCTCACAGAACATATCTATCTATATATCTATATATATATATACTATATTATAAAACATTTGACAAAAACTCTTAAAAACTATCTTTTATGCATGAAGTACTGTTTATTGATGCATATTACTTAAAATTTAAGATTACAAATAAATTGTGTCTAAATACAATTTATTAGAACTCTATGTTTGAATTTGTGTAACTAACTGCAGATAAATATAATCAAATGTATAATAAATATCTCATTTTCAAATATAATTTTTTTGAAATATAATTAGAATAATCATTGAGTTTTAACAAAATACTTGATTATTATCTTTATAAAAAATTACATTATTAAATCCAAAATAAATTACCTTGCTATTAAACCTAAAACAAATTATAATAAAAAAATTGCACTAAAGAAATTACAAAAAAAATGAGAACTTTTAAATAGTTAATTTGATACTGATATCGACATTTTTTTCCCCAATTTTTTATGATATTTTTAAATTTATATTTTATTCAAAATAAAAATATTGTCGTTTTCTAAAAACCACATAAAACTGTATTATATCGATAGAGAATAAAATGAAACATTAAAATTGAGATGTATCTCGTTACATTGCATGAGTATCCTTCTAGTATATATATATATATATATATAGAGAGAGAGAGAGAGAGAGAGAGAGAGAAAGAGAGAGAGGGAGAGAGAGGGGTTCTGAGAAAGCCCAAAAAACGAGGAACACCCTGATAATCATTCGTATGCACATGTACATATAAGTAATTGAAGTTGTTTCTTGGTTTTTATACACGCATACATGTTATGCACATATGCATACCGGACAAATTGCTTACAAATCACTTATATACATACATCCATACTATTAAGATGAATAGTTACCAAGGTATTCCTCGGATTTTCATTTTTTACCGTTTTCAAGACCATTATGCAAGCCAATGTAAGATAAGAGTTTATGCAACACAGTTTCTGTAATATACTTGAGAAACGGGCAACGAAGGAATGGGTGACATATTCCTAAAATGCAATCCATTGCCAAAATTACCCATTTTAGCATCTCAAACAACCATATGTGTTTCCAACTACAACTATTACTAAGCCAATAAAACCATGCATCCTTCGGTTCATACCATGAAATCCACAATTTCTGCATAATCTACAGCCTACCACTTAAATGAAGCAATAAAACTAAAATGGAGTTTAGAGGGTGGTGTGCACTCGCTCAACCAGTAGCAGTCGCAGTAGCAGCAGTAGCTGGTGCTGGTGCTGCTTTGGGGGAAGTGGGTGGCTCTTGGCGGGTCTCGGCCTTTTGCCCCTGTTCTTCCTCCGCCACTTTTTCCATGGTCTTCTGTCCCACTTCTCCGGCAGCTTTTGTCACCCTACTAAATGCACCGGCGACCCAAGAGGTCCCAGTCAGCACATACCGGTTCTTCATAATGGCAGATCCAGCACCACTTACCGTTTGCTCAGCAGTGGCGAATGCTGTTCTTGTCTTTTCAGACACCTGAAATTTCTGATCCATTTCTCTCACTTTCTCATTCACAATTGTTGTCCCAATGCTGATTTTCTCAGTAAGGCCAATCTTCTGGTCTATTGTAGCTGCTTTTGCTGCAGCTAATGAAGTCAATTGGTGCTTCTCATCAAAGGCTTTGGCTTTGTTAACTGCATCTTTTCCCAATATGAATCCCTTGGCCAACATGCTGCTCACAACATCCTCTGCCTTTTGGACAGCAGATTCAGCAGCACCCCCACTTTGTTCCGCTGTTGCCTAAATAGTGTTTCACAACATTATGTCAAGATACTAACCTTTTAGGTTCATTCTTAATAAATAAAATGACAGATTCTAAGGAAGAATCATACATTTGGTGGTTGTTGTTGCTCTGAAGATGTAGCTGCAGAAGGTGGGAGAGTGTAGTCTGGCATAAGAGCAATGGTAACAGACTGGTCGACTATGGTTGCTCCCTGAAATTATCAAACCGAAACTGGTAGTCAGCACAAAAATGGTTTTAGTGAAGTGGGTATACTCCCTCCGTCCCAAAATAAATGTTCACTACGAAAAAGACGGTTTTTAGAATATGTTATTACTACAATTCTCAATCAACTAAACTACAATTTATCCTTGACAATGGAGGGAGTAATGAATTTCTTTAAGGATAGAACTGAAAAGCAGACACTTATTTTGGGACAAACTAAAATATAAACATGGACACTAATTCTAGAACAGAGAGACTATTTCTTATAACTTGTAGACTATGTGCATGATAATCAAAAGTTTATATACCGAGAGTAGAACTGCAGTCTCTGCGCCTTGAGAATCCTTAAAAGTGACGAAAGCATTTTGAGCTCGCTCATTCTCACTGGAAAAGTAGCAAGTACTTAATGAAACAAAATGATGGCAATTTTATAACTACCACATAAGGCTTGTGCAACCACATAGTCACATTTCTCCTGTAAACAATATAGGTATGCAAGAAGGCAATAATGATCCTTTCCGCACTGATTCAGTTTACACAAACAAGTTCAATGGCTGTCCCTATACAGGTGAGCAGTTGATATTTTTCTCCTTTGCCTTATGCCTCCTGTGTCTTTTCAAAAATTATAGCAACCTTCAAAAATCTTTTTGTCAAATCTCGTCTCTACATAACTTTTTCACAAACAATAGGTCTTCATGGAAACCGCCTCTCTACCCCTTGGGGTAGAGGAAAGGTTTGTGTACATCCTACCCCTCTTAGACCCTACTTTCGAGTAGGATTTACCGGGTACGTTTGGTTTGGTAATTTGGTTTAAGAATATGAAAATTTACATGGGAGTTTACGCCTTCAAAATCATGCGATCAATGATCACTATTATATAGAAAATGACCCCAGAATCTAATGTATTGTTGGAACTAACCTTTGCATATCAACATATTCAATTTCACCAGAAAATGAAAAGAATTCCTTGATGTCTTGCACGGAAGCACCTAAGGAAACATTGCTGACCTTCACTGTTCTTACCTGTCAAGATAAACGCACAAATTTCACTGATCATGGTTGCATGTGAAACAGAAAAACTGCAGATCCCATGAGAGCACATCAGGGCATGGGAAAGAGAGCAAACCATGCATGCAATTACCGGTTTTAACTTTTTTCTGTTTTACCCATTAATAAATCTCGTGATTAACCTTGGAAAACATGCAACTCATCAATCAAGCTACTAATCCATTCGTCCTCAAAGAAATTCAGAAACTACTTGAGCGGGAATTAATGGAGAGAACTTTGTTCTTACTTCCTAGCACCATGCTACAGCAGTATTACACATGGAACAAATAAAATTTCGCTCATCATGCCTTGGATCCAGATTTACCACAATAAGACCCACCCGCAAACAAAATTGTTTTGCAATACATAGGAAACACATTAAACAATAACTCAATTAAACTTATGCACACAATAAGCATTCGAGTCAAATCCAAAAAGATAAGCCTGTTATTAATAAACATTTGAAAAGGAAAAAACAACTGTCTTGATGGATCATGGATGATGCAATATACTCGAATTGACGTGGCCATTGAAGGCATGAATGCATAGTGGGATTACTCATATTCAAATATAGATGCTTTTATGAACCAAAATTAGAGTGATGCTTCGGTAGCATATAGATTTTTTACCACAATCTTTCTAGGAAATGTAAAAAAAAGCCATGTGGCACCAAAATCCTATGGGTACCAGCCAGTATTGATAACAATCTTGTTAAAGATACTAAATTGACCAACTCTTCTAAATGCAGAAAGCCCATAAAACATGATAAAAACGGCTATCTGAACATCGATTTTCTAAGGTATTTAAGTGGTAGACCTACAGCAAAGTCCCTCTACTTAATTGCTAACACACATATAACATAAAGGAGTCACTGAACATGAAAAGGTGAGATGGTCAGAAGATGGAAAAGACCACACGGAAACCGGAGAAATAGCGGTGGAATGATATGAAATTTACGGCGACATAAGATCCAGGTTGAATAACTAAGAAACAGTGAAATACAGCATCAAGGGGGATAAAGAAACAAACCTGAAAGACAGCAGTTGATTCATAGAACAGAAACACACCCAATTTCAAACCAATAACAACAAATAAAGGTTTCAATTTGTATGGAAATAAAGGAAAAATGATGCAAGAATTTGAAATCACTAACCGACATGGGATCACGGGCTGAGTGACGACTGACAACGGTGATGATGGAGGTTTTGGTTTATTGGGGGAAAAAGAGGTTATGGGAAGGAGGTTGATGTCAGTATCAATACTAGCAAGAAGCTTTTGTACACATGGTGTCGGGTCGGGTAGATCTGTTGGTCCCTATGTCAGTATCAAAATATATGTGAATTTATGTCGATTTCTTTTCTTTTTCTTGAGGTTTTTTAATGCTGATTTATTTTGTGAATTTTATAGTTTTTAAACAAATATAAAGATTTTTCATTTAATATGTACTTTATTTAAGATATTTGAGTTGTGATTGGATATATAAAATATTTTTTTAATAAAAAATTAAAAAGAAAATGTGAATTACGTTATATTTTAAAGCAAATTGCATTTTTGGTCCCTATAGTTTGTTGAGAGACCAATGAGTCCATCATGAAGATTGCTAACTAACATTGTTAAGTGGAGAGATCATGAGTGTTATGAAAATGAGAAGTTAGAGAAAACCAGTGCAGATAGTTTTTTTAGGGACCAAATCTAATATTTGAGCAAAGCACAAGGACCACCAGTGTAATTCACTCTATAAAACGATATATTTTATTTAAATAAAAAATCCTGACAAGTTCGTGCGCTTTCTGTTAACTTTTCTTTACGTTATTTGTCGGTTATAATGTTGTTTCAACTATATGCAAACATTTTTACTGATTTTGATGACAACAAACGAAACCTAATATATTTTATAAACTATTCAGTGGATAGTGTAAAAAAGTATAACTCTGATGGTATCTATCGATCGATCGATCGATATATATATATATGTGTGTGTGTGTGTGTATATGTATGTATATGGATATATGTATGTATGTATATGTATATGTATGTATATGTTTGGGGGGGGGGGTTTGGTTTCACATGAGACCACTTTTTTACATTTGAAACTTCAACAATAAAACGTTGTGACGGTAAAAAAAGTCAAACCTTCACAATGTTTTACTGTGAAGTTTCAATTGTAAAAAAATAGTCTCACGGGTCTCACGAAAACAGGCTGGTTTGACTTGGGATCACGTGAGACCAGCCTGTTTCCGTGAGACTACTTTTCCACACTTGAAACTTTACAGCAAAATAATGTGAAAGTAACATTCACAATGTTTTTGCTATGAAGGTTCATATTTTTTTACCTTCACTGTGTTTTATTGTGAAGTTTCAAGTATAAACAAATAGTCTTACGAGTCTCACGAAAACAGGTTGGTCTCACGTAATCCCAAGTATATATATATATATATATATATATATATATGTGTGTGTGTGTGTGTATATAACACAATCAAATGAAAACACTATATTGTGATAATCGTCAGGACTTTTATTTTAAAATATCACTTCACATGAATTTTTCTATTGAAGACTAGATTTTTAATGTATTGATTATCATATCATATGTATTAAGTTTAAAATGCGAAACTCTTTATATGTACTTTTTGTTTCACAGTAAAAGAGTTCCATATTATGAAACAAATACATGCATCTATTCTTAGGGTTTTTGCAGTTTTGTAGGTTTAAATATTAACCTGATAACACAAACTTAATCATATATGATTAAACACATGTTGCATTGATAACACATATACGCTTAATCATATATGAATAAACTTATTTTCGGGCAAACTTCTTTGCACACTTTTTGTAAGCCGAAAGCTTTTACAAAAACAATCAATATACTTTTTAAGATAGATGACAAATTTGTATATATCTGATTTTAAATAAAATATATAGAGTTGGTTTAATTTGGGCAAATTGCATGAAAAAATAACGTATTTTAACTTGATTCATATTTTGGATAACGTACTTTCAAAACTTTCATTTTTTGGTACCTAAGATGTAAAGTTTTAAACAGTTGAAGCATTAACTGGTTACCATATTAATGTGACGAGTGATGTGGTATCCAACACAATATTATTTGTTGAAGCATTAACCAGATACCACATCACTCGCCACATCAACATGGTAACCTGTTACCCGGGTACTTAAATGCTTAAAACTTTACATTTTAGATTCCAAAACAAAAGTTTTAAAAGTATATTACGTAAGATAAAAATCAAGTTAAATTACGTTACTTTTTCATACAATTTACCCGTTTAATTTTATTACAACACCATGAAAATAGCAAACCAAATTTCGAATTGGGAATCGGGTCTAACACAAACCGGGTCGTTGACCCGACCAAACCCTGTTCAAGTTTCTTGTTCTTGTTTCTTTTTCTGTTCATCACAATTAGATTCCTTTCTTCCAACTTTTCCAATTTCCCTTCATCTCCGATCTCCCTCCTCTTCACCCCCTTTATCTTTATCTACGTATAAACAACACCATACACATCTCTGATTCAACCTAATCTCGCCGCTTAACGATGTGGTAAGACCTTAACACTTTCATCTCAATTCAGTTCAATTCAATTCATCATCTTGTTACTTTCGGTTTCAGTTTTGCTTCATTTGCCGATCGTTTGATTAAGATTTGAAATACAATCTTTATCTCGATTGCCCCTTCATCCCTAAATAATATATGGAATCACTTTCCCAATTGGGGCAAGTTGTAGTCGTTTATGGTGATCAGCAACATGTAATTTCAAAGATTGCAGCTCATTGTGTGTGGTATATGTTACTGTTTGAATCTTTTTTAGTTATATGCATGCTCTCTTTCTTGTAGATGATCTGGTTTCTTAGGTTAGGTGGAAGAGGGCTTTTAGTAGCTATGGGTTTCAGTCTTTATTAATGATAAAGAAATGGTAATCCCTAAAGATCTTGTGGAAGGATAGTTATGAGATTTCTAATTCATGAAGGATTGAAAGGATCCTTTAGTTTATGCATACTTGGTTAATGATATAAGTAATGCCATCAAAGCATGCTTGTTTCCTAATTACTTTTCTCTTTGTCAGGAATTTCGTTAATAACACATGAGTTCGTCAATTTTTTTTCTAATATGCATGGTTTTCGCAGTCATCTACTAGTTTTGGTGACTTCTGCATGGCTTGTTGTGGTCGAGTGACATAAATGGAAGGAGAAACCTTCGTTTCAGTTCCAGTTGTACATCCGACTTTCGTTGGGAATTAAATGCCTTGCTATTCAATGATGAACTTGAGTGCATCTCGCCATCCAACCATATCTTACAGGCCTATACAACCCGCCGATTTAGAAGTTCTTGTAAAGATTCACGGTGATCTTTTTCCCATCAGGTTAGAAGATCCTTTTTTTAATTGAAATTTAAAACTGCCAATTTCTTGTGTATGGCTTTCTGGTGAATGAAGTGATTCCATCAAAAAATACAAAATACTTATTCAACAAGAAGCTTTATGGTTATTATAGGTATGAAATTGAATTCTTCCACAATGTTGTCCATGGCCGTGATATAGTTTCTTGGGGAGCAGTTGACCGCAATCGTCCTAATGGTGAAAGTGATGAACTTATTGGATTTGTCACTGCAAGAATTGTTATGGCAAAAGAAAGTGAGGTGATTTCTCATTATGGTATCTGACTATAGCAAAAAATAACCTTTTCCCGCCAGTATTGCTTATACTTGAAACAAGTACACTAATTGAGATCCAATTTGCAGATAGAAGACATGCTCAGGTTTGACAAATCAAGATCTGATCAGACTCTAGTTTATATTCTGACACTAGGCGTTGTAGAGTCTTATAGAAATTTTGGTATAGGTAAGGCGACTCTTCCATTTCCGTGACACATTTTCTTAAATAACTCTTCTAATAAATAGTAAATTGATATGTTGAATTTTCAGCCACTTCACTCATCCGAGAGGTGATCAAGTATGCTTCAAATATGCCAAACTGCAGAGCGGTTTACCTGCATGTAATTTCTTACAACAATTCTGCCATCCATTTATACCAGAAAATGTCCTTCCTCTGCATAAGGAGGCTGCATGCCTTCTATTTTATCAATGGCCAACATTATGATGCATATTTGTTCATTTACTATGTGAATGGCGGTCGGTCTCCATGTTCACCTTTGTAAGTGTAATTTCTTCATTCTTGCTTTATTTGATGACCATGAAGTAAAAAAGTTCTACATTTGACTTGTAGCCAGTTTGACATGAAATGAGTGCTTGCATGCGTAAGTATACCGTAGATTACCATAGAGAAAAAAGCATAAAGAGTGGAGACTTGTTCAAATGCTGTCATCACCTATCAGTTTCTAAAGAGAGAGATGAAGAATGGTGGGATTTGGGAAAGTAAATATATTTTGACAACATATGCATGGTCTGCACATCACATGATGCTTTTATCACTCAATTTAATGGGAACACCAACCCAATAGGCAAAAACATGCTTTACGCACCAAAGTTGATGATTTTTTTTGGGTACTTCGGCAAATGTCATGATACTTTCTGAAGATGAATCTTGTGCAATTTTGGCAAGCGGTCCGGATTTATGTTGTCTAGTATCCTGTCTTATGTATTTTGAGATTGGCCTAGGTCTTGCAAATCCTCCTTTTCATCCACCCTTTCATGCCATAAATATTTCAACATATGACTGAACACATAGTCTGATACAGGTGTCTTGCTGCAGGCTAAATGTCTAAAGCACCCCTTAATAAGGACAAAATAGAACATTCTTGTTGATTAAAATCAACAATTATTTCGTAATGATGAGTTAAAAAGGAAATGTTCGTGAAATGGAAATTTTGCGACTTTTATGGGATGAAGGGTTGTTGAAGCTCCGAACGAGTATTCTTAACCAAGTATTTTGGCATTTATTGTTCTCTACATTCCAAACAAAGATGAAACTATCATTAACAATTTGTCTCCCTCTATATACTACTTGGTAGTGATTGACTAGTGATTATAATGGAAAATTTGAATTGGGATAATTATGTCATTTCATATCCCAAATTTAGAAAATACCTCTTATTTTCTCTAATGGAATTTTATTGAGTGGAAGGGGGGGGGGGGTAATCAATGGTTTTTCCTAAATAGAATCCTATATAACATAATTTTAATGATCATGATTATTGGAGATTGGAAATTGGTAATGGTGAGTTTACATACTCATTAATGATCATAACCTCTTCACTTGCAGAGAGCTTGTTACACTTCTAGTGACATATATGAGGAGAGGATTGAAGTTGGTAAGCGCAAGAGTATGGAAGAAGGGCGAGAAGAATGGCCCGAAACGGGTCAAATACAGAGACAAAAGCTGCCTTCTACCAATGACACAGGGCAAGAGAAGCATTACAATTGAGGGTGCTGACAGTGATCATGTATAAACTTAATTGTAAAACCTGGGGCCAGGAGGCCATGATTTTCATTTCCACCCCTCTTCAGTGTTGTTTCATTTTCATCTTAATTTGGTTTGAAGCGAAACAATAAGTCTGTCAATCTTATAGTATGAATCTGAATACTGGGGTTTGACTTCTGTAAATTTCCTGTCGGGTGTTTTCATAGCGACTTCACCATAATTTCATATGTTTGTTTGATGGATTTTGATGAGGAATATGAAAGAATACATAAATATATTGATTGTTTGACATCTCTTTTAGAGGTCTTGTTGTATATTGAACCAAATCTTGTCAACATAGGTTTGCTTTGAGCTGTAGCCTGTAGGTGCATAGGAAATGAAGACATATATTTGATCTACACAATCCTTGACTGCTATTACTATCTAGGGATAGTTGAAGACAGTTAAATTGTGTGAAACAAAGATATCTTAGGGGCTGTTTGGTTGGGTTTTTTTAATAAAGTCTTGTATGGATAAAGTTGTATGTGTCGATTAATCTGTCTATATGGATAGAGAATATTTTGTTTTAGAGAGTTTTTTCATAGATGGAAGGTGTGTATTTTTTAATTGGGAGAGGAAGGTAGAAAAAAACTTGGGCTTTCTATGTAAAGCTCCTCCAATAAGTCTGGGTATGGATAAAATTTTGTCCATATCCATTAATCTGTCTATATGGATTGAGAAGTTTGTTTTAGAGAGTTCTTTTTCATAGATGGAAGGTGCATCCTTTTTTATTGGGAGGGGCATATCATTATGCCGCTACCACATAGTCATGTATAGCTGACCGAATGAACCTAAGTTCCATTAAGCTCATTAAACTGCTAACAAGCGGGCCCTTAGAGCTGTTTGGTTGTTTTTCCATTAATCCCGTATGGATTATGCTTGTCTGTGTAGATTAAGTTGTCCGTGTGAATGAAGCTATATTTTTGTTTGTTTGGTGTGATGAATAAGCTGTCGACTACCTTCTACTCTATTAAGCAAAGCCTAGACAACTTTAAGTTAAAGCTTCAAGTGAATGACGTAAAAATAGAGCAGACTGCCTGAAAGAAAACTGGTGTGCTGTACCACATGGATCAAATACATTGTCTGACTTATTATGCTGCCAGTTGGTACTCGTTATATAATTGAATTATTGAAAAGGAGGAGGGACAGTAGCTTAAAGTGAGTGTGCATGTGCATGTACTCTTGGCTTAACCTATAAAGATTTTTAAGAATCCCACAGCACTGGAAAACACATGGGGCTGAGGGTATCTGAGATCAGCACTTGCAGACACTAACTGTAAACAGATCATATCAAATAAAATATAGAAGGAACAAGATGCAGATGACATCTGAGTTCATTATTGCTTCATCTTCAAATGCAACAAATCTCAACTTCTGAAACCACATTAAGCTGCTATTATCTTCCTCAAAAGTTAACACTTCTTCCCAAATTCCAATCAACTTTCTAAGTAACATACAAGGGGAAAATAACATACAAGACTCATGGAAATTGGAATAGCATACACAAAATAATAATAATAATAACAAACAAATCTCCGTAGATGATACGTAATTACCCATTGTTTAAAATCATGGAAAAAAAAGACATTGTATCAAAAGAAAAAAAAAAAGGGACACAAACACATGTAAACATCGATATACCTCTTTTCACTACTCGACCATGGTCGTGCCCCCTACTTCTGGTTGTTGCTTGTGCTCTTCTTCTTCAGCAGGCTTCCAAACTTACGGAGCAAAGGTTTCTTCTTCTTCACTTGCTGCGGCTGCTTTGACGGTGAGTTGCTACCATTGTCTATGTTTTCTGTACCATTTATCTGATCGTACCCTTCACCACCTTCCGTTTTTGAATCCACTTCATCCTCGAAAGATTCTTCATGAGCTCCATCTCTGTCGGGTGACAAGTCTTTTTCTTCAATCTTGCAGCTTTCCCACATCTTAAATTCAACTTCTACTGAATCTTCATTTCCCTTTCCTGCTTCTTTTTCGCTCTCTTTATGTTCTCCATTCATAACCCCTGAATCCTTAGTAGCAGCATCCTTCACCGTTGCATCTTTTTGCAAAACTTCATTCTCAGTCCATGGTGTTTCTTTTGGAGGTTGTTCGGATTTTGGCATCTCGTCTCTTCCATCTCCATTGTGTTCAGAAAACTCTACCACCTTCGGAAGCATGTCATAGTCTTTTTCACTATCCGTGATGTCATCATTTTCTTCGACTCGTTCTTTGGCAGCTGCCTCCTCAACCAACTTTGACAACTCCTCCACCTTCTTGTGAAGCTCCAAGATTTCTTGATCAAGACTTTGCAACTCGTTTTCTTTGTCCATTAGACTCTCCTTCAAATTCATGCTCTCGGCTTTTGCCTCACCAAGAACTTCCTTAAGATATGTAACCTCAGATTCGGCTTCTTTCAATATGTTCTTGAGCTGCGCTCTTTCTTCGTTGGAGGCATACGCTTCTTCCTCTGTCTCTTTAAGCAAATTAGCTAACCTGCCTACTTCCTTTTCGAGCGAAATGTTCTCTTCTTTCGACTGCTTAACACAATCCATCAAATGTAGCTCCTTTTCTTTCCACTCAGATTCTGTATCTTGATGGTTATGTTTAGCTTGTTCAATCGTATTCATGAGCATATCAATCTCGTGTTTTGCATCATCGATCATGTTCTGATACTTTTCGTTCGTCGCTTGCAGAGCCTGTTTCAGATCTTCTATTTGTGATTCGTAATTATCGTGCTCAGATTCATTGGACAGTAGCTTTTCTTTTGCTTCTCGTGCTTCTGCAGAAACTTCATGTAAGGCCGACGCTAAGCTTTCCAACGCTTTCTTGCTCTTTTCCTCCTCATCCTTCGATGTTTCCAACTCGCTCATGAGTTTGTTCTTTTCTTCCAAAAGAGTTTGAACGCTGCTAGCAGCAAGTTTCTCGTGTTCCAACGCCTGTGTTCTCTCCTCCTTTACCGTTTCAAGCTCCAACTTCAAGAATTCAACTTTCTTCGCCATTTCAGACGCATCTTCCTTCACTTTCTGAAGGCTGCGTTCCGACTCCTCAAGATCCCCTCGTTGTCTCACATTTGACATTTCTAACAAACCCACCTTCTCTTTAAGAGAAGCAAGTTCAGACTCTGCATTTCGCAACAAATTATTGCTCCCCTCTAATTCTTTGACCACTGACTCCAGAGATGAAGAAGCAGACCTCTCTAATCTCTTGGCTTCCTCCGCCTGCAAATCTAGTTCTTCCACTTTAGTTTTCCATTCCTCCATTAAGTTACGTGCATAAGATTCAGACATTCTTGCAGCCTCCAACTCGATGTTTATTTCCTCCAACGAAGCCTCTCTTTCAAGTAATTTCTCCTTGTAAACTTTAGCTTTCTTTAGTTCTTCATTCAGAGTCTTGATCTCTAATTTCAACGCCTCTTCCTCTGATTTTAGAAATCCCACCTCCGATTTCAGCTCCGACACCAATTTGTCATTTTCATGACCTTCAGATTTCAGCGTCTCTATCTCCGATTTCAGCTCCAATACCAACTTGTTACTCTGCTCAGCCTCTGATTTCAAAGTATCAATCTCCAAATTCAGCTCAGTCACCAACTTGTTACTTTGATCCGCCTCTGTCTCAAACTTGGAATTCAGCAATCCCTTCAATCGTGTGACCTCATTCGACAATGTCTCTACTTTTGCCACCTGGATTTCAGCGATCTTAGTTGCGTCATCTGCGTGGGTCAGAGCCTGATCTTTGGCGTCACAGGTCATCGCCAATTCTTGCTTCACTTTTTCAAGCTCTTGAGTGGCGGAAAGAAGAGCAGCCATGTCTAAAGAATGTTGGTTCTTAACGGATTCCAGTTCTTTCTCCCACTTTTCTTCCTTCTTCTGAGCAGCCTCAATTCCCGCTTGTTCCATCTCAACAGCACGAAACTTCTCTATCTCACTACTCTCTTCGGCCATCTTTTGAGCCACAAGGGCCTCCCGGAGCTTTTCATTCGTGCCCTCAGATAATCTCTGTGCTTCTTTCAGTTCATTGATCGCCTTTTCTTTCTCTTTCTCAACACATACCAACTTTTCTTCGGCTTTTTTAAGATCATCCTGAAGAGCATTCAATTGAGCTTGTAACTCTAATCCCTTTGGTGTCACCGCCGCCCTTGGAGCTGGTTTCTGGAAACCCACATAGAAAAATCAGCTATGATCATACTCTCAATTGAACATATAAATCATTCTGGAATGAAGTAACTGTTCACTAGAGATCACCCACAATGTGATCATGTAGAATATGATGATTGTTCGGTTTTCAAAGAAATGCTAGAAGTATACTAAGAGGCTGTATGGTTGGTTTTCCATTAAGTCTTTGTATGGATTAATCTGTCTGTATAGATTTGGAAGGTTTTTGTGCCGGTGTGTTTTTTCATAAATGGAACGAGCATGCTTTTTAATTGGGAACCTAACTTGGCTTTTTGCATAAAGCTCCCACCTAGAAACTTACTTAATAAGTCACTTTCTATATTAAGCCACTATCAAACAGCCCTGTATAGCTCACCAAATAAGTGGTGAGTCCCATTAAGCTCATTAAGCTGCTAACAAAGTGAAACAAAGAACTGGGCCTAGTCTACATTTTGAAGGAACTTACTTCGGCAAGGGTGCTGATCTTTGGGGACCGACGATCTACCGGAGTCTTTGAAGCAACAGGTCGTGGGGACCGATCTACAGACGTTCTTGTGGTTTGGAGGGGAGATGGCGAATCAGTTTCGGATTTCGCTACTCCCCTGCTGAGTTTACTGATTCTGGGTGTTGCTGGTGATGTTTTGCTGATGGGATTTTTTGTGGTGGGAGGAGTTTCGGACGAAGAGGATCTGTCGAATTTCAACATTATTAGTCACATTCACTGATACATAAAACCAAAAAATCACTGGGATCCATTCATTATATCATTTGGATAAGGCAATGGAGGATCTATATTCTATGATATGAGCATAAACATAAACAAGTGAAAACAGATAAAAGATAAGAGCGTTAAGCACATGAGAATTGACAAACAAATGCAGAACAAAGAACCCAAAATTTACACAGGATTTAGAGAAAATTAAAGAAAAGAAAGCAAAGTAAAGAAGAATTAGAACAAGAAACTGGTAAAACATAACATCTTCCCTGAATCCCTTCTCCTTGCTTGTGGGATCTTTAAATTTTGTAGATATTAAGGGAAAGTTGTTAACTTTGAACAAGAAAAAGGGTAAATAAACAAGGGGTTAGTTTAGATTCTTGAAAAGATATGGATCAAAGGGTAGAAAATGTGCAGATCTGGAGAGTGAAAGCCAAGATTACTGAAAAGAAGTAAAAGGGGAAGTGGGTTAAGAACTAAATCCAAAATGGAAAGAAGACAATCAAGTATAGATTGCATAAAAATAACAAGAAATAAGAGTAATTTGAGAAGTTTACTTGGATTTGGCAGACATGATGCAACTGGAACTGATGGAATGGTGACACTTTTCTTGAGATGGGTTTTTGCAGGCAGATATGGTGGTGTTATAAGATGGTTAATTGGGAGAAAATCTTGATTATTAACAGAGCCCCAAGAAGGCCAAACGAGAGATAAAAAGAGAAAGATTGCTAATGGTAGGAAGTATATGATGAGTAGAGCATTATTTTCTTACAAACAAAGATGGGTGAAGAGAGGGGAGGAAGCTAATCATTCATTAGGGTCGGTGCATAGCTATTGACTGGTACACTGTGCAATTGTTGTTGTACCATAAGCCAAACATCCTTGCCCAGTCGCTCGCGTGCTGCCTGCCTGTCTTGTCTTCATATTTCTTTATCTTTTGCCAGACCTACGACCCCCTTTCCATTTTCCCTGCTGCTACCTTTTTCTATTTTCATTTTTTTTAATTAAATAGATTTCAAGATTTATTATTGATTTTCTTTTTCCTTCTATTTCTTTTGCCCTTCTTAAAGAGACACCTTAAAAAACCCATAAACTTTTTTGCATTAATATCTTCAACCAACCATCATTTACCAACAAAAAGTAATTTATCTCATCGATTGCTTTCATTGGAATCAAAGATGACATTCATTTGGTTATATTAAGTTCACATGAGGGAATATGGCTTCATCAAGATTTTTAACCAACTCAATAATTGGTTCTGGCTTGGTGATACAGCATGAAGGAGGGAGGGTCCGGAGGGATCAAAGACAAAACAAATAAAAACACACACACACATATATATATATATATTAATATATATATATATATTAATATATATATATATATATATATATATATATACATACACACATATTAGAGAGGTGAAGATCAATGATGGGTATTACTTTTGTCTTCCGAAAGAAATTAAAGAAGCATAACTACATAAGGTGACCCTAAAAGACTCTAAACAATGTAACAGTGAGCCCATAAATTTTGAGACCTGATCAAATACACACATTTAACATGTTAAAGAAATATCTATAAAGAGGGTCACGTCCATTTATCTTTTTGGACAAACTTTCCATCATACCCATCAATCTTTATTCAAGATTTCCAGCAAATTTTTATAATTTATGTTACAATTTGACATAAGATGAGACTATGTTTTCATTTCTGGCCCTATAAAATATATGAAGGTTAACTTTTGACAAGTGAGGATGATGGTCCATGGAGATAATGGCAGTGGGTAGAAGGTAGTGGATGTACCAAACTCATTTGATTGGTTTGTACGTCTTGGGTTAATGGCAACTGCATGCAAATGAAAAAGAAGTAGAAGATAAAAAAAAAAGGAGACTGTTGATATAGTCCCCACACCACAACCATAAAGGAATTTGTCCAGTTTCCACTGATGCCACATTCCTTTACTGTTCAAATATTTTCTTCTAAAGATTTCTAGAAAAACCAAATTGGACACTTCTATTTTCTGTTAAGTGAACACGTAATCTGATTATGGAGAAACCCACATCAACGATTGTTGCTTTAATGATTGATTTATATTGGGTATTTTGTTAAGATGCTATATGTAATCTACTTTTCTTATTTGGGGAGGATTATCTGTTCCCTTTTGATTTTGGATGGGGAAAAACCACTTCAATGGCTTTGGAATCTTGATCCCTCACAAAATCAAGATCCATGATAGCTTTCCAATTTTATCAATTCATCCCAATTCTCTTCTTCTGTTTCATAACAACAATCCATTATCCACCCCATCTTGATCTCACCTCCTTCTGTCCATTCCCATGCCCATGATCTATGGACCAGTTTGATGACGATGATCTTGACGTTTTTTTGGATAAAGATTTCGACCCACTTTGCGCCACAGATGGGATGTCTTGGATCTGGATGAAAGCTATGGTACATCTTATGATTCATTCCTTCTTCTTCTTTGTTGTAAATTGTATCCATCTCTTGACTTCTGTGATTTTGTTCAATTCCCAAACACCCTGGAGGGTCTAGTTCTTGTTTCAAATACATTTATAAAAGCTTAGAGATTCACTTGGGAAGCTTTTGAATCACTTGTAATGGCTACAATTTGAGTTTTTACTCATCTTATTACTAACCATCCGTGTTTTACCCGGTAGGAGGCTTAAGGGCTGTTGGTTGTTTCCATTAAGTCATGTAAGAATAAAATTGTGTGGGTGGATTAGTCTTGTCCGTATAAATTGGAAAGATTTTTGTTTGGAAGGAAATTTTCATAGATGGGAACATGCTTTTTAATTGGGAGGCATATGTTTGGAAAAAACTTTGGCTTTCTGCCTAAAGCTCTCCTAGAAACTTACTGAATAAGTCACTTTCTATATTATTAAGCCACTGCCAAACAATCATCTATAGCTGACTGAATAAGTCGTGAATTCCATTAAGCTCATTAAGCTGGTAGGCATGGCTTTTAGCATCAGAATTCAGAAGTGATCCATTGGGTGACTTCTATAGGTAGACCCTGTATCATCTTTGGCAACAGGTCTTAATTGGTGGATATCATGGGCATTCCTAATATGGTAGTTAATTTTCAAGAGAATTTGTATATATAAATATCAACTTGTAACAGAAGTGCTATCAACTATGAAACTGTTATCAGGTATTGCATATTTAATATGACTTATTACCTATGGACTATGGTTGAAGTGAACCTATCGAATGTCCTTTTCAGTTCTGTGATTGGATGTATTTTGTAGAACCAAACTGTGTTGAGTGAAGATGAATTTTCTTCTGCACCAGTCGAGCTCGGATCCCTCAGCTTATAATGCTGGCATAAACCAAACACACTCATGAGGGGTTGTTTGGTTAAGTCCTATATCTGTGTTAATTAATCTATCTATAGATTGTGAAGGTTTTTGTTTGGGAGGGTCTTCCATAGATAGAAGGAGGTATTTTTTAATCGGGAGGGGCAGCTTTGGAAAAAAAAAAACTTGGCTTTTTGCATAAAGCTTTCTCCTAAAAGCTTATAGAATAAACCACTTTCTATATCATGAAGCCACTACCACACAATCATTTATAGTTGACCGAATAAGCTATGAGTCTCATTAAGCTCATTAAGTTGCTAACAAACAGGCCCCGAGTATGTTCCACTTGGAAGTAGGGTCTAGGGATAAGATGTACGCAGATCCGACCTCTACCCAAAAAAGAACAAACCCGTTGCATATCAAGTCAGGGTTATTATTTCAATATGTAGAAGGTGTGCAGTCCATATCTTTGGTGAAATAGGAGAACACCATTGAACATCTTAATAACATGAAAGAGACTTAAATGAAACCTCTACGCATCTTGTTTTCAAACCCCCCCTCCTTTCCTGGTGATTCCATTTAAGTTGCAGAATTCAACCAAAGATAGATCCCTTCTAACCCTTTACCATAGAGAAACATTACCAGATTTCTGATGGGGTTGACTTTACTTGCTTTATGTATGATCTTATACGTTAGCTGTCAATGGCTTCCTTGAATATTAAATTACAAAAAAGAAAACCTTTTTTTCAACTTTCTGTAGTTTATGTTATGCCTGGAAGATGGATGATGTGTATAAAACTATACCCACCATCTCATATTCCCATTGGTGTCTTCTTACAGGTTTCTTGCCCTCCAAAATTTAAGATTTGCCATTAAAAACAGGAATAATTATCTGTATAATCTTATGAATTAGCTTTGTAGATGCTTTTACAGTTGAGCATAATAATTGCAGTATGATTGAGATTGATTAGGTTAGCTTCAGAACCTTGACTTCATTAATGGATCAAGATCTTATAACCTTCATGTGACGTAAAACTCAATTGCAACTTCTTTTTGCAGGGAAGACCATGGAGAATTATGCGGTCACGATTTGCCGGGATCAGTCTAGGTATAGCCTCGGACACCCTTCCAAAAAAATGAGGCTATTCTTGACAGGTTTTGAGTTGTAAATATTATGTACGGAATTGTTTAGCAATTAGCAGATGTATAATGAATCTTTTGGATTCCGAAAAGCTAATTAGTAAAGATCTGATTCAAATTAAGCATACCCCATTGGATTAAAAAGAGAAAAGAAAGGCATTTCATGGAAGAACAGATGTGATCATCAAGTACACAAGATTCTTTTTATGTCATATGGATAAAAGTAAACCATAGTTTCCAAAATATCAAAACATCCTTGTTCTTCTTCACCAATTTGAAATCATACCAATCTTCTCACATGGTGGCTTCTTCTGGATCGGTTTCGACTGGCACCTGAGGCATGTTATTTCCACCCCGTAACCGTGAGGACACATTGTCGATCGCAGAATTAAGCTGACTTATTTTGGCATTCAAAGTCTGTCTGGTTTTCTGCAAACAAAAACAAGAATGAGAACCTGGCTGAACCATATTTCAGCTGTTTGAGAAACGAGCTTAATGGTGCAAAATCGAAACAAAAATTAAAAAGATGTACCTCTAAACCTTCATCATAGTATATTGGTCGCTTTGCTCTCCTAAATCCGTATTCATCTTCATTCAAGAGAGATCGTCTTATCTGGCGATTGAAGGAAAATGCTGACAAAATTAGGATAACATTCACATCTAACCAAACCAAATGAACCCAATATATCTCACTCCAATGTGGGGTCTGAGGAGGGTAATATGTACGAACACCTGACATCTACCCAAGAGAGTAGAGCGGCTATTTCCATGCAAAGATAGCAATAAAAACACGAAAGGCAAACAGCTTACTACATTGCTTCTATGAATCTTGATTCATGCAAAAATAGCAATGAATACTCGAAAATCATTCACAACCTAGAATATGCAAAGATACTTGGGGCTTGTCTGTTAGCAGCTTAACGAGCTTAATGGGACTCACAGCTAATTCAGTCAGCTATGCTTGACTATTTGGTAGTGGCTTAATGATACAGAAAGTTGCTTATTCAGTAAGCTTCGAGGGCCGGGAGCTTCATGCAGAAAGCCAAGTTTTTTCTCAAACCTGCCACTCCCAATTAAAAAACACGCACCTTCCCAAATAAAAGCCCTCCCAAACAAAACCCTTCCCAAATTCACAATCTATACAGACAGCTTTATTCATTAAGGACTTAACGGAAAATCAACCAAACAGCCTCTTATGTGGCATGACACAGTAATTACTGAATCAACTAGAAATTCATCCATGAGTTGGTTGTTTCACCTGTGGGGCAAATATGTATGCCAGCGTCCCACATAATGCACCCCCCAAAAAGAAACCAGCAACAAAATCACCACTGCCTCCACCACTACGATCACTGAATACAAAGAAAAGTAGAAAAAGAAATTATCACAAGATAAAGCTGCAAAAGTATTTAAGCAGAACCAATTTATATGGAAGATTGTGTGGCGAAGAAAATGGGAAAATGTAAATGAAACAATTAACCGATAGAAATAAGGTCCATGAATTTCATAAATAAACCTGCAAGATAAATGATGAAAACAAGACACTACTTTGTTATATTCTCATTAGTCTAATGCAAAACCAAAAGTAGGTGACTTGGAGGTTTCTAAAATGAGTAATCACCTCGATATTATAGAACATGTTTGGATATACTTGGCAGTGATTTATGGATAGGAAGAAAGCATATAGTAGGGTGCCTAGAGAAGTGAGGTTGTGGGCTCTTGAGAAGAAAAACATTCTACAATGTATGTGAACGCAATTAAGATACATACATACACATAGTATCAAACATTGAAGCGTGCAAAAGACAAATGCTTTTCATAAGGTTACCACCAAGATTCACCCAAGTCCTTATTTTTATGCTTTAGTTATGGATGAACTTACTCAGACAGATATTAGAGATGATGTACATGTTCCATGGTGTATGCTTTTTTAGTTGATGATATAGTGTTGATTCATGAGACTCGCCAACATGTTAGCAAACACTTTGGAATCTTAAAGTGTTAGATTGAAACATAATAAAACAAGCATACGACATGCAACTTCAGCGGTCTTGAGGTGGATATGTGGTTAACCACACAAGAAATAGAATCAGAGATAAAGGTATAAGGGAGAGGTCAGGGTGTCACCACTAGCTAGAAAAAGATATTTGCTCTAAGAGAAGGCCCATTATAAGAGGTAGACATTGCCAGAATAAGGGAAAGAGTTGCAAAGAAAGATTTGAATGAGTGGACTCTACATGTTTTAGCCTCTTTTTCTCAATTGCTTTCAGAGTCTTAAAAAATTCTCTATTCTTTTACTTGTAGCTTGCTTCTCTTGTTTATTTATTTATGCCTCCACCCCAAGGGATATACAAAGGCTATTTCTGCGAAAACCCCTGGCTTGCAAAACCATAAAATACAAAGAGACAGGTGAGAGAAATAAGCATAGAAGTGTGTGCAAACATGAAACAGATACAATGAACAAACAAAATGCACTAAATGAATGCTTATCAGGGTGTTCCTTAGTTTTTCATTTTTTTGCGGTGTTCCACTGAACCTGAACCTGACCCTATATACATATATATATACTGCCATCAGAAAAGCTGGACATGAAGGTATCTTACTTGTATTGTGCAGAAATTGCCAACTTCCGCTGAGTTCTTTGTTGGTTAGACTTCCTTTGATGAGTCAAAGTAGGTGTTTTACCATACAAGCAAGAATTTCCAGACCAACCGTCATGTCCCTTAAGACTAGTTCGAACTGCATCAAGATAAGATACCATTACAAAGAAATCTAATCATAGACACATTCAGGAAATAAAAAAAAGAGAAACTTAAAACATGCACATTGCTCAATAGGATCCCTTTTGGAGGATACATCCTAAACCATACATCGAATTAAGAGTTCACAAGAAATGAAATTGTAGAAACAGGAAAGATATTAGGCTCTCACCAATGGAAGTTCTAATTTTTTTAGAGGCTCTGTTACACCTAAAGCTTTTGATTACACTGTAAAATGGGATAACAAAGATACATATATACATATTACAGAGGCGATGATGAAACATATTACTTGTGTCTTCTGATAGAAATTACAGAGGCACTGAGGTGGGCCATAGTTTTACATTCATTGATGAAATGCCCTAAACAATGTAAAATTAGTCCCCATTTTTTTGGGGGCTTGTTCAAAATCAAACATTTAACATGCTAAAGAACAGCATTGCTCTCACCCATGATCGAACAGATGTAAATCTATCATGTAACACCTTTCTACTTCATTATAACATGAGATGAGTTAAAAGTTCAGGATGAATCCCATTTTCAAATGAATAATTACAATCATTCATCATGAATGGTCTAAAGAATTAACATTCATTGTTCATGAATCATGATGAATAACAACAATGGGGCCTAAATTGGAAAACAGATTCACAACTGAACTTTCCTCCTCACCAATTCTAGCTTTGCTTAGATTAACATGTTTAGCAAGTTATAATAACAAATCACCAGTATGACCGAAGAAAAACTGATGGGATATCGGGATTGATTGATAACTCTCTTTCTTGATCTTCAACAAGAGGAAAAAGAATATGAACAACCCAAAGATAGAAGGCGATATTAACTAGGGCATGAAACAAGAAACCGATCAAGAATGTCCATCCATGATTACCAAAAGCAACCAGTACAAAAAGTTATCATTTTCAAAATCCAAGAAAAAGAAGCAAGATTTAACAAGAAAGATGTCGTCTCCTATCTGGGAAATACAAGATACAAAAAACCCAGAAAATTATGTGGGTAAAAGACATGAAAGATTGTGGAAATTACCAGAAATTGAAGCAGGTGCAACGATACCGGTTGTAGCCATGGTTTGAAGGATCGATACCAACGGAGAAAGAAAGGTTTGATGTGGGGTAGATCAAGAACAAATGGGGTTAAGAAGTAGCCAGCCACGCAGGAGTCTTTTTGGCAGTGTGAAGCAGGCAAGAGATAACCCAGTGGTGGGTGAGTGGTCAAGGGTAGAACTGGAAATTCATAAAAATATGGGCTTTGGTTGGTCCTTCAGACACCATTTGCTGCCAAAAACAAACCCTTGTTTCCATCTAAAATACCTTCTTATTTTTGTATTCCCACCAAAAGATAGTTTGTCAAAACGCTACTCCCCGAGAGTATAATCATCTAACATATATACATATATAAGGTGTTCGGGTAAAAAGTTGATTATCGATTCTCTATCGAGTTCGCCTTCAAAGACATCAATGTAGAGGAGTATTTGTTGGTTCACTTAGTGGTTTGACACTAGTATGGGTTAGGATCGAACAAGGACGTGTCTTATATGAGGTGGTGTTATTTTTATGCGCACATTCACATGTCATTTTACGGCTCATACATTATTCTCGTTCAAACCACTTATATTTCATACCCTTCATCACTCACATACTATTCATACAAGCTGGAGGGTGAATAGAAAGTTTCTCCCAACCCCTGTACTGAGTGGTGGAGCCAAAAATTTTATCTATGGAGTGTCTAGAAAAAAGGTAAGAAAATTCACAATTTTAACGTTGAGAAAACCCTTTTTAACTATATATGTTTTTTAATTAAATACTTGTCCTAAAATAAGTTGTAAAAAGAAGTTAGAAAAGCATGAAATTATATCTGTATTTATACAAATAAATACAAGATGTGTAGATAACCACATAAATAAGAAAAAGCCTTTGAAAATACATGAAATTTATCATAAACAATATTGTACATTCAATAAGGTATCGTGTTCACTTTAAAACTTTCAAAAAAACTTGACATTTATAAAGAAAAAAAAATCGATATGAATAAACAAAGTTTCAAGTGGGTAATGAGTTAAGGTGTGCAGAAAGTCTTTTGATTTAATTTAAACCGACGATCCAATTAGAACTGACCGACCATAATCGGATATCCAATTGTTATTGGATCAGATTGGATCCAAAATTTCAACATCCAAATCGGATCGGTCGGTTCTTGGATGGCAGTCCAACTTCCAGTAAAACCGAACCAATCCAATCCAATGATCATCCCAACTAATATCCAATAGATATATATAATTATTAACATTTTACGATATTGTTTTTTAGTTGATATTTATATACATTGTTTTTTAATAACTTCATAAAACATGTGAATAATTGGTCAAAATGGTGGATTAATTAGTTGAGTATTAGATCAGAAGATTGAAGGAATCCAATCCGATCCAATGGAAAACCAACAGTAACAACCAATGGATGATCGGATGTGTTTTTTTTTTATCATCATATGTTTTTTGTTTTTGAAAATAAAACCCATTTTTAAAATTTAAAAATGATTTTAAAAAGCAACTCATTTTTGCAAATAACTCCAAAGACATTGATTCATAAGATGGATCAACTACAACATATAATCTTTAAAAACACCCCTCAAATCTACCATTTTTTTAAGCTTCTGCCTCTGCTAAAAGATGAAATTGAACATGTAAGTAACACCACAATACCAAAACAAGCAACTATAACATACCTTCTTCAGCATGGCCATGAAAACCATTATTCACAATCCCTGTATTAAATCTATATATATATATATATATATAATATATCATCATCCCTACTTATCTCTAAACAGAAGCATCGAAGAAGAATTCCGTTTATCTTCTTCATCCTTGTTTCCTCCTGAAAACGAAAGAGACAGCGATAGAGAAGACAACACATCCTCCTCTTCTTCCTTTTTCGTCATCAGTCTCTGCTCCGACCCTCCAACTAAGCCCGACGATGATGATGGTATCTCCTCGTCATCCATCTCCGCTCCTAAAGCAAGATTCAGATTTGGTGTCCTCACTCTCACCGGAAAAGATGGACCTATGAACGGAATAAGACTCCCTGAATCCTTCACCTCACATCTTGGATCTACCGGAAAGAAGTACCTTTCACCATTACTATTCTCCTTCGTTCCACAATCTATATTCAAACTAATCTGCCCATATAAATCATCGCGCTTTTGCTTCTTGCTAACATTTGCATCATGCCACATGTTTATCGGATTTGTGTCATCATCTTCTGTAAGGTCAACAAACGCACGCTTTCTGGGTTCAACTTGCAGACGGTTTAGCTCCTCAGTTGGAACTTCTGTCAAAATTGGTTTTTGATCGATTTCAGGACTTCTGTTGACAGTATCTTGGCTGTCATTCTTGGTCACCACTGATATATTTCCATCTGTGACGGGTTTGAGAGAAACAATCTCACCACTGCTGACTGGAACTACATTAACAATATCAATTGCCCTTTCTAGTGAAGAGGTTGGCAACTTCAAATTGCCCATGGACTCAGAATCAACGTGTTCCTGTAGATAAAAGAGGTTCCATCAATGGGATATAATTTATCTTGAAATAAGAGTTTGGTAAAATGAACATGATAAGAGAACTGAAGCCAAAACATAGAGCATATTCAGAACGTAAACAAAGAGTTAAACGTGAAACATTCGCATTTAGTGGCTGTTTGACAAATTTTATGATTAAACTTTGTCTGGATTAAGCGGTGAATGTAAAATAACTGCTTAATAAGTGTTCTAAATAGAACTGAATGACCAAAAACAATACCAATTTACCCTCTGATTACCAATTTATACATTAGTAATATTAGTTTTAGTTTATAAGTTATTTAACTTTATTTTGTCTAGATAAATATATTACATTAAAGACAAATTTTGAAGTAAAAAATTAAAAACCCTAATTACCATTTGACACTCTCTACTCCTGCAAATAACAAAAACCAAACAATAACCATTGCAATCTACTATGATTTGGGACAAGAAGGATTTCAATTTCTGTATGCAATCGACAAAGAGGAAGATTTCAAGGTTTTTTTGGACTTCGATATGGGAGTAAACTCGTCGAAAGATTCCAGGTTTCTATTTAACGACGAGGGTGAACTCGGGAAAAGAGAGATGACGGGGGGTACACTGGTATTTGGGACATTGAGGGTTTACTGGAGACAAGGAACGGTTTTTTTACAAGAGATAAGAGCTTAGAGAGGATAGAATAGTTTTTTTTTTCCAGTGAGAGTAGCTAAATTCGATTGCAATGCTTGGATGGATCATAGGGTATATTTTTTATTATCAGACACATATTACTGAAATCAGTCAGAGCCCCTGTCTAGGAACCCATTTAGAGGTTTTTTAAAACAAAGCCTTAGTCCCACAATAAAATAGTCTACCTCCTACTGATTCTTTATCTTATTACAACTGATGCTCAATATAAGTTGTGAATAATTAGCCTTGTAATATGCAAAAGATGATATCTATAAAAGCACCTTCTCATGTACCATGATGCTAGCTTTATCGTATTTAGATCTAATACCCTACTTACATGTTAAAGAAAAGAATAATACCTTATCTATAGATCCAAGTGAACACACATCCTCAACCGATGACATTTTATCAGTTGAGATGGAGGAAGCGACTTGGGGAATACAATTTTTTTCAGGATCATCAGGAACTTGATGCAACGAATTCTTCTTCTTTCCTCTGAGCACACCCCAAAGGAAGAACAACATATTCCAACCTGTAAATAAGGGATATTAAATCTTAGATCACACTTTCAAGGTGCTATTCAGCATAATTCATTAACCTTGAAAATTAACAAATTTAAGCTAATCCAATTGGAAACACATTATGAATGCATGCATAAGAGTATGGTCGCTCCTCTATTATCAGAAGGTAATAGTCTTTAAGTTCTAACCATGTAAAATGCTTTTGCTCCCTTGCTAGAGCAAAGCTGCTTCTTAGTCCTAATATGTACAATAGACAGAGATCAGCACAGCTCAAAGGTGCAAAGATACAGGTAAAGGAGATCCTGGGTACTGGTGACATTTCACTTGTCAGCTTTTATGGGGGGTAACAATGGCAATTTGATTAATGCTGTGTTCTCAAATTTGAAGAGAAAAGGAAAGGAAAAGAAGAGAATTCTTTTTATTTGTGTTCTTGAAAGGTAAGGAAAAGGAAGGAAAGGAAAAAGTCATGTTCTTAAACATGAGAGAAAGGAAAGGAAAGACGTAATTTTTCCAAATATACCCTTTAAAAATTTATCCTTTATAATGAAAAATTGTGTAGTTTTGTAATTTCATAATTTATTTAAAGGGTTCTAATTTCTTTCCTTTTCTTCTCTTTCCTCCCACATTTGGGAGGAAATTTGGAAGGAAACTTATCATTATTTTCCTTCCCTTTCCTTTCCTTTCTCCCCTAAAAAAGTTTCAAGAACACGAGATTTTTTAACTTTCCTCCCGTTTCCCTCCCTTTCTTTTCCTTTCCTTCATAAAAAAGGTTTCGAGAACACAGCATAAGAGAGATGCCTATTTGAAGATGGCACCGGACATACACTTCATCATTAAGATACTTCCTGTGAACATTATACTGCAAACCTTGGTTTACAGTAAGTAAGGTGCATTTGACATGGCTAAAACCGCGAGAAAATTATGATTACGTATAGAGAGGCTAGACCTGTCAGTATCACTGTATTAGACAGCATAATATGCAGCATGTACCAACAAGTCAAAAATTAAGAACCTTGAACATGCTTAAGGGTTAAAGTTTGTATTATACAAGAACGTTAGGTTTAAACCACTAACGCCCTTTACGATTGCTAAGAATCTTTCAACAAACTCAAGAAGTAAAAGAGTCGGTGGGTCACACAAAAGCCGCCTCCTCCTCCAAGCCTGTTAAGATTTTGTTTGCGAAACATGTCCAATTTTTTTCAACAGTACTTGTGGATTCTGTTAGGGGATTTGGCACCTCAGTTATTTGTAAATAGCAGTTCAGTTTCAATTTTATCTTCATAACTTCCAGCACGGGTTCTTTCCTACCATTTTCTGTTTCAATGTATATAATGTGTGTACAGGGTTCTCCCTTTGGCAACCCAATTTCACATTTATGTATGTATACTAGTTACAACAGAGACTTACATATGTAAACATGCATGGCATATCATGCACTAACACATGCATGGTTCTATATACCCTTTTATATGACCATACTAACTCACTTCTAGAAGTTCACATTTTAAAGATGCGAACTCACTGCTGTAGCATTGGTTACAGCAATCGTCAGCTAGAATTTGTGTTTGCATGAAGTCTTACACTCATGCTTCTTTTACATATTCTTTTTCATTGTACATAATGTGTACAGGGTTTCCCTTTGGCAATCCATTCCACACTTATGTATGTACAGTATTTACAACAAAGACTTGCATATGTAAATATGCATGGTTCTAAATACGACATAGACACCTCCATCTATGTGTATGTGTGTATGTATGCATGTTTATATCTGTGAATGTATGCATGTAAAATAATGTATATCTGTGCAAAAGTATTTCTTCAAAAGGTGTCCTTACGATGGGATTTCTCTGGAAGCTGATTCGATGGGAATATCAGGAGTTCAACCCCATTGATACTTCCGATAAGAGCTAAATCACCCCTAATCATATCATCCAACAAAACTTGGTAGCTCTTCTCATAGCTGTGTCATAGTAAAGAGGAAGGTCATTTAGCATAATTCATAAAGAAGAGGGGACGAGTTGGATGATAAAAGAAACAAATGAAGGATAGGAGTGATAGTTACCTCTCAACATCTTTAGCAAAAAAATAGAGTGCAATATTGTCCTCCTTCGCACCATTATTTTCAAATTGTGCTGGCCAAGCACTAATGCGAGATACACCATTTAGAAGAATTTTGTGGGGAAGGTTGTTTACAGCTTCAAAGACTCTAGGTGATGCAGAAGTTGACAAATGTGCTTGTAACCCATCCCAAAATTCAGCTGTTTTACCACTTCTACTGATCTCAAAACTTCCTCTGCATGTAAGATGCAAAGGATAAGTAGAGGACAACATTCTCAAGAATCTAAAATACTTTCTATAACAATGTCTACTGAGTCCCTAAAAAAAAGGAAGACAGAGATGGAAAAAGGAAGTATTAAATACAAGAAGAAACCATACTGCCAGATATATTCATGATCAGGAATTGCCGGAACCTTCGAAAGAGATGACAATGCTACAGCATCATAGCTAGATAGTTCACTTGTGAAATGTTTTCCTTCAAAAAAGAACCAACAAACAACAATCATCAAATATGGAAGTGATACTCACCAGGAGGTATCATAGATTGCTTAAAATTGTTACCATTTGAGTGTTTACAATGGTCGGGATTAGAACTCCGTGAAACTTGTCCCTGCCGGTCAGTTAGCACCTCAGCAGAAGTCAAATTCCCCGCATTCCTTGAATGTGGTACACGATCAACAAACGCTACTTCATTATTCATGCTTGAGACAGATGGTTCATCAGATTGATCAGAAACTTTATTCTTTCTATATATTCCGGGTTTTTTAAGCAATGCTGCTTCAATTGCGGCCTTTAACTTGTTATCTCTGTTTTTCACCTCTTTTGAACTTCTCGTAGCTGATGCATTAAGACCCAATGGCGCAGGTCTATCAGCTGTGTGAAGTTGTGCAGAATTAGCAACATGTTTATGGTTCAGGCCAGAAACAGCAGGCATGCCAGGGATTAAACCCGGTCCAAGGTGACTAGGAGTAGTAGTTTCCTTGATTCCATCGGCAAGACTTGATGATTCCCTAGATATAGCCAGTTTTGATGAATTGTCATCCTTCAACACAACAGACTTTTGTTCAATAGAACTGATAATTCCACTAGATGTTGCAGTTCCAACCCCTGGGGGGGAGGATGGCAGCTGCTTGTTTACTGGACCTAATACAGATGATCATGAAAATACATGAAGCGGCATAGAAATATTGTGCAAGCAACAAATCCCAGAAAAAAATTTACATAACTTGCAATGTCATGTTGAAAGGAAGAAAGATCATACCCAAAGAAACAGGAACTTCTGCACCCGTGACAGAACGATTGGTTGATTTTAATCCCGCCATCATCTTATTATCGCCCTTCAAAGGCTTTACTTCAGAATTACATGCTGAAGAAACTGGAGTAGCTTCACCACGAGATACTAGTAATTTATCCACTTTTGGAGACAAAGCAGCAGAACTGGAAGTACTCAAATTACCCACTGATGGTAATTTAACTGAATTATTCCTTTCAAAAATCCTTTCCTTTTTGGTTTTTAGACCTTTAAGATCCTGAACACGAGATGATTTTGGAGATAACATCTTAACTTTAGAACCGCTTGCACCTAAACGCCCCAAGTTCGTAGATCTAAATGAGACAGATTTTCCCATCTCTCTAGCTACTACTGTATCATGAGAAGCACGTTCTTTGGTCGATTTCTGCCTTTGAAGAACAATCTCATCTACAAGTTTAGTTTTAGACCTTGCATTTGGGATATTGAATGAATTGGACTTGGTGAAAGAGCCTGAAATACATACAGGTGTGTCAACTACAGTATTTGATATTCATACGAGACAAGCACATACAAACTTCTGAAGAAACAAAAGTGGTAATGAATTATGAGTGTAAGAGTATCACCTCTCAAAGATTGTAACCGGGGACGTGTAGCAGGGGAACGAGCAGCCTCTGGAGCCTCATTACCAAAGAGAGAATCAGAAGAGAACTGGTGGCTGGACTTTATTTTCCCACGGTCTACATCCTTGGTTGAACTATCAGTAAGTGCATGTAGCTTGCTTGGACTAGATGTCCTTGGTGATCCTGTAATCATCTCAAGAGCCTGTTTTTTGACAGCTGAAGAAGAGTCTGATTCTTCTGCACGCCTTTTGCTAGAAGCTTTCATAACTGAATGATCTTTACCAGTCCTAGGTTCTTCAACAGACGAACCTTTTGTGTCTGGCTTGATAAAAGTAGAAGCAGGCTCTGTATCTGCTTGACCAGAAAATTGATCTTTTTCAGCTCCAGTCTCTGTACCATTCTTCTGTCGGGTTGTGTTTTTATTTTCCTCATCCAATTTGCATTCTTCACATAACCAATCACCTTCAGGAATTTCATCTATCATTTCTTTCATGCAATAGCTGACAACAAAAGAAGTAAACAAATCAAATATCTCATGTAATAAATAAAAAAAGCTCCACCAGGAAGCAATAGCCTTACGTGTGTTCAGCACCATCAATGCACCTACAACATATAGCAAGTAAATCCTCCCGCCCTGCATCTCCACATATATCACAAACTTTAACCTGTTTCCAGCAAATGAGAACACTCAGCAACAGCATAAAATTAGTGAAGCTACAAAGCAGAGAGTACAAAATGATAAAGACCATAGCAAACAACATTCCAGGAAGCAAAAGAAACAACAGGTCAAGAGTTAGTTAAAAAACATGTACGTAAACATTTAGCACCGACAAAAAGATGAGGTTAATACTCACATCATGCTCCACAAAATCTGATTCGTCGCTGTCGTCCGCATGATGGCTTTGCGAAGACGTTTCCTTTGCATTTACTGTAGCAGGGACATTTGAAACCTTCTCTTCTTCTAAACCTTGTTTTGGAGGTTTTAAAGAGTCTTCAGGCAGATTATCATCACTGTTAGTTTCCACTTCTTTCTTTTGGCACCTGGTCACTATTTCCTTCTCATTGACTACATTGACCTTACTATTCTCGTATTCATCAGAGCTGTGTGAAGATTTTTCTACATCACAACCCATACGGTAGCCAGCACGGGCAGGCAATTCTGCATGGATAACAGTGCAAGATTCTATCAAGTTATTTGACATTAAAATAGCAACTAAAAGTTTAACACAATATGCATCAGAGAATGTACTTCCAAGATTTTGTAATTGAGCACCATTATCAGCATTACCTAAAGAAAGATTGTTTATTAAGCCCGAGTGGTGGGAAGAAAGCTCAGACAACGGGTTACCGAGACCAACCCTCCTAATAGGATCATCAAAAATTTTGCTCTGCCTGCTGGAATGGTACTGACTTCCTTCAACATCTTTGAAATCCATAGACGCTGAAGCAATTTGTAATGGAACAACTTTTTCACAACCTTGTGCAAGTAAACTGTCAGTAGAAGTAGAAGGCACTGTATTCTGAATAACAGAACTAGATAACAAGTTGGGTTCACCATGACAATCTAAACTGCTAGGATCCAATAACTTATTCATATGACTAGTCTTATTACTATGACAGTTTGGTAAAGAGTGATGTTCTACCCTGAAATCCTCACCAGGTAATAACTTTGTATAAACTTCCACAGCTTCAGATTCACCAAGCGTACTCCTCATATTAATTGTAGTTTCAGCTTTTTCAGAGGAAGTATCATAACTTACACTCACACCCTCCAAGTTGCTCGTTTTGCTAGTTGTATGCTGTTTGTTTTCACAATTTCTGTTCTTAACAGCGGTTGTAACATCATCAACTGAGTTGGTTAACGTATTTTCTCTGTAAAGTTTATCAGAAAACTCATCAGCTTTTTCCATTTGATCTCGCTTAACATGCAAAAAAGGATGAGCAAGGAGCAGCACACACGTCACACTTCCCAAGCTCTGCTTTCAAATTAAGCTTTTGATTACTGAAAGGCCTCCTAACTCCTTTATCAACTTGAAAAACACCTACACAGACATCAGAAACATCAACAAACAAGAATTATCATGCTATTGTCTCTAAAATAACTATAAATAAACCAAATAGCAAATAGAGGACTTGTATTAATTTTTAAATAGATTTCCTTATGTTATGATCCATTTGAAATGCAGAAATCAAGTTACAAATCAGACCATGTATTGTGTTATTTCAAGTTTCAGTGCCTCATGCTAGATAGGCCATGCATTGCAATTAGAACAGACACATGTTTTCTTTGTCCTTTAGAGGTTGATGACTTGATGGATTTAATTTGACGAACAAATTTATCTGCCTTGGTCATATTCACCACAAGTTGAAGAGTCCGTCTTAAAGAATAGCAACAAAACTGCTATGCTACACGAAGTACAGAAAATGTGGATGTTGCGATGGATGTTTGGCTACACAAGGATGCATGGGATTACAAATGAGGACATGCAAGAGAGGAATATGTTAACACTGATAGCATAGAAATTGAGAAAACAACAATTGAGAAGAATTGTCCAGCCATCTAGAGTATACACCTACAGATACATGCACAAGAGGATAATTGTACCCAAAGGCATGAAGAGATGTAGGGGGAGACCACATTAACATGACAGGAAGAATGAAAATTGGATTTGAGTAGAGCTACTACCAAAGTACCTGGCCTTGATGCAATTGTTGTTGCAAACTACAAACATATTGTCATTTAAAGACAAACAAACCCTATTTATAGAACTGCATTTCCCCAAGTATGTCAGAGTATGAACACAATAATTAAGCTAGTTATATAACATGGTAAAAGTGAATATTACAATAAAGAACTATAGAAAAATGTGCAAATTGGCTATAAGATTCAAGCATAGATATAGTTGTTTGAGTTGTGACACACCTCACTCCTGACACCCATAACCTCAACCGTTGTGCAATATGGCAAGTGGGGCGTCAGTCTTACCTAATACCGAAATAAATAACTTGCAAAAGCATAATAAAGCATCATTGCATATGCATTACATTCATAATATTCACTACAAATCCTCAAGGAATTACAAGTTTACAACCTTGTGACTAATACATAAGAATTTTAAAATCTATATCCACTACCGCTTTTCAGTAAAGGTTCCTGCCTCAAAACCTGGGTGGGGGAAATGTAAGAAGTGAGCAACAATGCTCAGTAACTATCCACAAAAGATAGGAATATTTTTATGCAAGAATGCCTTGAAAATATCAATACCAAAAGATAATCATTAACACAACGGAATAGCCAATAGGAGGATGTGTCATAAGATATTAGTGTTGAAACAGCACTACATGGTTCATACTTCATACACATGCATGTAGAAGGGTCAGATCAACTTGTCATCTCCAAAGGCTTCACACCATACCCTTATAGGCACGTCATTTGTCAAAGTATACCAAATTACCAATAATTCTCTATCATTGCCATGTAGGCCAACCAATCATATACTTTCTCATCTCCTTACCTCATGTATGAATCAAATATAGGTGATATAACGATTGTTCATTATGCATAAGAAATTGGTAACTCAATGTTATCATGAACACTATTGAACCACATAGACACTCATGCAAGAATTTACAGAGTAATCAATAACAAAATGACACGTATTCAAACAGTCCAGCCAAATGAAATAAACAATAGGCTCAATGGAAGTGGACAGAAACGGAATTGTGCTTCTTATCTTATGATAAGCTTCTTATATAGGTCCTTGTAGCAACATAAAACCAACTTTATCTCTTGACCTTAAGAACCTTCATCACCAATGGTTCATTGATTTGTGCTTAGAGTTTCAAATAACAAGTGAGCTCTTCTTGCTAGAACCTGAACTTGCTCCTCTCTCCCTCTTGCTTTGAGTTCTCAACTTCTCATATTTTCAGGCTGATACTACAAAGAAAAGAGAAGCGATGCCATACCCCTCCACTAAGACCTATGTATTCTCTTTGGGGTTTCTAGCCTATATCCTAGTTCTAAAACCCAACATTGTTGTCTTTTCCTAACCTTCAGACTGCATCCCTTCCCTTTTGGTGTAATTTTGTTTGACTTTAAGCATTCTTTGTACTCACTTCTTGGCCACGCATTATCTATTGACTAGTAGCCTTGGAAATGACAGTTTTACCAGGTTTTTGCAGCTTCAGCAGCCCTGCACACAACTGACAGACTGGATCAAACACAACAGTTGTCTTCTTTTATTTTCATTCTTTCTTGCTAACAATTTTTTTGCAGTACTTATTTCTTCCCCCTCCTTGCTCCTTATGACATGTTGATTTCCAATCGTTTTGTTTTCCTATCGCAGCTATATCATGACAGATTATCAACCCAGTAGCACTTGTAGCAGCACTCTACCTTGTTAGAGCATTTGACTTTCATCTTTATCATTTTGGTTGGTTTGACTTCTAGCTTTGGCACATAACATAATCTCTCCTGGCAGTCTGGCACATTGAATCAATTTATGGATTCTGTCCACATATAGCTCAGGTCTCTTTTTCTTTCTAGTTTTCTTATATTGGTTGGTTTGATTTTTAGCTTTGACATACACACATAATATGCACTCTCTTTTAGCTTACCCGACTGGTGAACCAGCAACTCTGATTTTCAGTTTGTAATAGTCTTCTTTCATTTTCTTGCCAAAAGGCATCATAGGTAACTTTTTTCTCCCTTTTAGGTTTCCTCTTTTAGCTGCATGATTTTCAGTCTCGGAATTACTCATATGCATGCATACACAGATAGACTTTGTTTCTCCAACTATTTACACAATTAATCAATTGCCCAACCCTTACATAAACACTTGTGATTAACATAATTAGCTAACTAGTCTTAATGGAATGGTCACTATACATGTATCAATGTAAAGAAGTATACATTGTCCTTGAAAAAAATCAGCCTTGACCACATTTAGATTTTGGCCAATTATTTAGGAAACAAATGTTCAACTGAGCAAAAGAGGAGCCCTACAAGGCTACAACCCACTGAAATCTTCATAAGGACGTATTTGCCACATAAACACACTCTAAGTGAACAGGGGGCTTTAAGTAGAAAGAACTGCATGTCTTTATCCTGTTGTCTCACGATATTGGTTTGATTATAGTGGTCTAAAACATTCATTAGTCCTTGCATCCAGAAACTCCAGGTCAATACTGGGTGACCTAGAAAGCAAACCAAAAGAACATAGTCTTGTATACTTCCACATTGAATACAGATAGGCACTTTTGGACCCTTCCTTATTTTAGAACAATATGGTTGAACCTTTGCTGGTTTGTGCATTGTAGGCATCAAATTAACCAAAAGTCTTATTAGAGAACAAGGGTAAGTTAGATAAGGAGTTGAAAACTATAGCAATAAGAGCATAATTTTATGCAACAGCAAGCTAAGAACATAAAATCAGTATAATCATTTGTCAGCCTGCTCTAACTAGTTTGGGATAAAGGTTTTTGTTGGTCTAATTGTCTGCGTATCTGGATCCATATAAACACTTAAAACTCTTCAGGAAGAAGGTAAACCCCATCCACCAAAATCGGCAGCATGAAGTAATGAATATCAACATGAAAATTGAAAACATAATATTTCCTCAATTACGTCAATTAGATTACGAATATCAATGAAGAACACCGAACCTATAAAGGAAAGAGAAATAGGGAACCATGTACCAACTAGTGCCATAAAGAAGTGAAAACGGATCAATAATAACCCTAGAAGTAATAACATACATGAAATTAAGCAAGAGGGATGAAGGAACGTGCCTCGAGAAAGCGAATAATCTCAGTCCCATTATAAACCTCTTTAAAGAATCGCTCCTTCTTGGGTTTCACCATCAGCGGACGATCGATCAAACGTGAACCCGTTTCTAAACATTCAAGATATCAATTTATCCGCAAAGTTTATGCAACAAATCAAGAACCCCAGGATGTATATCCCTCTTTCCTTATCTAACACACACACACACACGCACGCACGCACACAGCGTCTTTGATATCTGGTGGGGAGGCGGAAGAGGAGAGGAGAGGAGAGGAGAGGGTGTAAAAGAGTCAAAAACGAACCAATTGAAGTGCAAGAAAATGGTTAAGGTCTTGGCTGGCTATGGAGATTTACAAGAAACTAATAACAAAGAGGATTTCTCCAGATATACGAAGGAAGATAAAGCAATAAATCTAGGGTTTTTTGTTCTAAAAATTATATATGATGAATCTAGGGCTAGGGCACCAAATCAACACTCAACAATCAACATTGGAGTGCAATTTAACCTTCCAAAACAATAATATTATAACATTCCCAATATTTCAATAATTAAATGTAATAATATCTGATACCATATTATTTAATTATTACAGTTATCTCATAAATTCTTATTATCTAAAAAAATAACAGTATAAAAACAGGTTACACGTTTATCATTGTTGGAAACAAACCGATAGCATTAATGAGCATCTAGAGGGCATAAAACGTTCATACAACGAGAAATATACTAAAACACCACATAGGGGTCCATATATACAGTTTAAAGGAGGTGGAACCGAAGAAGTTAATTTTTTTGGGAAAATATGTAAAGAATCTTTAACTGTTGGATTAGATTTTCCAGGGATAAGCTAAAACGGGGTCCTGCATGAATAATCAGATGAAAAAATCGTTATCGAAGTAAGCCAAACGTTAAGAGTGCATGTTGCGGGATCCAATTGTCCTTCTCGATTTGGAAATCGTAAAGTTTAGAAGGTGATTGATGATGGGTCACTTTCATAATCTTGAAAAGTAATTGATTAGAAGGTGATTTACATCGACGATTGTTGAAAAATGACGTTTGGATGTTAAACGGAACCTCTGGACTTCGACATCATTAATGACGATCTAAGGTCAAAAGTAACGCATTTATCAAAATGTTAATTTGTGTGTGTGTGTATATATATATATTTGGTTTTTATACTTCTAATAGGATCTTAGGGCATCACATGTAACAGGATCTTGTAACCATTCATCTAGACGGTATGCACATGTGAATACAAGTAATCGAAGTTGTTTGTTGGTTTTTATGTACGTGTGCATGATATGCATACATGCAAACCAGACAAATTGCTTATGAATTACTTGTATGCACATGTTAATAAACATGTTAAAATACGAGATAAGTATTGAGTTATACTAATATGCAAAATACTGCATAAAACTGCTTACCGAACGGATAATCTATTACTCTTTCAAAATAAAACGAATCATGAATTAGGATCGAGGGTTTGAGTTCACAGACTTCTAGTTTTATGTATGTGTACATATAGATTGGTTGGAGCGATTTTTCGATTCAGTCATTCAACGACCAAGCATTAAAGCCCTAACTGAGTCACCTAAGCATCATCCGAGTTAGCTCGGCATTACAAGTGCAAGTGGGTGCAGTTGGACCATTTACTCTGTCGTAAGATTTTTCCACGTGTCACTTTAACGAGAAATTTCCCTTCGCCATAAGTAAGCCACGATTTATTGCAATTTTTTTTCACTGAACGTAATTGTCAAATCATAATATTACCAAACCGAGGCTCTTTAGTTACCATCCATAATTACTTCCGTAACACAATCGGAAACCGAAAACCTACTTGAGAACCACGAACTCGAGACTCAAAACGAATTGTAAGATGCCATTTTTCAATCGAAACAACAACATAAATACCATTGGTCAATGGCAGGCTACCATATTTTCAAAAAGTGACCGTTTCGGTCCCTTGGGCCGGACCGGCTCAAAAAATAGCCCGTTGGAGGCCCAATTTAAATAAACTATTGGGTTAACCCATCCTACCGGTCCCTAACTAGTCTAGTTCAACCCTTAACCGATTATAATATTGGGCCGATTTCGTTCAACTTGGATGGTCTTGTTAACCGTTTAACGTAGAGATTTGAACAAATCATTTAGGTATATATTTTTAAATAAAATTTCAATTCAGTTCACGACCTCCTGAAACGTTGTATACCTAAATACCTCAAATTTTTAGCCCCATACGATATCGGCTCGGGTTATGACGGGTAATCGTAACGTTACCGAGACAAACAACCAATGATTGGATCATGGTAATATAATCTAAGCTACACAAATAAGCTCTCAACATCTATCAATCATGGTGCAAAAAACCATAAGAGCATCTATGATTTGTATATTTTCTTTTCTTTAGGCATAGATGGTATCTTCCGGCCCGTTGGCCGTCTGTCGTATTATAAACTACAACACTTATATCGGCTTACAATATGAATCAATCGATCGGGTGTTTCTCAGCTTGACGAGACGTGTAATGTGCAGACAGCAAAAGTAGAGACAAGAAAGCACTCGCCACAAAAATTGCATCGAACCACCGATGGTAGAAATCAAACTGAATGTCTCCGCCCAATACGTCTGTAATGATTATTCTGCAAAAACAACAAAACTTATACGCTTATTACAATATCGTACCCGTTTATTTCAAGGAAACCATCATAATCACATGTGGGTGGGAAAAAGAAAATCCCTTGGGAAGCATCTACAAATGCTGAGCTGACAAATGGGGTATAAGAATCCTACGGTAGGACGGAGGGATGTGCATCTTTTCCTTACTTTTTCTATGTTTCAATGTGTTTATTTAAGGTCTCTCCTGTGGGGGCAGAGAACAGCACTGCCTCTGGGGGGAAATCTTAATTTCGAGTGAGATATACTAAGTTTGGTTTGGGATTATATAGTTCAAACTTGATTTGTTTTAATCAGATAAAGCTAGGAATTTTATCGAATAATGAGCATACCTGTACTCGTTTGCCAGGCTTTTTCTAATCAAAAGAATAGAAGATACAAAGTACATCCCCATGATTTCAGATAAGAAAAGCACAACATTGCTCGAAGATCCACTACCAACATGAGAAACCGCAAAGAAGAACTGCATATAGAAAAATGAAGCAATTTATTATGCATGTTGTCATGAAGATCATAATACTACTACTTATTTTATGGCTCCCTCACTAAAGGCCTGTTTGTTAGCAGCTTAATGAGCTTAATGGGACTCAAAACATATTCGGTCAGTTATACATGACTGTTTGGTAGTGACTTAATGATATAGAAAGTGGCTTATTTAGTAAGTTTCTAGGGGGAGTAGCTTAATGCAGAAAGCCAAGTTTTTTTTTTTCCAAATCTGTCCCTCTCGATTAAAAAAACACGCTCATTCCATCTATAAAAAAACCCTCCCAAAACAAAATTCTTCCAATCTATATAGACAGATAATCCACAGACAGTTTTATCCATACAGGATTAATGAAAAACCAACCAAACAACCCCTAAGTTTGGGCAAACAAAATGTTTTTTATATTTCTTAGAATCCAGCATTGCGGTAACAAATTGCTTCATGATGTTGATCAATCAAAAAGAGCCCATTCTATGATACAAACTGAAAGATAATTTGATGGCAACACTGAGGAAATAGGATTACCTTCATCAGATTATTCAAGAACCCACGAACAGATATCACGACCAGCATTCCGATGAATAAGAGGGATATATACTGTTTAATAGCAAGAAGAGAGGAAAGACAATGTCATGGAACATATAGATCTAAGCCATGGGTATATTCTTAATCATGAACAAAGAATTGTTTACTAAAAGACAGCACAAGTGAAGATCCAACGACCAAAGATTACAATGTTGATAATAAACACTACTTCCTTCCTCGGATAAAGTAAAGGTAATAATGATAGAACTACATATCATTCAGTAATCGTTACATTCTTGGAGTAAACTCAAATTCGTGTTATCAAATTATGAAAATAGTCATAGTTGTTCCTTTACACGGACCGGGACTGGATAGAACTGGATGGGCAAGAGTGTGGTAGGCGGGTGAAAGAATTGTGAAAGGTTTTAGGGTTTTAATTTCACATGGGTAGTTTAGTAATTTACCAATATTGTCCCATCTCCCAGATTATGATTCCACCTACTTTGTTGGGACAAAAAACTTAATTTTTGTCCCATTTAGTCCCGTCAGGTCCCAAACTAATGTTGTGCCACACGTGGGACAACAAGTTTTTGTTCTGTCCGGTCCCACGTACCAAACACACCCTTACATTCCCATAATACAAAGCTAAAAAAATTCAGATGTCGCCAGCCCTTTCCTCCCCTTTCTTTCCATGCATACAACAAACCGAAAATGTGCACATTATATCACCAACTCACTTGCACGTCTAGACACCACGTTTCAAAAGCTCAGTGTTTCAAGAAAGGGGAATAAAATCATAATCTCAACAAGACCAAGTATTGTGGGTAGGAAAGTTTGGCCCAAAGTTGTGAGCAACAAAAACATTGACCTCAAAGTCATTCCTCATTTATCATTATGGTTCATCATTTGATACGTTCACAGAAATATGTAAAATTAACTTGATGAGCTTATAGACACAAGCAGTAAAAGAACCTGAGACAACAATGCTGCATCAATGCCTATGTCGAAAAACTGCAAGAATATGCTGATTGTCCTGGTCACAGGATCAACTGAACCAGCCTGTGAAAGAGAACAAAATTAGAATGTCAATAGCACAAGAGGATGAATGAATTCTGGTGATATTTATACAAGCATTTGTTAAAAGAATTAATAGGATAAAGATGTGCACCTCCTTGAAGACAACGCTTTGCAAAGACTGCAAAAGACAATTGAAACAATCAGATGATGTAAAGATTATACTTCATGGAGAAAAAAAGTGTTCAAGATCCAATAGTAGTGAAACCATACACAAATTGCAATGACTAAAAGGTATACATCTATATATTCAAAAAGATAAAATTAACTTGGGATGATATACAATGTGGAATTACCAAAATTCCTTCTCAGTCTAAAACACGGTGATATTCCCTTTCAAGAGAGTGCATATTTATGATACACTTCAAGCCAAAAGCAAAATATATAGTGGTAAATATACAGCAATTCTGGTTTAGTCTGGAGTACTATGTGGTGTTAGTTTATGCTACCATGCATCTGCATTCCAACATCTTCTTTGAGAATTGGAGATAACAAGGCCAAGTTTATTGTACATGAATTCTTCAAGAGGAATATGTTTCAACATTTGGGGGATTGGGGTCCATGTCACAAAATAAGAAAGAAATTGATGAGAATTAGCTATAGGAGAATGGTGTTAGTTTGTTGCATTATACAGTTGAAGGGTAAGTCCTACAAGTCACAGTGAGACTTGTCACACAGGATGAGAACATCCAAAAGGTTGGGGATTCACGAATAAATTGATGAGAGAATGGAGAAAGCATTGCTTCGATGGTTTTGGTCATCTCAACTAATGGATGCACTGGTGAAGAGGTCTGGCTCCTGCTAAGCCAAAGGCTAGTGACCGACTGGAATGACTTGAAAAAAATGATCTAACATTGCAAAATACATCAAACATAAAGATTACACATGATCTTAGTTGCTCCATGTTTATAGTTCATTATATGAACTATATTCGGGTTTATTTTGTATATTCTATCCCCATTTGAGCCTTGAATGTTATTTAGACGCTAAAATTGTTGGAGATGTATGGAATTGAGTATCCTTGCCCATTGGTGGTGTTATATTGTAAATCCATTTATATTGTGGGTTACGGACTTACTTTGATCCTTATGCTGTGAACAGAAGATTGATGGAAGCATTATATCTTGTGCATTGCATTATGACAACTATTTGAGTAATATGTTAGGTTTTGAGTCGGGAAGGGTGTGCGATTAGGAGTTTTGTAACCATGGAGTTAAGAAAAAGAGAAACAAACACGTCACACCTTGGTGCTTTGTGGACAGCAGCAACATTGCAACTGCAGCAAAAAGGGTTTGTTGTTCTTGCTGCATAGAAACTTCCACAGTCTAGAAGTTGCTTGGAAGGGGAAAGGAATTGTTTTATGACAAATGCATTAACTAGCATCGCTGGGTTCCAGCGAGAATGAGAGTTATGGTGAGAAGGGTAAGAAGGGATCTCCACCCTTGGATCAATCCTAATTGAAGAGTTCCACTAGATTAACACTAATGAGAAGCACCGGATCAGTTCCCTTCTAAAGCGCAATTCATGGGTTGATTTGAGATTAAAAGTGATCAAGGGTCCGAATCCCTTCTTACACTTCTCACCTTAACTCCTATTCTCACACGATCCTTCGTCTAACTAGCATTGCATGCAAAAATAAAATAAAACGTAAGCAATAGCAGTGGACCTAATGACAGACATAAAGAAGATCCAAACAAGTGTTGAAGTGTGGGCAACAATTGATACCTTTATCATTTTATACACACAATATACTGAACATGCATAGCCGAGTAGGTTCTGCAGGTGACCCTTCCAGGTTCGAGAATATGCAGCAGCTTCCTGATATTGTTGCCAAATAAAATTTAGGCTTTAAGAAAAGAACCCAAAAAGTTAAGAAGAGAAAAAAATTAAGGTGAATATGGATTGCAAGATGTCAATATAAGGGAACTATGACAATGTACATAGGACGATAATTTGGTATCACTAAATAATCTCTTGGCAATTGATCATGCAAATGAAAATGAGTTCAAGTCCGACTGCACAACTTGTTTATTAATGGGAGAGATTTAATAACACTTGGGTATATTACATATTGTATAGTCATTTCCTCCCACACCACATCGAGGAGCAATGTTATGTAGCAGCCTATATACATCCCAAGGGAGGTACTTCGACTTAGGGCCTGTTTGTTAGCAGGTTAATGAGCTTCATGGGACTCACGACTTATTTGGTCAGCTATACATGATTGTTTGGTAGCGGCTTAATGAAAAGTGGCTTATTCATAAAGCTTCTAGGGCGAGCTTTATGCAAAAAGCCAAGTTTTTTCCCAAACATGTCCCTCCCAATTAAAAAAAACACGCTCCTTCCATCTATGAAAAAACCCTCCTAAACAAAAACCTTCTCAATCTATATAGACAGATTAATCCACACAGACAGCTTCATCCATACAGGACTTGATGAAAAACCAACCAAACGGCCCCTTAGTGAGGCAATGAAGACAAGCATTGTCTATGTGGATAAGACGTTTGATGTGTTCTTGTTTTTAAAAACAGGGATACTTATTCAATCTTAGGACCGGTATGACTGCTTATAAATTGCAAGAAAACAGTGACCTTTGACTATCCTATGGTGATAGTCCTGATCATTTAAAAAAACTATACACCAGTCAAATATGTTAACAAGTGATCAAGAACTGAAGATAAGCATTGCCAGCAAGGGGGAAAGTAGATCTATATTCTAATGCTTCTTTTGATGGGTGTGGCATGGATATAAACTTGGATGAAAAGAACAGAAAGCAAGATAAACCTTAGCTTGCCGAAGTTCATAGATTTCCAAGAAAAGCTGTTTTGAGAGCTCTTCTAAAGCTTGTACCTCTGATTCCATGCCTCTAATATCTTCAAGGAGAGACAAGAACAAAAACTGGGGTGAAGGATAAAAATAAAGAGCTTACTGGGAGAAAGTAAAACGAAATTACCAAGAAGCAAAATATAAATTGGTCAAAATTTACAATCAAATCACTGAAAATCCATACTCACAATTTCATGAAAAGAACTCTGAGTAAGTTAACTTTACATGATAAAAGCAGAAAATCTCACACAACCTATAATCCAAATTGACCTACAAACAACTCCCTTCTGAATATACAATGGTTCATTTACCTATCTTATGCGCCACAAGTTCCAATATCCACCATTTAGTGTATGTATTCTAAATGTGAAATCCAAGTATTTCAATCCTGTAATAAATTCATAACCCACCCCCACCCCCCCAAAAAAAAGTTATATACGTAAGTCTTTTGTAAGTAATTGCACTTTATCTATGGCAAAAGTCTTTGTCATATTCTATACGGTTATATTCATTCCAAGTTGCCATTTCCATCTAATCATATTTATTTAGGTCAAGGAATCCACTGTAAAATCATAATCAGCAGTAGAAATTGTCAACCGCTATGGAGAGAGAGTCCATGTAATAAGAGAACTCCGAAAAGAGAACAGCACAATATCATAGGACTTGCTTAGGATGTTACACAACAGAATATCTGAAAATGAGTTTGAACTACCAACCTTTCTGTCATTAGCATTAAATTGGATATCAAGGTTTTCTGGAGGCCCATTCCAAATAAAAAAACATTCATCTTATTGTTTTACATTTTAAGAGGGGTTGTATTATTGAGGATGGAATTCAACTCTAACCTTGTTCCTTTTGGTCATCTTGCACAGAACGCACAACTGTCCCGACAATCCGCTTGAAAAAGGACCCCGCCTTAAAAGTCTGCAACAAACAAGTGTCACTGAATACATCAGAATACCACTTAAAAAACAAAAGTTCCTAGACTTCACTGCTTATTGAGCAACTATATTGTACATGAACAGCATCTGCCGTTAACTAAAATGGATGCTCAATCTGCCCAAAAATGTTGTTTAGAGATTATCCAACTAAACTGCAATGCTTTCAGAATTCCAAACTTTACCCTTATAAATGGGTATATAGAAAGAATGTTAAAGATCAAACTTTAGTATGCTAAAGTTCAGTTCGAAGATGCACACAGAAAGATTCATCAGGAACCTCATAATATATACATTGGTAAACCAAATGTATACTTATGGACTCTTAAGCATGAAATTTTTTTGCACATGTCCTTTAATATGCTGATAACCACAAGCCCTATCACAATTACATCATGTCTCAAATCATATTATTTAACTGCATTCCATTTGGTTGGTTATGCACCACAGCATTTTCAACCAGTGGGCAGTTGCTGTCACAAATTTGTGGATGTTTAAGCACCATGCTTATGTTTTGGAGACCCTAGATGATATGGTAAATCGTAACTAGTTTCATCTAACAAAGAATGCACAAGGGTTGAGAAGTGGGGAAAGGGAAACAAGAAAGAAAGAGAACAAAAGCTATACAAGCTTTACAGTTTACTTTTTCAAAGTAAATTTGGGGGATTACATCATTACATTATTTATAGGACTGCAATGTCATGATTTGACGACACATTCATCACCAATTGGAGATGTCAAGTAAAAAACATTTGGAGCTTCTAAAGATAGTGGCATTGAGATGGTTGTCTTTTCGCCAATTAATTTTGGGGTGGGTCTGTTCATTGTTAAGGTTTGCATTCTTTGGCTATAGGCGTATTTCTTCTTCTGCCTCTTCCCTTTATACTATGTACTTATTGTTGCCAAGAAGATACACCAATGAGAGAATCTCTCACTATTTTATTAGTTTAACTTTTATGCTATGGCTGAGAACTTTCAGATATCGAAAGAAAGATGAGCATTTCAAGTTGAAACACGGTTTGTGTCATATAGCAGGAATCAATATTTGAGTTTGTGTCATATTTCAAGTTGAAACAGTAATGAGTAAACATATACCAACCAGCTAAATGTAATAAGGACATCAAGCAATATTTGAGTTTGAACTCAAAATACGATGTATATCATGCAAAAGTTTGTGCACAACAAATAATAGCTTTAAAGCATTGATATCACAAGATAGTCAAACCTCCTCTTGTCCTTGAACTCGCTCCATTTCCATTTGGCTAAGAATGATTTTCTTTTTCTTTCCAATACAAGTCTCAATTGACTGCATCAATTGTCTTTCCAAAGCTTTGATTTCTATTTCTTCGATTTCTCTACCAAAATAAAGTACATACAAATATCAGAGAGCTCAATGAGCAAATTAATCAATGATACAAAGAGAAATTGAACACAAGACCATTTACATTATGTTCCCACAGATGAAGATCTAGTAGCAGACTACTACAAGTGCATGCCAAAATCAATTTAGTTTTCCTTTTTTGATACAAGAAGCTGGTAGAGATTTAATAGTAGTTGGTGGGAAGTATCAAGAAGCCTTGGCCTTTTCTTCTAACAATGCTATCAAGAAATAACAAGATGTCTATATAACATCCAACCAGCATGTAAATGTAAAATAAAATAAAATACAAGCCAGCTACATACCTAAATAAGAAGAGCAAAATAAATAAGAAGAGCAAAACGTTGGTACACACAACTGCCTAAGCAGTCATCCCAAAAAAATCAAAAAAAGTCTATACATCAAGAAGTTGTACATGTTTACAGTTTACTTTTAACGGATTATTTTTAAGACCAATTGCATTAAGAAGTTATACCATGTGCATCAAATGCTTACCCTTTAGGGTTTCTTTTAAGCACTACTAATATGTAGTTTTTCATTACCAATTTATCATTAATCTTTTCGCCAATTTATCAGCATTTTTCAATCTAATCTGTAGTTTTTTTATCATCAATTTCAATTCAGTGCTAGAAATAAACCAAAAGGGCATGCATTTATGTACACGGTGCAAGCCTCTTATGCACAAAAGCTCTTATGTGCAAGGAACCTCTATGCAGACTTGCACACCTCCATCGACCCACAAAAAAAAGAAGCAACTATTTACCAAACAGAAACATAATTGTAAATAGAAATGTGAGGTATAAAATCAACTAAATTGATTTGGATTAGCTTACTTACGAAAAATGGCTGCAAGAATACTTGAAGGTAATACATATGAAAGCAGGCTTATCAAAACTTATTTCAATCCACACTAATATAGAATAACACATATATGTTCCTCATTGACCATATGTAATGAATAGACAGCACTTTGAAAAGTGCTAGCATTTAAGTTCAAAAAATAAGTGTAAAATGTATAGTGTGTGTGTGTATCAACATAAGTTTGTGGATGAGCCCCTGTGTGTTTTCATGTTCCTGGGTCTGAGGGTTTTTTAGCATAAAAGAGTTATCTACTATAGATAATCTGAGAAATAGATTTATATATTCAGCAATCTTTTTTGTTAGTCACGTTACCCAATTACGACAACTTTACATATTCAACTGAAGGTTATAAGGAAGCAGGTTCATGACCAATGATAATTGTTGAAAGATTCTCACTGCAGTTCTATGCAGAAGCTAAAGCTATCAAGTAGTCATTTCTCAACATTCTGTCTTTGTATTGGCATTGATTGGAATCGTATACTTTCATTGCCATCTTACCTTATGAAGAGAGATAAATAACTGTAAGGCAAATTCACAGCTCCAAAACCAGATAAGACAGCCATGACAGTCACACCGATTACTCCAATTCTACTGACGAGCTGTGGAATGGTGAAAAATCCTGAGTAGATGCATTACAATTAGAACATCTATATGTCAATAGGTAGTATCCCTAAAATGAAATGATAGGGAGGGAAAATCAAGAAAACAATAAGCATTTGGTTAACATGTGAAAAAACAACATAAATCGCATCACAGGGGTTCTATTAATACATTGTATAGAGGGTCCAGGCTTGAAGTTATACCAAAAATGGAATGGGACAGTCATTCGAAAATGAGAAAATAAGGGTGTCAAGACATCTATATTGCAGTGTCATAAATTTAAAGAAGCAGATTGGATGAAAATTGGCAGAAACATAACTTGAGATATGTAGAACAAGAACATATAAATTAAATTATAGTCCATTGGGCGGGCATAAGACTAAGGTAAATAAGTCATTTTGGAGTTCAGAGTTTCAAGATATTTAGAGTTTGGCAACATACAAACTGTCCACTATTGGTGCAAAATTGCACTGCATTGCATATAGCAGAAGAAATAAATAAAAGAACAGATAAGCTAGGATAAAGAGGTGAAGGGACAGGATCTCGCATTCCAGCAGTTGGCAGAGCACTAAAAGGTAACAGGTGATGCTAATACACAAACAAAAAGATAATCAAACTAATGGTTTAGCATATGATAAAATGGAGATTAGTTCATTTTCTTTGCACTTGAGAAGCGATATTCATTGGAATGCAAATCATACAAATAGCAGATCAGACTATGAAATGCAATAAACTACAAATTAACACATAGTAGTTTTCACTGGTGCAACACTTGGGTCTCTAGTAATTCAATATTCAGTTGCTTTATCAGAACAAAAGAATCAGTAGCCTTTAAAAGTAGCACATTCCAAAAATAGTTCCCAAAAATTTCAGGCGAGATTGATTTCAAGTTCATATAAGATTCAAGTCCTTACAGCCATAGAAGCTAGCAAAAATGCAGATTGCAAAACTACATTCCAGAACAAGCAGGCCAAAACCCATCACAATATATTGATATTATTTTCTACTAATGACTTGAACATGGAGGGAGGGATTCCACTTCCCCAGGCAAAAATGCAAGTGTCATAGATTTAAACCTTTATCAGGGGAAGGCATGGGAAAATGGATTCCTAAGCGCCAAAAAGCATACAGAAACGCAAACAGGAACAAAACAGCTCCAGTTGCAGCTCGTCGCCTCCTCACACCTGACATACAAAATTAAGATGTGGTGAATAGCACTCATAGATAATGAAGATAGGCTTGTTGCCTCCACGCATCTGAGAATAATGATTTACTGAATAGCACTTGCATGCAATAGAAACAGGCAGAGCATAGACAGAAGGGCAGATATGAGTGTCAAGAGAACAAGAAAGGATTGATTGTTGACAGTATTCCATTCACCGAAACTACATTAAGGTATGAATTTAGTTAACTTTTAACATCCATCACATTGCTTCATACCCCATGCTGCGTCCCTAGCTTCCAGTGAGATTGATTAGCATCAATTTTAATAGTCTTGAATAAATAAAAATATGTTACCAGTGATTTCGGAGGCAAGAATCCCAACGGGATTAAAATTAAAAATATAAAACTTTAGGTGATAATCCCAACACTATCTCTACCCATTGTTAAAATTTAGAAGTGGAAGGCTCATAAATTTATGACAGATGTAGTACAACTTCAGATAATCTCAACAGCAAGGAGAGTACCATGGTCAATAGCAAGAGTAACTATCAAATGTCAACATGCTCATGAAAAAATGTTTATAAATAAATACTAATCCTACATCCCATGAAAATTATAACTGATTCTACATGGGAAAATATGGGGACTATACTTGAAATGAATTTTGTCTTTCAAATTAAAGGGAACCTTGTTGTGGACCAAAAACAATAGAATTGACATTTGATACATAAAATCCAAAATAGAAATTTCTGCAATTTTCAGGGTATGAAGGAAGTAAATAAAAAATGATCATCAACCCCACGCAATTAAGAAATAACAGGAATATAAGTGCATTCTCATGTGTTACATACCATTATTGCAAAGCATCAAGTAACAGTGATAATAAGGCAACATGAAAACCAGTAATGTTATCAGGCAAAATAAATCCACCTTCCAGTTTATCCATCTCGCCCTGCACAGAATAGAACAATATCAGATTTGCTGTCAAATTGCCTATCAGACTTGGTCAATTACATAAGCACTGGAACATCCTTGGATGAGCATTAAACATACATGCATACAAAAGCATAACAGAAAATAACTCGAAACAAGAAGTTGACTATCTTAAATATCATCAACTACCCTACATAGCACTAAACTTTAAAAAGAGAAATCATGATCTGAAGGATCAAGCATGCAGGACAGCACTATATAGTCTAATAAACATTTGGAGCAAATCAATCATACCCATTACCTTGAAAAGGCATGTTGCCAAATTGCCTACCAAACTTGGTCAAACTAATCTAACATTAGTGAAATAGACTTTTAAGTTTGTATCATTCATATCTACGGTATTCATGAGATTTGAAAACCTTAGCCTCAATCTTTAAGCTATGTCCATGACTCCCTCCTCTTGATACAGTGTTCATACACAGATATACCTTTAGACTTTAAGTTTGTATCAAACATGTATTTTTTCCAAAATGAGTCCCCAAGTATTAACAAAAAAAGTTCCATCTTTCACAAACCAACATACATTATTCATTAATTTATGAATAAACATTTTCTTTTTGGATAGTTTTTGTAGAACTTCAGCAGTTATAAACCGACGTTATTCATCACAAATTAAATTGCATACATTCAATTTCAAATTTTAAGCTGTTTCCATCGTCCATCCACCACAAACTTTGGGGCTTCTTCCCTCTGGAATCCATATTGTTCATTGTTTCCATGAATAAAAACAAATACATCGACATAAACACTACAGAGGGGAAACACAACAGTGATAAAAACATGTAAACTGGAGACCAAAAGCAATAAGGGAAAGACAAACATACTCTTTAGATAGAATAGGTATGATCTCGAAAAGGACAAGCTGGAAGAGGTTGCAGGAGAAAGCGAAAACGACACTGAAGATGATCTGAACAAGTGCCCGTTTTTCTTCATACGCTTTGTAGAGTCTTCGGTTCAAGAACCAGAGACCCGCCCAACCAAGAAGTGACAGAGAACCAACCGCCACCACTCCCTCGTAAATCGCCCATCCCCAACCCATTCAGATCTGATTTCTTTACACTATATTATCGGAATAGGAGTCGGAATCGGAAATCTTTATCGTCGATCAATCATGCCGGTGACTGCTGCCTGCTATCTCAAAACACACACTCACCTCCTTTGCTCAAATGATTTCGTTGCAAACTTCCATCTGCTTTCCTTGCATATGCAGCTCAAGGCTTACGTGGCGATTTATTATTGGCTCCAAGAAAACAAAAATTTAACATTATACTTTCAAAACACCTTCACCATATTTTTCCTTTGCTTTTGTTAGAGCATCTCAATCAACCGGCAATTTTAGGAAAATTGCCGTTTGTGACCTCTCCAATCGACCGCTAAATGAATTTAGATTTTGTCGGATCCCTTATTTGAACGACAAATATATCGTGGGTAATTTGTATTAAAAACCATTTTTCATTTAATAATTTAGGGGTTGATTGGGTTATTTTAATGTGGGATCCATAAATTTGGTGTTTTTTTAAAGTATGATTGGAGTTGAGTTTTTTTTTATTTATGGGCCCATCAGATTTGGTGTTTTTGGTTTTTTTAGTGTAATGGTTGGAATTGCCCTTAGAAAACCATTTACACAAAGTCATTTTACAAATTGCAAGTAATTTAATTTTATTTTTATTTTGGATAATTTATTTTTAAAGTTTTTATATTGGTACTTAATGTAAAATTTTAAACATTTAAGTACCTGGATAACTAGTTAGAGACTAATTTTAGATTTAAAAAAATTCATGTCACTAACCACACAAATAATACTGAATTGGATACCACATCACTCGTCACATCAGCATGATAACCTGTTAATGCTTCAACTGGTTACTCGGGTACTTAAAAATTTAATCTTAGATACCAAAATGTAAATTCTAAAAGTATCATATCCAAAATAGGAATCAAGTTAAAGTATGTTACTTTTTCATTCAACATGCCTAATAAATAAATATTGAATTTTCATATTTTAAATGATTAGGATCCTTTTCTTGAAATCAGTTAAAAAAAAAGTTCATATGTGAATCATTACAAGAATAATTTGTAACGTCAATTCACATATTCATTTTCAAATATTTTTTTTCAGCAGATTCATATATAAACCTTTAATATTAACCTTGTCTTATTATCTTCTCATAATATTTAATAAATATTACTGTACTAAAGAAGGTTAAAATTCATACCAACCCCTAATACAATAATAAGTATTTAATACTGCTCTATTTCGAGTAGATATTGAATACATTTGCCGGGTTTTTTAGGGGGTTTTTTTAAATTTTATTGTTTCTATGTTCATCTGTCTTTCTAGATTTTCTTTGTTCATTAGGATCTCCGAAAGAATTTGGTATATATATCTCGGGAATAATCTTAAAAGAAACGATATCAATCCGAGTTGCAACTCAAAAGTTATCATATCTCGAAGTTTATGCACTATTTTTCCGCTACAAAAAGGGTAAAGTTCCATATCAACAGAGAACAAGAAACACTAATAACTGAAACATGACATCTATCATTACAACAATTAGAATTACATGTCAAAAAACGTTCTTAGCGACTTAACACATCCTATAACGCCGTAATCATTTATTTGAACCAAGGTTCGTCTACGCTACACTTCCTCCTTGAAGATCGGTATGCCAAGTTTGAGTTTGCCGATCCACCGACACCATTTGCATCGCCATGAACCAGAAAATGATTCATGTTATGTCCTCCCACCGTCCCAAAAAACACAATTTTCGAAATGCATAACCATTACACATTTTAGTTAATAAAATGACAAATTTACTCTTTACAATTTTGTCTCCATCTCGACTCTTAAATATTCGGGTGCGTCATAATTAAGGGTATAAGTGGAAATTTGGTAAATTTTAACTATTTATTTCAAGACTGGACAATTATTTGGAAATAAATTTTAATTAAAAATGTGGACACTGATTTTGGAACGGAGGGAGTATTTTGATGCCATGGCAATCCATCATCGAATTTTCCAAGCACCTCCACAGAAGATTTGAAGCACATCATATGAGTGTGAATGCTCTAAGGACCAAAAAATAACACCTTTAAAGAAGTAAGTGGCGATTCGTGGCCATACGCATTCGTATCCCTCCATAGCGCAAACCCTGTCACGAAAAAGATCACGAAAATAAAGGGTTTCGTTCCAAAAATGAACCCGGATGTTGCATCAACAGATTTCCTGACTGTACCATATGAAACTAGCAACAAAATCGGCTGTTATAGGGCACCAAATATGTCTAGATGTCTTAATAGACTCCTTTATGACCAAACAATTTTGCGTCTTATATGAAGATGCTATAATAAGTTGATAGGACGCTTAACAGGCTTTTAGGACATTTTTGAAAGAGTAATGCTATATGCAACCCCTTTTATGTCAGAATCAGGTCAAATCATGCATTTAGAATATAAAAAATAAGTCTTAATGTTGATGTGTGTGAGGAGAGCATTATGTTTACACGACATTATTTGAAGAAGTGCCATGTAAAAAGATGTCCCCATAGGAAACTTATCAAAAGTATGATGTAGAAAAAGTTGATAGTACACTTTCTTTCAACGATGTTCAAAAAAACTTGTGACGATGCCCAAATAGTTCTAACGTCTTATTGTAACACCTTTACATAAGAGGCACGACTGTTTGGTCCAATAAAGTAGTCTATTAGGACATTCAGTTCGGTTGTTTTTCCATCAAGTCTTGTATGAATAAAGTTGTATGTGTAGATTAATTTGTCTGTATAGATTGGGAAGATTTTTGTTTGGGAGGGTTGTTTCATAGTGGAACGAGCGTGTTTTCGAATTGGGAGAGGTAGATTTGGGAAAAAATTGGATTTCTGCATAAAGCTCCCCCCAAAAGCTTGCGGAACAAACCCCTTTCTATATCATTAAGCCACTACCAAACAGACATGTATAGCTGACCAAATAAGCTGCGAGTCCCATTGAGCACATTAAGCTGCTAACAAACAAGCCCTAAATATGTTCTAAGATCTTATTCCAACACCTATACATAGGTCGCACGATTGCACGATTGTTTTGTTCTATAAACTGAAGTCCTATAAAGCAGTCTGTTCGGACATTTAAATATATTTGATGTCTTATAAAGCCGATTTTGTTGCAGAGCATGGATTTGAAGGGCAAACCTGTCCAAAGAAATAAGCCTACTGTTGCACCCAAGAAGAACTCCTTGCTGATACTTTCACAACTGAATCCACCATCATGATTATAATTGTAATGAAATTAGCTAATAATGCTTAAAGATAGCATTTTTATAGATCACTTATGCATCAAACAGAACAAGACTTACAAGTACATGCATATAAGGTTTCCCCATCCATAGAAGAAAGACGCCCAACATGAACCAGTGAACCTGCAAACGGTTGTTAAGTGAATCCATTATCATTTCGAATATGTAAATTCAGTATTCATCGTGCCATTATATGTTGATGCAATCCATTGGAGAAAGCTACATATGACTTTATATATAGACTCGGGTTCGGGGGAAAACCACAAAAAATGGAAAACTGAGGAACACTCTTAACAACAGTTCATTTGGTAATGCACATGTGTATAGAAGTAATTGAAAAAGTATTCTGGTTTTTATGCACATGTGCATACTATAAAGATGAATGGTTATTAGGGGGTTCTTCAGTTTCCCATTTTTGTGGTTTTCTCCTGAATCCGAGTCTCTCTCTATATATACATATGTCTAAATAACCAGGTTCAGGAAAAACCGCAAAAAAAGCCTGAGGAACACCCTAGTAATCGTGCATCGTACAATATGCACATGTGTATACAAGTAATTTGTCCAGTATGCATATTTGCATAACATGCACTCGTGCATAGAAACCAAAACATCTTCAATTACTTGTGCACATGTGCATACTGTACAGATGAATGGGTTATTAGGGTATTCCTCAGTTATTCATTTTTTGGGGGGTTTTCCCTGGAACCTCACTCTGTCTATATATCCAAGTACATGCCATTTGGTAGGAGTTCTTGGGGGCACAAGACTGAGACAACATACTAGGTGTAGGGATTGGTAGCTAGTGTGGACGTAAAGAAGGGAATTGGAAAGGTTGCGGGTGGGATGAGGGGAGGGGAGGGGAGGGTTGGAGAGCTGGCAGATAGGTTACCAATGGCCTAGGATAGATAGAGGGATGTGTGGTTTTCCGTACAGTTTCTATGTTTCAACATACCTACTTCTTACTCTTTTTTCTTTGTACGTTGCTTAGTATTTACTAGTCTTTATTCGTCTACCCTTTTTTGCTTACACATTTTCATAAGCAAGGGGTAACAAAATAACCGCTCTACCTTTTGGGTAGAGGACATGTCTGTGTCATCCCACCCCTTACTGAAAAGCTTTCATTATGAAAGGATTTTAGTGGGAACCTCTAGTAGTTTTAAACGGATTGGTGTAGGTTTTGCATGTGGTTAAAGAAATCAAGAACTTACAATGGGCCCATGATTTAACGGTCATAAAAAGTATTTTCAATCGTGTTAGACATGGTGTTACGCGAGTAAGACCTCAATGAGGGCAAAAGTGAGAGACCATAAGACATAATTCTTGATCCGAATTTCTTTGTAAAGAATACATATAACACCCGTGGAGAAAGTTCAAATGAGAACGGTAAATATTTTGAGAACATGGGAAGTTGGGAACTAACCATTTCACGAGTTATTCATGATGAATAATATTAAAATATTCATGATTTTCATTAATACTCAAAATGAATAATTCATGAATAGATGGAAAAATATTTACGATTCTCATTTGAACCTGCGCCTAACAACCAAAAATGTAAGAAAGAAGATGTATCCATATCTCAATCACGAGAAATAGAACGATGAACGACAATTCAAAAGGAAGTATACCACATGAGATCCTTGACAAAGAGTGCACGAGGGATCAGAAGTCCATTTCCCATCATGGCAAGTAGCATCGAGATAGATGACAATCCTCTGATGTTATCAGGATTCAAGAAGTTTGTCCACTGTTGAGAACCAGAAATCGTTATAAAACTAATGTCAAACACGTTATTATTGCAATTACATGTGCATGCGTGTGCATTAAACTCGTGAGAATGATATATACATATATATACACTACCATTTGTGCAACAGGCATCCACATGAAGAGAAGTGTAGCAGTCCATCCAGATACTGATCCAACAAATTTGGTGGCCTTCTCTGGAAGTTTGCCGATTCGAGCCTGCAGATTCATGTCATGCAACTTTAGAAAAACATAACGATCTCATCTTCAAATATGAATCAGAAAGACTTTAACAGCAAAGAAAATCTTCAACCAAACCTAAGCCTATTTTCCAGTTTGCAAATAATCAAATGATGGCAAGATTTGGTTTCTAATAAAGTTTAGGTCTTTCATCAAGAAAATCAGTAATTGGCGATGATATCATACTTTTTAGATGACTTGTTTGGATTTGCATTACACAGAAGGTAAAATGTTGGTTTACACCATCAGGGTTGGGCTCGGGGGAAAACCACAAGAAAATGGAGAATTGAGGGACACCTTAATAACCATTCATTGTCGGCTATGCACGTGTGCATAAAAGGTATTTTGTCCGGTATGCACATGCGCATAAAATGCACATGTGCATAGCAACCAGGAAATATTTTCAATTACTTTTATGCACATGTGCATACTCGACAAAACGAATGGTTATTAGAGTGTTCCTCAGTTTTCCATTTTTTCTGGTTTTCCACTGAACCTGCTATCTAAACACAATATTGGTTATCATGTTAATCTCTGATTTTCCGAAAGAGGGATCAGAGATGGATCAAATGCGCAAATTTGTAGTTATGATATAAACAAAGCAACGGTAAGTTGTAGCTCACCATAACAACAGCAATCACTGCCATCAGAAACGAAACTATCCCAGGCAAGATACTATTTGGAACATAAGGTACAAAGGTTGACCACATAACCTGCATCAAGATACATAAACGCTCTCTTTAAATCTGCAAATTTTACACTCAAAACCACCATTTTTACCAACAAGAAACCCAGCAAATATATTACTTGAGGAAGTGCTGATAGGCCAGCAACAGTGATGAAATCCTCCCAAAAGTTCCAAATTATATGATTCAGCAACTTGAAGAAATACAAGAAATTAATAAGAAGACCACAAGCAACCACTATTGAAGTTGCAGCAAACTGTGGCAATGGCATAGATCCAGCCATGGCTAGTTGGGTGATGACTGCATATGTTGATACAACTCCCAAAGTTTGAACCACCACCACTTCTGTTTCCCTCTTCTTTGCAAAGTAAGATAGCAAAGAAAGATTCCCAAGAAGGCCAGTGAACATTCCCTGCACCACCATTTGAATTCACGTGTGAATATATTGGAAGCCCAGTAAAAATTCCCTACACCACCATTTGATTTCACATGTGAATATCTATTGGAAACCCAGTAAAGATTCCCTGCACCACCATTTGAATTCACATGTGAATAGAATCGAATATGAAACCCGAATATGAGGGAATTGGAAGGAAAGATACCAGCCATGGAACAGCAAAAAGGGCAGCGTTGTTTCCGGCAATAAGATTACGAGCATTGAGTACAATCTGAGGCAATTGAAGCAATAAAAAAGGGACATTTGCAGCTCCGGCGAACTTTGCGGTCAAAGAATCCCATTGCTGTAAATTCTTTTTACTTATCTTTAAAACCCAAAAAACAAACAAATTTGAATTCGTTACAAAACACAAACAGACAACAAATTGATCAAAATAGAAGAATCTTTAATCTTACCTCTTCTTGGTCATTGTCTTCTTGATGAATAGGGCTGGGGATATCGGAATCTAGAGCAGGGTTTTTGGGTCTGAATCTTGATCTTTTTTTCAGTCGAAAAGAGGGATTTACAGAAGAAGAAGAAGGGGCACCCAGTTTGAGAGTGTTAAAAGGTGATCTTTTTAGGGGAAGAATGGAGGGATTTGAGAAATGGGGATGATGAAGAAAAACTCTGCCATTATTGCAGGAACATCTGGTAGGGGTTAATGGCTGAATCGGCGGTGGAGTTCCGCCGAGAACCGCCACAGAACCACCCGTCATTGTTCACAGGTTGACAGACTGAGGGGGTAGAGAGAGAGAGAGATAGATGATGATGGGTTGGAAGGAAATTGGAGTTGGTCCCAATTTGCCAATGGCCTTGCATCATAAAATCACCCAAATTCAGCTCTATAAACTTTGATATTTTTTTATTTGAAATTTTGCAACCTTTTATGATTTGTATTTGGTGGTGTTCAAGTAAAGAAAATCACAGTGGTTGTAAGGTCCATCACAAAACAAAGAAAATTATAGAAAATCTGAGATTTTCTATAATTTCTTTTTTTTAACAGATTTCTTATTTTAAAGATTTGAAAAAGTACTGGTTTTGTGGTTTACGGAAAATAATATTTTTCATTCATACAGTTTCGAAATTACAAGATGTCCATCATGGTTAGCAAAAACGTCAGGATCTGGTTCTTTTTTTCTAATGGCCGTTAAAAAGGTTCCGTTAAGCGGCATTTTTTTTTCTTTATCCATTTTTTGTCTTTTTTACACAATCAAACTTGATTTTATGATTTTGGTCTATGTGGTTTTTCATTGGTTAAAAGACAAATTCCCCTTGTTTAAAGAAGAGCAGGACCAAATCAAGACATTTTTGCAAACCATTATACCATCTTGTAATTTCGAAACTGTAGGAACGAAAAGTGTTATTATTGACAAACCACAAAGACCAAATTTGTAGTTTATTAAAATATCCTATAACTTTATCATTCCAATATACAAACTTTATATAAAACTAGAATGGTACTGCGAGATTGTCTCTATCACTGTTATAATACTATTTTATTTGGTTTTGATAAAACGATAATGTTTTTATTTTTGAAAAGAAAAATATAAATTTGAAAATATAATAAAAAAATTACATCAATATTAGTATCAAATTAACTATTCAAAAGTTATTTTCTTATAATTTCTTTTATTCAATTTTTTATTATAATTTAATTTAAATTCAATAACGAAGTAATTTATTTTTATTTAATAATAATATTTGTTTATAAAGATAATAATTAAGTATTCTGTTAGAATGATTATCTTTATCATATATTATTATTTGCTGACGTGGTTAGTGACATAGATTTTTTTTAATCTAAAATTAGTTTTCAACTGGGTACTTAAATGTTTAGAACTTTACATCTTATGTATCAAAATGAAAGCTTTGAAAGTACGTTACTCAAAATAGGAATCAAATTAAAATACGTTACTTTTTCATGCAATCTGTTAAACATAACCCAACTCAAAAATCTGATTATTTTGACCAAACAAAAAACTATAATTAAATACACTAACAACAACAAAAATGAGCATCAAGACAATCAAAGTTTCCATCACATTCATTGTTCAAAAAACAATATATATAGTATACATACACATTCAAAACCCCTTTCATGAGCACACTTATCAAGTCATGCCATTTGACTAATAAATCTTCTTGGATCCCATCCCAATATCCATATTTTGGCTTTTCAATATATAAAAAATGTGGGATCCAAGATAGAAAGCAAATTGCTCATCCAAGCAAAGAGGCCATTGACCAAAATACTTGCATTTTGTGACCAATTTGCACCACTAAATCAACAAAATAAAGAAAGAAAGAAATCAACAAACCCTTTTTACGCTACTCGTTTTCGACATCCCCATCGCACTCCCGGGGGGGACGACAAACAAACGAACAAATAACAATGGAGGAACGAAGTTTTCATAAGTCATACTTAAAGAATCACTATGAATGCACAATCAACAGTAGAAGGAGCAACTTCGACTAACAATTATCATGCCAACGTCCCTTACAGTAGAGAGAGATTCATTCTATATATAGTTTTCGAATTCCAACATCAGGCGATTCTTCCATATTCGTTCCCTCCATGGGAAGATGGCAGAATATTTGCGGCAATGGGATGGTTGCCCCTACGCCCTACAGAAAAAAGGATCACAATCGTTAGCATGATGGGAGAATTTACCTTCTTTCTGGGTTTACAAGTTAAAACAATCTTCAGAAAGCATTTTTAAAACCAATCCAAGGGCTTGTTTGTTAGCAGCTTAATGAGTTTAATGGGACTCACAGCTTATTCAGTCAGCTATACATGATTGTTTGGTAGTGGCTTAATGATATAGAAAGTGACTTATTCAGTAAGCTTTCTAAGAGGGAGCTTTATGCAGAAAGCCAACTTTGGTAGTGGCTTAATGGTATAGAAAGTTGACTCCATCCAACTGTAACCTTGAATATGACATTCGGAGAATACCAGTAAATCTCACAAGTTACAGATGAATGATAGGGTCACTTTTGTACTCAACTGCTAGTAAAATTAACAAGAACGAAGAAATAGCTTAGGATTAGTTACCCCATGGTGCACTGTTGCTTCCAGGGGAACGGGGACCCCCTGAGTTGAAATTGGAAAGTGGGGCCTGAACCTTGACATGATTCCATTCACCGCCACGAATACCCATTGACCGCACATGAGTGAACCGCTGAACGGGTTGCTGGCCCAGCCGACTCGGTGAAAATTGGGAGAAATGCGGCATTAAATGGGAAGGAGTCATCATGGGATGAACATACACATCAGGGGATGAGATCGAGCTTCCTGCTTCTGCATGTGAAAATGCTTGAATAGGCCCGTTTGGCCTGGCATGAGACATCAATCAAGTAATATAAAGTTAAACACATGTTCAATCATTTATGAATCAATTTATTCCAAAAATCCCAATTTTGTTTGCATGAATTCATACAAAAGCTAGAAACACACGAGTATTAAGACGAGATAAGACAGGATAGGACAGGCGTGGAAAGAGTGAGGTAGGCGGGTGAAAGAACTGTGTAGGGTTTTATTTGACATGGGTAGTTTAGTAATTTACCAATCTTGTCCCAATTCCCTATATTTGTTTCACCTTTTTGGTGGGACAAAAAAAGAGGCATTTTGGCGTGACATAAGGCGGCAAATTTGTATGTCATAACATATATGTTTTTTTATATATTATTCAATCAGATAATGATATTAAAAAACTTACATTCGTATTAGAAGAATAGTATTGATTAAATATTCAAAATAGCACGTAGAATGATAATTTTACAACTTCGTTTTAATCGTGAGTCAATGACATGTATATATTCGTGAAATTGTGAGTGATGTGATTAGATAACTCTATAAAAGTGTAAAATCACAAAAGCAAAAAAAGAAACTAAGAAAATCACGCCTTGTAAAAAACGCACGCTGCGGTGCGCCTCAAGGCGCCATGGCATGAGCCACGCCTTACAGAAACGCTATAGGCCTTATCGTAACATCAGAGACGCGTCTTATGCCATACCACACCATGGCGCGCCTTTTTTAACACTGATTTGACCACCACCCTCCAAAAAAATGACATGTTAAATGCAAATCATTACCTTTGAATCGACATATTTGTGGTCGACATTTGATTAAATCGCGCGACTCCAACAAATGATTCTGTAGTAGCAAAAGCTTGATTAAGATGCATACTCTTACTGAACTCCGTTGTCATGGAGCTCAATTCTGAAGAATCATCTTGCAGAAGCAGTTCATCGCTGAAGCAAAAGTCAAACAAGATATCAGATATCTTTTTAAAGAAACTGGCCAATATACCAGTATTCATATAAGCGCCCTAACCAGGTGAAAAAGTGGAATATGGAAGCATGAATGGCCTGTTTGTTAGCCACTTAATGAGCTTCACATTTTATTCGGTCAGCTATACATGAGCGTTTGGTAGTGGCTTAATGATATAGAAAGTGTCTTATTTAGTAAGCTTCTTGGGAGAACTTTATGCAGAAAGCCAAGTTTTTTTTTCCAAACTTACCCCTTTAAATTAAAAAACACACTCCTTCCGTAATAACTCCCAACTTCATCCACTTGGATTGTGCCCGGGGAATTAGTCGGTGCGCGTAAGCTGGCCCAAACCCACGGTTACCCAAAAAAAGTATGTTTGGTACATAAGTTCAACTAACATAGATTTTGTTCCATCCATAGTCCTATCACAAACTTTGTCGTTTCTTCTTGCTCTTTCCTACCAGCAACTTTAGACTAACATGGGGCTCATCTTTATCTACAATTTATTTATCTACTAGTGTAAATAAAAATAATAAAACCCCCTTCTGTTTTGTGGGAAAAAAGGTCTCGCCCCATGGTAACCTGCTAATAGAACAAGAGCATAACGCCATAACCTTCCAGCGCTAAATCGTAAAAGAAGGGATTAAGGACACTTAAATGAAAACATAAGAAGTTCGTTAAATACATAAAACATTATTCTGTCTTGATCATGCAACATATGAGAATTAAGATTTTGGTACTATATTACATTATATTGATATACTTGTTTTCGGAAATGGTCTTTTATGTTTTTAAATTATTTATAAACTAAAAGAATCCAATTGACATGTTTGAATTTTTCATCTTTATTTCAGGCTATTTGGATTTTGGAAGGTGTAATGGAGTTCTCAGGTCCTTAAACGACTTCCGGTCTGTGTTTAGCTGGAACCAACTTTTTGAACCCAATATTATAATTTAACAGACTCTTCGAAACGTATGTTGTGTTGCCCAAACGAGTTTTTTGTAGTTATTGGGTGGCCTCCTCATTCATTGTCCATAATAAAATAGATAACATGATAGTACATAACCTCAATATATTCATTCGATGATAGTTCTTTCCAAGAGTCACAAAGTATCAAATTAAGCAAGCTGAAATTTGTATAGATAGTGAAAATAAAGTAAGGGCAGGTTCATTTGAGAACCATAAAGATTTTGAGAACCGTGGAAACCAACTATTCATAAATTATTCATGATGAATATCCTGAATAATAAAAATGCATGATATCCATGATGAATAATATTCATGAATACTTAGGGATATTCATGATGAGAGGGAGGCTTAGGGGAAACCCCAAAAAAAATTAAAAACTGAGGAACACCTTGAAACTCATTCATCTGGACGGTATGCAGATGTGCATACAAGTAATTGAAGTTGTTTCTTGGCTTTTATGCACGTGTGCATGTTATGCACATGTGCATATTGGACAAATTGCTTACAAATTAGTTGTATGCACATGTGCATACCGTCCGGTTCCCAGATGTTCCTTAGTTTTTCAATTTTTTTGGTTTTCCCCTGAACCTGACCCTTCATGATGGTTCTGGTTCCAAAATGAACTTCCCACAACAAAGTAAATACGACACAAAATAAACAAATCGGAAGTATCCACTAGGATCATTACCTGTAGTTTGGATCCCAATCCCCCGGATCAGGCAGCGAACTGCTACTCTCAGGCTTGTCATGTATGGCACTCTTGGCAGCATGAGGAAACGGTTTACCTGAACCAAATGAAGTGTGACCAGTGGCATTTCCACTATTCCTTTGCTGTTGCTTCCAATTTGCAGCGTTTAAATTTGATTGTAAATGGTGCATTGAACGGCCCAACACAGGTGGAGAACTCGTATCGGCCTGCCCAGAAGACGTATTAACATCAGAAAACTGCCCTTGCCAATGTGCCGATGATGTGCTTTCTTGAGATTGTAAACTCCCAGAATAACCCCATCCTTTTCTTCTGTTCAACTGATTCACAGAAGCCGTTCCTTTTCCAAGAGGCGATCCATGGCAATTTCCTCTAGCAGGCGAACTCGGGCCATAATGTCCAGGAGATACTGTTGTAACCTGGCTGTAGGGTGGAGTGAATTGTGAGGGACTAGTGCCAAGCGACATGGGTGCAAAATTCCCGGCTGGGCTGAATCCGTATCCATTTCCATGTGGGATTTGCATAATTCTTCGCCGAGCATCGGGACTACTTCCGAGTGCTGGACCACTTCCTTGTGCGTAGTTGTTCATCCCAGATGGAGCGACCGGTGAATAGAACGTCAACACATTACTGTTATCTCCATAACTTCCATAGCTACTTCCGAGTTCAATGCCATCATTATAGCTGCCATGACTTCCCAAACTTCCAAAGTTACCTCCATGTGCATAAGGCATTACTTGAAAATGAGAGTTGTTATACATCGCAACTCGGTTTCCACCTAGAACCTACACGGAAGAGCAAACTGAATTACAAAACAAACCAAACCAAATGAACCCAAGAAATCCCACACAAAGTAGGGTCTTTTTTTTTGGGGGGGGGTAACAACTTGTTCCACCTAGATAGAAAATGGGATTTGTCAGCTTCTTACAAGCCTCAAGTTGTGGGCTACCGATAACTTCCATCGTGGTTTTAAGTTGGATGCTAAGTTATTGGGTTAGCCTGTTGCTTTGGGCTTCGGGCTATTACAAATGGTATCAGAGCCGATCCTTGTACCGTCAGGATGGTGGGCCAAACCTCATCGGGAATGATGAGTCCTTGGGGGTGTTTGTAACATCTTAGGTGAACCCCACATCGCCGATTACAAGGAGGAAGATTCCGGACAGTCCTGACGAGGACGTTAGGAGTTTAAGTAGGGGAGTTTGTAACAACTCGTCGGACATGGATAGAAAATGGGATTGGTGAGCTCCTTGTAAGCCTCAAGTTATGGGCTACCAGTAACTTCCACCATAGTTTTAAGTTGGATTCGAAGTCGTTGGGCCAGCCTGTTGCTTTGGGCTTTGGGGTGTTACAGGGTGCCTCACCCTGAAGAGTAGAAAGGTTGTTTCTATGAATACCCCCGGCTTGTAAAAAAGGTTTTGGAAAAAGGATTTCATAAGAGAAACAAAAACTGAATTTAATAACACAAATGACTGTTAGTTGGTTCATCAGAATTGATTATAAGGTACCAAAATATCATAATCGTAAAATGATAAACGAGATGTGAGTTAAGAAGCAGCAGATACTCACATTAGGAGAGAGACCTGCAGCAAACCAATGACCCCCAGCAGGATGATGATCGACCTTCACATTGTGAGAAACAGGCTACATTGCAAAAGGAAAGGGGTAAAACTTATCAAATCAAGAGGGCAAATAGCCGTTCATTTCAATAGTTTAGACCCAAAAAAGACTAACAATAAATTATTCGTACATTAACCTTACTAAAAGTCTGTTTGTTAGCAGCATAATGAGCTTAATGAGACTCACAGCTTATTTGGTTAGTTATACATGATTGTTTGGAAGTGGCTTAATGATATAGAAAGTGACCTATTCAGTAAGTTCCTAGGGGGAGCTTTATGCAAGAAAACCAAGTTTTTTCCAAACATGCCCCTCCCAATTAAAAAAACGCTCATTTCATCTATGAAAAAACCATCCTAAACAAGAACCTTCCCAATCTAGACAGACATATTAATCCACATGGACAACTTTATCCATATAGGACTTAATGGAAAACCAACCAAACAGTCCCTAACAGAAGTATAAAAAAGACGGGCAATCTCAATTATGCACTGCAACTCTATGGAATAATGGAAAACTGGGTAACTAATTTAACAAGTTAAGAAATATTACTTACCACACGAGGAGTCTCAGGAGCAGGCGTATAAGGACAAGTAAAAGGTTCCCCAGTAACAAAGGGATGCTTAGAAGCCTGCACCACGGATATGTAAACCATAAAATCAACGTTACAAAGTGTTACTAGTAACATATATTAGGTTGGTAAGCTTCCAAATAAAGCAGTCACAGACTCGTAAAGAAATGTGATCAAAGAAAGTTCATTCATATTTAACTAAGTAAGGGCCTGTTCATTAGCAGCTTAATGTCTTAATGAGACTCACAGCTTATTCAGTCAGCTATACATGACTATCTGGTAGTAGCTTAATGATACAGAAAGCAGCTTATTCAGTAAGTTTCTTGGGGGAGCTTTATGCAGAAAGCCAAGGTTTTTCCAAACCTGTCACTCCCAATTAGAAAACACACTTCCATCTATGAAGAAACCCTCCCAAACAAAAACCTTTCCTATCAAACAGATCAATCCACACAGACAGCTTTATCCATACAGGACTTAATGGAAAACCAGCCAAACAACCCCTAAGTACCAAATACTCGGGTGCCAAAAATGGCTAAAAGCGTGAGGCAAGTTGAAAACAAAACACAAATCCCAAAAACAGAGCTTTGAGAAATCTAAAAATATGTCAAAGGATCGCAAATGCAAGTTTTAGGATCTATCAAAACACGAAGATGCTGTGGAACCACTGAAATCATCGACAATCCTTAGAGATATATAAAATTTATATTTGACAAATTTCTTCATCCAAAAGAAAAGTTTAGGGAGATATGTCTATATCTAAGAAATTACTGCTGCTTTTCTGATTTCTTCCTTTTCCACTTTGTTATATGGACTCGATAGGAAAAATTGTGTAATATTCTTGACACTGCCATTTCTTAGGTAAGACACCTCATCTTAACATGACTTCATGGTCATCACACAAACTATAATTGTGTTCACTATCATCAAGAAGAACGAGAAACTGAGAATGGATTTTGAACAGAAAATGGCATTCAATAACCTGCAAAGGTGACCATCGCTTGGCTGGATCAAATTCTACTAGTCCCCTCAAGAAATCAATCAGTGCTAATCGTATTTGACTCTCTGCAATAAGTTCATAATGAGATGGTCATCAGATATACTCTAAAACATTTAGGGAGAAGATAAATATAATTATTTAAGCATATAGAACTAACCTCTGGCCAAATCTTCATCTTGCAGATTTTTCCTGTAAGGATACTTTTTGACAATTGCTTCAAGATTCATGTGATTAAAGTACTCCTTTCCAATTGACGGTTTCTTCAACTCTCTCTGAAGCAAAAAGAACACATAACAATAATAAAGCAAAATTCTTTACGAAAATAATTATTATTATTATGAATCTGAACTCATTCAAGTGCCAATATCATGTGTAAATAACAACTTTAATTCAATAAAATTTATTGTTGCAAAACTAACAATGAGCACTTACAGCTTCATATTCTTCTTCATTTAAAGCTTGGTAAATACTCTTTCCATAAGAAGAAACGTGACTACTACTCTCTTCATGGTTGATACTCCCTACACATTTGAAGAATTTGTTCGTATTCTTGGCCTCTTTAAGTACATAATCAGGTGGTTGTTCCCTGGATAGAGAAAGCAAATAAAAAGAAAAGAACTCGTATGATGAGAGGACTAACCAACAGAACCATTACAAGCATAAGCATGAAAATTTATACCAAAACTTTACCATCCCAAAGTCAAGCAGTGCTATTCTGATATTGCATACTAGAGGGAAGTTCAGGGGTAAAACCCCCAAAAAATGAAAAACTAAGGGACACCCTGGTAACCATTTTATCTAGACGATATATACATGTGCATACAAGTAATTGAAGTTGTTTCTTGGTATGTCACATGTGCATGAAAACCAAGAAGCAACTTCAATTATTTGTATGCACACGTGCATATCGTCCAGATGAATGGTTACCAGGGTGTTCCTCAATTTTTTCATTTTTTTTTTTTTTTTTTGCGGTTTTCCCCTGAACCTAACCCTTGCATACTATATAGTTTAATTCTCAGGCAGTTCTTTTAGCAAACAGCTGCAGCAGCTAAACCATATTTCAAATTCATCTACCAGCCTATTGTTCATATCTTAATGAAACATTTCGATAATTCTTAAGTCATCTTTTCCATCCCTAAACTCCTTAGACAACGAGCACCTTGAGAAAACTTTTTACAGTGCGAGTGTTTTTTTTTTCAAGGGCCCTTTAGAAGAATCCCTAACATGAAGTGAAATGAAAGTTACTTGGAGGCAATGCACACAAACAAATACGGATAGCAGCTTAATGAGTTTAATGGGACTCACAGCTTATTCATTCAACTATAAATGGCTGTTTGGTAGTGGCTTAATGATATAGAATATGGCTTATTCAGTAAGCTTATAGGGATGAGCTTTACGCAGAAAACTAGGTTTTTCCAGAACACGCTTCTTCCATCTATGAGAAAACCCTCCCGAACAAAAACATTCTCAATCAATACAGACAGATTAATCCACACAGACAGCTTTATCTATAAACTGAACGGAAAACCAACCACACAGCCCCTCAGAATTTTTTCCATTAACAATTGGCCAAGTTAAATATAATTTGGGTTCAAGACTTCATTTGATTGGTGTTTCTCTTAATTTTAGCTTTTTAGCATTTAAAGTTGAAGCTTACTAAGTGAGAAGTAAGTATTTCACCAAGGTTCTAAGCTTTAGATGCATGGTATGAGCATTGTTAGAGAATAATTTCTTTAAACACATACAAACTTTTAAAGAGAAACAAGCACTATGTCGTAGAACTGTAAATAATGCCCAACATCCAACAAAAAAAGAACATACCCGAGTATCTTTATCATCCTCCTTAAAAGATCAAATTCTGATGCTCCTGGAAAAAGCGGCAGGCCAAGAAATAGTTCGGCAACTATGCATCCAAATGACCACATGTCAATGGCAGTTGTATACCTGAGGAATGGTCAAGGTCTAACTGCAAGCTCATGAGTATTAATAGGCTCCAGATACTTGAGGGTGAAGACGTGGTTCATCATTTAGTGCTTAACCACATAAAACGTGCTCACCAATTTCTCTTTTTTCAAATTGGGTGACTACTGAACAGTACAAGTTTAGTGTTCATGGCATGATACTAAATTTAGAAACAGCGTATTTCCTCACATCGGTAAGATACTGTTGACTGGACCAAAGAAAAAGCATATAAAAAGTATAATTTTTTCCCTGGTTCAGTAGTGTATCCTAGTAGCTCTTATGCTCAAGTCGCTGGTCTTTAGGTCTAGTTATATTATGGGGATACGAAATGAAATGCAGGGATACCCCCCCCCCCCCGATATCTGAATAATAGGATTGCCGGTACGTGAAGGGTATGACACATTTTTGTTTTTTGAATACACAGACATGCATTTCTTTAATGTGGAAAAGATAATAATATACATGTTCATATATATGATACAATGTTCTGTTGAGGGAGGTTCAGGGAAAACCCGCAAAAAAATGAAAAAATTGAGGAACACCCTGATGACCATTCATCTGGACAGTATGCAACATGTACCTACAAGTAACTGAAGTTGTTTCTTGGTTTTTATGCACGTGTGCATGTTATGCACATGTGCATACCAAATAAATTGCTTACAAATTACCATCCAGATGAACAGTTACTAGGGTGTTCCTCCATTTTTTTTTTCCGGCGTTCCCCTGAACTGACCCTGTATCCTATACATTCATATTCCAGGAGCACCCAATAAGCACATGGCCCCGAAAACAATAAATTACCCCTTCATATGTATATATACATACTGCAACCGGAAAAGAATTACATGACAAGAAAATAAAACCAGCGGATTTGCATCCAAGGATACTGATATCCTAGAAGAACTTCAGGTGATCTGTAGTATCGACTCTGCAGAAGAAAATGTAAGCATTCAGATCAGTGTTCATCAACCTGCCAAAATTCAAGCAGTCAACTTTATGAGGATGTCCGAAGATAAGGACCTGGATATAAGAGTAAACAGTGTGATCTTCCATGCATGCTGATCCGAAGTCTATAATTTTGATTTCTGCTGGCTTCATACTGGTCATAAACAATAAACAGCAATAGCAGGAGCAAATGAGCTCAATTCAACCCACCTAAAACTTTGAAATAAGACCTAAGATTCACTAAGATATATAAATCTATATATATGGAAGGAGATGGAAAAAGCAAAAGTTTGCACTACGAATACCTCGTGCATAAAAGGATGTTCTCAGGTTTTAGATCGCAATGGATAATAGCAGCATCCTTCATCAGAGCCAATCCATATAAAATCTGGTACAAAATTGATCAATGGAAAAAGGATCAGATAATGTCTCGGGAAGAGAAATATAAACAACATTACAACAGGCATCCTAAGCGATTTTAATTTTTAAACCTGCTTTGAGAATAGCTGCACGATGCTTAATGATAATCCCCTAAAATGATTTAGCTTTATAAGCTCATACCTGACATAAACCCAGAAAAAGAACCGAAAAAACTCAGATTTAGATAAGCAAAATAAATAGCGAATAGAAGATGCTCTATACAACAAACAAAAACTTACAAATTCGTATCGAGCAGTTCAAAAGCAATGCAAAGATGCCGTTGATATACAAAGTAATCATAAATACGAACAATGTGATGCTTATCCTCAGGATCAAACTTTTTATTCAACTGAAAAAGAACAAGAAAATAAGGCGATATTCATATGTGATTAATTCCATATTCATTATAAATTCAAAACCCAAGCCAGGACAAAATATTTACTGTTGTCAGTATGGAAACTTCAACCAACGCCTGCTGATAGTAAGCGGGTTGATTCTTAATGATCTTCACAGCAACAAAACAGTTCAGTTCTGAGACCCAGCATTTAGCAACCTGCCCAAATGTCCCCTGGCCAAGTATGTCTTTTACGATATACCTGAAAATCATCAGACTGAGTACCAAAGATTTTACACATAAAAAGAAAATAAGGATCAGAAAGCAAAAAAATAGGGTCAACAAGCCTGCTACGAACTCATAAACAAGAAAAAAGACATGATACCTAAGTGTAGAACATATAGATAAAAGGATAGACGGGTCAGGTTCTGGGGGAAAATGCAAAAAAATAAAAAAACCGGGGAACACCCTGGTAACATTCATCTGGATGGTATGCACATGTGCATACAAGTAATTTGTAAGCAATTTGTTCGGTATGCACGTGTGCATAACATGCACACCTGCATAAAAAACAAGAAACAGCACATGTCATACCGTCTAGATGAATGGTTACCAGGGTGTTTCTCAGTTCTTCATTTTTTTTGGGGGGGGGGGGGGTCCCCCTGAACCTCCCTCAAGGATAGACAAACGAAGTTCAGAAGAAACAGCCTGCAAAAAGAGCATAAGCAGCACATAATTGAGATGACTTTGTTCCCATACGTTGAACTTTTCATTTTGCAATGAGATAAATTTCATCAAAAAGACAACATATTCTGAATTAATAGGATAGGACACAACAAGAAACAATATGCAGCAATTAACCTTCGGTGAGAGTCTAAATTAACCAAGCCACAGTTCACGGTCAGAATAAGGTCTGAATTTTCATTATCATAGCCATCATTGAGTACTCCAGCAGATGGGCTTGTCAGGAACCGCTTTGGATTTAATTCATCTGAATAATTAAACTGTGGATTGCATATTCGGTATGTATCAACAATATCTTTGGTTAATCTTGATACCAACTGCAAAAAAGATTGTGCTTTATGTCACCACAGTGCTGAGCAATGAAACTAAGATCAAGAAAGTGAAGATTTAAAACGGCATTACATGTTAACATCATAGCAACAAAAGAACAATTAGCAAAATAAAGGGAAACATATACTTTGAAGAACAGGTATGCTTCATTGAAAAAGAAAACCTAAAGTTCTCTGTTGGATACTCACCATGCAATTCAAAAACCTCAAGTTCAACAAAAGATATCATGGGCACTAGAACAAAAAAGAACATAATCACCTCCTGAAACAGCTGTGTAGGATCCTTAGCCTTCCTTAATAACGAAATACACATATCTTCCGTAGAGAAAACAACATAAAAAACTTGAACTTTATCATAATAACTTAGTAAAGATCGAATTTAGGGGCATCAACTCAACAATAAAGAATGCATAACTTGTAAAGCGTAATTGGGGAATACAAAGGCAGAACATATGCTCAAAAGAACCCAAAGTCTTGCCACAATGCCACAAATGAAAGTAATAAGGCTCTTCCCTCATCCAAATTAACAAGCATGCGCATAAACCCCCATATTTCTTCTGCCTGTATTGATCTATTTTTTCTGATTTCTTTAGCAAGGTGCAATTGTGTTGCAATGCATCAGACACTAGAGGTTAAAGATTATGACAAAGAGTAGGAGATTTCCAAACCCCCTACCCCCAAAAAAAAGAAATATATATATATGGTCAGGTTCTGGGAAAATACAAAAAAATGAAAAACTAAGGAACACATTGGTGACCATTCATCTGTAGGGTATGCACATGTGCATACAAGTAATTTCTCCGGTATGCACATGTGCATACAAGTAATTTCTCCGGTATGCACATGTGCATAACATGCACACGTGCATAGAAACCAAGAAACAACTTCAAATTACTTGTATGCACATGTGTATATCGTACAAATGAACGATTACCAGGGTGTTCCTTAGTCTTTCATTTTTTGGGGGCTTTTCCCCTGAATCCCCCCCCCCCTTCTCTCTCTCTCTCTATATATATACATATACATATATACATTCTACCACATATAGAGAAGACAGCAAGCAAAAATAGAGCATGCTAGTCAGAAAATCTCATTAAATCCTTATCTGGCATAATCTTTTAACATGCATAGTAGGCGTATTTTTTAGCAATAGGCGGAGGACAGAAAGGTTTTCAAGGCCCAAAACTTCCTCTGTCATCATGGGAATAGAGATCTCATATCAGCGTATTAAAACCACATCCCAGTCCTTCATCACTTCAAGAAAAAGAGTAAGCATAATTCATGGGATTGCTTGTATTTAAATTACTGGTTCTCAAGCAAATCAAACATAAGCTGTTGTCCGTGGTTTGCGTATCATGTGAACAATTTTTACTAACAAGTTGCTGCAATACCCTAACAGTATGCTTAACAAAGAATCAAAGTGCTTGGAAACTTTCCATCCACCTTCTACATTCTTTTGTATCATATTACACATACACTGTCAAAGAAAAAAGGAAACTAAATCAGCTTTTCTAGATAAGTAAACAAATGTTAACAAAAACCATTACCACCTGAAGCAAATATAACTACATATATATAAATTTCCAACTTTCCTTTTTCTAGAGTAATAGAAACTTATTAAGCTTAGATTTGAACAATCATATAAGAAACTTAATCATATAAACATGCTTTTGCTGGTTATACCAGCATCCTCAAAGATCAAGAAACAATCTCCATCTCCTTCATCCATTCTCAATTTCTTTTCTTAATTTTACAAGCATTCAAGTAGGGCAAATCATCTGATAAACAGTATAAAAGGAAAGATTTTGGTGGGTAAGAATCACTCACAGGTCTTTTCACAAGAACGCGCAAATTTTGTCTATTTGCATCACTCCCAAAAACCGGTTCATAAGGTCGAAAAACAAACGGTCTAGGACTCCATGGAACTGATGCTGATGCAGTTGCTAAGCTATCATCTGCTGCCACGGTGGAACTAGTGTTGACTTCATCCATGGATGCTCCCCCACAATTCACCGTAAAATTGTTATCAAATTGAAAACCATAAAACAAAAAGCATCAACGTTTAGATTGCTGCTGTTTCCCCATCGAATGCGATAATCTTCCAGCAATTTCAAGTAATCTACCAGAAGACTGCAATCCCATTATCATTGTGCTAAAACCCCACAAAGGTCATAAGCAAAACAACAGTTTCAGATCCATCAAACCGATAATCCGAAATCAGTTCGTCAAACAACAATAAACGAACACGTTTCTTGATGACCCAATTCACTTCCCTCCTCCCTCTATTGTCGAAATCCAGAAGCAAATAGATTGATAATCGGAGGGGATGATCAACGAAAAAGAAACTATAATTAATAATATCAGATAGAGGATCGATAAAGAAAGCAAAAGAAGATTCAAAAGGGTACGAAGAAACGACAAAAGAAAACAATCTCCCGATGATAATCAAATGTGATTGTATTGGGTTTCTTGAAAAAGATTGAAAGATGGATGATTTCACAGAGACATCGTCGGCACCTCCAATTAAACGAAGAAAAAAAAGGTTTTTGAGTTTTATCTGTCTTCTTTCACGAGCACCGCCGCTGTCGCACGTATAAACTCCGGTATATTACTGGATTAAATCTTTGAAACAATTGCAGAAAATTCCTCAAACTTTTCTGATTTACACCACCTGAACCCTCGACTTTACTAATGAACGGATCACATCTAGATTCTGTAGAGATATATATATATACATATATATGTGTGTGTGTGTGTATATATGTGATTGGTATGAGGAGGATGGATGCTTTGGAGTGTGTTTGATTTAGGGTTTAACTTCTAATCATTATTACCTGAAAAGCGTAATTAAAGATTTCGATGGGTTTCAAATAAATTAGGCAAATCTAAATTTATCTTCAAATTCAATGAATTCCCAATTATTAGTTCATATCTTTGTTAAAATTTTGTCTCAAAAAACCAATTCAATGACATTTTTATGCTGGAGATTTAATTATTATGTCTGTAGCATTTGATTTTGGTTCGAGGTACAAGGCAACTTCTAAATCGTTAAGAGGTGAATGATATTAAGGATATTTGTTTACCTCATAATTGTTTTATTAAAAAACAGTTTTTGAATTGTTAAGAGGCGAATCTTGTTTGACAAAAACAAAATGTCTCTTAATGATTATAATATCCTCTTGTTTGTTTATCTGTTAATAGTTTCATTAAGAGGTAGCATATGAATTGTGAAGAGGTGAATCTTGTTTGGCAAAAAAAAAAAATTATGTTTCTTAGTAGTTCTAAAACTCTCTCGATGATTTTGTATCATGGATCTCTTTTACCATTCAGCGCCCTAATTTCATTGTAAACAATTACCAAACACTTATATTTCATTTTGTACCATATCATGAGAGTCTCTTAATCATTCTGCACCAAACCCTCTGAATGATTTTGTATCTTGGGTCTCCCTTAACCATTCAACACCGTAATTTCATTCTGATTAATTACCAAACAATTAAATTTCATTTTGTATTACATTATAAGAGTCTCTTAATCATTTTGTCCACTTAATCATTATGTATCAAACCATTCAACAACCGTCAAACATGCCCTTAGATGTCAAAAAAAGTACTGATAAATGAAAAAAAAAATGTTATAAAATCAAAATTATTTATCCAAAACATGTTTTGAGAAAATATTCAATAAAGATCTACTATATATTGTATATATTCCGTTGGTTTTATAAATAATACAATTAGAATTTGATTCAACACTTTAAATAAAAAAATTTACACTTATTTTGTAATGGTTATATCTGATATACAACATTTACTAGAGCTGACAAAAAGGACCGATAGTTTTGTAAGATCAATACAAGATAAATTCAAATAATAGTATGACAAATACTACTTATGACAGACCGAATTTGGAGTGCAAACTTGTCTATAAAATTTGGCTCAATAACTCTCATCGTGGTATGGAAACATACATACCATGTCAATCAAAATGGGTTATAAAGTACTATTTTAATAGTATCATACTTGGTTTAATGTCCCTCTACATACAAAATAATGAGTTGGGTTAACAAATGTCTACGTTAACTTCAAAGGCCAAAGTGAATAGTACAAGCATGCATGGATCAACAAACCAGATAAAGATGAGCGTTAAAGTTGTCAAGCAATATTTCTAACAAAAAAATTTGAATTGAAAAATTGCTCGATGGCCAATACCGGGGTATATAAGCAGTAATTTCAAATCCATTGTTTTAGTTGAACATTTTCGTTTGAATTGGAATCTGGTCATCCACTACGACCCGCTAAGCATAGTCGCACGTAATGACAGATCACAGCCAAAATAAATAGGAGCATAGTTCCAATGGTGGCCATAAAAAGTCATCATTGTCATATGTTTGCAACTCCCGTTTTGAAATAATTTCAAAGTGATGGTTTCTTAGGCAAAATCGGCATCACAATCTGAAGATTTATCTAAGTACTTTTACATCTAAAATAGTACTGTCTTTTGTCACTCTTACAGTTGTTAGCAAAACTGTCACCAGTCAGATTGTTTAGGATAGGTTTTGCCTTCATAGTTTATGCAACAAATCTGTGATTCTTTATTTTAATACTAGAAGTAAAAGTGAAAATATGTTGTGTTTGTATTCAACCCCCTTCTACAAAAACACATTATGTGTAAGTCATTACATTCCAAGACCAACATATTCAAAACTTTTTTACCCCTTTTACCGAACCCAAAGGTTTTATAATTAATATTTAATAATTACTTTTTATAAAAAACACATCGTAAATTTAAATCGGTGTTGTATAAGGCTTGTCGTGACAGTGGTTGTAGCGCATCATAACTAAAGGCTTGCGTCTGACATCACATTAAGCCTGTGCAATGTCATGGCCCAATGTGCAATTTATGTAATGCAATATTTGATATTTTTTACCTTTTTAGCGTCTTACTTTTCAGTCTGCAATATGTAACATAATTTAAACTGTTTAATATCATTAACTCATTGAGTAATAGTAAAAAACATATACGTGTGTATATCCATAATGTTATAACTGATATAATTATTTACCCTCATAAGTCGCGTATTGCAAGCGTCGTGGCTCAAAAAACTTAAAGACTTGACCTTGCCGCAATGCCATGTGTTAACGTTGTTCATAACCTTGTTTAAAACAAATAATGACAAATGAAGTCGAAATCGATGACAACTTCATTGCTCTGGAATAAAAATTATTAAGCAACTGTCTGGATACTAATAGTTTTTTTATACGTATTTTCTAATTTTCTCTGCTATAAACTCTAATTTTATTAATTTTTATGGATATCGTATTTGTATCAAGCGAAAAATCAGAATTTTGTGACACAAAAAAACGTTGCTGATTGCATTGGTCTATTGATTAGTTCATTACTTTTCATATATGATGTCCTATGTTCAAGTCTTTTATTACAAATTTTTTCAAAAACATGATAAATCCGAAATTAAAAGTTAAAAACCAAGAAAATGACACTAACATGATTCAAATTCGGGTCTGGAGTGGAATAAAAAGTTTTGCAAACCAACTCTACCAAGAAAACTAGTGCTCTCATTGTAGTTTCAAAATATGTACGGTGACACACAACAAAATTAACACAGCGACAGTTTTCACGACCCTAAATTTTTTTACGCTACAACCCTAACCCCTTCCCTCTCTTAATTCAAACTTGTTTAAGATACAAAAAGTTATACCTCATCCCCGTTCTGTTACCCGTCAAGACAAGAAATCCCGGCTGGCCCGATAAGGAGCCGGTACTCATGGGTACCTAACCTAACAGATAAAATTTTCATCTATAATGCCTAACAAATATTAGACCATCTAGGGTGTCCTAATATATGTCTTGACTAATCCCGACAAATTGTGACTGCAAGATATCAGTCTTGATAAGCTCAGTGATCTGTAGGCTCGAACACGAGGCAGATAAAATATTCCATCACATCCGCAGGATCTCAATCACTACACTACAACCCTATGTAGTACTTTCACATCAGAGGTCTTCATAGAAACAATGCTCGTTTGATCTGGTTTTGTATGTTTTTGGACTAAAAATGAGAGGCAAAAAGTTTATATGGACTGAAAGTAAAAAAAAAAAAGGGTTTGAAGATGATATTTTCAAGGAGGAGGTTGCGTGCTACCCTATTATCGTATGTATACACAGAGTAGACTCCCAAAAAGCTAAACAATGGCGAAGGCGATGCTCACCCGCCCCCATATTTCGACCTTGTGTGCTTATGGCACTCATCTCTTCAGATTTCAAGCTCTTAATCGGATTCAGACTCGATCAATTGCTCGCTTGATTGTGCCAGTGGGTAAGTTTGGTCGTCAACAGCTTGTCAAACCTTCGATTATTCACGTTGTCGGTCGCCGGAGCGTCAGCACCGGAGTTACATCTCCGTCGAATGGTTCTGGACCAATCGATTCTCCATTGATGCAATCGATGGAGACCAAGGTTCGATTTTTTTCACTTGGATATCGATTGAAAATCCTATTTTTATTGTGGGTTAGGGTTAGTTGGTTACCATTTTATATATTTGATTGATTTTTTGAATGGATTTGGGGATTTCATGTTAATTGTATCTCCCATTCCATTATTAGTATCAATATTCGATTTGCAGCTCTTTCCAGACCCCCATTTCCCCCATGGATCATCTTTCTTGCAGTTTGAAGTCACAAACCCTACTTGTTTTATGATGCTGTTGAATGGATTTAGTTTTGGCCTTTTGGGGATGTTTTCAAAGAAAGTTGGGGAAAAGATTGACAAAAATATCACTTTCTGACATGTCAATTTCTATAGGTTGGGGGACTCCAAGAATCTAATGAGCCTAACTTTGGATTGTATTTGGACAGATTAAGGAGCAATTGAATGCTGAAATAGTAACGGTCAATGATGCTTATGGTGATGGGCGGCATGTTAGGTGAGTTTGCATTCTGATTTACGTAGGGAAATCATGTGGAGCTTCAAATAAGAAGGTTAAATATCAAACGGAAGGTAAATCATCGAGAAAATTCGTAAGATGCATATGTTAACCTATATGAATAATCTGTAAAGTTGGTTTACATATGCATCGTTTAATAGATTTTCTTTTCGAAAATTTTCAATGATTCACATATGAACCTTCCCTTCTTATCTTCTCATGATATTTAGCCTTCTTATATAAACCGTCCCTGTGAACTCATTAGCAAAAAACGAGTTGAATGTATGATCTTATCTTCATTAAGCTGACCCATAAGCTGGTTGTTCTTCTTACCATTAGAAAAGTGATAATAATGACTGATTATTGAAACCGGAAGACTCTCTGTGCTACTTGTAACGAAAAAATTGGTTATATAGTATTACAGGGCAGTTAATTTTGTTATGAAGGTATTTCTTGGAATATGTATTAAAGGTGTGGTCTTTGTTTAACTTGCTTGTCTCACTATGCAAAAGCATGTCATTAAGATATCTATGAATTTTGAAATGAAAATTGCATTACTTTTAATCAGAGATATATGTGTATGCCTCCTTGAATTCATCAAAAAACTAGATATCTCTCAAGTTCCATAATGTAGAACATTTGGATAGTTGAAATGAGAACTGTGAGAATTGTGACAGCAAAAGTTGTATGATCCATAACTACAATAAAAAAGACATCATATAATAGAGAAAACATGATTCACTTGTTTCTGTATATCAGTAAACACCACGTGCACCTTTCTTCCTTAATGGTTCATAGTAGTTTGATCAAATGGCTCATATACGTTGTTGGATGTAGCCTTATTCTCGTAGAGTAGGACAAAAGCATCCTCTCCCCACTTAACAAACAATTTTAAGGTAAGCCATATTACACCTACCTCCCAGGGGCTCTCACTTATTCACTACACACTGAATGGGTACGATTTTAAATGAAGTTGAGGTGAATAGCGCGCACATGAGATGGGTTGTTATGAGGCATGTCTGACTTCACTAAGGCATTTGTTGATAAGCTTTTGGAGATTGATAAAAGATAGGCCTATGAAGGAGATACGAGGGTCTGAAAACTATTGGGGTAGCTCAACTGGTATGACCTTGAGTTTGCTCCCGGGTGGTCACCGGTTCGAGTCTTCTTAGAGCCACCGGAGTTTTGCCGAGCTTTAACTTTAGGGCCCCATGGGATTAGTTGAGATGTGCACAACCTAGTCAAGACAAAAAAATGAGGGTATGAAAACCGTAAATGATTTCTTCTCTGAAAATGCCCAATGAGTGTAATTATTACATATTTTAATGAACTAAATGCCACTTTTACCCTTATAGAGGGAATAACAATTTTTTCTCTCATAGTTAACGATATAATTGAAAAATAGGCGACTACTTTTGGAAGTGCGCATTTAGAAGCTTAATGCCCAAAATTTGCACAACAAAACAGAATAAGGGGACTGTTGATACCTGGTTTAATGAACTCGCAGCTTATTCGGTCAGCTATACATGACTTTTTGGTAGTGGCTTAATGATATCGAAAGTGACTTATTCAGTAAGATCTATGCAGAAAGCCAAGTTTTTCCAAACCCGCCCCTCCCAATTAAAAACATGCTCCTTCCATCTATGAAAAAGCTCAACCAAACAAAAACCTTCACAATCTATACAAACAGATTAATCCACACAAACAACTATCTCCATACAGTTAATGGAAGACCAATGAAACAGGCCCTTAATCTGGGACAAACTAAAATAGAAATATGAGTGTTATTTTGAATCTTGTTATGTTTTTGCAGCATTGATGTTGTGTCATCGGCTTTTGAGGGACAGTCGGCTGTGAACAGACAGAGGATGGTTTACAAAGCGATATGGGAAGAACTCCAAAACGTCGTGCATGCAGTCGACCAAATGAGAACCAGGACTCCAGAGGAAGCAGCATCAGGAAAGTGATTGTGATGAAGAATTTGGTTTTAACTGCTTCATCTTTTTCAATCATCAGGCAATGAATCTTTTCAACAGTCTTGACTTTCGATTAGGTTCCCACAAAACTCTAAATCGAGATTGTATGAAAGTGACTCAAAAATCCAGTCATGATTTTAATCCGGACATTATGGGTGTCGTTTTTCTCATTAACGGAGATCTCATGTTTGATTCAGTCATATGTTAGCGAATTAAGGTGGTCAACTTTTTTCATTCAGATTTAACATTGATACATGGCTTATCATATCAACCCAATTTCTACCATAAATATTGATTTGAGTTGGGAAATTTGAGTTTCATTGCTTAATGTTATCTTGTACATTTGAATAAATACAAGTATGTTTTACGGGTTCCATTGGAACTTCTGCATTTACGCACTCTTCGACACCATCTCGATATATGCTCGATGTTTTAGACGTTTATAAAGTGGTTCACCTTAATCTTGCATGCTTTCTTTCCTCACAATTTGATACATATTCTCAATGTACTTTAAATTTCGCCTCGGACCCATGAAGGCCTAGCGGGTTCTGTACACCCATTCAACTGATTTTTGTAGGTAAATATCCTTTCGGGGTATAAAAGGTGCACATGTTAAACTTTGAGGGTGCTCCACGATATTATAAAGTAGAGTAAATTACATTTTCTCCGTGGTTGAGAAATTGCACTTTTCATCCCTATGGTTTGTAATTCATTGCTACTTTCGTCCTTATAATTTACAATTTATTGTTGTTTTATGGTTTACAATTCTTTATTAGTTTGATCCCTTATACTTAAAGGTAGGAATTAGTCCAGGGATGAAAATAGCAAAAAATTGCAAACCATAGGGATAAAAATTGAAATTTCTAAACCATATGGACAAAAATAGAAATTATTAACAAACCATAAGGATGATAATTGAAATTTCTAAACCACATGCGAAAATAGAAATTATTAACGAACCATAAGGATGATAATTGAAATTTCTAAAACCACATGAACGAAAACAGAAATTATTAACGAACCACAGGAACAAAAATCATAATTTGCTCTAGAAAATACCGAAAAAGTCCCTCAAAATCAACCCAAAAACTTAAAAAATCCCTCGAAACCATGGAATTCACGTAAAAACACAGCATACCACTTTGTAAGCTTTTGATCCACCTTAAAGATGCACCAGCTCAGCAAAAATCCTAGGTCCACTGCAGACAGACTGGAAACATATATATGAAAACACATATACAGATCTTCTTTTTAATGGTGCAATGATTGTGTGTATATCTTACATTTGACATTGATCAAAAGTAACAATATCTATGTTTCTTATTTACAGCTATCAATCAAATATACAAAGCTTTAAAAACCAATCTCCTGAAAGAAGGATGTACATGGAGCATTGGAAGAGATACCACATCAACTTATAGAAGGCAACATAGGGTTCATACCAAGCCCAGATCCCCCAAACCCACCTGGTTCAGCATGCTTTACTCTACCAAAATACCTGATATGCCGTAAAAGCCTCGCCAAAAAGGTGTTATGGCATATCGTTGAGCTATCGCATACGACCGCCACATGTTTGCGTGCTCTCGTTATGGCAACGTTCATTCGTCGACTATCCCCGAGAAAACCAACGGCTCCCAAAGTGTTTGATCGAACCTTACGAAAGAAAAAGAAATGGTCGTAAGTAGCGTTCCGTTAGAAGAAACGTAGGAATACGAAACTTCAAGATCAAGATTGATGAAGAAAACTCAAACGCAAAATCCTCTTCTACGAAATGGAAATCGTACGAAGTTTCAACTCAAGATGGTAATAAATCAACTTGTTGTGTAACATACCATGGATATGATCACCGCATCGGCTTCCCTGCCTTGAAAGCTATCTATGGTTGCAATCTCTACCCCAGTGGCCAATGGAATCTCGTCTAGGCTATCCCTTAGTAACTGCACCTGAGCCACATATGGAGACTGCACCGCAATTGCCGTCGGGCTTACACCTGCATACCATATTCAATGACAAAATTACCTCCCAAAATATATTAGTCCTGATAAACTAGCTCATAAGTAATGGGGCTTTTTCAATATGCTAAAAAGAATAAACCACTTTCTATATCATTAAGCCACTGCCAAACAGTCATGTATAGAAGCTGCGAGTCTCGTTAAGCTGCTAACAAACAGGTCCTTAATATCTTTTAGGGCGCATTTGGTATGCAGGACAGGATGAGATAAGATAGGTAAATTACTAAACTACCCCTGTGAAATTAAGACCTTAAAAAACACTCCACAATTCTTTCACCTGCCTATCTCACTCTCGCCAGTCCCGTCTAGTTCAGTCTAATCTGTATACCACACGCACCCTTAAGATGAAGAAAGCAGCGGCAGTTTTGCAATGCACCTATCTTTTAATCACATTTATGCATTATGCACAAAAAAGCATATATCTAGTACAAAAAAAGCATTTAGCCAAACATTCAGTTTAGTGCAAAAAAACATAACTAGACAAACACGTACCAGCGTATATCAATGATAGAACATGTTGAACAACGATATCCGCCTCCCCTTCATTGTAAAACGAGCCTGTGCCAGCAAGATCCAAATGCTCCTCGCAACCGGGTGATAAACTACCATATGGCTTCCTTGTATCAAGCAATAGCAATGGGCATTGTGTTATCCAAGTGGGCTGCAATAATATACACACAATTTTATAACAGAATGAACGCATTAGAACTATTCCCCATTAACGGTGGATGCTTATAGAAATCGAAAGGTTGATGATACCTGTACAAAAGGAGAATCAACAAGAAGATGAGAAGAAACCGTAGTGGAAGATGTCAATGATCCTCCATACATTTCCTTTGAAGCCCAGCTAGAAATAGCATCGTTCATTCGGTATTGTGTTGTTAACCTGGTGGCAAGAATCCCGTCATGTAAACTTGTGGCTCTCTCTAATAACGACATTCCAAGACCACCTTCTAACGCTTTCCTAGAAAGAATCACGGGAGCTAGCTGACATTGATCACCCGCAAGTATACAACGCTTTCCTTGCAATATCGGAATCCAACACGAAGGCTCGATTGCTTGACCTGCTTCATCTATAACAACAAGATCAAAAGCATCCGCGCGTCGGATTATTGGATCAGCCGCCCCCGTGTTGGTGGTAAGCACAACTTGAGCATTAGCCAAGACTTCCTTCACGGTTTCCTTCTCCTTCTTCTTTAGCGCCTTCCCAAGTTGTTTCAAAAGTTGTCGTATTCCAGCTGCTAAAGAATCATCCCTCAAACATTGTCTCAAATCCTTCCGGAGATCCGACCTCTTCCGCTCAAGTTCAGACCGAAAATTCGATAGCTGAATGTTTACAATCTCAACTAAAGATTTCGAAACTACAACCGGAGATATTCTTGCAGGATTACCAAATCTTACTATGTTAATCCCGACATCCGAGAGTTTTTCAACCATGTTATCAACTGCAGCATTCGTAGGTGCGGTAACCAGCACCCTTTCACCTTGTTTAACGGCAAGGACTATTAATTCCTTCAGTAGACCTGTCTTTCCGGTACCGGGAGGACCTTGAACAATCAAAACAGGCCGTTTTTTATTCAAACCTAATGCAATTGCCCTTCTTTGGGCTTCATCGTAATTCTTAACATATCTAGTTCCGGAAAGTTCTGCTTCACTCCAGTCGGTAAATTTGTGATCTTCCAACCATGTAATATCATCCCTGTCTCCAAAAAGTGTTGCTACGATAGCAATCGAAGGGTTGTTCTTATTCAGACCTTTTTTCTGAAGCATCATCAGAGCTTCACAATTGCGCTGAAATAAGAAACGGTAACACATATGAAATTGTACAATAGAGAATGATAGAAAGTAATAAAAGAAGTTGCTTTATAGTCAAAGTATATGCAAAAAGTGGCATAATGATAAAGAGTCTTCTGTTTGGTTGGTTTTCCATTAAGTCCTGTATCAATAAAGTTGTTAGTGTAGGTTAATCTGTCTGTATAGATAGAGAAAGTAGCATATTCAATAAGCTTCTAGGGGGGCTTTATGCAGAAAGCCAAGTTTTTCCAAACCTGCCCCTCCCAATTAAAAAACATGTTCATTCCATCCATGGAAAAACTCTCCCAAACAAAAACCTTCCCAATCTATGCAGACGTATTAATCTACACAGACAACTTTATCCATACACGACTTAATGAAAAACCATCCAAACAGATACGGTAGAGTAGTTCCAATATGCAAAAAGTGGAAGAATTTGGCTAAATCAGAGTGAAATGAAGGTAAAATAAGGAACATATTTGTAGAGTACCTCATATGTAACTGCATCAGCCAATCCATGAATTCGGTCTATGCGTACACTCTTACCAAATAACTTTGAAAAGGTCGGATCACCATGGCGGGATTCTAACGCCACAGTGATACTACAACCATCCTCCGCCAAATTGTTAACAAAACCTTGCATACCAGAAACCGCCCCAGCGGCCCCCCTGTTGTCACATGTTCTCACACAAACCATGTCTCCCGGAGACAAAGTTGTTGGTGGCAACCTATGATTTCCTTCTACCTTAAACTGAACCAGATGCATTCCACCTAATCCCGTAAAAGTACTAACAGCAAACAAATTGCATATAGTATCACATAGTTCTTGTTCCGCCTGACCATGACTAACAAGGAATTCAATTGGTTTGTTTGAATCCGAACTATCGGTTGTAGGGACAGCATCTAATTCCTGTTGGGTAAACTCTAATTCAGAATCTCGTTCAACACGAAGAAGATTCGCCATCCTTTCTGCAAAATCATCAATCTTGCCCTGAATCGCCTTAACTTTCTCTAGTTCCATGCCCAAAACACCATGGACAGTCTTTGGCAAAGAAACCTTCCTTGCAATGGCTCTATGCTGAGCTGAAGATGAATCATGCATGTGAAATGAATTAAAGATATACGACAAACTAACAAAGAACCATGGTTATAAAGATCGTTTGAGGCTTACGACTCAGATGATTTGCTTTGGTAATGGTTTTTTGGATTTTTTATAAGCTTTATGACAGTAGTACTTCTCTTTATAGTATAAGTGTCTTTTTATTTTATTTTAAAGAAACTAAAAGTCGAAGCCCAATGTATACTTTTAATATTTTAGAACACAAAAAGCACTAGTACATTCTCCTCTCAATCAAAAAGTGTGTTTTGACCCTTCTTCCTCCAAGCAACCAATTTTTCCGCACCCTCCCTATCTCGCTGTTTCATTCTTTCCTCTGTCAATAACCATTGAACCAGCGCCCTTGGCAATTTACTATTTTATATATATATATATATATTGTATATAAATGTAGAGGGAGGTTTAAAGGAAAACCCCTAAAACTGAAAAATTGAGGAACGTTTTGTCATCTAGACGAATGCACATATGCATACAAGTAACTGAAGCTGATATGCATGTTATGCACATGTGCTTACCAGACCAATTGCTTACAAATTACATGTGCATACCATCCACATGAACGATTACCAGGATGTTCCTTGATTTTTTTTAGGTTTTCCCAAGAACCCAACCGTATAAATGTGTATATATATTTGTGAAGTATATATACATATTTTGGTGTATATATATAATATATTTCCGCCTCAGGGCTTACGCCTCAGACCGTCTAGAGGCTTACGCCTTGCCTCATTGAGCAAAAACGCCTAGACGCCCGATTCCGCCTTCTAAAACCTTGGTTACAACTTACAAGACAACAATAAGAAAGAAAGAACTAAAACAGATTCTTTTTGTTAACATCTAAAGAGTCAAGTAAAGAACCTGATCTCGCAAGTTCCTTGAGCAACTTCCAAGACTCGGTTTTCTGCCAGTTTTCAACCAAAGACTTGCTCTGAAGTTGCTGGAGGACGTCCCTGAGCTCCCTCTGGAAATGGTCAAAGAGGGTAGGGTAATGTGTGCAGGCTTTCAAACATACAGATTCAAGACCAGAAGGCATTGGAATGGCATTAAGATAAGGCTGAGCCTGAATCACAAAAGTTAAACCAGGACCCATTCTTTGTCTAATCTCAGAAAACTCCCCTTGCAATTCAGCATCCCCAAAATCAGTCGCCATTGCCTTCATACCTTGGCTTATCCACTTAACCACGGACTTCCCCAAATCCTTCCGTCCAAGAGGATCACCATTTTGATACAAACTACGGACATTGAATAACCCTTCTTTAATCCCATTTTTATCCTCCTGTTTCCCTCTTATTTGGGCATAACCATCATCCACCACTGGTTCACCGGTGACAACCTTCTTTCTCTCACCGGTGACAACCGTACCACCACCGTTCTTCTTGGTATTTCCGCCGGTGCGTCTTCCTCTCTTGGTTGTACTGATACTTACGGTGGTTTTCTTATCGGAACTGTTTCGGATGTTGTTGAATCGTAACGGGAAGGTACAAGATAATTGAGATGGAGGGAATCGAAGGAATGACGAAAGATTCAACTCAAATTGACGTAAACGGAAAAGAGTTGGTGGCGATGATTCCAGCCTCCTCCATCTTTCACTACCCACAACTCTATTTGCTGTTATACTCATCACCATCTGAATCAAATACGATTTACAAGTCCGCCATGAATGATGGTACTGTTACAGAAGCTAAAAAACAGAAATTGATTGCTTGAATTGGAAGCAGACTTGCGAAGGAATCTTGGGTTTTTTTGGCACAAGATGAATGGAAGATAAAAGATTCGTTGAAATGGGGGTTCCTCCTCTTATTTGAGAGACGACCCTGTTCATAAAAATGAAAAGATCTCGTGGGTGGCTTTAGCGGAATCACAAACTTTTGAGTTCGTTCGCAATTGGGTCTGTGTTTTTGTTTCTTAGCAGACGTGTTCTTCTGCTCTCCTCTCTTTTTTTCAAGTCTCGAAAAGGAACAAAATTGAAATACAACCCTCCCTCCCTCACTCCACGTGGAACTACAACTACCCTCCACGTGGAACTACAGCGACCCTCCACGTGGAGCTATAGATGGTACACAAATAAACCCCCTCCATGAATCATGAAAAGGTGAGCTAACCGGACCATGTTTTAACCCCGAAGCCTGGTCTTGTCCGGCCAGCCCTAATACCATACCAGACCTTGTTTCTTGTTTACTGAAAAGACGGATTTAGAAAGCCTTAATCTACTTGAGTACACGTAGCTAGTTTAAAAACCCTTTTGTCAAATTTTCAAATAAACTCAAGAGTAAACGACATTTTTAGTTCTTACAATTTGTTAAAAATTGCTATTCCATATAAAACCCGCTTTAAACCATCAAGATAGCTATGAAACCCCTTATTATAAAATGTTCGGTGGTCAAAGCATGAAAAGTAAGATTTTTGGCATTTAATACGTGTATAAGATGTCTTAGGCGTCTTATCAACCTTCCGAAGAGTTTCATACCTTTTGGATCAGTTCGTACACTCAATTATTTATAAATTTGCATTTGGAATTCTCTACATATTTTTCTGTAAATTGGAGTTTTCATGAAAATAGCTAAAGTCTGCATACATCATATCCTTAAACCTAAAGTTTCGTTTAATTTGGTTTAGATATATAACCTTAAATGGGATTTTAATTAAATCCATAATCTCTTAATTTACTAAAAAAAATGGCTTCATACCCAAATGGTCATATATACATATTGATGAGAGAAGAACATAGAAAGAGTAAGGTTCAAATGAAAACCCACATAAAAATGAAAAACTAAAAAACATCATAATAACCGTTCATTTGTATGATATACACATGCATACAAATAATTGGAGATAGGTTATTGATTTCTATGCACATACTGAATAAATTACTTTCCAAATTATTTATATGCACATGTATATACCGGATCGGATAAATATAAGCTACTCTTGGAGCCACCTTGTTAATATAGCTTAAAAAGTTTTGATATTTCATTCCATTCAACCAACTAGTTAACATTTTCTGGCCAGTTTTCTACAACAGATTACACAAAATCTAACAAGTTTTTAAGGAAATTGCAGTAAAAGCATCATCAGAAACATATGCTATCACTATAATAAGTTCATCAGGAACATATGCTATCATATACTATAAGTTCATCTCGGCAGGCGGCTGATCGGGTTTGTTCGAGTTTCCTTGTTCTAGTTTGATGTCTGCAGGTGCCGACCCGGAATTTGAAGCCTGCAAATATATACATCAAACACTTGCACAACGGCGGGAGAATTGTTATCATTTTCGTGAAAAATAGTTGCTCACCTTTATGGATATCTCAGCAAAGGATGCATCCATCTCTCTAGCACGTTCACCTTCTTTTCCGTCATCCTGAACACAACCGAGATACATCAGGATAAGTATGAAATCATTGAACCAGGGTTCCAATGAATTTGAAATGATGGTAGAGGAAAACTATAAACAGTTTTCTAGTGTTTGGCAATACTGATTTCCTAGCGGTATCGTAGCCCTTGGCCTTTTAGAAGGTCAAGGGTTCAAACCTCACCATAGGTGAGGAGGGTGTGTGAGTTTATTTGTTGCATTTGCCGTATATAAATATTATATACTTCAAAAAAGATAAAAAAAATACTGATTTCCTGATTTTTCTAGGGTGCGTTTGGTACATTGGACAAAAACAGAATAGGGATCACTATTCCATGTTTGACAGAACTTTTATGTGGAATATAGTGGAACAGACCCCCACCCCACCCCACCCCWCCCCACCCCACCCCATGGAACAAGATGGAACAAACCTATATTTTACCAATATAACATGAAAATAAAATCTAATTCTTTTCTAAAACATCAAATATGCAGCTCCCTCTTTACATTTTATTCATTCTTTACATTTTATTTATTGTATTTTATGCTCTTTAAACTTTCACTTTATTGTCCTCAAAATACTATGTTTTATATGGTTTCCATATTTTAATTAATCTATGTAATTTATTGAATATTTAATAATAATATAATAATATAGAAAAGGTATAAAATAAAAATTAGAAACTACATAAACTTTTTATTTGGTGTCATCTTAAACGTCTTAGACTAAAACATCCTAATGATACATTTTGTTATAGAAAATATTTATTTTATTATAATTGAATTAATTACGTAAATCAATCAAAATATATAAACAGCCCAATAGGAGTAAATTAGTCATTTTATCTATTATGTACTGTCTCGTTCTGTCTTACCAATCGCTCAACAATTGTTTTGTTCTATCCTGTTCTATCCTATCTGGATACCAGACGCACCCTAATTGAATAACCAGTTTGGCGTACAAAAACAGGCAATATGGGGAAATGAACTCCAAATATAACCAAAAAAACATGTAAAAATCTGGCCTATTGACCAAAGAATCCAAAAGATAGTTTACTTAATGGAACTGAAATATAACAAAAGTGCACATACCATGTCCTTAGACTCCATATCATGAAGTTCCCTCTTCACACGGCCAAGAAAAGGCTTACTGCAAAAGGGAATAGGAAAAAGTACAGAAAAATGAAGGTCGTAAAGGATTTGAACAAGGGCGGACCCACTAAAGGGCCAGAGGGTGCACAGGCTCACCCTCAATTCCCGATATATATATATATATATAGGGGAGCGATCAAATGCAAACCACTCAATTTGTACAAACCGTGCAAACCGCATTCAACCAATCATAATTTTTCATTTTGTTCATTTTTTTGTAATTATGAGAGGTTGATTAATCATTTTTATTGTGGAGGGGGTTAATCATAGACATTATCATCTTCATAATTTTAATTTTAGAGAAATACATGAAACAGTTTCATTAATGTTAGAGAAATACATGAAACAGTTTCATTAAGTATTATATGAAACAATTTCACAACCATATATGAAACAACTTCATCAAAAAAAGTATTATATGAAACAATTTCACAAGATTAAACAATTTCATGAAAAAATTTCATAAGATTAAACAATGAAATCGACAGATGAAGGTGGTTTGCACGGTTTACACAAATGAGGGCGGTTTTCATATGATCACTCCTATATATATATATATATATATATATATATATATATGCACACATTATATTCACAACCACATCTCTTTTCCTTCACTTACACGAAAACTTTATTATTTTGTTTATATATATATATATATATATATAATATATTTATGGACCTGATTTTTTCAAAAAAATATGTTTATTTTATGGTCTTTATTTGGAAAAATAAACATGAATTTTTATAGAATAAACAACTTTTTACGATAATTTTTATTATTTTCAAAGGAATTCTTTTTATGTAAATGTCCATGTATTCACACTTGTAGATACATCTTATATGTTTGGGTAAGCATATGTATAATCATGCATGGTGTTTAACGTACAAACTGATTTCTAACCTTTTTAATAGCTAATGTATATAAATAAATATTTAACAAAAAACCATATCATTTGAAGGGTTTCACCAAAATCGAAACATAAATGTTTTTAACATTGTTTTTTTAGGCTCACCTTAAAATAATTTCCTGGCTCCGCCCCTGAATTTAAGTTAAAAAAATGTTTTTATTGGGGAAAGAAAGATTACCCCTCGTTATTTTCATCAACATCAGAATCATCTGATCTTCGATCATCATCCTCTTGATCTTCATCCGCCTGAATTCAAGAAAAAATTAAACAATAAAATCCAGTAACTTTTGAGTGACATGGACCTGATTTTGAAAAGAAGCCAGTATTTTATCTCATTCAAAGAAAACTAAAACATTGCATTTTAATTAAACGGTCTAAAAGAAATGAGCAGGACACTTCACAGGGATGATTAGGGTGTAAAGGGAGGTTCAGGGGAAAACCCCCCAAAAAATGAAAATTTGAGGAACACCCTAGTAACCATTTATTTGTACAATATGCACATGTGCATATAAGTAATTGAGGCTGTTTCTTGGTTTCTATGCACCTGTGCATGTTATGCACATGTGCATAGCGGACAAATTGCGTACAAATTACTTGTACACACATGTGCATACCATCTGAAATGGTTACTTGGGTGTTCCTCAGTTTTTTTATTTTTTTGTGGTTTTACCCTAAACCTGACCCTAGGGGTGTATATTACATATCTGGTCACCAAATAATTTCCTCTGGTAGGGCTATGTAGCACATTGCCATGAGTCACTGTCTATGGTTGAGTGCCGAAAATAGTTAACAGATAATAATGATAGATACCCCACATAAAAGATCAAAACGCAGTAACAAACCTCAGGGAATTCTGTATCAGGCGGCCGCTCCTGGAATTGCACACTTGGTGCATGCTGAAGTTTAGAGAGATTATCAAGAAGCTTTGATCGTATTTCATCCAACAGCTGACGAGAATTCTTATTTTCCATGTTACTTGGAGCAACATGAAGAGTATAGTCAGGACCAAAGTACTCAAAATACTCGTGCTGAGGCATCTTATCTTCTAGCTCAACCCCAAGTGCAACTCCTGTCTGCACAAAAGAATGAAGGATGCCATATATGTTAAGATTTAACGAGCACTGGTCACCATTTGAAGCAAGAACAATTCAATCTATTAGATAGATGTTTATAATTTAGAAGCTGTTTGGTTGGTTTTCCATTAAAGTACCATGTATATATACTTATATATAGGCACCAGAAAACAAAACAAGGGACAAATGTTAATATTAGGCCTCTTAAAATGGTGACCAGAATAACAAATAAAAATAATTGGGCTTGTCAGCATTCATATGCTTTGAAGATCAATGAGAAAGCCCTTAATCTAAGCATTGATAATAGCATCCAAGTAACATTTCATCCCCATACTAACTTGAACCCATCCTTTAAGCAGCCTTAGGGGGTGTTTGGTTGGTTTTTCATCAAGTCTTGGATGGATAAAACTGTCTGTAAATTAATCTTCTGTATAGATTGAGAAAGTTTATGTTTGGAATGGTTTTTTCATAGATGGAAGGAGTGTGCTTTTTAATTGAGGGGAAGAATTGAAAAGACTTCGCTTTCTACATAAAGCTCCCCCCTAGAAGCTTACTGAATAAGCCACTTATAATATCATAAGTCTACCAAATAGTCATGTACAGCTGACCGTATTAGCCCAGTCCCAGTAAGCTAATTAAGCTACCAAAAAACAAGCCCTTGCTTTTTTCTTTATAACATTCTTTCTTTTAATATACTTAATCTCCACTATTTGCTTATATATATACTAACAAAATAAGAATCACCTCATAGCACCAGCAGCGAGCAACATTACGTATTGTATAGCCTCCCCCACCAAGCAAGAGTAAGGGCACATTGAAAGATCTCATGTATCTCACACATTCAGCATGACCCTTAATCGAGAGATTAAAACAGCCCAGCCGATCTCCTGATAAGGAATCTGCACCACACTGTAAGACAACCGCACCAGGTCTGAACACTTCCATCACTTTGCCAATTATGGGCTTAAACAATGATTGGTAGCTTTCATCGTCTATGCCATCATCCAGGGGAACATTCAGAGAGTAATATTTTCCCTTTGAATATCCAATATCTCGTATATCCCCTGTACCCGGGAAATAATCTCCAAATTTATGGAAAGAAACAGTCATGACCCTGTCAGTTGTGTAGAAAGCCTCCTCCACACCATCACCGTGATGAATGTCGATATCTACATATAGGACACGCTGCAACATATAGATGCATTTTCAAGTCAAAATTTGTTATCTATACTGCATAGAAAAGGTCTCATCTGAAATCATAATGTTGACAAAAAACAGCAGAGGTTGTACCAGCAACCTAACACGTAGTATAACAAGAAGTAAAACAATATTTAAATAAATAATAGAAGAGTCAATTATGTAAGTTCAACTACCACAATGACCATGGAAGATAGTGATAAAGAGAAGTGAGGTACATAAATTTTAGCTTCCAATAAGAAAGACATAATTGTGAAGATATGTGTATATATCCCATGTGTGTATGTACATATAAATATATGTTGCGTGTGTGTATGTGTATATATTATATGTGGGGTCCGTCCAAGGGAAAACCACAAAAAGATGAAAAACCGAGGAACACCCTAGTAACATTTCATCAGAACTGTAAGCACATGTGCATACATTGTAAGCAATTTGTCCGGTATGTCATAGAAACCAAGAAACAGCTTCATTTACTTGCAAGCATATGTGCATATCGTACAGATGAATGGTTACCAGGGTGTTCTTCAGTTTTTTGTTTTTTGGGGGGTTTTCTCCTAAACCTCCCTCTATTTATGTGAATATACATATAAATATGTATGTATATGTATATACACACACACACACATATGTGTGTGTGTATCCAACTAGTAACGATAACGTTTGCACAACACATAATCCACTTCACCAACCTGGTGCACTTTCAGAAGTTCCAGAATTGACAACACAATATCATTAACATAGCAGAAACCAGAAGCCTCGCATTTTTTCGCATGATGCAGCCCACCTGCCCAGTTTATTGCAATATCACAATACTCATGGTTCAACTTCACTGCCCCTCCAACAGAACCTCCTGCATAAGTCTGACAAAAGGAGTAGAGACCATCGAACACAGGGCAGTCTTCACCAACGTTAAACCTTTTTAGCTGCCTCAACTGATCTTGCTGTGTTTCTGGGGTGATGCCCCTTAGAAAAGAAACATAGTCATCAGCGTGAAACCTGCAAAGATCCTTATCTCTAGCAGGAACAGGTTTCACAACATGCATGTTTTGCAGCAAACCATAGTGAGCTAACAGAGCATGTGTCATGCGAATTCTGTGTGGCTTCATTGGATGCCCTTGCCCATAATAATAATTGCCGACCTCTGGGTCATAAAAGTAGTAAACTTTTCTCTTCACTCCATCTGGCCCAGATGCTAGGGAATTGCCTCCAGTTTCCATCTATAATCTGAAAACAATAGCATAGCAAAAGTTAGCTCATGGACAAAGTAACCAAACCACCACCATGTTACGTAACATGATAAAACAAATACAATTGTATCTTATTTTTAATGCTGAAACAAACAGTAGACAATCAAGTTATCTTAATTCCACTTACTAATCGATAATATCAAAACTAAAAGAAAATAGCTTTCTTTTATACCTTTGCTAGCCTTCAATGTACAAGCACAGACATTCTTTAGCATAGATAACAATTTTTACATATGTACAAACATTCAAGGATATTTACTACAAGTAGCATGCACATCAGCTTATTTGAGAACAAGTGTGAGTTCCCCGACCATTGATAAGAAAAAGAAAACACTTCGTTTAATGAAGAACCAAATCCAATGAATTGAAATTGTCAATTTGTGTTATTAAGAAGTATCAATGTATCATACAAAATAGGTGCCAGACAGTAATTTTCATTCAGCATTAATTCTATGCAAAGCCTCTACGGAGCTGTTTGGTTGCTTTTCCATTAAATTCTGTATGGATAAAGTTGTCTGTGTGGATTAATCTATCTGTATAGATTGGGAAGGTTTTTGTTTGGGATGTTCTTTTTTCAATAGATGGACGGAGCGTTTTTTCTAAAAAAATTTTTTTTGGAAAAGTGGACGGAAACCCAGGAGAACTTGGCTTTGGGAGGGGTAGGTACAGGAAAAACTTGGCTTTCTGCATAAAAGCTCCCCCCTAGAAGCTTACTGAATAAGTCACTTTCTATATCATTAAGCCACTACCAAACAGTCGTGTATAGCTGATGAATAAGTTGCGAGTCCCATTAAGCTCATTAAGCTACAAACAAATAGGCTCAAATCGTTAAGAACTCTTAATGATTCAACAAGTATCCATTCAATTTTTTTTCAAAAACCACCTTATTGTAGTACATAATTGTAAAAGGGTAGGGCTAGATAGCATTGGCTATATAGACTTTGAGAGTCCATGCTACTAGTTCGGACCAAAAAATTAAGAAAACTGAAAGTCGCATTACAAAGAACTAAGTGTTTCTTAAACCTAGCACTATATCACTGGTTGCCAACAAAGATACATTAGTTTGTATGCCATAAAGGCATAAACTAAGTTTGCTCAAACTAGAACCAAAGGCATGTAAAAGTAAGCACAAGTACAGATTTTAGGATGAAAGCCGAAAAGGGAAATCATAGAGATGCAACGTGTTAAGGTATTTTTCCTCTTTGAAGCAATAGTCAACATGGTGTCATAAACCAACTTCCAGATAAATGATGAGGAACATTATGACAATTCAACATCGTACGAGTTGCCTTTACCATACGTATGTTGTGAAATTCAACAATAACATTTTGCTTAGAGGTGTAAACATTTCTACTTTTTTTTTCTTACTAATAAATATGATGATTCTGAAATATTCCTTTTCTAGATCAATTGTTTTTATGTCCATCATAATAACCGGTTTATTTAGAAATTATCAAACACCGAATAAAAGGTCATGAAATTTTTTCTATTTTGAAACCAAAGGGGTACGCACCCTAGAGGTGGGCAAGTGGATCTGAAAGCGGAATCAGGATCGATTACTATAAGTCCGACCTGTTACCACACGTTACAATTTTCTGAAGTTGGATCGATTAAGGGACCGTTCACAAGGATCAGTTATAAGTCCACCGGTTACCAAGACAATGTTACCTTTTTTGTCTTTATGACCGTTTTGGCCCGTTTTTCCCTTTTTGTTCAAGTATAAATATGTATTTGAATTGCGGTTGACTCACACAAACGCTTTCAAAACTCCAAATCAAACAATCGTTCATGCTCTTGAAATCCAACTTCTCGTGCATTAATGATTAACAAATACAATTTTCGATTGGAGTAAATGAAGTACTTTTAAAATGTTTAGAAATAAATTCATTTGAAACACAAATTTTATCAAAAAAATATTAATAAATGTTAAGCTTATTTAAAATATGGAAAACTAAAAATTTGAATCTAGTTAAAAGGGCCATACGAGCCTTTGGGAATAATGTAAAATTAATAGAAATTACATAAAGACGTATAAAAAAGAGGGACGACTACTCCACTACTAGTTCCGGATGTTGGTAATTTTCTTTTCAATTTTTTTCCCATTTTTCTAGCGAAATAATAAAACAATTAACAATTAACAATCAACAGAAAATAACGATTATACCTCAACTAACAAACCCTACACCTAACAATTAACAAAAAATCAACATTCAGACATTTACTAACAAACCCTAACACCAACAATTTACATTTAATAATAAACATATAAACATTAATAATGCAAAAAATTCAACCACAAACCCTAAGAACAAAAAAACAATTGTCTCCAGATCTTAAATTCAGCAACAATTCAACACCGATCACATCCACCCGCATTAAGAAACATGAATGTCTCTAGACAATTGTAGTGTAAGGATGTAAAATAGCTCACTTTACCAATACATACATACATATACAGATATGTGTGTGTGTATATACACCACAAATAGTCAAATAGTGTTCTAATCCACCAAAATCCCTTGCCTTGGTTCAGATAAGATACAATGAGAGTAAACAAAAATGGTTTCACAACTCCACATATACAACCAAACAAAATTTTAAACGAACCCTCAAACCACTTCCAAATTTGTACCTTATTTCTGCTTCCATTAAGCCATGAGAATTCAATATATGGTGAATACCTTACCTCACAAATTAGGGTATCACCCACTCATCACATTTACATCTTCATCCAAAACTTATGTTCATCTTCTCCTAAATCTTCACTTCAAACTAATCGAGTCAGCCTTACAAACATAAATCTAACCTAAACACGATACAATTAAACCGGCTAAATCCATCATCATTAACGACCTAACACATAATTCAATAAAAACCTCATAAACATCACACAGACCCTAATCAATGAAAACCATATACAACAAAATTCTCATAACACCTTAACAAGTAACAACACATCAAAATAAAAAACACAACAAATTCCTTCACATAAATCGTACACCAAGAAACGTAACTAGAGTACTATCTACAAAAACCCAAAACCAACATCACAATAAACAAGTATAAAAATACGAAATTCATATCAATTGAGAGAGTTTTCGACGACAAATACCTACAACTGCAATGGTGATGAACCGAATGGAAGATTCGAGAACGATCCAGTGGCTGCCCTCTTCTCGTTTCCGAGTATTTCTTCTTCCTAGCTTGCCAATGCCATCATTCTCACCGAATGGAAGGATTTATAGCGGCAGAGAGCCCACATTCAAGATTCAACATTTCATGCTTTTCTTTCTCATGTTTGGGCCATAAAAAGCCCGACCCATGTAAATTTAAAAAGAAATGGAAAAATAAAATGTAAATTTAGTGTTTATTTATATTTAATCATGATAAATAACATGTTGTTTGTTTACTTCTTAATAGTTTCATTAAGAGATAATTTCTGAATCTTTAAGAGAAGAATCTTATTTGGCAAGAAAAAGTCCGTCTCTTAATTGTTCTAAAATCCTCTAAATGATTTTGTATCTTGAGTCTCCCTTAACCATTCAACACCCTAATTTCATTCTAAATAATTACCAAAAAATTATATTTCATTTTACACTATATTATAAGAGTCTCTTAATTATTCTGGTCACTTAATCATTCTGTATCAAACCATTCAACAACTACCAAACAGCCCCTAAATTAGTGTATTTTGATTATTGGATTTGAATGGGTTGAATAGTATTTGAGTTGTATTTATGTATTTGATACCATGTAGACGGTTAAAATACTGTTATTTTTTTTGTTTAATTATTGATTAGATATTTTTAATATCGATCTGTAATAATTTGGTTTATTTAAAAACTATTAAATACTGAATGAAAAAGTTTCTATTTTGGATCCAACGTGGATGCATACTGACGAGTGAGAAAGTTTGTCTGAAGGCGTTATGACTGTTATTATAAGTTTGATGTGTTACGGTTTTTTTGAAGTTGGATAGATTAAGGGACCGTTTACTGGGAATCAGTCAAAAGGCCATCGGTTTTAAAGACGTGGTTACTTCTTTCGTTTTATTTATATGATGTTATTTTACCGTTTTACCCTTGTGTTCGAGTATAAATGAGTTATAGCTTCTGGTTGATTCAGACAGATCAAAACACAAACATTAAATATATCATATATGTTTAAAGTTTATATGAGATCACAATTTTATTATAAAAAAGAATTAGAATCTAGTTGAAAGGTTCGGGAAGCCCTTTGGGACCCGTTAAGGTAAGGATGGTGATTTGTCCCTATTCGACGGGGAACCCGGTCCACCCGACCAGAACGGGGATGGAGATTCCCTGCTAAAACGTATCCCGGGGCCGTGCCCGGGGATCCCTGGTAGACTCAAACCGGGGCCGAGGCTCTTACTCAAACCGGGGTTGTGGCCGGGGATCACCGATATACTCAAACTAACGGATATTCTTCATGGGTTTTGAACAGGGTTTGACAGAGGTTTGACCAGAGACGAGATGTTAATCCTGGTACCTGCCAAGGACCGGGGGCGGGGATTACAAAACTCGCCCCATCCCCGCCCCGTTGCCATGTCTAAGTTAAGGGATCGGCTCTAAGTAATTACGATTTTTTAGAGGACTAGGTTACGACTAGAGATAGACAAATCGGGTAACTGATTGGGCCTATCGATTCCATGAAAATTGTAGACTTCAGGAGTGAATGCTTCCTTCTTCATCAAGTATTTCATCCTCGACGTGCGAAAGTTTTTCTCCCTATTGAATAAATGTCTTGAATTCGGTCGTAGCTACCCAAACAACCCTTAGAGGCAAACCTCGAGCAACGTCAGTGCAAGTCGCGTCCATCGTTCAGAAAAAGAAAAGTAGATTACGAGACTACTGTGCTACTCCCTCCTTACCAAAATAAGGGTCCAGAATCGAAATGACACACAGTTTTAGGCATGCATAATTGTTGCACTTTTTGGTTAATGAAATGACATATTTACCCTAATTTAATTTCTCTCTTTTCATGTAACTCTTAAATATTTATGCATTAATTAAGGATACATTTGAGAATTTGGTTATTTACTTTTGAAAATGGACACTTATTTTGGGACAAATATAAATTGAAATATGGACATTTATTTTGTGACGAAAAGAGTATTTTTTTTTTTGCTAGATGTCGTTACCAAAATAAAAACGTTCCAAAATCGGGGCTTTTCGGTTATACCCTCACTTAGTTGGACAATATAATTTATGGGGGCATGAGATTCTGAACCAACATCAGAGCGGACTTGAGATCCGCCGGCTTGAAAACAAAAAAAAAATTGTGCGATGCCGCTTTTTCACGTTAAATATATCGAAATAGAAACAAATTTTATCCATCGAGCTCGAAACGGAAACTTAACTTAAATGTATGAGAGATACAGAGAGTTCGATAAAGATCTGCTCTCCTAAATTCTCAAGTCTCATTTTATCAACAAATCACATGAATACATATATTCAAATACAGAGAAAAGGTAATATAGGAGGTTCAACGAAACCTGCAACTAGAGGTGGCCAAAAATCAATCATGGGTCAAGCAAGCTCAAATCGGCCCCGGTCCAAGATTTTACTTTTGTAACCAGTCCCGGTTCCGACCGGTTCTCCTTGTACAAAGTCCAGTCTCTAGAACCGGTTCCGATCCTGGCTGGGCCCAAATCGGTCTGAAACCGTTTTTTTTTCCAAAAATTAATTTTGAAGAAGATTCTTTTAGAAAATATCTTACTGAAATGCACTTTAAAAATCCAATTGGGTCATTCAAATACACTTTAAATATCTTTTTAAGTGTTTTTTACACAAAAAATGTTCTTTTACATGTTATTATAATTACGATTTTCTAAATTTAGTATTGAAACACTTGAAAAAACTTTAAAAAGAAATTGAAAAACTTAAAAAAGACTCGGAAAGTTTTTGATGAAAAACTTCGATATATAATTTATAAAACTTGATTTAAAAAAAGATTGTGTCTAAGTATAACAGGTCCCAACCCCATAACTGGTCCCAACCGATTCCAAGCTAGGCCGGGTTATGGACCGATTTGGGTTCGGTTACACCCTTAATCGGTTACTAGCAGTTCTGGTTTCGATTAACTAGAACCAGTTAAAAAAACCAGTCCAGTTTGCCAAGTTAGGGGCTATGACCCTTCGTTTCTTTCGGTCTAGGGACCGGTTACGATCCTATCGTTCGTTTAGGTACTCCACAATTAACGAACGTATGTCCCAAACACAGTACTTCATATCTTGCACCGGATCGGGGTGGTTATAATTAGCAACTATCATGCATTCTCTAAACTTAAATTCCAAAGGGTTGGTTTTACATTCGGCATATGAACATGAAAGCTTACAAGAACATAGAAGTGTTGACTAAAAAACCGACATTAAGGTTACGAATTTTGCAAAACTTTCCAATATCTCGAACACGAAGGATTCATATGTATCGCTTGAAGAATCCATCTCAAAGGATTTTTCATTCTTGATGAAGCGTAGATAGCATCGTGCGATTCTCTTGAAATCAAATGCATCTGAAGAAACATCTCGCTCGGCCTCATCTCTGCACATACATTCCACGTTTGTGAGACAAAACAACCTTTAAGGTTCCTATAGAACAATCCTGAACGTTTCACATATGAAACAACACTTTATAAACACTGGATTTTTAAACGTCGCTTTATACGTAAAACAACACATGAAAACTGGTTTTTAAATAATTATGCGTATATATACACACATACATGTGTGATGATCCATGTCCAGCCGATATGAGGATCCACACACACCCTCTCAAAGGGAGGTTAAAGAATAAAGAGTGTGTCAAAGTCCTTAGAGGTGGAAGACACCGACTCTGATACCGGGTGAGATATGACTATGTAGAGCCCCATCGGATTACTCTCCAAAAGAGATATTCCACATTACATAGAGTGATGGTTCGTTCTACATATATACAGATCTGATAGTTCATGTCTAGCTCGTATTGGACTCTAATGGGAGCTAACGGTGCCCCTTAGAACGGAAGCATAAAAGTGTGTCGACCCCCTAGATTTGGTAGACCCTATCTCTCGTACCATGTTAGGATACGTAAGCTCCGTCAGATTACTCTACAAAAGAGTTTTTACAAAGAGAATGAGGGGTCACATATATATATATATATATATATATATATATAGGTTTGATAGTCCATGTCACAGACCTGGGACCCCAACACGCCTCCTCTAGCGGTGCCCTTGAGAACGGTGATGGAAAGGTGTCTCGACCCCCTAGATATGGTAGATCCCGGTTCCGGTACCATTTTAGGATGTGTGATAATGTTTCGACCACAAAAAAAAAAAAACTGAGGAACACCTTGGTAATCATTCATCTCTATTGTATGCACATGTGCATACCATACAGATGAATGATTATTAGGGTGTTCCTTAATTTTTCATTTTTCGGGGGTTTCCCCTAAACCTCACCCTCTCTCTCTCTCTCTCTCTATATATATATATATATATGTATATATATATATATGTAGGTGTTATGGATCGGGTTCCAGTTCCACACTTGGATGCACATTAGGATGAGATGCACCGGAGCAATCCCCGTATCAAGAGCGATTCATGGGTGGGTTTGAGATTAAAGATGATCAAGGTCCAAATCCCTTCTTACGCTTCTCACCTTAACTCTCCTTCTCACACGATCCTTCGCCTAGGTGTGATAGCTTGTGTCTAGCTAATGTAGGACTCCGTTAGAAACAAACAAACAAGAGTGCAACTAAAGAAAAGCCAAACCTGGAGGCCAAGATAACCATTCAAACTTAAGGTACTGCTCCCATTGCGCTTTGTATCCAAGGCTTGCTTCCGCTTGTGCTAGTAGCAATTGCAGGATAGGTAAAGGGGCACGGCTAATGTATCTAGCTTTCTTCAGACTCCCCACCGCCAGCAGCAAGTAGTCCGAGTTGCATTCCTGTCTCGCGAGTTCCATACAGATGGCACCTGTATGCAACCATAAGAAGAATTAAACTAAAGCTATGTAATGATATTCCGAACATTTCGGGTGCGTTTGGTACACAGACAGGACCAGACTGAATCGGATTGTATAGGTGAGACTGAGGTAGGCAGTTGAAAGAATTGTGCAAGGTTTAAGAGATTAATCCACACAGATAGCTTTATCCATAAAAGGACTTAATGAAAAACCAATGGAACAGCCCCTTAATTTGACATGGGTAGTTTGGTAATTTACCAATCTTCTCCCATGAGACAACAAGTTTTGTTCTGTCCTGTCCTATCCCACATACCAAAAACGTCCATAGGGATAGTGATGAGAGATACCGTGGCACAAAAACAGACAACTTTCGGAATCGTTTAACGAACATGCATGAGCGAAAAACTCTTCCGCACCAAGAAAATTCCCATCCCAAACAGCAATCAGTCCCTGGACAAATTTCAATATAGCCATCCATGCATTCCTTGAATACTTTATATCCTTAGAACATTCTTCAAACCTCAATTCAATTATACTTTCATCTGTCTGTAGCTCGTATTGACATTCAATATATTTAAGGCAAATCAAACCGATATGATAATCGGTTCTCAAATCCAAGCATCTCATATACTCTTCACGTAACAGGACTCGATTATTTTCTGCAGCGTAGGCACGGCATAGTAGCAAATGGGCAAAGAAGAGATACCCATCGAGAACAGAAAGCTTTGAAGCATTTTTAGCGTGATTTATGCAGCCAATGTGGTCGCCACTTTGCAAACTTATCTCGGAAGCACAAAGTAAAAGCTGGAACTTTTGATAGTGACGAGATTCATCTGAAAGAGCCGCACCAATTAGCCTTTTTAGTCCCAAACATATATGTTGATGGTATCTCTCTTCATGTGCCTTCTGAAAATAGTTGAGAATTAGAAGGTATCGTGCGTTTTTGTTCCATGGTTCTTGATGACACCACCTGTAAAAAGTTAACGGAACTATCACTGAAAGGGGACGATATTTCCCAAAATAAGAGTTACTTCTTTCACTTTTGAGATCAAACGGAGTACTAATGAAGTTCCATTTTTTTAAACAATCAAGGGAAGCTGCAAGACTTAACTTACAGAAGTTTGATATAATTGAGGGAGGTTCAGGAGAACCCCCCCCCCCCCCAAAAAAAAAAAAAANCATTTGCCTTTACACTCACATGTGTAGGGTCAGGTTCAGGGAAAAACCGCAAAAAAATGAAAAACTGAGGAACACCCTAGTAACTATTTATCTGGACGGTATGCACATGTGCATACAAGTAATTGAAGTTGTTTCTTGGTTTTAATGCACGTGTCCATGTTATGCACATATGCATACCGGACAAATTGCTTACAAATTACTTGTACGCACATGTGCATACCTCCCAGATGAGGTTACCGGGGTGTTCCTCAGTTTTTCATTCTTTTGAGGTTTTCTCCTGAACCTAACCCTAATGTAGTTTACCAAAATTTTCTCAAATATTTAATCAATCCAACCCTTTGACCTCAAAAATCAGAGTATTACTCATTTTCTACTGGAACATAGGCATTAAAACAGAACTTTTAATAAAGAAAAAAGACAAAGTACAATACTTTTGCAATAGTTTGAGCGACCCATGTCTATGTGGCGATTGGTCTTTACAGGTAGAGAAAGAGTATTTATCGTTGAAATTCCCAGTGCTGTAGCAAGCAACGACACTCGCACCAAGGATCTCAGGTGCACTCATTAAACCTTCTTCCTTGGGACATTCCGAAGGGCTGCTTCTCACAGTAAAGCATCTAGTTGATAAGTGCGTATCTTTCCGTTCATTACTAGATATTAGGAGATAACCAAGAACATTCCTGTTGGCAACAAATTTATGTTACAAATTATTTCAATAACAATTCAGCAACTTAGAGGAGCATTAAAGAAGTGATAGCTAAAGCTTTGGAAACTAATTGATGTATATGTTACCCTCCATCCCAACAAGCTTTTTTCACATGATTAAATACTATTTAACTAATATACCCGTTATCAAAACTATTGAAAGAATGAGTAATTTAGAACCTCAATTTCATATATATTCCTTTAAGATGCAAAATTTTGTTATCAAGCACACTCTTAATACTCCATATCATTTCATATGGAAATAAATGCACATATTTTGTAACATCCCAAGCAACCGTACTAGATATTGTCCGCTTTGTCCACACCTGAACTCACGGTTTTAAAACGTGTCTAGTAGAGGAGGTATACAGTTCCTTATAAGGCAACCTTAGTTCCCCTCCCCAACCAATGTGGGATCTTACAATCCACCCCCCTTGGGAGTCGAGCATCCTTGCTGGCACACCAGTCTGGTTACCGGCTCTAATACCATTTGTAACATCTCAGACCAACCGCATTAGACATTTTCCGCTTTGTCCATGCCTGGACTCATGGTTTTAAAACACGTCTACTAGAAGAGGTATCCAATCCCTTGTAAGGCAACCTTAGTTCCCCTCCCCAACCGAAGTGGGATCATACAAGAAGTATATTATGAAATCATTAGTAATCAATAACATCATCAGTAAATCTACCTTAGCAAATAACTGTTAGGATACTTGTGGAGATTTTTTTTAAGGTGATCTATTCCACTCTGAAATCCCAGGCGATGCTCTGAACCATTTTTTACCTACAAAAATAAAATACATATTCATTGGCAGCTTCAAATTTGGCATATTAACAGTCAAAAACTGAAAGCAAATAAGAGCATCTCCAACAGATTCTTCAAAATTTCTCCAAAATGGAGAATGGAACTTCAATATTTCTTAAACAAAAATACATTCAACTCCAACAGATTCTCCATTTTGGAGATTACAATTTGATTATATTATTAAAATATTCCTTTCATCTAATAAAATATTATTTCTCTTTCTAATATTTATTTTCAAAGTTTCCTATTGGTGGAAATATATTGAATATATTTCTCTCATTGTAATCATTTTTGGGGTGATCTCCATTTTGGAGAAGCTGTTGGAGCAGAAAACATGCCCAAAATCTCTATTTTCTCCAACTTGGGAAATCTGTTGGAGATGCTCTAAGATAGCTAACGGCAGGAGCAAATTAAGACAAGTGGATTAGGGAGCGTACCAATTTGCTTAGTGCTATCAGAAAATGCATTCCTGTAATTTCATCATGAGTTAGGAGGGAAGAGCGACTACTTGAGACAACTGCCTCAAGCTGATTGCTTTGATCCAAAGTATGGATGGCAGATACCACAAAACTAGCTTTTGAACTATTAAATAAATCCTTAGGCATTTTCAGTATGGTCGTCATCACTGCTTCCCGCCCATGAATGTAGTAAAGCAATCTACATATGAAGCTTATGGAGGTGGATGCCAATCTTGGTTCCAATGATTTAACACGTGCAGCTAGAATCCTAATCACAGACAAAGCCTGATCATTCTTGCCAAGTTGCCATAATGATAGAGCATACATATGTAAACCTTCCCAGTCCAGAAGCCCTGGAGTGTAATGAGGATTAAGTAATCAATTAGTTTCCATTCCCCGAGTAAAAGGACTTCAAGATGCAGTTTTTTGAAAGATAAGTGCAATACATTGTTATATTATATCACTATCACATCAAGTAAATTGAATAGATATATAAATACAAGCACTACAGAATATAAGGAGGCTGTTTGATCATGGAATCCATGGGATTTCAAGGGAATTGGAATGATCAATTCCTTTGTTTGGTTCACTCCTTGAAATGGATGGAATCTTTTGAATTCCACAAATTAATGAATTCATCGTTGCTTAGCATAAGTGAAAGAATTGAATTCCATCTCTTTGCATCCAATTTAACCAACACCGCCCACCCCTGCCCTCACCACGACCATGCTACTACTGCCACTCACAGCCCCACCCCCACCCCTAACCCTCCCACCACCACACCACTATTGTCAACCGCCACCCAACGCTACCCCTACCCCAACCCACCACTGACCACTAGTGTCTAGTCACAGCTACCACCCCCACCCTCCCCCAAACAAAGATGGAGATTCCAATTCTTTTGAGAGATTCCATTCCAATTCCTATCAACCAAACGCGTGGTCAAATTCCTTTGATGGATTTCAATTCCACCAAATTCCATTCTGCAAACCAAACACCCCCTAAGGAGTGATTATCATTCCCGTGTGTTACCAAAAAAGTGGCCCCTTTCTGGACGCAAATTTGTCCCATGAACATTTTTCTAAAGCTAGAAGGTATCTTGGTAATAGTCATTCCGTTTGTCAGAATTACCAATGTAAAACAAAATATTAGCACAAAGGTGTGTCTGATGGCTCAAGTTAATGTAGTCCTCAAAGTTTCATAATAAGACAAAAATCTTCAAGAAATTTAAAGGACCAAAGAAAAGTTTTTGTATCAGGCCATGAAACCAACTTTCAACATGCAACAAACAAAAGGGACCAGAATCAACTTCTGTCTAAAAAGGACAAGGCCGAAACAGAAAAATCCCCAAGCATCTAAAACCAACCCCGGGTTTAAAAAATAAACCCCAAATTAGGGTTTCAACCATCACTAATCAACGAGGAGTTCAGAAGAGGATGGCCTTGGAAGACGAAGCACACATGAGGCACCGCCATGCTTAGTCCACAGGCAGTGACAAAGACAATGCCTTGACAAAATCAGACTAAGGGCAGGCAGCGGTGGAAACTGGCCGCAAGGTCATCACTAATCAACGAAGAGTCCAGAAGAGGATGGCCTTGGAAGACAAAGCACACATGAGGCACCGCCATGCTTAGTCCACAGGCAGTGACAAAGACAATGCCTTGACAAAATCAGACTAAGGGCAGGCAGCGATGGAAACTGGCCGCAAGGTCATCGTAGGACAAGAACATATGGCAAAGCCGCAAAAGATGCAACAAGAATCACCAGGGCTTGGTTAGTTGCTATGCCTATTACCAGGTAAGATTCATGAACCTTGTCATGCCCACCCGGTAAGATAAGTGACATTTATTAAGCGTTCAGTAAACGACCTCTAAACCAGTGAGGTGTCCTCAAATATGCTAGACCTATTACACAATGTATTTACCAACAGCAAGCATGAGGTCACTTATTCTACTATGAACGAAGCATCAACTATTTGGATTCAAAAGCATCAAATATGGGAAGAATCATGTTAGAGCAGTGTTTCACATAACTTCCCTATTTCCATTACACAAAATTTGCTTCTCCCACATGACATTTATGTATTTGTGTGTATGTGTTTGGATGTGTCCTCATTTTGTGTTGTGGTGGGGACGAATATGAGCAATAAATTGTGATGCCTACCAGTTTCTGCTCCCCATCTATAGATGGCAGAAATAAGATCCAAGGGATTTATACATTACAGGGCCCTTATCTTTAGTTGTATTTTATGTCATTGATGATTTAGCATGAGCACCCATGTGACAATAGGATCTTTCTATAATCATCTTTGTCGCTCCTGTTGCTGCGGATGTATCAAACTTCTACACTATAGCACTTTCTTAATGTATATATGAAAAAGCATGCAACTGAAAAACAAAGATGCACCAAACTGCATGCAGATCCAAACCTGTCTTCTTTAATTCTTCACATTCCTCCACTGCCTCGTAAGCTTTGCCTCCCTGCATCAATGTAAAATAAATTTTCATAGGCTTAGAATTTGATAATTTGGAAAGCATAAAAACACAGATCTTAAATAGTTAAGCTTTTATGGGGAAAACATGAAAAAGAATATTAAATAATTACCTTACAGAGCGACCTTGCCAAATTAATTGATATATCAAGGAGTTTTGTAGTGTCACCAAAAGAAGTGTTCATTGCACAACGTGCTAACCTATACGAGGTGGTAGCAGACTGATAATCATGTCTTGCCTCACAAACAAGCCCTAGAAGATTGTGAGATTCAGGATATTGGGGTGCACGATGCAAGGCCTGACGTATGGGTCCAAATACCTGTGATAAATGACAAAAATGTAATTTATTAATACTTCTGCAGTGTAATGGAGGATACATACTGTTGTATGCTATGACATCTTTTTCGTGCTTATACAGAGTATCAAGTACCTCTGACGATGAAAGTTGACCAGAAAGCAGAGCAAGCTTTGCAAGACCCATCTGAAATTCTGGAAGCTGCACAGAAATGGTGAAGTAAGTACAATCCTGCACAAACCTGCCCGCTTAAAGTCTGCGCCTCTCGAGGATGCAAGAAGAACGCCGACAACAAAGGCAAGATTTTCTTACAAAAAAGGTACAAGAATAACCAAATTTGGTTAAAGCATCCAGCAATAGACATCAAGATAAATAAACCAAATTCCATCCAACCAAGTTCCAGCTTATACAAAATTACAAGCTAAATTGCATAAAATTTGGCTTATATACACGCACACAACGATTGTCAGAGGTTGAAAAGAGAGAGAAAGAGTACTGGTAGTATCTGCACAGCCCGTAAACAGCAATCATAAGCTTCATCTGGCTTGAGCGCCCTGAGAAAAGACATATCTAAATACAGGTACATAGTGCTAATGCTTAGTGCATTCATACATCACTTTAAGAGGAGATGAACTTGCCTAATAGACATATCTGCTGACATGCCTGCCCACGGTAATGCAAGTGAAGGATCAATACTCCTGGCACGATCAAATGCGTGCTGGGCCAATTTATTTTCACCCTGTTTTCTGTAGAGCTGTAGAAGGTGAACGTTTAGCCATAACTTCGTCAACAATAACTAATATATTATTTTGCTTAATACAAGCTCTACAAAGTTACAATGAGAGAGAGCACAAACAAGAATCACTCTTGTTCTAGAAATAAAAAGATTTACCCCAAAAAAAATCTATGATAGCCTAGTGTAAGATCTACCTTCCCAAGATATGCCCATGCAACAGCTAATGACACATCCAACTGCAGTGACCTGATAAAAGCATGTTGTTTCAATTCCACACGATGGGATAAGCATCCTAATGCAACCCAGAACTCATTGTTGGAACTCTCGAGTAATAATCCCCCTAAAATCATTTTCTCAGGTAGTTCCCTGCACAGGAAAAGATATATTTACCTAAAGAAAAGCAAGCCAAGTATCACAAGATTCAATTGGGTTACATGACTCGAAACTCAAAGTTCTTACCTTTGGATAGAATCATGTTTCTCCTCCTCCTTAAAAGAGTTTATTACATCTATTGTGACAGCAATATCTGTGTAGATGTTGGCTTGCCATGGAGCCAAATGCAGTGCCTGTTGATAGGAATGCCTGGCACTCAGTGCAGCTGAAGAGCAGGTGTTTTTCCATGAAAGGATGGAAGCAGTCAAAGCTTTCTTATCTGTTTCTAAGATGGGGTTTTCATCCATCCACGGGAAACACTTTGCATATGTAAGCTAGCAAAGAAAAAACATGTCATATTCCAAGTTAACCATATATAACATAACTCTCATAAAGAGCCTTACCCAAGACAAGAACCTTTATAAAAGATATAAAAAGAAGCAAAGAAAGAAACCAGGAGAGAATAGCTAGATCAAAACAAGGTACATACAAGATTACATTTACTAAAGGAAACAACTTTACATTCAACAATCATGTTTGGATGGTGAAGAAAACACACATACACGCTCCAAATAGTTCTTAATATGGGTATACCTGAATATCACCGTGCAACTTCCACATGCATGAAACATTTTTCGCCAAGCATGTACCAGTTTTTGCAACTTTTGACGCCTCCTATGAATTTACAAAAATTTCAAAGATGCTTTTTGGGTGTTATATTAAATTCAACACTTATAAGGGTTAAGAATTAATTTACCTCTAATATTGAAGCTCCCCATCTGAATGCACCTGAGCTTATACATTCCTTTGATAATTCAAGAAGCGCACACCCAAGTCCATAGTGTGCGGCTACATTTTCAGGTGATATCTGTAAAGCTTGCTGAAAATGCTCAGCTCCCTTCACCCATAGAGCTAGTTAGTGAAATACACATTAGATGCACTGTTATAAGCATTGGCACAGGATGAAGAGTGAAGACATCCTGCTCATCTTGTCATGACCAATAAAATAGATTTATAAGTATGAATAAGTGAGACGCAAACTACCATAGGAAGTCAACTTTCCAAATATTGAACACAAATGTGCTCAAGTGTGTTGAATATAAATTGAATTAATTGCAACTGCATATGGCCGAAGATTACCTTTCGATGTGAACCAAGCATCAAGAAGACATATCCACTCTCAACCAATGCAAATACTCGTGATTCCTCCAACTCTATAGCTCGACCATATGACTATTGATGACAAAAAAAGCCACAAGTGAGTGATCAAAGGCATTTAGCACTTGCTCAAAACAACTGTTTTAATCCACAACAAACTATGCAGGAATGTCTACCAAACCTAACAAACTTTATCCCAGAAACCATAGACATTCCACCCTAGATCAATAGACAAAACATACAAACAAGAAATGGGAATTCACTTTTTTCCAGACCATTCCAATTTAAGGGTATCAACTCTTTCTGAAAGAGATGTCAAACGTTATTTTCAAAATCATGGTGCACAAAGTATGCTTGACATGAACAAAACAACACACAGATAGAAATCAAAACTTATGGCAAAGATGGCTACATAAAAGCCAACATACAATTATAGGGAGAAAATACCTTAATGGCAGCTGTGAACATGCTTAATCGCTGATAGGCAAGACCTAAGGCCTAAAAAGCAATACAAGACAAAGATGAGGGAGCTATCCAAGTAACACCAACAGTAAGAGAAGGGGAGAACCAAAACTTTTGAGCAGAGAGTACGCACTTCCCATAAATCAGCAGATGTAGGATATCCTCTGATGGCCTGCTGAAGATTGTGAACTGCTTCAGACCACTTCTTCTGATGGACCTGCAAGTACCCTGTGTCAATGAACCCTTGCATCTATGTGGAGTAGATCAACTGGTTTGGTTCAAAAATGAGACAAAAAATAAATAGCATAATTTCAAAATGACAAGGTCATACGTAGACCCGACCTCTACCCAAGGAGTAAAGCGGTTGTTTCCTTGAAGACCTGGCTCGTGCAAAGTGTGCAAGAAAAAAAGAAAGTTTGTCCAAAAACTACGAGTACTTTTGAAAAAAAAAAAATTCAAAATGCCAGAAAGTTACGAAAAATGAAACGGAGAAGGCTGGGTAAAAGCAAACAACACCACAAAAACAAATTGCAGGCAGACAGAAACATAGCCAAGGAAAATCCCAGACCATCTTAGGACTTTGAGAACCTATTTGCCAACTCCCAAACCCTTTCTCCCATCTACCTCGCCAGCTTCCTTCCTCCCACCTAAGCTAGCTATAGGTCTCCCTTAGTCTACTACCCTAGCCATGCGTCTCCAACATTCCTATCAGAAATCATGTCCTCGGAAATTCGTAGGGTTGCCATATTTATTTTATCCGAAGTTGCTCGACCCAAGTCCTCCACAGCCTTCCCCTCCTCCTCGCCCCCTCAACAATTATGGTTTCCACTCTACTTCCGAGGCTGTCATCCATCTCCGGCGAACTTGTCCAACCCATTGCAGTCTTCCCTTCAGTTTTAGCATAACTTACATGCCACACAGCAACATGTGGCAACTCTCCGCTTCAGCCACCCGGTCTTCATGCAATATGTAATGTGGTACTCGACCTCCCCCTCCTTCTGAATCATGGAGCTTAGATACCTGAAACTGTCCTTTGGGGATACTTTTGCCTCCCAATGTTGTCTTTCACCACCTCATCAAGACACTCCCCAATGAAGTTGCACCAAATGTATTCAGTATTTGAGCAGCTAACATATAGGCCCTGAGTTTCCAAAGCAGCCCTCCACAGCTCCAACCTCTCCTTATCTTACAATACTCAAAAGTTAAAAAGAATATAAATAAACACTATTAAGGTCAACAAACATCATGGTGATATAGATGAATCTCTTTGTCTGTCTCTTCGAGTAATGTCAAAAAAACTATAAAATCGAAGGAAAGAAAACCGAGAACTATTAGTTGTTAATATCCTTAATTGAAGTAGCAAATTAAAATGGATAATTGATCAAGTATGCTACTAGTTCTTATTCTTCTTTCGATCTGTGAATTGAAGAAGGTACACGAATCAAGTTGCCACTATTTAATTTAAATTTGTTGATCATAAAGGGCTGTGGGAAGAATTGAGACTAGGAAATTACACTTGGTATAAAGAGAAGTTGAGCATTTCGCCACTCTTTCAGGTTATCTTTGAATCCATGTTTATACTGCTTACTGTAAAAGTAGTGCACATTCGGGAGAGTTGGGGCCTAAATCTAAAGCCAAAAAGAGTAAGAATAGAGAAGCAGGAACAAGATAAAAAGAACCTGTAGAAAACCTAGTCTACGAAATGCCCAAAAGGCCCTTGGCGACTTCCCTGAAGCTTCACGACAGACAGCAACCTCCAAGCTCTCTTTTCCTTCTTTGTCCAACAAATCACACATCGACTCCTGCAAACCAAACATAATGGGAGAAAAACCAACTGAGAAGTCAGATTATTATTAATGATAAAGCCCACAATTTGCAGCAATCATGGTCCATGTGAGGTTCAAGGTCAACCCTCTCAAGCCAAAATAAACAAGGACGTGTTGTTTAGCTTACTCTACTTCATTTTAAAAAAAATTGCATATCAGTCTGGAAAATCAGTTTTTGTAATTGTAAAAGATTTGAAATTTTCTCTTACGGTATTGTAGTGTAGTCCACTGAAGAGGAAATAAAAAATTATTTACCATCTATATGGATATAAAAGTTGGCAATTTTGAGTATTGAGTTGAATCTTAGTTAAGTCCATCTGAACAACGAGGTCCAGAATCAATCACTTGAATGGGTTGAAAAATCTTGCAATGAGAAAACACAACTACCATGCTGTTATCACGATATACATTCACAGGGAAACGAAACATAATCAAATGAATGCACAAAGTGAGGTGAAATGTTAAAAATAAGACTAACCCCAGATTCAGAATCTTGAGGAGCGAGATTGAGAGCTCTCTGATAACACTTGAGAGCTCTCTGAGTATCAACTCTGCTATAGTAATGGCCCAAATACCTAAAAGCATTTGCATCTTGTGGGTTGAGTTTTGCTGCAATCACAAAATGCTCTGCCGCCTTTTCCTTAGATTCTTCTCCAATCCCCTTCCACAGGAACAAACCCTGCATTCATAAAAAGAATATATATATATATATATATGTATATATATCGTGGCACCCAAATTTTTAAGTTATAATCTGAGGACGTTGAAAGATTTTGTTACAAGATTGAAATGGAGGGAAGGGTCTTCAGAGTTGGCGGCAACAGCTTCGGTTAACTGTGTGAAAACAGAGTCTTCTTGACCGCCCTTTTCTTCTTCCTAACAATAAGTTGGAGACAACATAAGATATAAAATACATCCAAACACACACACATCAAACTTTGAGGATAGGTCTGTTCATCGGTTCAAAATCAAATCAATTAGCACCGAAAAATGAAAACGGATGCAATCGAAAACCAAACCAACATGAATCAGTTCAGTTCCAATTTAGAATCAGGTTTGGTTTAGAGAATGAAATATACAACCATGTTACATACGTTAGGAATTAATTTAAGAAAAAATTACAATATTGATGAAGATTAGAGAACTGAAAATAAAGGAAACAGATATCAAAGGTACTTTTCCTAAAATTCTGTTTGGCCTGTTTATATCGTAATCATAACTTCCCCTCAATGAATATGCGGTTTAGAATGGCCATTGAATCCAAATGTTAACCATCTGGAGTCGTAATACAAAGAAGTTTTGTGGTATTACATACTATAATTTATTAGAATGATTCCCCTTTTCAGTTGATTTCATTCAACAAATAACCAAATGAAACAGTTATATTCACTTATATCAATCTAAGCAAACCGTGAAACAGTTGCTTAAAGTTGGGTTGGGAAATTGAATTTGACTTGGAACTTTACAATGTGATAGGCACATGAAGCTTATACGGCCTTATCATGATCCCACAAGAAACAGAACCTCATACAGAATGCAGATATGGTGAAATACAATCTGGAGTACTTGCTACGATATTCATCTTAATAAACTAACAATCAAGTGATTTAACATAATGCACGTGGCCAACTGTCAGAACATAGTTCTCGAACTGCGCCAAAATTCAAAGACAGTTAAGAATACATACAAATTAAACAGTTAAGTTAACAAATTCTTTGGCGATCAAAAACCCTAATAAGTAAACCGCAATTACAAGAATTTTATTAGGGTTTCAAAGTTTAAAAATTCCAGTGCTCTTTCTCTGTTTCTTTAAACCAGGATCTTTTCCTTTTTGAGAAATCAATGCAGATGAATGATTGAGCTGATGAAAGTAAAAAAATAACGAAGTAGAAAGCACGAGACTTGCCATTCAAGATTTCAAGGTTTTCGAGCAATGGACAATGCGATGCGAGTGTGCCACAGCGACGATGCGAGCAAGCGACTTGGAGACTTCGAGATGCCGGTGATAGTGAAGTGGATATAGGACGGTGGCTGCCGGCGGCGACGAGTATACGAGATGTGAAGATACAATTCCAGAGAAAAACAAACGGAGGAGGAGAAGGTTTGAATGTTTGACCGTTCGAGACCGAGCTGCTGTGCAAGTGTTCTGCAAATAGAAAAATGAGTAAATTACATTTATAGTCCCTGTGGTTTGTTAATAGTTTCATTTTTTGTCCCTGTGGTTTAGAACTTATGACTTTCATCCTCATAGTTTATATTTTTTTTGCTATTCTCGTCCCTATACTAATTTCTAACTTTAAGTATAAGGGACTAAACATTATATAATTATAAATACAGGGACCGAAACAACAATAAATTATAAATTATAAAGACGAGAATAACAATGAATTACAAGTCATAAGAAAAACCGTAATTTTCTAAACCAAGAGACGAAAATCACAATTTTAATAAACCATAGGAAAAAAAACGTAATTTTCTCTAGTAAATAAGAGTTTGTTGTGAGCAAAAATTGATTTAAATCTAAAATTACCAAATTATCCTCGGAGGCTGTTCGGTTCGTTTTACATTAACTCATGTATGGATAAAATTATTTGTAGTATAAAGTTGTCTGTATGATAACTGACAAGTTGTTGTTCGTCTGTTATGATGAATAAACAGTCTCAATAATGAAAATTACTATTTTACCCTTTGTTTCACGTTAAAGGAAAACCAATACAATATAAACCTAAATCATAAGAATTTAGTATGTCAATACAAATCTAAATCATAAGAACCCTAAAACAAAAGAGGGCAGATTTCAGAACCAGAGATGAAAAAGGTCGAGGGAGCAACAAGAGAGAAGATCAAATTTGGAGAAATTGAGCAACCGGAGATGAAGATGGTCGAGGGAGCAGAGCAGTGATCTCTAGAGGAAAAAGAAATATGGGTACATCGGCTAGGGTTCATGATTGAGACAAGAAACGAGAGTCGACAGTTCGAGATGAAGGGAGAGGCTCGAGCAAAATCCGATAGTGGCGAGCAACGATGGGAGTTGATGGCGGTGTACGGCGGTGTGCAACTGAGAGCGACGAGAGAGAGAGAGAGAGAGAAGGGTGTGAGTGGAACCTGGAAGAGATACAAATGAGAGCGTCGATGGAAAGTGAGATGGGGATAAAAGAGGGAAAGGGTAAAAGGGGAATAAATGAATTACTAGATGGTTGAGTACAAAGGACATCACGTTTATAACCGAGTGATTCAACCCATGGCTGGCCGAATAAGCCCATACCGAACAGCTGGATATGGTTATGCGAATAAGCCACATCCTTTATATAGCCCATTAAGTTCCTACTGAACAACCCCTTATTCTTGATATGATCGTTTTTCAATATCATATTCTAATTATGAAGGTTGTAATAATCGATTGAAACCATATATCCAAACACTTCCAGTATATGTATGCAAAAACCGATTGATTTTGGTTGTAAATGGTTCAAGACTGAATTGAGAATATTCCGTTTCAGCTATTGATTTTAATGTTTCTAACTCGTTTTATATGGTATGGCTCAACGGCTACCCTTATTAAAATTTTGGGCCTACTTTGTTATCAACGGGATCATGGGTACTTCAAATATGTACAACAAAGTTAGGAACTGTTTACCAAACGTTTATCAGATAAGTGCTTAACCATAAGAGAATCTTAAGCGGTCTTATGACACACCAACGACTGTAAATCTTATAGGTTAAAACCCACTTACCAACAATCCACTTGATGGTTGAGAATGTTATTTGATAAGGTAAATGAGAGCGGTGACTATTATCGACAAACACGTGCCCATTTAAAACGTTTTCATCTTAATCAACTAGCTAGAGTAGCGGGTGCTGTAGCGAAAACTGATTGCAAAAGAAGGAAAATCGGCCACATTAAAATTAACGATCCAAACCATTGTAAAAAAGCAAAAACCAGGGACACATGTTATTCATATTAAAGACGCGATCTGTTGATCTGATAAAAATACAACACAGGTGGGATACACACAGATCTGACATCTAATTCTGAAGATGAGATATACACAGATCTGACGTGTATCAGATCAGATCAGATCAGGAATATTGGGTGATGAAATCTTTGATGATTTGCATCAATTTGATGGATGGTTCTGAATTTGGATTTATAGTGAAAAACCCATGTTGTTGACCTTCAAATTCTTCATACTTCACCTTCTTCCCCCAACTCTTCAATCTTTCTGCATACTCTTTCGATCGATCTTTCAGTAAGTCGCAACTCCCACAAACCACGAGCATCGGATCGAACTCGACCGGTTCAAGATCCACGCTAATTGGTCCGAACGGGTTCACCAGAGGGTGGTCCATGGTGTCCCCATCCGGAATCGATAGCCTCCAATACCTAACCAACACATCAATAGTCAACAAACCAAACAATATGGGAGATGGGATGTTAACAAGCTATTCGAGCTCGAGTTGATCTCGAACACAAAATTAAGCTCGTTTAACTTAACGAGTCGAACTCGATAACCCTAATGTTTAACTCGACCGGTTCAAAAGCTCGACGAAACATTACGAGTCAAGTTGAGTCATTCGAGCATATACTTTTTCTAGCTAAATATATTTATATGTTTACAAATTATATTATCAAAATATAAAAATCATCGAGCTTGAGTAAATAAATGAGTTAATCGATCTCGAATTTAAGCTCGTAAACAAGAATCGGGCTCGAGTTCAAATATTGAAAAAATATTCGAGCTCGAACCCGATTTTGAAAAAGTTAATTGAGTACGAGCTTGATATTTTTTTTTTGAGCTGAGCTCGAATAACCTGCTAATCAACTCGGTTACACCCCTAGTCCACCGTCTACTGCGTGTAAAGCAAACAGACCTGTCGATGAGTTCCCAGTTCAAGAACGCGTCGTTCGGTCCTTGAGCCTCTGATCGGGTCAGCACGGTCCCACCAAAGAACGGCGCCAATAAAACATACCCTCTGACCCGAACCGGCTCCAAGCTCTTCGAACCCGCGCCTAACCGAACCGCCACATTATGAGCAATGTTACCACCAGCCGAGTCACCAGATATGAAGATACGGCTAAAGTCCGCAGAGTCAACAAGCCACGGATCAGGCTCGGAAGCCACGGCTTGGGACTGGAGCCACTTAACCGCAGTGAACCCGTCCTCAACTGCCAACGGGAGCCGGTTCTCGGGGGCCAACCGATAGTCAGGAGCCACGATGACGGCTTGGAGAGCCAGAGCCAGCTTAAAACAGTAGTTCTGGCAGTTGGGCCATGTCCGTGAGCCGATACAGAAGCCGCCCCCGTGGATGTAGTAAAAGACCGGGAGCTTTTCGGACCCACCGGGGGCGGGTTTGTAGAGGCGGAGGTGAAGGTTGTTGGGTGGGTCGAAGAGGACGTCTTTCCAAAGGACAGAGCCATCATCGACGACGGGGACTTGAAAGCTGGGTTCAGTGGAGCGCCATATTGAGCCATCACTGAAGACTTTGAGCACCCCACGGCAGTCATCCACCACATGGCCACCCATTTCCGCCGTGTGACGACGGAGGAGGTGGTGGTGGTGGGTTTGCTTTAAAGAAGGATTAATGAAGATGAAAACAAGAAAAGAGACAAGAAAAGGTGGCTGAAATTGTGCAGATCTGTTTGTTAGTTACTGATGACATCCTCATATTCTTGATTTCGTGTCAAACATGACCTCCGCTAGTCCGCCATTTTGATAAGCGATGTATTTCGATGCACTGTATTAATATTGGTTTTTAATTAAGATTGATCCAAATATGAAAATCTCATGTTATCATAACTTTCATTCTCACGAGAACCCAACTCTTAGAGAAACAACCCTTGATAAATGAAAAACTAGAAAACACTTTATATCAAACGTTAGATTAACTAATCTAATATATCTGAATAATTAATGAACGATTACAACAATATTTTTCAAAATAAAAAACGTCGCCCCTATTTTTTTATTCAAAAAAAGACGAAAAAGAACAAAACGAGTGAAGCAAATTACATTAAAAAACGAACATATTTTTCTCATTATTTTGACATCTATATTGATATACTTTTTCATCCGTTTTTTCATGGTTTTCGGGTTTTTCATTTATTTAGCATTTTTCTTTGATAAAAACCGTTCATATATGGTCAAGTTCAAGGAAAAACCGTGAAAAAAGGAAAAAACTGAGAAACATCTTAATAACCATTCGTCTCTACGGTAACGCACGTGTGTATACATATAAATTTTCCAGTAGGCATAACATGCAGACGTGAATAGAAATCAAGAAACATCTTCAATTACTTATATGCATATATATGCATACAATACAAATAAACGGTTATTAGAGTTTTACTTGCTAAGATGTTACCTACCGCATCAGCATTTTGCAAGTAGCACTTTTACAACTTATGAAGATGCTATTTTATGAATAATATATTCTTAAAAAATAGCTTTCACAACTTGCAAAAATGTCACTTCAAAAATCTGGTTATTTTAGACGATGTCCCATCTACTTCATTCTCAGTCGTTAGTCCTGTCTGGTCCAATCCACGTATCGAATGAAAAGATCATCCCTCCCGAGCATTTCGTCATTCGGTCGATCAAGTTTCGAAACTGAACCCGAACGATTATAAAACCGAGTCTATTAAGCAAGAAACAGAGACAAGATTACAGATATCATCCTTTCCATCTTGCCAAAACAATATACAAAAAAACGAAATGCAAACGCTATCTGCTATCGTAAACTTACATACTTGAAGAACGACGCTACTGGTAACAAGTCAGCCGCGGTCAATAACATCAACCCGACAAAAACCACCACCGACCCACCTGCCCATTTTCTACTTCCTGATGGTTTCAAGTCTCCGTTCGGTTTTAAACACAAACTTAAACGTAAAAACCGACGACGGCAGGGGCAGGACCCATCTCATCTCGAGCAACTTTACACCGGTCAATGATCCCGTTTTGCTTATTCACCTTCCCAAAAGTTAAAGATTACGCTCTCTACCATAACCTCGACCTACTTATTCTTTTTGGTGCGTTCGTAGGCACGTTTCTTTTTCTTACTTTTCTCTACATTGAACCGAAGTTCAAATTTTCCCACTTAAAAGGCGCAACGAGGCCGATATCGGGGGCCCCACGCAAGAAAAGACACACGCATACGCATACCGCAGCTATGGCAAGCATCGAGTGAATATAGGGACGATGAAGTAAGCCTTGTGAACCTGGAATCCTCCGGGGGTGTTTTGCAGCCACAGTCGCGCACCTTGAACATGATTTTGGTATTTCGCGGTCCCGAACTCGAAAACTGAGCTCATGGTGGTCTTCATTTCTAGTAGACGTTTGTAGCTCGATCTCGTTTGAGATCCCGACTGAAACTTGACCGGCTATTCTATCTGCAAGCTTCCGTGCCACTAGCGTGTTGTACGAGTTGTTATTCCTCATAGACGCATATGCGAATGGAGACAACCCGTTTGCGTCTATGGAAGAGTTCCAACATAGCATCCCGATCTGCACTCGCCAAAGAATTGACATGCATTACTTGTGAACGGTATACGGTGCTTCACACTACAACCAAATTGGTTTTATAGGACGTCAAATATGTCTAAGTAGGCTGTTTGGTTGGTTTTCCATTAAGTCATGTATAGAAAAAGTTGTCTTATTTTTTGTTTGGTTGGGTTTTTCATAGATGGAAGGTGCATGTTTTTTAATTGGGAAGGAAGGTTTGGAAAAAGTTTGGCTTTCTGTATTAAGCTCCCTCCTAAAAGCTTCTTGAATAAGCCAGTTTCTATATCTTTAAGCCACTACCAAACAGTCATATATAACGGACCGAATAAGTTGTCATATCAATAAGATGTCCTAAAAAACTTGTTAAGACGCCCAAACGTGTCCTATAAACTTATTGCAACACTTTTAGATGAACGCTTTATAGTTTGGTCCTATAAACGTAAGTCCTATAAGACAGTCTATTAGGACACTTAACTATACTTTCTTTTATAAAAAAGATACGCATTTGGAGCAAAAGTGGCATACCTCCTGTGGGTCATTCGTCAAAGCATCAACCATATCATCGGAATTCGATGTGCAAGCAGCCAAATGCAACGGTGTGATGCCGCCAGGCCCATCGGCATTTGGCGGGAAAATGTACTTTCTGGAAGCGGTTTTATCATCAAGCACTGAATAACGTATAAGCAAATCAACCATATTCTTGCACCTTCTTTTAACAGCCCGGTTTAAAAGGTTGATCCCAGAGAGCATCTCAAGATACGACTCCTCATCTGTAATGCCCGAGCCGTTTTTAAGTAGAATACCGAGAAGCGTTCTCACCAAAGCACAGAAATCCCTTTCCACAGAGAATACAAGCAGGAACTTGAATCGAGTAAGGCTATAATGAGAATCCGCTCCCTTTCTCTGGAATAGCCATCCGAGCTCGTTCAAGAAATGCAAGACTTCCTTCATTGAACTCGACTGACCGTTCAAAACTTCGCCAAATTCAGCCTCTAGAAGCCTCAATTCTTTGCAAAGAGTAGCATCAGCTATAATTACGGGAAAGCTGGTACCTCTGAAACCGTTCTCTATCTGCTCACACAACTCAAAAAATTTAAACTTTTGAAAATCCTGGATTTGAAAAAGATGATCAAGAAATCTTGAAACAGAAAGATTACCTCAATGAAACATCGACCCAGTACACTTGGTGCACAAACTGTGAAGCTACACGTGCTTATTTCTTCGTATGTAGATTCTTGAGAAGATTCTTTTGCTTCCACCAACGAACATCCATCGGCATGTGTGCAGTAGATCCTGCAATATGATACGATATGCATTTTTAGTATTCAATGGGAATATAAAGGCCATAGGTTGCTAGTTTGAGTCTCCTTAGGGACACTCGAGATTTTTCTGATTGTTATCTTCAGGGCCCCATGAGATTAATCAAGGTGCATGAAAGTTGGCCTAGATACCCACGGTTACGAAAAGGTGAAATTTAGCATACTACAGTAGGTAAATTGGAAGATATACGCACTTGGTGCCAGGTGTCCTTAGATTTCTGCCTTTTAGGAGAAGTGAAGTTTCTTTTCCAGCCACAACAGCCAACGGGGAGACGGATATCAACTGTGGGGAACTCCATGCTTTCAAAGATTTAAACAGATAGACCTTCCCTGATGCATCATAACATTCAACAAGTTGTCACAGCCATAAAATCATCGATCAACTTACCGTGGAAACTAAGATAATACTCGCATCGTCCCAAAATAAACGTCCACAATGCAAAATATGCAATTATTACACTTTTTAATTAACTAAATGACAATTTTACCTTTAATAATAGAGAGAGTAATGGATTTGTCCGTCTTATGATTAAGGGTAGTATTGGAAAGTTACGCTTATTTTGGAACGAACTATAACAGAAATGTGGACGCTTATTTTGGGACGAATGGAGTATCTGATTTAGAACTTGAAAGACCACAATTACCATGAGATAGTATCATATCTGAACCATAATATATGTTCAAACCAAAGGGTAATGGCCCAACGGTACACGGTGGAACCCAGCCTCCCAAGAGGTCAAGGATTCATACCTCACCGAAGATGAGAAGTGTGCATAAGTATTTTCCGAATATGAATATATATATATATATATATATATGTACGTATGTATGTATATGTACGTATGTATGTATATGTACGTATGTATATGTACGTATGTATGTATATGTACGTATGTATGCATATAGAGTCAAGTTCAGAGGAAAACCTGAGGAACACCATCATAACCATACATTTGTACGGTATCCAAATGTGCATACAAGTAATTTGTCCGGTATGGACATGTGCATAACATGCAGACATGCATACCGTATATATGAATGGTTAAGGGTGTTCCTCAGTTTTTCATATTTTTGGGGGTTTTCCCCTGAACCTCACTCTATGTGTGCTGTGTGTGTGCGCGCGCACTAAAAAGAGAACACTACAACTTGACTCACCATCCTTATGTGACGCTATTTGCTTCTCAGTATGTGCTAAAAACCTTCCAGTTCCCCAAAAATCAGTGCCGGAATCTTGCAATAGAGAATTGATATACTGAAGAAAGTTTCCTTCAAGCTGCAAGAAAAACCACAATAAAACCACAAGCAAACTGCAAATGCTCAGCGAAGGTTATAAGAAAGGAAAGACCACTAAACCAAACAAAACCAATCGAACCCAGTAAACCCCACTTGAATTAGAGTCCAGGGAGGGTATGATGTACGCAGCTTTACCTCCACCCAAAGAGTAGGCAAGACTGTTTCCATGAAACCCCGGGTTGTAAAAAGGTTTTGAGAAAAAGATTTTGTGAAAACGAAGATGGGAAAGCCCACGGCTTCAATAATTTACTCGCCTGATCCCAAGAAGACAACGGCATAGATAAATAAATCGAAAGAACTACACAACCAGGCCTTATGTATCCTTCCATGTCCGACGGACTTTGAGAAAGCCAATTATACACCTGAAATCAAGAAATCAAGAAACCCAAATCATGTTATTTCAGCCCCGTGTAAGGCAGCGTAAGAGCATCTCCAAAGTGGAGAAAATAAAGATTTTGGAGTTTTTAACCTACTTTCTTGCTCCAACAGATTCCCCAAAGTGGAGAAGTAGAAGACAGAGGATACAAATTTCCAAATTTGGAAAACCCTCCATAATTAAATCTTTTAGAGAGAGAGATGGTTTTTATCGTTCCCACCAATGAAATGAAATGTATTATCATTTCATATAAAATTTATTGAGATATTAAATATATTGAATGTTTTAATAAGAGACAGGTTCAGACGAAAACCGCAAAAAAAGGAAAAACCGAGGAACACCTTAATAGTAATTCCTTTGTACGGTATGCACATGTGCATACAAGTAATTTGCAAGTAATTTTTCCGGTATGTACATGTGCATAACATGCATACGTGCATGGAAACCAGGAAACAACTTCAATGACTTGTATCATATGCACATGTGCATACGTAAAGATGAACTGTTACTAGGGTGTTCCTCAGTTTTTCATCTTTTTGGGGGTTTTCCCCTAAAACCTCACTCATTTAAATAAATACCATTAAATATTGAAATCTCCAAAATAAAGTACTGTTGGAGATGTTAAATCTTTCACCTGTGTGCGCAATGAACCAGGCAAATGACTTGGATCTTTGTCGAACAGTTTAAATAGTATTCTCCCGGTCCGATCCTAAAAACCACACCAAAATACATCAAATTAGACCTTCACAAAAAGAAAAACGATAAGAAAGCTTCCATATCAATCGAGTAACAACCTGAGGATCAGAATTTAAGCTCGAAGGTGACTGATCCGAGCCAGATGAAGACGTGTACCCAGCTCGGTAAGGAGAACTTTGAATGGAAATATTATCAGTTCCCGCATTCGGCCCTCCAAAAAGCTCAAGAGACATGGTGCCACCATGGACACTGCTAGCTTTAACATTTGCAGTAACCTCTCCACTGGTCGACATACTTTCGGGCTTCATTCGTCCTCTTGAAGATTTCGTTGGGAAAAGCCTTTGGACAACGGGTGGAGAAGAGGATGGAGATCGATCTTCCATCGGATTACTGCTATCAGACGAGAAATACTTCCTGCTTGATGCTAATTTTGGTGGGCTATCGTCTTCCGGTGAAGAACTAAATAGTTGTAATTGTAGATTAAGAGGAGTATCAAGAACTTGGCAATCTGAATCTTCACCACGAGACTGGAAACTGGTGCTACTTCTTTCTCCACCGGAATGCATCTCTGCCGCCGGTTGGTTGGGAGGATTGAGAACCATGGTCTGGTCACGACAACTAGAGTTAGTTTTATCAGACTCGATCGCAAGGTTTCTTTTTTGTGACGAATTTTCAGGGGGGTTAGGAGCAGGTGCATCTGAAGTGCCAGAAAGACCACCAAGCAAGTCCATGGTTGATGAACTGGTTTTTCTGTTGACTTTATTTTGAATCTCTGAAGACGGTTTCTCTTGATCGATGGTTTTCAAGCTTGCAGAAACGGGTAATTTTGACACAAGGTCTACCGGCATAGGCAAAGAGTTTATTTTGTTAAGAATCTGTATCAGCTGGTCTTTATTAGGTAATGGTGAAGAACTCCTCGTCATATCCTCGGCATTCCCTAATATTCAAAGCACAAATATCAGGATATTGAAAAAAATAAAGAAAAAAGGGTTGGAGAGAGCATGAGAACCAATTATTCATGATGAATATACCTAAAAATTCATGAATGTTCATTGTGAATATCTATTATGATATTCATCATGAACCATTCATAAATAGTTGTTTGCTACAGTTCTCAAAATATTACGATTCTTAAATGAACCTGCCCGATTCTGATATTACCTTGAGCACGAGCTAAAACAGTTAGCAAATTAACAATATCCATATCTCCGTTGCCATTTTTATCACCATTTCCAGCGAGTAGCAAGTGTGAAGCAACATCCTCCGGCTGAGTTTTTCTTCTTCTTCTGTTGTGACCAGCAAGCCTACGCCTACAGCTACGCTTCCCTTCATCGAACTCCGAAAGAGGATGAAACCTAACAAGAAGATTGTAAATAAGAGTCCTTTAGCCCCAATTAGAGCACATATACATAGCCAGAAGTGATGTATCCAAGGCAACTTACAAGTAAAGTTAAACGCCAGAACCAACTATTTCATGTATTATTCATGATGAATAACCCTAAATATTCATGAATATCATGCATATTCATTATGAATGATGCATAAATAGTATGTTCTCAAAACATTTATGGTTCGTAATTAAACTTGCACCTAAAAAACTACTCCCTAAATACAATAAATTCCAAAGCTTTGATTATGAATTTATGATAAATTTAGTTAGTAAATTAACACACTGAGTTGACCAACCTGCTGCACTGCTGACAAAATCTTTGCATCTGTTTCCCAACCAAGGCCTTTCCAGATTTACTATGAACCTCACACACCTTGTGCCGTCGGTGATAGTCTTTAGCGGCCGATAGATCTTCCTTACAATTATCAACCTGACACATTGGATAATTTCCACCACCACCACCGCCTCCACCACTGCCTGGCGATCCAGATCGGACCCTTTTGCTGGGCCTCGTTATCGGCTCCTCACCGGGAACCAAACCACCACCAAGCTTCAACAATAAACGTTCATCTTCTTCCCTTTGACCAACTGGGTTCTTCTTTGAAACATCAGAATTGGTAGAAACAATAGCAGGCAGATGATGTTGTTGTTGTTGTTCATGTTCTCTCGAAATCTCCATCATATCCACAGGTTTCGCCACAAGCCTTGAGCTGTCCCATTCCCAATTCTTCGGGTTCCAACTGTTTCTAGAATCATCTAAACTTGGAATTAACCTCTGGAGATACTGTTGTTGTTGTTGGTGTTGAATAAAGTTTGTGCCTTGAAACGGCAAGCTACGTTTCTTGGCCATCGGATGGCCATTGGAAAACCTACCGGCGCCGATTGTGTTGTACATATACAAGGGAGGAGCTAATTGAGTGCCCACTTCTTCCATTTTTTCCGGCTTCCAAAGCCCCAATTAGAAGTATCCAAATTCCTATAAAAGGAAGAGATTCTCAGAATTAATTGCTAAACAATAAAACAACAAACGCTATCTTGATCCAACCAAAAAAACTTCTGTTTTCCCCCTTTTTATGCTACAAAACTGAATCAAATTTCACCCAATATAATTCTCTTTTTTTCAAGATTTTCTTTCAGCTGATTTCCACAATAACCTTGAAACAATCTTGCTAGATAGATAATTAGACACACAAAATTTAAAAAAGATCAAAAAAGAAACGAAATCAACAGCAAAATATAGGTCAAAGATTACCAACCTCTACGAGTTCATAGCAACCCAGATCAAAAATTTCAGTCAAGACTTTCTACAAACAGGTGGTGATCGGATCTAACATAAGCTGATGATGAAGGCGTAGAAAGAAAACCCAGATCTGGAAGAGAGAGCAAATAGATCTGATGATAAAAGAAGATGGGAAAAGGGTGGTGGAGTCAATTGGAAGGTGTCGTCGTACGAGTCGAATGGGGTTTGTTTTTTAGTTTATCTCTCTATCTACTTGTGTCTTCTTTTTTCTTCTTTCATACGGGCATGAAAGAAAGACGTCGGTAATTTAATTCCCCCTTCTTATTCTGTTTCCTTACTGTTTTACAGTGAAGATGATGTTTGATTTGCTCCAAATTCCACAAACCCCTTTAACTTCTTTCCAAAACCCAATTCAAAGCCTCCAAATCATCTTTTCCATCGCACCAAACTCCATTTCTTTCTAAATTTGGGTGTGAATCGAATTTAAAATTGATATTGTTTTTAATTTGAAAAAAAAATACAAACTTTTCTGGTTTTAAACCAGACTGAATATAACTGAGTACTGATTTTACTGTGTTTTGTATATTCGATTGGACACTGGACATGATAAAAAGGGTTTTAAAGTGAAAGGGTATTATCTGTTCCATGTTTGACACGATATAAGCATGAGACATGGTTGAATAGCTGATAAAATTTCCCGAATTAAACTATTTTACCAAATGACAATTTTGCCCTTGTTTAGAGTTGTTTTTAACTTTGTATATTTAGTTGTTCATGCTTATGATGGTGTTACTGATGATTTGTTTGTCGGCAGCTTAATGAGCTTGATGGTACTTGCATCTTATTCAATCAGTTGTACATGATTGTTTATAGTGTGGCTTAATGATATAGAAATTGCAATGCTTATTGGGGTGCTTTATGCAAAAAGCCAAGTTTCTCTAGACTGTCTCTTCTAATTAAAAAAACATATTTCTGCTTAATCCATATAGACAGATTAATTTACACAGGCAGTTTTATCTATCCATAACTTAATCAAAAACCAATCAAATAGTCCTAAATACATATAACTAGTCATATTTATGGGTCGTTTACTAAACGTTTACCCGCTAAGTGTTTATCAAGTTATTTTATCTTATCGGATGAACATGATAAAGATTGAAGATCTTACCCGGTAATAGCATTCATAATGACCGAGAGACTTACCCAGTAAGAGCAACAACTCTTATCCCAGTAAGCGCTTACTAAATAAATTGTTGTATACAAGGTTGTTTTAATAGACTAAATTCTCGCACAGTAAGTTCAATTAAAGTATTGATTTTTACCGATAAGTGCTTAATGGTTAAGCATTGGGTAAACTGACAGATTAGTGTCAAAACAATAAATAAAACGAAAAACCGTCATTTAGAAGTTAACGGCTTTGTTATACAGTATTATTCACTTAATAACCAGAAAATATGACAATTAGCTTTCAAACAAAGCGTTTATGAGCATGCCGTTTTGCCGACATATTTTTTTCCTTTGCATATCTTTAGACACATTTCTTTCATCGATATATCTAATCAGACATGTTGCAAAAGTCCTTTACACCATAAAATTATTAATTTAAAAAAAGGGAAAAGTTAAAAAAAAAACCCAATAAATTATCTCATTTTGAATGTTTAAATTCTTGAACTGTTTTTTTTTAATGAAAAAACCATTAAACTTTGTCACTTTGAATGATTATGTATCTAAACTATTTTTTGAGGGCAAATTGTATCAAAAAGTAATGTACTTTAACTTGAATAATTGGTTAAAACATTAACCGATTACCATGTTGATGTGACATGTGGTATTCAACTCAGTATTATCTGCTATTCAACCCAATTTCATCTCATCACTCGCCACATCAGCATGGTAACATGTTAATTCTTCAACCGGTTAACCGGACACTTAAATGTTTGAAACTTTACATCTTAGAGCAACTTCAATCGAACGCCAAATACACCAAAGTTTTGCTGGAGGAAGGAAATGAACGGCAAATTTGCCGTGGGAGAGATGGACGGCAAAATGTTGGAGTTGATTTTTTTTATGGGCCCACCTATTTGGTTTTTTTTTATGTGAAGGTTGGAACTGCCCTTAGGTACTAAAATGAAAGTTTTGAAAGTATATTAGCCAAAGTAAAAATCAAGTTAAAGTACGTTATTTTTTTTTCCATACAATGTGCCATTATTTTAATGAAAAAACCATTAAACTTTCTCATTTTGATTGATTAAATACTTGAACATTCTTTTTAATAAACAAACCATTGTTTTTGATAAATAAACCATTGTACTTTTAACATTCACAGTGTTTTTACTGTGAATATTCGACTTTTTTTACCTTCAAGTGTAAAAAAGTGGTCTCACGCGTTTCAAAAAACAAGTTAACCTCACATGATCCCAAATATATATATATATATATATATATATATATGAGATTCTGAAATTATTATAAATGATTAGAAACATGTTCGTTATTCATCTAAAAATCTAGGAAAAATTAAAATATGTTTACCATTAAAAATAATCTTATTTATTAATAATAACATGATTTATTAATAACAATTTGCATAAAAACAAATGCGTTTCTATTCGGTTTGTTTTTATTGGAAACGCATTTTCAAAACACGTCTTTAACTATTCATATCCTAGAAAATATCTATTTTAAGGGTCGATAGTCTAAAAGGATTTTTTGACAGTTGTTGAATGGTTCATTGGTTTGGTGTAGAATGATTAAGTGGTGGTCAAAATAATTGTGAGACTCTCATGCTATAATACAAAATGAAATATAATATGTGATAAAGTGTATAATCTTCGTATACAGTAAATGCAACAAATAAACTTACACACACTCCTCCTCACATTTGATGAGGTTTGAACCCCTAACCTCATAAGAGGTCAAAGACTACAATACCACTAGACCAAAAACCGTTTGATTACATTATAATATATAGATTGTGATTAATAAAGTAAGAAAGGGTAATTAGTGGGCAAATATGTCTTTCAATACCAAATGAAAAGCAAAGGCACATTGTGTAACATGTACAATGCATTTGTGAACATGTGCAATGTCACCTTTATGTCTCCACAACACTAATTATTTCTTTGTCTCTATTTTCCCTATTATTTTATTATATATATATATATACATTTTTTAATTCAGTCAAATATTTATTTATTTATTTTAAATTTTATTTATTAAAAACACCCATTTTAATTAACTAATAGAATTTTAATTAATCTATAATATATTATAAAACATTTGACAAAAAAAAAAACTCTTAAAAACCATGTTTTATGTATAAAGTACTGTTTATTGATGCATGTTACTTAAAATTCAAAATCACAAGTAAATTGTGTGTAGATACAACTTATTAAAAGTTCATGTTTGAATTCGTATAACTAACTGCAGATAAACATAATTGAATAGAGGATAAATATCTCATTTTAAATATAAAAAATCTAAAATATAATTATTGACTTATAACAAAATACTTGATCATTATCTTTTTAAAAAAAACTATACTTATGTTATAAAGTATTTGACAAAAACGTTTAAAAATATTTTTTTATGCATGAATTACTGTCTATTAATGCGTATTACTTAAAATTCAAGATTACAAGTAAATTATGTGTAAGTACAATTTATTAAAGCTTCATGTTTGAATCCATGTATAATTGAATAGAAGATAAATATCTTATTTTAAATATAAAAAATTTAAAATATGATTAGAATAATTATTGACTTCTAAAAAAATTATATTATTAAACCAAAAAATAAAAAAATAAATTAAAGAAATACACAAAAATACGAGAAATTTTAAATAGTTAGTTTAATACTAATATCAATATTTTTTTTTCAAGTTTTTTATATTTTATTCAAAAATAAAAAAACATTATTTTTTCTTCAAAATCACATGAAACCGTATTATAATATCGACTGAAACAACAAAAATTAATAATTAAAATCGTACGAGTACACTTATAATAATATTAAATAAAAATAATAATTAAAAAATAATATTTGTGATTTTTTGAAGTGGGACAACTAATGCCAGCTTCAATAGAGAATAGTACAGTACTGGCATTGCATTTGCCATTGTCATTGGCATTCGCATTCGCATTTGCAAACTCCACCATTTTTATGGTCCCCAATCCCCTTTTCACCATTCCAACTCAATTACTTCTTCCAAATTAATAGGGACAAAGGAATCTTCCAATGTGCTCATCTACCACCAATATACCCAAATGTACAATTAATATGCAGATATGACTCGACTCGACTTCACCAGACCAGACAAAACTAGACAGGACCGAACTGATAGAAATGAGGGGGTTACTGTTGTCTGTTCATACCCTCTCACTCACGACTCACCTATACCCTGTGTAAGAGTGGGTATGAATAGAATTCATGAAGTGAGGTAGGCGGGACAAAAAAAAAATAGGTGCAATAAGAACTGTAGGAGGAGACAAGATTGATAAATTACTATACTAGTTATGTCAAATTAAAACACTGGCAATTTTGGTGGGCTTAATTGTATCTTGTCTTGATCTAAGGGGTTGTTTGTTAACAATTTAATGAGTTTAACGAGATCCGCAACTTGTTTGGTAAGTTATATATGATTGTTTGACATATATAAAAAGTGGTTTATTCAGTAAGTTTCTAAAGGGATGGTTATACAGAAAACTAAGTTTTTTCCAAGTTTGCCCCTCCCAATTAAAATAAAGAAGCCCCCGAACAAAAATCTTGCCGATCTTCCCGATTCATCTTAAAAACCCTTTTTCATAAAATCTCAATTTTTGTCCCCCCTCATCCTACCACTAAACCCTACTTATTTATTGGGTAAGAGCCTCTTATCTGGTAAAGATGGTGTTGATTAAATTGACAACAGAGTCAGACAGTGCTTACCAACATTGTTTTTATCAGTAAACGCTTTGATAAACAACCATTTTGCAGTCCAAGGTGTCGTTTAATTGGTTTTCCGTTAAGCCTTGTATGAATAAAGTTGTCTGTATATATTGAAAAGGTTTTCTTCATAGATGGAAAGAGCCTCTTTTTTAACTGAAAGGGGCATATTTAGAAGGGGAAAAAACTTGACTTTTTGCATAAAGCACCTCCCTAGAAGCTTACTGACTAAGCCACTTTCTATATTTTTAAGTCACTACCAAACAATAATATATAGTTGACCGAATAACTTTGAGTCCCGTTAAAAACGGGCCGTTACCCGGTTAGTACTTTACCTAGTTTGCATTACTAAACAACTTTATAGTTTCTTTGATCTTCATTAAAACTCCGAATCTTGTGGCCTAACCGGATGCCGATCTAGTCTTCTGTCTACCAAATTTCATAAGACGTCGAGCCTGTCAGCCTGTGGAAGATTAGAACAGTTGACAAAGACTCGAGCTACGATACCAGAAACAAAAGATCAAATGCAGAATCGATTTGGAAACATCTATCGCCATAAGTTACCAAGATCGGAGCGAAAATGCCACAAAAGAACAAGTATGAAAGAAAGAAAGAGATGAAACCATATTTCCTTCTATAGTGAACATCTAAACCAGATTTTCTATCTCTTGATCTACTTTATCTTGTTCGTTTTCTCGTCTACGTCTGTATCGACAATAGCTGATTTAGACTCGTCAAACTCCAATAACTGCCACAACATAACAATAACATCATCGCATTAGAATACGCTGCAAATCTTTTTAAAATGAATGTACGAAGAATATTGATCAAGGCATACCGGTTTGACCTCCCCGTTCCATATGCAATGGGCAGCCAAGAACCCGATTACCGCTGGTACAATGTATAACAGAGCGGGCTGAAACCAAAACCAACATTTGATTACATTCATTCGTAAAATAGACATTAATGATACTATTATAAATCCCGTCTCCATTTTAAGATGGCGGAATCCGTTAGTGTTGGCTGAAACCAAAAACCAACATGTAAGATCCCACATTGGCTGAGGAGGGGAACTAAGGTTGCCTTATAAAGGACTGAATACCTCCTCTGTTAGACATGTTCTAAAATGGCGAGTCCAGGTTTGAACCAAGCGGACAATATCTGGTACGGTTGCTTGGGATGTCACAAATGGTATTAGAGCTGGGAACCAGACTTGTGTGACAACGAGGACGCTGGGATCCCAAGGGGGGTGGATTATAAGATCCCACTTCAGTTGGGGAGGGGAATGAAGGTCGCCTTATAAAGGACTGGATACGTTTTAATACCGTGAGTCCAAACGTGCACAAAGCAGACAATTTCTGGTACGGTTGTTTGGGATGCCATAAATGGTATCAGAGCTGAGAACCAGACTACTAGTTCGACAGCAAGGACACTGGGCTCCCAAGGGGAGTGGATTGTAAGATCCACTTCAGTTGAGAAGGGGAACTGGGCTCCCAAGGGGAGTGGATTGTAAGATCCACTTCAGTTGAGAAGGGGAACTGGGCTCCCAAGGGGAGTGGATTGTAAGATCCACTTCAGTTGAGAAGGGGAACTAAGGTTGTCTTATAAGGGATCAAATACCTCATCTATTACGTGCATTTTAAAACCTAGAGTCCAGGTATCTAGTACGGTTTGCCTGGGATGTTATAGATTACATGCTAAACCAAACGAGCACAATATAGGTGGGGTTCGGGAGGGGTGAAATGTACGGAGACCCGAATAAAAATCTGTTGTCCCAAAATCCCATGTCCCACCAATCACAAGAGCACAATTACTTTATTTCATATATTTAATTCATGTCTCGTTCTCAATGATGTGTTTTCACATGATTGATGGACATGAGACATAGCAGATTTTTATTCGACTTGACTTCCACCTCAAAGAGTAGATCATTGTTTTTGTGATAACATAAGATTACATGCATTGATTCAAAAAAAAACAAAAAAACAAATCCCGACTCCAATTGATGGTAAATTACGAACCTGTGCAGCTTGGAACCAATTCATGACAAGAATTGTAAGGATTACACCAACGGCATATCCCAAGAAAGCACTCTTGAAGTAGTGGCTCTTTCTCCTTCTTGATACGTCGAATCTCAGGGCCAAGGCTACAAAAATGCCTGATACCAACAAACAAATATGTCAATAAATGGGTGTGATCATACCAGCACTAATGCATCGGATCCTATCAGAAATTCGCAGTTAAATATGTCATAGGACAACTTCTAAACAAAATAATAGGTAACAAGCTTGATCAATAGACGAGACACATGATGAATTTAAGCAGCAAAATGAAAGGGTAAAGTCATAAAAACTCGATCTTCTAAATTAACATCCATGTTCATGACTTCTAGTTGAGTTATTGTCTTCTCTCTGTGTGTTTACACATACACCGTAAAAAAAACCCCGAGGAAGGCCCATTATATCCGTTCATTTGTACGGTATGCATATGTGCATAGAAATCAAAAAACATCTCAAATTACTGGTATGCACAACCGTATAGATGAACGGTTATTAGGGTGTTCCTCAGTTTTTTATTTTTTTGTTAGGGTTTTCCCCTGAAACTAACATGTGCATAGAAATCAAGAAACATCTTCAATAATTGGCCCTACAGATGAAAGGTTATTAGGGTGTTCCTTAATTTTTCTTTTTTGGGGGTTTTCCCCGGAGCCTCACTCTCTCTCTCTCTCTCTCTCTCTCTGTATATATATGTATATGCGTGTGTGTGGCCTTTGTCAAGGGGTTACTAAATGAAAGGCTATGATCAAGCTATCTAAAATCTCCTACAAAATACATACATGTAAAGTTATAAATTTCCTCAATAAAAGACTACATAAGTTCTCATTATTATTTTTTTCAGTTGTCATGCCACTTCAATGACCATCAAAAGAATAAGTTAGAATAATTCAAGTCTTCATCTCCATAAATTCACATAATTCATAACGAAAAACAAGAAAGGACCTCATAAGAGGTACAACAATGATAGATTATGATGTATCGTGTATCACCCACTACGAATGCCATACCTGGAATAACAATGTCACCTAAACCAAGCATAGAAAATGGACGGACAGCATCCCTCGTGGGGAATAGAAGCTGAAAGAGGATTAAATTCTCGATGTTATAACAAAACTTTACAAAAATCGTAAAAGGGGCAGGTTCAAATGAGAACCATAATTACTTTTTGAGAATCTGAGAACCAACCATTCATGATGGATAACTGGATATCGTGATAGAAATTCATGATGGATAACTAGATATAGTGATACATATTCATGATGAATCATGAATATTCATAAATATTTTAAGGTTATTCATCATGAATAACTTGTGCAGGTTCAAAAGAATGTAAATATTTTTGAGAACCTCAAAATCAACTATTCATGATGGATAATTGCATATCGTGATTAGATATTCGTGATGAATCATGAATAATGAGTATCATCATATTCATGATGAATAGTATTCATAAATATTATAGGGTTATCATCATGAATAACTCGTGAATTAGTTGGTTCCCATATTTTCAAAAAATTAATGGTTCTCATTTGAACTTCCCCTATGGTAAGAACCACCCAACTGTAAATAAAAACTCGGATACTACCTTTATAGGTGCATCAAAAGATTTGGCAACGCTGACCATCACAGGGGTAAAAAAGACCCAAAATATATCATATACAAAAAGTCCAGCCTGCAGATTTAAATCATGGTATCATCAGATAAATCCCATGTTTCACAAAAATTACAAGGCGTGTTGTTGGCAATAGTAGGAATAACTAAATTCAAGATTTAAGAAGAAGAACAAAGGCAAACAACTCTAAAGAACCGTTCTTACCAACAGAATAGCACCAGTCTTGAATGAGCCAAGGGAAAGCATTTCAATTCCCTGCAAAAGGTAGAAAGGTGTTTTATGAAGCTAACATTCGATGAAGAGTAGATACTTCAGAAAAGACGCAAATTCTATTGGGTTTCTCCGCTTTGTAATTTCATTTTGTTCAATTAAGCCCAAGAGCCTGTTTGCTTGCGGCTTAATGAGCTTAATGGGCCTCACAACTTATTTGGTCACCTATACATGATTGTTCGGTAATGGCTTAATGATATAGAAAGTGGCTTATTCAGTAAGCTTCTAGGTGGAGTTTTATGCAGAGAGCCAAGTTTTTGCCAAACCTGCCCCTCCCAATTAAAAAAGACGTTTCTTCTATCTATGGAAAAATCCTCCCAAACACAAACCTTCACAATCTATGCAAACAACTTTATCCATACAAGGCTTAATGGAAATCCAACCAAACAGCCCCCAAATGTTCTAAAAAGCACGCCATGGCTCAAGGCTCGCCTTCGACACCACATTAAGGTCGTGGCACGCCATGACAAGACGTGCGGTTTCGTGAAGCATTATTTGATTCTTTTTACCTTTTGAGCGTCTTACTTTTTAATTTTGAGTATATAAAACCCAATTTAAATTGTTAAATCTCATTGGTTCGTTGAGTTTTAGTAGAATACAAGTGTATATGTGATATACAAATTCATCGCCATAAGTCACGCCTTGAAAAATGCAGTGGCCTAAACCAATTCGTCTTCTTCTTGCTCATGAATTTAATTGCCGGTTGGGGTGGGAGAGATGCACGAAACAACCAAGGGCCTGTTTGTTAGCAGCTTAATGAGCTTAACTGGATCATAGCTTATTCGGTCAGTTATACATGACCGTTTGGTGATGGCATAATGATATAGAAAGTAGCTTATTCAGAAGCTTCTAGGAGGAAGCTTTATGCAGAAGTCTTTTTTCAAGCTTGTCCCTCCCAATAAAAAAAAAGCTCCTTCCATCTATGAAAAACCCTTCCAAACAAAAATCTTTCCAATCTATACAGACAGATTAATATACACAGACAACTTTATCCAAACAATATTTGATGGAAAACCAACCAAACAGCCCCTAAGTAGCTTGTTTTATGATCCAGAAGCACTAGATGCAACTATTATATGCTCTTCTTCAAGAAAATCAGAGATGTGATCAAACCTGAATGCAAAATGCAAGTCCCAAAACATTGTTAGCCAGCCAATGCTTCTGTGCAACATACCACACACAAAAAATGGTCCCGGGAATCGCAGCGACAGCTTGAGATCTTGTGAACTCAATGTCCAACGCTGTATAAGAAATGTTTTGAGAAGTACATTATTATGCACATCACATCACGATGTGATCAAGTCATCAAACAATAGTAAAAAGAAATACAAAGAACCTAACGATTTGTCCACAGACAATGCTTTGCAAGACCAAAAATAGTCAAAATCGTGAATTCGTGATCCACCAACAATTTTGTTCCGATTTTTTTCTGGGATCTGTCCCTTTTATAAAAAAACATTTTTTTCCAGAAACACAAAAAGTAAGATATCAGACAGCCAAAGATGTTCAAAAACCTAAATAGACAAAGGATGCTTTTTTCAAACTCTTAGAAGAAATGGTAAGGTTGTCACCAAATAATTTGCTTATTGCATAACACCTAAATGACATATTTGATCTATCCGATGGTGATTTATAATCTATAAATCTACTATCTAATAATTGAAGCAACATGCACAAAGGTAACAACAGAGTAAAAACCATCAAAATCTGTGGAATACATAGAAAGTTATCGGATAAAGAATGCATACAGCGAAAATGCGGGAAACGCCAAGTTATAACATCTTCATTCCACTTGGTAGGTAAAAACCGCCTTATTACAGGTAAGAGTGTCGCCCTACAAAGAAAGATTTGTAAAGCCAATCAAGGAGAGTGCAAAGCAAGATTAGCAAATACTTATTGCTTAGGGTTTGTTTGGTACACTGAACACGACATAACATACCAGAATATGGATCACTGTTCCACGTTTGGTGGAACTTTTAAGTGGAAGAAACAGGTATAGAGTGAAACAAAGTGAAACAGACTTTACCAATATAACCTCAAAATAAAACCTAATTCTCTTCTAAAACATCAAATACGCCTCCCTCTTTACATTTTATTCATTCATTAAATTTTATTGATTGTATTTTATGCTCTTTAAACTTTCACGTTAATGTCCTCAAAATATTGTTTTTATATGGTTTCGATATTTTGGTTAATTTATGTAATTTATTAAATATTTTAATAAAAAATAATATATAGAAAAGGTATAAAATAATAATTGGAAATTACAAAAACTTTTTAATTTGGTGTCGCTTTAATCGTCTCAAAAACTTCCTACCGATGTATTTTTGTTATAAAAATATTTATTTTATTATAGTTTAATAAATTAATATAAATTAATCAAACTATATAAAAGATATAAACAACTCATTAAGGGTAAGGTCATTTTATCTGTACCAACCGGTTTATCCCGTTCTATTCTATCCTGTCCAGATACCAAACACACCCTTAATGTATATACAAAAAGAACATACGAGAGTGCGAGGATGCCAAGCACAAAGAAGTAGGATGTCAAAACAGCATTAACCAAGTCTTTTGACAGGAACTTAAAGAGCAAGAACAAAGACAACAGCATCGCACTGCCAACCAGAGGGAAACGCATGGCGTGTTCATTAGACATTGTCTCCTGTGGAAAAAGATAAAAGGTCGGAATAATTTTAAACACAGAGAGGGAAAATCATGAAAGATTCAGAACAAAGTAGCTGTATACTTACAGAAGGAGGTGTTGGCTTGACAGAGCGGTAACAACCCACAAAAACCGTTAGGCATGCAGTCAAGATGACATTTATATTTGGGTCTACCTTCAAAACTAGCGGTGCCAGTGTTAGACCTGCAACCCCAAAATGCTATACTAGATAAATTCTCCCATAATCAAATAATCATGGCAACTAGAATAGAGCGAAAAAAAGAAGGATGAACTCAGGAGAAAAAATTCTTAAATTGGTTAAAAAGGAATAGAAACCTGCTAGAGCGATATTTGCAGCTCGCTCACCACTCTTCATTGTCAAACTCACAATGTTTTGCTCGCTAGTTAGAAGCAGGATCTATATCATGCATTTCACACAAGTTAAAAGATAATACACAACATTGTATTTGTAGGTAAAAGGTAATTGCAATAGACCAGCAACGTCATTTATCCATTCACAACAAAACAAGAAAAAGAAAAGCCACAACAAAGAATATGTGAAGTTGTGCACATTGCACAAGGCCACTCGGCATTCGGATGTCTCATACGTGTATCACCCAAATATGGGTATGACCTCATGACTCATTAGGCATTTGGCCAAACCATCGAACACCAGCCATGTGAGTCTACTGCAATTACACTTCAAAAGCCATCTTTATCCAACAGTCCAAACCATCATTAAATGGTTTGCCAAAAAATAGTAGTTCCAAACTTGGGTGCTTATTTATAGAAGACATGTGTGCAAGAAAAAATGGAAGGTTGAGCGTGCAAGGACACATATAGAACTAAACAAGAAAAATATAACAAACTTATTGCTGGAAAAAACTATATCCCACCATCTTCAACATAAAGTAAACTACACATTCAACTATGTTGTGTCACTCATTTGTAAGAAAAAAAGAAGATGAACCAAATCCCCATAAACTCCAAACCTTAGGAATTGATCATGTTAGACATCACTGTTGACCCTTGTAAACAATTATCCTTCTACCGAAGCTAGAAGAATCATAAGAAAAATAAAATAAGAAATTACACCCTAATAAGAAAAATAACAGTTTACTCCTTTTTTAGATCATGTCAACCATAAACTACCTACAATACATGTTTGTATTGATCATGTTAGACATCACTACATGTTTGTCAACAAAAACAAGTTAGTTAGTGGTCTATGCAAAGCATTCAGCAGCAAGTTAAGTGCATCATAACTCCTTGCATTGTTTGCTTGAACTGGTATGATATAACAAACAATACATCAAACTTGTTTGGTCAATAGAATTCAACATTCCAGTTCCATTATAAAATCTGTGATCCAAACGCCCCCTAAGAATATTTTGGGAAAAAAGTTGTCTACATGAATGGAATGATTAAATTAAGCCCTTTGTTTAACATTAAGATGCAATCAAACACCTCCTGAATTGTATCCGCATACATAAAGAAACAAGCAGGGTAGAGTAGGAAACAACATGAGTCACTTCATCAAGCCGCAAACAACCCCTAAGTGTAGTCAAAATCGAAAAAAGAAAAAGGAGCACTAACCGCAATTTAACTGTAACGCCAGAAATCAGACTTGAATATGAGTCGATAGGTTAGATGAAGTAGATCGATTGATCGATCCACGACCCTCTCCGAGTCTCTTTCTCTTCCCTTCTGAAAAAATGCATAATTTAGGGTAAAAACATCGGAAATTTTTACAATGAAGACAATTACGGGAAATGAACAAACTTTCAAAATCAAAAATTGGAAAAGTTATCACCTTTGACGACAGAAGAAATTGAGAATCGACAGATCGCCGGGGAGTTCGCCGGCGGTGGTGGTTTCAGAGGTTTTAGCAAAATTTCTTGGGTTCGTCTCCGTTATGTCTTCGAGTAGTAAATGCTTGGAATCACCTATTTACTGAACGTATCTTTCTATTTGATTATAACGATATTCAATTTTAATGATAATAATATTATTTCTTAAATTATATATTAATTTCATATAAAATATTAAAATAATTTTTTTAATAATCTATGTTGTATTATAAAACATTTGACAAATACCGTTAAAAACTATTTTTTATTTATAAATTACTGTTTATTGATGTATATAACTTAAAATTCAATATTACAGATAAATTGTGCATAAATACAACTTATTAAAGCTTCATGTTTGAATTCGTGTAACTAACTGCAGATAAACATAATTTAGAAGATAAACATCTCATTTTATATATAAATAATCTAAAATATAATTAGAATAATTAATGAGTTTTAACAAAATACTTAATTATTATCTTTACAAAAATTATATAATTAAACCAAAAATAAAAAAGTGAATTAAAGAAATACACAAAAAAAAATTAAATAGTTAGTTTGATATTAATATCAATGTTTTTTTATCATATATCTTTGTATTTATATTTTATTAAAAAATAAAAATATTATCGTTTTCTTAAAACCATATAAAACCTATTATAACATCGATTGAGACAAAAAAAAAACATTAAATCCGAGATGTATCTCACTGCATTGTGCAAGTACCTTTCTAATTTATTTAAAATAAGTAATTAAAAATCAATTAACCAAATGTTATGTATTATTCATGATCATAATCATTTTAGGGTTAAAAGGTAATAAATGATAATTAAGGAGTTGTTTGTTTACCTTTTACTAGTTTCATTAAGAGGCAGTTTCTAAATCGTTAAGAAGTGAATCTTATTTGGCAAATAAACAGTCTGTCTCTGAATAAATTCTAAACCCTTTGAATGATTGTATCATGGGTCTTCCTTAACCATTCAACACCCTAATTCGTTTGTAAACAATTAACGAACAATTATGTTTCATTTAGCATTGTATCATCAAAGTCTTTTAATCATTCTGCACCAAATCATTTAGCAACAACCAAACAGTCTTTGAGATAAAAGAAACTGTTCGATTTTATATAATATCACGTCTCGTTTTCACAAAAACCTGGTTTTTTTATTTGAAATAAAAAATCATTTACATTTTCATTTTCTGTCATTTTCATTTACAGCCTGAACCAAATTGCACCTAAGTTTTCAATTAATAATTGCATAAGTATAAATTCATAAAGTTTTTTGAACCGTTCTTCTTATACAAAACAATGTCGTTGTTAAAATTAAAAAAAATACATATTTATTTTAAATATATAAAGACAAATTGTATGAAAAAAATAACATACTTTAACTTGATTCATATTTTGGGTAACGTACTCCTAAAACTTTCATTTTAGTGCTTGAGATGTAAAGTTTTAAACATTTTAGTACTCGGGTAACCGATTGAAGCATCACCGGTTAGGTTAAGATATTCATGTTAGCAGATAATACTGAGTTGGATACCACATCACTCGTCACATTAGCATGGTAATCGGTTAATGCTTCAACCGTTTACCCGAGTACTTAAATGTTTAAAACCCTACACGTGGCTGGAGTTGCAGAAGATTACGGGGTGTAGTGGTGGACCAATAGATGAAGGGCGACTAAATTCAAAACGAATATCAAAGAACGAGAAGGAGTTTACTTTTTTGTTTTCTTACAAGGCTTACAAGCATGTACATACGGCTTAGAGGTTTGTACGATAAAAAGGTTGTCCAACAAAAATGACCAAAATATCCCTCGATCGAACCGAGGTTAACAAAGTTAGAAAAACGGACTTAATTCTAATAAAAAAGAAACCATAATGACCATTCGTGTAACTATTTCACATCGTGGACCTAATACGTAAATTTTACATAAGTATAGGGATAGATTTTGTAATTCACTCTAAATTCAAAGATGAAAAGAATATGCTTAGAATATTTATTTTGCTTTGCATTCTTTATTTATTTATTTATTTATTTGTATTGTTTTTTATTGTAATTTTTGTAGAAAACAAAACATGTTATAAATGGTCAAATAAAGTCAAAATGTTAGATAAAACTATTTTAAATAGCGTAAATTGTATGAAAAAGTAATATATTTTAACTTGATTTTTATTTTGGGTAACATACTTTCAAAACTTTCATTTTGGTACCTAAGATGTAAAGTTTTAAACTTTTAAGTATCTAGGTAACTGGTTGAAGCATTAAATGGTTATCGTGCTGATGTGGTATCCAACTAAGTATTATTTATTATTCAACCCAATTTCATCTAATCACTCGCCACATCAACATGATAACCGTTTAATGCTTCAACCGACAGTGATGTGGTATTCAACTAAGCAATTTGAAAATAAATTAATTTGATAATGATTAGATGGACAACTGGATGGTCATCAGATGATTAATTGAATGTTGATCGGTTCGGTTTTGGTCGCATTTGGACTGCCATCCGAAAACCGACAGATCAAACTGGATGTTGAAAATTTCAATCCGATCAGATCCAATTACAATGGATATTCAATCATCATCGGTAGGTTCTAATTGAATCGATTGATTTTCTGCACACCCTTATTCAAAAGTTTGTTGGAGATATTAAACGTATCTAATATCTACAATAATTTAATCTCCAAAACAGAAATCTCATTGCAACTGTCTGTTTTTTTTTTCTTCAGATTTTAAGTTTCCATCATCTATTTTCAAAAACAACCAGATATGTTATTTAAAAAATGGAGATTTTTCAGGTTTTTGAACAAGTTTTTTACTCCAATAAATTCTTCAAAACTTTTATGGAAAACACAGAAACCATTGACGTTGAATGTAATTTTTTTTATAGAGATTTTAAAATTTGGTTATGTATTTTGGGGAACCCATATGTTATAATTTATCGATGAGGGGCATATTTAGGGGTGTAAATAATGCTAGTCGAGCTCGAGTATTACTGTACTCGACTTGAAAACTTGTGAGCAGTAAAAATCAAAGCTCGAGTCAAACTCGATAACTATTTCTCAATCTCGAACTTGAAACAAGCTCGAACTGCAACTCAACTATTTCTCGTATCGTTTACGCCCCTAGGCATGATTATGAAAGTATTGGAAAAATAGGGGCCAAAGTGTAAAAAACCATAGTTAGAGGAGTGAAATACGAAAGGCCAAAATTTTTGGTTGGTTGGTGAAGTCTCCTATACGAGCGCCCCCTTTTCATCAGAACTCACCACATCATTAGCCCCACTGTGTGAGTGTGTTTTAGGTGAAGAGACACAGAGAGAGTGCAGTTCTAGGTGCGAGAAAAACACATACACACTCTAGAAACATAAACTAACAATTTCTGTGTAGAAATGGATTCAGATTATGGAGTTCCAAGAGAGCTTTCTGATCTACAAAAGAATCGATCTTTATACAAACCCGAACTCCCCCCTTGCCTTCAGGTAATTAGGTTTATTACATTCATGGGTTACGAGTTCCCAACTGTTTTTCTTCAGATTTATACATATATATACCTGTATCTATCGCCATTGTATTGATTTGATGTGTTTCATAGTGGTAAATGAGTAAATCTCGGATCGAATCAGGGGTTTTGTGTTTAAAGTTTTTGAATATTCAGTGATTCGATGAAATTGAAAATGAAACAGATCTGACGTGTGTAGAATGTAGATCACGTGTTTTGCGACATATTCGTGCTTTTCATTTTCGCCTTTTTTATCGTCCTTTATTCTTGTCACCTTTTGGTTGCTTTGTGTTGTGACTATTTTGGGATTCAGTTTGACTGCTTTCAATGTTTAAAGTAGCATTTAAATTTAGGGTTTTCTTTTTCTGCAGCTGGGAATCTTGCAACGTTATGTAAATGCTTAATTTGTTTCATGTCTGGTGAAAAGCTGTATCTTTATTAGTACAAGTGTCAAAAGAGATGTTTTTTTTGTTGTAAGTTGTAAGATAGGAGACTGAGAACATGGCATAGGAATCAAAATGATGGGTTGCTAAGATTTTAAACTTTAACCATCACTGTGCTTAAAAGAGAGTGAATTACTGTTTGGTTGATTTTCCATTAAGTTATGAACGGATAAAGTTGCCTGTATGGATGAATCTGTCTGTATAAATTGAAAAGGTTTTTGTTTGGGAGGATTTCTATCATAGATGGAAGGAGAGTGAGGTGTGGGAAAAACTTGGTTTTGTGCATAAAGCTCCCGTCCAGAAGCTTATTGAATAAGCCACTTTCTATACTGTTAAGCCACCACCAAACAGTCATGTATAGCTGACCGAATAAGATGTGAGTCTCATTAAGTTGCTAACAAACAAGCAACATTATTTCGCATATTAAGAAGCTGCATTTTAAGTTGTGTGCATGTTTGACTTTATTGGCACCTCATATCTAGTCATCTTTCAGTTACACCTGATTGTGGGTCCTCGTTATTTTATGTCTTCAAGCATGGATGGGAAGAAGGGAATTGGAGAGGTTGAAGGTGAGATGGAGGAGGGTTAGAGAGCCGACATATAGGTTACCAAGAGTCCTAAGATAGTTAGAGTGATGTGTGCTTTTTCTAACCTTTCTATGTTTCAAACTTTCAATGTAAAGGATTGGGTTAAGAGGAAAACCACAAAAAATTGGAAAACTGAGGAATACTCTAATGACCATTCGTTTGTCCGATATGCACATGTGCATAGACACCCGGAAACATTTTCAATTATTTTTATGCACATATGCATACCGGACAAATGAATGGTTACTAGGGTGTTTTTCAATTTTTCGTTTTTTATGGTTTTCCCCTAAACCCAGTCTCAATGTACGTACATCTTACGTCTTTGTTCTTCTTACCATTTTTACTCACACTTTTACAAGCAGGGGATTTTAATGGAAATGGCTGATCTACCCTTTGGGGTAGAGGACACATTCTTTCCGAAGATTTGCACACGCTCTGCAACCATAGACATGAAAACAGATATTTTCTTTTTTCACTTATTGGACCATCTTACTGATACTATAAACACTCATTCTAAAACAGACATCCATCTACCAGCCTTTACAATTTGTTGACAATTGATGCGTATATATATAACCTACAACATGAATTTTGATGATATATTGGGCTTATGAACCATGCCTTATTGGTTTATGCACAGGGAACTACTGTGAGAGTAGAGTTTGGTGATGCGACTGCTGCAGCAGATCCTTCTGGTGCAAATGCCATTGCTCGGTCATTTCCTCACACTTATGGTCAACCTTTGGCTCATTTTCTCAGAGCAACAACTAAAGTAGCGAAGTCTCAGACTATTGATGAGCATCCTGCAGTAAAGTATGCATTCACTTAATTCAATTTCTTTTCATCTTGGCAATACTCAAAACCTTGACAAAAAAAATTATGGGATTGTATTGAAGTTTAATCTAATTCTAAATTTCAAAGATTTTTAATATATACCAGTTCTATCAGGAACACATGTCCTAGTATTCATTCACTGTTAAAAATAATAGCATGGGTGTAACATTTAAGATCATTGTTCGTATTGTTGGATGCAGAACCTTCTTCTCATACCATGTTGCAATACGTCAAGAAACAGACTCATATTGCATACTGTCTTCTTTTTCAGGGTTGGACTGGTTTTCTGTGGTAGACAATCTCCCGGAGGACATAATGTTGTATGGGGTCTTCATGATGCTCTCAAAACTCACAATCCTAAGAGCACTTTGCTTGGATTTCTAGGTAAACATTTTTTGACTTAGGGGCTGTTTGGTTGGTATTCCATTAAGTGCTATATGGATAAAGGTGTTTGTGTGGAGTAATGTCTGTATAGATTGTGAAGGTTTTTGTTTGGGAGGGTTTTTTCATAGATGAAGGAGTGTGTTTTTTTAATTGGGAGGAGCAGGCTTGGAAAAAACTTGGCTTCTGCATTAAGCTCCCCCTAGAAGCTTACTGAATAAGCCACTTTCTATATCATTAAGCCACTGCCAAACAATCATGTATAGCTGACTGAATAAGCTGTGAGTCCTGTTAAGCTTAGTAAGCTGCTAATAAACTGGCCCTTACTATGCTCCTTTTCAATTTGTGGTTTGATTTTGACGGGCGGGATATGTATATCCTACCCTTGGGGTAGAGGTCTTCATGGAAACGACCTCTCTACTCCTTGGGGTAGAGGTCAGATATGCATACATCCCACCCCTAGACCTCACCCCCGGGTGGGATATACTGGGATACATTCATTCGGTTTGGTTTTATGGGACGGGAATGTGGGAACATGTTTAGAACCTCAAAGATGGACACAAAGAGGGAGGGAGCATATGGAAGCACACAAAGAACATATATCAGTTGTTTATTGTGCACAGACTACCCGACACTTTATGCTTGAATTTTGCCTCAGATGTAATTCGTCTTTTGAGTTAACTTGGGATATTTTCTCTGAAGAATTCCATTATGCTTATGCATGTGACTAGGTGGTTCGGACGGTTTATTTGCACAAAAAACTCTCGAGATCACAGATGATGTTCTTGCAACCTACAAAAATCAAGGTACTTATGAGAATATAATTTTGGGATCAGGGTTTTCTCTCTCTTTCTTGAAGTAATTTCATTTGTCACTTTTTCAATCCTTTGAAGGTGGTTATGATCTATTGGGACGAACAAAGGATCAAATAAGAACCACAGAACAAGTAAATTCCGCAATGGCAGCATGCAAGGCTTTGAAGTTGGATGGCCTAGTCATTGTTGGAGGTACATATGAAGTATAACGAAAGATAACTATTTATCGAAATAAATTTTTTGTCATGTTTACCAACCCATGTTTGTTTGTTTGAAGGGGTTACGTCTAACACCGATGCTGCTCAGCTTGCTGAGACTTTTGCTGAAGCAAAATGCTCTACAAAGGTAACTAAGCATGCCCTCTTTTGCTGCATGAGACGTTACACACCAAGATTTCTTTTGCCTTTTATGTACAATATTGTCAAAACTGTTGCTAATTTTGCAGGTGGTTGGAGTACCAGTTACCTTGAACGGAGATCTTAAGAACCAATTTGTCGAAGCAAATGTTGGGTTCGATACAATATGCAAGGTATATATCCTGTCATATATGCTTATCGACTTCTACAAATTCTCTATGTAGAAGGATGCATCATGCATTCGTGTACCATAATTTCCTGATATGGTAAGCCTTTGTCGTATATGGGAAGGTTCAAATGAGAAAAGTAAATATTTTGAGATCCTGGGAAGCAACTATTCATGATGAATATTGTGATAGATATTCATAGTGAAAAACTCATAAAATAGTTAGTTTCCAGGTTCTCATATGAACTTTTCCCTTGTCATATATAAAGAATGACATTGCACGGACAATTTTGGCGTATATGAATGCTACAAGGAAGCTTATTGCTCGAGTGCTTTATGAAATTCTTTGAGATGATGTAAACATTATTCAGAATCTTTCTGCAATACCCGTATGTGAAGGATCAATATTGTAAATTTGTAATTATAAAATGATTTTCAATTTGAAAATGGAGGGATGATTTTTAGATTACAGGCAACTGACCAATTCATTTCTTCTGTAATAAACCAAGTTGCACAAGTTCTTTTGGAACCCTTCTGCTATTTGATGTAAACAATCTTCCGTCATATTTCTGCATTTTTAATCACCGTGTTTCCTTTCTTTAGGTTAACTCTCAACTCATCAGTAATGTCTGCACTGATGCTCTTTCTGCCGAAAAGGTAATCCGCTCAATTCAAATATCTTGCCCTCTTAGATATAATTATGTATTTAATATACCGTGCCCCCTTTCTAGCAAAGATGGTGTGATCTTTATGCAAGAAGAGATGCTATGTGATAGCTGAACCCGTTCCATCTTTTCTTCTTACCGTTATCTTATCTATATACCGACACCTTACTAAAATCTAATCGGTTTATTTTTCTTTCTTTCCAGTACTACTATTTTATCCGGCTCATGGGTAGGAAGGCATCTCATGTTGCCGTGGAGTGCACTCTGCAATCACATCCTAACATGGTGCGTTTACCACACAGTTTTTTAGAAATGTGTAGTTATTATACTTTTTAGTTAACCAAATGACAATTTTAGCTCAATAATAGAGGGAGTAATGAATTTTTTTATCTCATAATTAAGGTTAAAATTGGAAAGTGGCACTTACGTTTCAAAGTTGACATGTATTTTGGTACAGAGGGAGTATGTGGTTTCTGTAGTTCTTCTTGTTCTTTGATTAAGGGGCTGTTTGGTTTTGTCCGTGTGGATTAATCTGTTTTTATAGATTGATTAGATTTTTATTTAAAAGTGTTTTTCCATAGATGGAAGGAGCGTGTTTTTTATTGGGAGGGGCAGGTGTGAAAAAAGTTGACTTTCTTCTTAAAGCTTCCTCTAGAAGCTTACAGAATAAGCCACTTTCTATATCATTAAGTCACTACCAAACAGTCATGTATAGCTGATCGAATAAGTTATAAGCTGTGAGTCTCATTAAGCTGCTAACAAACAGACCCTGAGTCTCTATATCTTCTTTGTAGGTTATCCTTGCTGAAGAAGTTTCCGCTTCAAAGCTTACTCTTTTTGATATAACAAAACAAATTTGTGATGCGGTCCAAGCCAGGGCAGAACAAGGTGTGTGGTGGTTATTTGCTGCCATTGTTGTTGATTTCATGGTGGTCACCATATCTTCTAACATTTTGTTTATTTTGCAGACAAGAATCATGGTGTCATCCTACTTCCAGAAGGGCTTATTGAAAGCATCCCGGAAGTTTACGCACTTTTGCAGGTAAATAAAGCTTGTAAGACAACAATTTGTAAACCTTGAGGGTGCGTTTGGTCTCCAGACGGAACAGTTGTTCAGAACTGGACATGACATAACAGATAAAACTACCAATTTACTTCTACCTAGTTGTTTATATATTATATATATATTGATTAATTTATGTAATTTGTTAAATTATAATAAAATAAATATTTTTAATAAAAAATATATGATTAGAGAGTTTTAGTCAAGACGATTAAAATGGCACCAAAATAAAAAAGTGTGTACTTCCCAATTTTTATTTTATATATTTTCTATATTATTTTTTAATTATTAATATTTATTAAATTACATAAATTAATTAAAATATAGAAACCGTATAAAAATAATATTTTAAGAACAATAACATGAAAGTTTAAAGAGCATAAAATACAATAAATAAAATTTAAAGAATGAATAAAATGTAAAGAGGGAGGCTTAGTTGATGTTTTAGAAGAGAATTAGGTTTTATTTTGAGGTTATATTGGTAAAATATAGGTCTGTTCCATCTTGTTCCATGGAGTGAGGGTGGAACACGTCTGTTCCACTTTGTTCCACATGAAAGTTCTGCAAAACGTAGAACAGTGATCTTTGTTCTGTAGTGTCCAATGTACCAAACGCACCCTAAGGCCTGCTCAACCGGCAAATAAAGGCTAGGCCTTGGGGATCATTCCTCCCATAGGTCACCAGTTCGAGTCCCCTCATGGCCACAATTGATTTTTCTGGCTGTTATATTCAGGGTTCCATGAGATTAACTGAATCAACACCTTTTTCTTTCAGGAAATCCACCATCATCTTCGACAAGGTGTTTCCGCTGATAAAATATCAACGAAATTGTCTCCTTGGGCATCCGCGTTGTTTGAATTTTTACCACTCTTTATTAGGAAACAGGTATGTTTTAGCATCATTCTTGCAAATGGAAATATGCCCTTATGTAGAATCCGTATGTTGGTGCTTGTATAAATTACCTTTTTCTATTGCAGCTTCTCCTCCATCCCGAATCAGATGACTCAGCTCAGTTGTCTCAGGTACTTTGTTGGTGACCTTTGTAAATCGTAACACCATGGAAACTTGTAAAACTGTGTTTTCGTACGCATTTATTGTTGGCTATTTAATTTTTCTCAGATTGAGACGGAAAAGCTTCTTGCTGAACTTGTGGAAGCAGAAATTAACAAGAGACTGGTAGGATATGAACTTTATGTACACTGAACTTTATTTGCGCTTAGAAGCTAGAACCAACTATTCATGAATTACTCATAATGAATATACCTAAATATTCATGAATATTATTCTTCGTGGATATTATTCTTCATGAATATCATGCATTTTCACTATTCATGATATTCATCATCAGTATCTATCATGATGTTTATCATCAATATCTGTCACGATATTCATAATGAATAGTAAATATTATGAGAACCTTGAGAACCAACTACATGAATTATTCATAATGAATATTATTCTTCATGAATATCATGCATTTTCACTATTCATGATATTCATCATCAATATCTAATTATCTATCATGATATTCATAATGAATAGTTGGTTCTCACGGTTGTCAATAATCAATATGTTCGCATTCACAAATGAATCCACCCCAATACCTATGAACGTGAATGATTCATTTATCTTTGAATTGTAAACAGAAAGAAGGTACATACAAGGGGAAAAAATTCAATGCAATTTGCCACTTCTTTGGCTATCAAGCTCGGGGTTCTTTGCCATCAAAATTCGATTGTGACTATGCCTATGTAAGTTCCTTCACTTTAGCCGATCAATCTACATGCCCCATCATAAATATCAATTACTTTTTACCTAAATTCAACGCAATTATATAGGTTCTTGGACATAGCTGTTATCATATTCTAGCAGCCGGTTTAAATGGTTATATGGCAACCGTCACTAACTTGAAGAGCCCTTCAAACAAATGGCGTTGTGGTGCTGCTCCAATATCGGTAGTGTTTCCATCCATATATTAGAAATCTAATCTATGTTGTACTTTATTGTGGTTGCAAACTTAGATTTCTTATGCAATATGTGGATTAATGAATTCGTTACTTTTTGGCTGGTTCGGGCATTCTAGGCTATGATGACTGTAAAGCATTATGGTCGTGGCTCAGGATCAGGGTCCACGACTCTTGGGAAACCCGTAGTCCATCCTGCTACCGTGGATTTGAGAGGCAAAGTATACGAGTACGTGACTTCATCATGATGTTTCGTTTCATTTCTTTTCTATCCACCATGCCTTGGCTGTTTGGTTGGTTTTCCATTAAGTCATGTATGGATAAAAGTGTCTGTGTGGATTAATCTGTTTGTATAGATTGAGAAGGTTTTTGTTTGGAAGGATTTTTTCGTAGACCGAATGAGTGTGCTTTTTAATTGAGAAGGACAGGTTTGGAGAAAAACTTGGCTTTCTGCATAAATCCCCAAGAAACTTACACTTTCTATATCATTCAGGCACTACCAAACAGTCATATATAGCTGACTGAATAAGCTGTGATCCCCTTAAGCTCATCAAGCTGCTAACAATTATGAATACTATAAATGATCATTGGGGAATAATTTCTAGCAGAGCTCAAAATCTATGTATTTTTACTCTCTGGGGTAGAGTTTGTTTGGTTTAATAAGGATCGAAACATGTGCTAATTTACGGTGGGGATTGGTGCAGGCTGCTTAGACAAAATGCAACAAGATTCTTGATGGATGATGTCTACAGAAACCCCGGACCCCTTCAGTTTGATGGTCCGGGTGCCGATTCTAAGGCTGTCAGCTTGTGTGTGGAGGATCTTGATTACATGGGTCGTATCAAGGAACTGAACGAATATCTCGACAAGGTGCAATACTTTTCTTGTTCTTTACTTATCGTCTGCATTTCATTCATCGAAGATCTTGAAAGTTTCTTTCCTGAGGGTCGTTTGGTTGGTTTTTCATTACGTCTTATATAGATAAAATTATCTGTCTGGATTAATCTGTTTGTATAGATTGGGAAGGTTTTTGTTTGGGAGGGTTTTTTCACAGATGAAAGAAATTTGTTTTTTAATTGGAAGAGGCAGGCATAGAAAAGAAACCTGATCCCAACTCGTGGTGGGTTATACTGTGTTTGTTTGGTTTACATTCAACATAACAAATATCGCATGCTAGAAAAACATCCCACATAATTATGAGCATAAAAACATGCATTGATTGAAATATTGCAGGGACACGTTCATTTGAAAACATTGAGAACCATATATTCATTATGAATAGATCTCTATATATATATTTATGTATATTCATTATGAATATTCGGTTAATATTATCCTCAATTTCTACAGGTAAGAACGATCGTGAAACCAGGTTGTTCTCAAGACGTTCTGAAAGCTGCGTTGAGCGCCATGTCTTCTGTGACGGATATTCTTTCTGTCATGACCTCACAGCGTCTAGAGTAGTACACGCCACTCCGGGTGGCTCATCTTCCACCATTGAAACTAGACTGTACTCGAACCTCCTTCGGATATCCTGTATTTTCTCAATTTTGTGACGAGTTGCTTTTTTATTGTTTTTGAAGACAAACAATTAGATTGCGACTACTTGATTCGGTCTTTCTGCTGTTCCTGTTTTCGGGTCTGGTTTCAGTTTCTGGGAAGATTTATAATGAGAAATAAAGCTTGACATTTCAGGTCTGGTTTCGGTTTCTGCTGTTCTATGGTTGCAATATTCTGATTTTGATTTTTTTGGCGGTCAAAATACCGAGATTTCGATGTTATTGCCACTAGAGCGTCTGATCGTTCAGAGGGCGATCACGGGGTTTTAATTTCTATGTGAAGGTCAAGGAATTTTTCAATGCCATTACCCCTCGGTAATTATCCCTCTAGCATACTGAGCAGCTGAAAGAGTCGGTCTTGAAAACCGTTTTGTGATCACAGGTTCGGGACAAGGTACTCAGTTGTGGATGACATCACTGACGACTCGTGAGCTCGCAGGCATAGTAAAACAGATGATTTTATGGTGGTATGCTTGTACAAACAGTTAGAGCGTTTGAGTCTGACAGCTACAGTGTGGGAGTTACATTTCTTTGAAGATTGAGCTTCTTGTGAGCAGTGAGCTCTCAAGTCAGATATCCAGTAGGTCGTTTGCTTGATTTATATCTTACATGATACTCCGAAAATAAATAACAAGATTCTGATACTATCGTCACGAGGGCGTAACACTGATGTTTTTGTAGTGATATACTTGTACAAACAGTCGAGGGATCGAGTCTGGCAGTGTGGAAGTTACATTTTCTTTGAAGATTGAGCTCCTTATGGACGGTGACACTCTTATAACAGCTATGAACCTGATTTATATCTTACATGATGCTCGTGGGACAGGGTGGTGTGTTGTGACTACAATCATGTACAAAATCATATGTGATTCCGCAAGAGATAATGGAACACAGTCAATGCAAGAGTGGGAGCAGCAATCATTCCATTACAGCAAGACCTGTGCATCCTTGCTTTGACCATATTCTGTAATATGTGATTTTGTACTGAAATCACATGTCATAATGGAACACAGTCAATGCAAGACTGTGCATGCGACCTAGGTCCGTTCAATATGAAACTACATATGACTTCACTGTTCTTGTGTTTTCTTATTTTGATCATGTTCTCGTTTGAACGTCCTCAACTCCCTTACGTTACAAAATTTCTACTTTGATAGAAATGTCTTGTTCCTCTTTATTTATCAAAAGTTATCCAATTTTCTCCGTAACGATTTAGTTCAACGACATTAACAAGATGTGTCGGTTGCAAATCAAGATGAACAAACAAAAATCAGAAGTAAAAACATTTACCAAAAATGTTTCAACTGGTTACCCGAGTAATTAAATGTTTAAAACTTTACATCATAGATATCAAAATAAAAGTTTTAAAAGTACGTTACCTCAAATAAGAATCAAGTTAAAGTACTTTATATTTTCATACAATTTGCCTTATTTTAATAATACAAAATTATTTTGAAATAAAAATTATAACTTTGAAAATTCAAATATCTTTTTCACCTTTTTCAGAAATAAATGATTGCCCCCTAAGACTTTGTTACATTGACTTTTCAATTATTAAATTCATATTAATAAAATCAAATAAAATAATAAAATTAATTGCAAAAATTCGAATTTTTATTAAATTTTCTTGAAAATACTAATAAGGAGTTCTTGCATTCGATCCCCAGCCCATTACATCACCGGAATATGGGTAATCGGAACCGCCATTGTTATTCCCGGCGGCCACCGTGTTAAACAAAGATACGCCACTTCCTCCGCCGCCGCCGCTTGTTACTTCCGAACACTGTGAAGCCGCCGGTTGTACTTGTGCTCCGCTACCACCGTCTTCCTCCACATCCTCCTCCACCGGAAGTCTCTCAAACACCGCATTCGCAAAAGACGCCGCCATAAGCACCACCGGACTGGACGCCATCAACGGACCAACCGGAATCCCTCCGACCACCTGTCCCTGCCCGCCGGCCAAAAAAATCGACAAACCACCAGCATTTGGTGGCGCCGGTGGCGGAAGCACAGTGCCGGAAATCGTAAGTATCTCGAACCTTCCATGAAGCGTCACCGCGTTTCCAGAAGGATCCGCCGGCTGACGTAAAGTGACGTCAGCGACGTTCCCGGTACCACTCAGAACAGAAACACCTCTTCCTCTCCGGCGAGCGAAGACGGAGAGACTATCGACGATATCGGCGCCGGCGGAGACCTCGAGAACGTGAGACCGGAGTGCATTAGGGCTTTCACGAGTGAGGATGACTGGCGGCTTAGGTTTGTTTTTGGATCCCGGCGGACGGCCACGGCAACGACGAGTAGGACCACCGCTGCCTTCATCGCCGTCCGTCGAAGCATCTTCGAGAAGGTGGTGGAGGTAACGGCCGTGTTTTTGATGGTCGCCGTCGTCGAAATCCGCCATTGAAGATCTCGTCGACGTTCGGAGCTTTAAATACCGAACCGGCGGCTTCCTCCTATAAATGGAAGATGGCAAAGTCTTTATCTTATCCTAAAATAAAATTTAAATGAAAAATAAAAGGGAGTGCTAATATCACTTTTTAACAGGGGGTGTTGAATATTTGAGAATTATGTTGTATTTTTAAATCCATAAAACATTAAATTGATTTAATAATATATTATATTTAATTATTATTATTATTTAATATATATATATTATATAATATTTTTTATTTATATTATTATATTATTTTATTATCTTTACTTATATTATCTATACTATCTTATTAAGTAAATTTAGTAAAAGTCTTAAAGTTTTAAAATTTTAAATGACTAAAATATCATTTATACTTATTTTTTCACTTTTTCACCCCCTCCTCTCCTCACATACATTCACCCCCTACATGCACTCATCCTCTCACACAACCGGTTTTTTTAAAATTGTAATTTTAAATTTATATTTTATACCCCTATAATTAATTAATTAATTTACTTTAGGTCCTTTACTTTTAAATGTTTCATTTTAAACTTTTATCAAWTTAACATACATAATCGTATATCAATTAAAACATGTTAAAAAATACATTTTTATTGTAACAAGTTACACCATTATAGTCGTCTCGTCAATACCTTCGAAATGAGTCCAATATTGAATAATTTTGGACTTAATTATATTATTTTATATTATATATACTGTGAAAAAATATTTTTAATATTTACCATTTATACTTTTATAGTTATTTATTTATATATATACTATATATTTTGGGGTTATGCTGTCCAAATTGCACTGTATAATATGTTTTGAATTAATATGTTCTTGGGTTTTTTTTAAATATATATATATATATATATATACATGTATTAATTCAACATTAATCTGAGTTTCTGGACAAGAAAGAGGGTAAGCAATTGAAATTTCATTATAAAACCCATTTTTTTTTGTCTTTTCATGGCTTATGATCTGTCAAATTTGTAGTTTTCTTTATTGATTTTGAGTGTTTATCTTAAAACTCAAGTTTCTTGGTTCTTTGCTCTTGGTGTAAATCGAATACATTTGTGAAGTCGTTTAAATATATTGGATTTTAAATATATCGGATTTTAAACTGTCATACAATTTTTTTCATCGATAATCTGTAATTGGAACCATAACTCTTGTTTATTCAAATTGTATTAATATGTAAAGACCAAGTGTAACCTATATCATCGTTAAATCTTATCTTATAAAACCAGTGGAACTTCAAAATCATTAAAATTCATGGCTCCCGCTGCATTTCGCGGGTACACAACTAGTATTGAAGTTTTATTATAATTATTTTAAAAAACTTAAAATAGTTTAATCCAAAAATTTAATTTTTATGTTTAATTAGTTATTTTAGTTGATGAGATATTTATAGAAATCATTTGTATTAAATTTAAATAAGGAAAAAGTTCAGAAAATTAAAGAAATTGTTCCATTTTGAATGATTGATTCTTGAACTTTTTTTTGATTGAATAAGTTGTTGAACTCTTTTTGTGTTGAATGATTAAATGATTGAGCTTTTTAAATAACCGGTTACTTAGATTATTTTGATCTTGTTAAAATTGTATAATTTAGAAGTTATTTTTATTATATGACTTGAAAAATATAATCGCTTTTACATAAAGTAGTATTTCAAATTTCTTGGGTTATTTTAATATTTTTAAAATTATGTAATTAAAAGATTGTGAAAAAAATAAAATTAAAAGAGTTAATGTCGTGCAACTCACTGAGTCATAGTTATTTACAAAAAAAATCATCCTTATATATATATTTTTAATAAATAAATCATCGAACTTTTAAAAATTGGTTATTTGGATCATTTCAACCGAAAAATGCTACATATCATGACTTGCTTGCTTTACAAATCAAATAAGTGGAAAAACGATTTTTAAGTCACGGTTTCCTCGATTTTTAATCTATCCAGATAGTAGCTAAATAAATCTTTTTATAATACATAAAGATCTAATGTTATTATTATTATATTAAATTTATATGTAGTTTGATAATATAATTTTTTTATTTATTAATAAATAACTATTTTAAATATATATATATATATATATATATATATTTTCTGTAAAATAATTATTAGAAAAAAGTAACATCTTTTAAGAAAAATATTAAAAAAGAAAATAAAACATATAATATTTTTTATAGAAATTATGATAAAAAATAATATTTTTTAGTAATAATTTTATTACAAAATAATAAATAATTTTTGTAATAATAATGTATTTATAATTAAATAGAATAAGTAAACGAATATTAATATATAAAAAAAAGACAACAAAAAGAAAAAAACATAAAAAGAAAAAACATAAAAAGAATGATTATATAAATGATAGGAGTGTTAGTAAGGGGGTAGAGGTGCCATTAGCCTCCCCCAAAATAAATTTCAAAAAAGTTTTTTACTCTAAATTTAATATAAACATTTAATAATGGACAAATTGCATGAAAAAGTAATGTATTTTAACATTATTCCTATTTTAGATAAGTATTTTCAAAAATTTTATTTTGTTACCTAAAATGTGAAGTTTTAAACAAAGTAACCGGTTACCATATTAATGTGATTAGTGATGAGATGAAATTGGGTTAAATAGCAAATAATACTGAGTTGGATACCACATCACTCGCCACATCATCATGGTAACCGGTTAATGTTTCAACCGGTTACCCGAATACTTAAACGTTTTAAACTTTACATTTTAGGTACCAAAATGAAAGTTTTGAAAGTACGTTACTCAAAATAAGAATCAAGTTAAATTAGGTTACATTTTCATGCAAAATTTTCTTTCAATTATTTATTAACTATTTTAAATACATTTTATGAACTATTTTAAACACATTTATTAAAATTAAATAATGTTTATACTGTAAAACGTTGATTACTAACAACCTCAACTGATTTCATACAGAATCTGCTTTCAAGAATATCAGTGTCTGGAGGATATTTCTTTGACCCACTTTAGCAGTTGAAGCTAGCGAGGGATCTGGAAATTATAAATTATTTTGTGGGTTTGGATCGGGTCTAATCTATTTCTGTTATCAAATCGATATAAGCATATTTTCTTGAAAGTACAAGAAGCATATTTTTTTGACTTTTGATGTTTATACTAAGCATAAAAACCGAAATTTTCCTATCAACGAGTACAACATTGTAGCAGATGTTTTTGGACTTTGATACGTGCAGGGACCGACACTGTTTAGCATAAAAACCATGATTGACCTCGATTAAACAGAGTGTCTGGAGTTCTCAGGTTCAAATCCATCGATGAATGAAAATTCCCTTGTGGCCATGGAGGTTCAAATGCGGTGACTCTAGGACATTCATGTGGTCGCCATGGGATTAATCGGCTCGCATAGCGGGTTGGATATCCAGGTTAATAAAAAAAAAAACAAATACGGAGATTCAAACCTTCACAAATTGGTCTTTTGACGTGTCTGGTTCTTATCAGTCATATATTGCACCAGTCCTTGGTACGAAAACTAAGGACCGAGCCCATGAATGATCGTTTAGTATCCAGACCGTCCCTTCAAATACCTCATTCGAGGGTCTGAACCAATCCTCGGTCCTTTTTGTGCATCTTTATCTGATTTGTTTCTATATAACTTATAACTTTAAATATAGATTATATAAATACATTACCTAAAATAAGAATTGATCGAAAACCAGTGTTGTTTAAACCAAATAACATTAAACCCTGTATTCAAATCAGATTGAATTTGTTTTTTCGGAAAGAGGGCGGCACCTCTGTCAAATATACATACAGGGTTGGTTCTTGTGAAACCAGACTGTTTTTGTGAAACCATCTTTTTACACTTGAAACTTCACAGTAAACACTGTGAAGGTAAAGGAAAGCCGAACCTTCACAGCATTTTTCAGAAAGAGGGCGGCACCTCTGTCAAATATACATACAGGGTTGGTTCATGTGAGACCACACTGTTTTTGTGAGACCCGTGAAACCATCTTTTTTCACTTGAAACTTCACAGCAAAACACTGTAAACGTAAAGAAAATCTGAACCTTCACAGCAAAAACCCTATGACGGGTTATCTTCACAGTGTTTTGTTGTGAAGTTTCAAATGTAAAAAAGTGGTCTCAAGAAAACAAGTTGATCTCACGTGATCCCAAGTATATAGCACTGAAGAGCATCAAACCTGGAGTCTCTTGTTTCAAATAATTGCAGACAACTCGTTTATTATTGCCACGAAACCCTAAAACCACCTTCTTCTGCTACCCGAGAATATTTTTTAGGGTTTACAATTATCATAACGTAATCATCGATATGTATTTAACGTCTAAAGTTTTGGTTTTAAAATCAATATCTCTAAATGCGTTATATATATATATATATATCTTTTAAACAATAAACCGAAAGAATAAAACAAGTAGAGAAAACAATATTTAAAAACTAACCCGTTTCGACAGTTGTACACAAAATCAAAGAAGTCAAAGATAAACAACTCGTTAAAGAAGAAATAAATAAAGAAGCAGATATTTTAAAACGAGATATTACGATCAGTATTTTTTACGTTCTATAAAGTATCGAGTGAAACAAGTAAACCACTATGTAGGCCACCGACTCACATGCTTGAACTGTTGAGTCATCTGTGTTAAACCTGTATTTAGAATATCTTAAACTGATTTCGTTATCAATAAAAGATACAATTCCTTGCGGTCATTCAGATCAAATCAACCAAAAAAGCGATCTTTTAACAAAATCAGGAAATAGTCTAAAGAAAATCTATTACAAATAATGAAAGACAAATTGAATGAAAAAGTAACGTACTTTAACTTGATTCTTATTTTGGGTAACAACACTTTTAAAACTTCCATTTTAGTACCTAAGATATAAAATTTTAAGCATTTAAGTGTCCGGATAACCGGTTGAAGTATTAACTCTTTCTTCTAATAAACCACAATACATAGAAACTAATTTTAGATTAAGATATTAATGTCAACAAATAATACTGAGTTGGATACCACATCACTCGCCATATCAGCATGGTAACCATTTAATGCTTCAACCGGGTACTTAAATGTTTCAAACTTTACATCTTAGGTACCAAAATGAAAAAAATATTGAAAGGTGTGTTATCCAAGATATGAATAAAGTTAAAGTACGCTACTTTTTCGTCTAATTTGCCCAATAACAAATTAAATATAACTAATTCCGATACAATTATATCCAATCATGTTCTGGTTCTCTGATTTTATCTGTCCGAACAAATTTCGACAAAAATCAGAATTAGAAAAAAAAGAAAAAAAGAAAAAGATGGTGGATTCTTAATTGGGAAGCAATGGTTGTTGTTGGTCAACATAAGACTACTCCTGTGTACTTCAATCACCTCAACCCGTTTAGATTTTCTTTAAAAAATATTATTCATATTAAAATTGTAAATTGTATGAAAAAGTAACGTATTTTAACTTGATTTTTATTTTTGGTAACATAGTTTCAAAACTTCCATTTTGATACTTAAGATGTAAAGTGTTAAACATTTAAGTACTTGGGTAACCAGTTGAAGCATTAACTGGTTATCATGCTGATGTGGCGAGTGATATGGTATGCGGTTAATGCTTCAACAAATAATACTGAGTTGGATACCACATCACTCGCCACATCGCTTACCCGGGTACTTAAATGTTTTAAACTTTACATCTTAGTTACCAAAATGGAAGTTCTGAAAGTTTGTACATTAAATAGATTGTTGGTAAACGTCTTTTTCCCAATAAGTACTTACTGGGTAAAAGTCTTCTCCCTCAGTTACCGAATAAGATTATAGGTCTTTGTTATGCCTCTTACCGAATAAAAGTTTCAGTTACTGACTCATTATCATGCTTCTAATAAAATAAGTTACACTTGATAAACATTTGAAGAATTACCATTTAATTAAAACTAACAAACATGACCTTAGACTTTATTTTGCATAATTAACTTGGGTTAACGTGAGACGAGCCTGTTTTCATGAGACCCACGAGACCATATTTTTACACTTCAAACTTCACAACAAAATACAGTTAAGGTAAAAGCAAATCCAAACTTTCACAGTAAAACCACTGTGAAAGTTAGCTTTACAGTGTTTTGCTATAAAGTTTCAAGTGTAAAAAAATCGTTTCACAAAAGCAATCTTATCTCACATAATACCAAGTCTAATTATTTAAAAGAACAAATAGTTTATCATCATCAACTACTCCACAAGATTATCCAATGACATCACAATTTCACTTTACTTTAGTTCCATGTCGCCATGGCAAGCCACTAGAAACTAGCCAAGTTAACTGCTATTTGTTCATGAGTGGGACGACCCATTAGACTCAGTCCATTTGACCTGCTAGAAATACGGGCTTGAACAATCATTATCGAGAAAATGGACGGGTTTGGGTTTGTTTATGAAAAAATAATTATGGGCAAGTCCGTCCGGCCCGTTTATGTTTTATAATTAATATTTTTTTACCATTAATTAAAAATATACTAGTATATTTTAAAATTAAATTATTAAAGTTATATGATGAGAGTTGAAACTCTTTGGTTTTTCTTGAGAACCCAAAAGGCTTTACATTATCTTTGTTAGCATCCTTATGTTAAAAGTCATAATCGATCAACAATGGCTAGAGTCAGTAGTTGTTTAAAATTTTAACTGCAAAAGTGTTTTTCCTTTACTTTTTTATTCCACTTTTGTTAACTAAGAGTTACATTTTTTAGGCCTATTAACCCGTGGACAAGCTTGGTTTGTTTATTCCTACTTGGATTCGAACCTGAGACCACCAGAGACTTTTAACCTTTAGAGCCAGATGTAGGAGGACATTCATATGATTGTACATTTTTAGAGGCATGTTTGGTTGAGAATCACATGTCTATTGCAAAATGAAAAATCACCGAAAACACGCCATGTGTCCAAAACATTCCTTATGAATGTTGTAAAAGTTTACGTCTATTTATACTATATTATTAAGTATTTGACAAAAACTCTTAAAAATTATTTTTTATGCATGAGGTAGTGTTTATTAATGCATATTACTTAAAATTTAAGATTACAAGTAAATCATGCGTAAGTACAACTTATTAAAACTATATTTTTGAATTTGTATAATTAACTGCAGATAGACATAATCAAATACAGGATAAACATCTCATTTTAAATATAAACAATCTAAAATATCATTAGAATAATCATTGAGTTTTTAACAGAATCATTATCTTTATAAAAATTATATCGTTAAGGCAAAAATAAATTACTTTGCTATTAAAACTAAATTAAATTATAATAAAAAATTGTACCAAAAAATGAGAACTTTTAAATAGTTGATTTTATATTAATATTGATATATTTTTTCAAATTTTTATGACATCTTTAAATTTATTTTAATTTAAAAGTAAAAATGTTATCTTTTATCAAAACCACATAGATTGTATTACATTGACAGATAAAAAAAATAAAATGAAATATTAAATAAAGGTGTTTCTCGCTGCATTGCGCGAGTACTCTTCTACTTATTCATGATGAATACAGACACATGACACACTTTCGATGGTTCCCCAATTCACAACATAAATGAGGTTTTCGACTGAACTTTCCTCTGTATTTCTAATTACATATTTAATATTAGGTGTCATCTGGTTTATGGATTAAAATAGATGGTTTTAAATTATTAGGTGATATTTGGTTCATGGAACCGATAAGATTTCAAGGGGATTGGAATGATTAATTCCTTCGTGTGGTTCACTTCTTAAAATGGATAGAATACTTTGAATTCCACAAATTAATGAATTCATCATTCCTTTGAATAAATAAAAGAATTGAATTTCATCGTTTTACATCCAATTTAACCAACACCGCCACCCTTAATCTTCCCACCACCACACTCCACTGCCACCAACCCCCAACCCACCACCAACCACTAGGGGTGCTCAAAAACCCGACCAACTCGATCAACCCAACCCAACGCAAAATAACTCAACCCGATGTCAAATTGAGTTGTAAAATTTTCAAACCGCAGGTATTGGGTTAGTATTATTTAAAGTCAACTCAACCCAATGAACCCAATATCCTTTTATTTCTTAGATTTAATATGATTGTTGAATTTCTATTAATATATACATCAGACAATTACATTATCACATACTCTCTTTATATACACATATTTTCAATCTATTCACATCTATATATAACTCATTCATATATATATATATATATATATATATTCAGTAACTCTAAACATATATATATATATATATATATATATATATATATATATATAAATTAAGAAAATTAACTGAATGTGATACACGTAAAAAGTATGGATAAGTATCAAATGGTTGATGATGAAAAAAAAATTATGAAAAGAGAGATAATATATCCCAGGTTGGAAGAATATTTGAATGCACCAAAGTATCAACCCGACCAACCTGTACGGTTTGGGTTGGGCTGAGTTGCACTTTAGTTTGGGTTAGGTTGTTCAAATGTCTCCAACCCGATTTTTTATGCACCAAAATATCAACCCAATTTTTCAAACGGCAAGCATTGGATCGGATTGTTCAAATGTCTTCAACCTAACCTAGGAGCACCCATACCAACAATGATGCTACTATTGTCGCTACAACGACCACCCCCACCCTCCCTAAACAAATATGGAGATTCCAATTTTCTCTTAAGAGATTCTATTCTAATTCCTCCCGTGGTCAAATTCCTTTGTTGAATTCCATTTCTACCAAATCAAAAGCAACTTAGAGTTTCAAGCACTTTCTAGATTCAATTGTTTTTGGTATGAAAAAAGCAATTGATGATGTTTGTTTTTCCTAAGTAAACCATAAATAATAATCCAAGACTCACAAAAGAATACCTGACTTTGTAAATAACTCTTCACAACCCAAATGAATTTTATACACACACACACACACAATTAACAAAAACAGAAAAAAGGGAGGCTTCACTTATCTATAACTATGATTTTRAACCTGCAATTGCTGCCATATCCCTGGTTGATCTGTTGTATTTCATGTGGCTCTTTACCAGCTGACCTGCTGCTATGGCCGACATTAAAGACAGCTCCCCGGCTAACACCGAACCAGCCACTACGGTTGCTAGCAGCCGAGCATTTGACCCTGGTGACTTAAAACTTGCACCCTTTGCTCCAAGCAGGTTCAAGCATGCGGATTGTGACGCTAGTTGCGTCCCTCCTCCCACYGTACCAACCTGGAACATGCATACATACAAACTCACTCCAAGGAATGGCCAATAACCAAACCAAACAAAACCAGTATATGTAACCTGGACTCACGGTTTTAAAATGCGTCTGATAGAGGAGGTATCYAGTCCCTTMTAAGGAAATCTTAGGTYCCCTCCTCAACCGATGYGGATCTTACAGTATATCCCATCCCAGCCCCCGCCTGGGGGATGTACGCAGATGTGACCTCTACCTTAAGAAGAGAAGGGCTGTTTTTGAAAAGACCCCCCCTGCTATGTTAGAGGTCGAGGGTTCTTTGATCATAAACGATTGGATAAAAACCAATCGGATCGCGTATTGTCCACTTTCCAAATACACTTATTCGMCCCTATTAGCCTTGGATATCACAGATTGAGTACAAGGATAATCAAATGTTTACTTTGATCTTAAAGGCACTGTAAAATTGAGAGTATACACACACACACACACACATTCCACGTTTTACATATTTATACGAGAGATCGACGGTTATAGATAGTTAGAGATYGCAAGGGGGCAGCCCTTTTGTCACCCCCCCAACCCGGCCCCACGGGCCGCCTTATGGCGGTCAAAGGTGGAGGTGATGTTTATGAGAGTGCACCCAGCACCTCCTTACACACGTTATGTATGCCTTTATGCCTAGTCGATCTCTTGTRGATCACAATTACAAACTTGGGTGGATCTACTAAGGGCATGTGCCACCACTAAATTTGTTTGTCAAAGTCTAATTTATTTTACGACCCTCAGTAGTGCCACCACTGTGATTCGTTTTCTACTACCACTGCCCACTGTCATGGGAAAATTGAGAGGCTACAGAAGTGTATCAAAGCTTAACAATGGTGGAACACGAAAATCCTAACTGTGCATATTGAAATTGGAATGGATTTCCTAGTGTTTTGCACTGTATTTGGTAACTTATCTACATTTTATTTATCTTTCAATTAATTGCTGTTTTATTTTATCTTTATGGTAATTATTTTGTACCACCGCTGCAAAAAAAAAAATCTAGATCCGCCACTGTTACAAAGGCTTTCCTCCAATCCATGGCCGTTAGAAAGCTTGGTGCATCGTGATCCTTTGTATGGGAAATGAAAAACGAGCACCATGAAGAAAGGAAGAAATAAGGAAATGACAAATACCTCAATTGAAGGCATARTAACAGAGATGTGCARGTCTTTTCCATTATTRACGRCTTCCATCATAGTTATGYAGTGAGAACYCTCGATGTTTTGGGMTGGATCCTGACCAGTGGCTATAAAGACTGMAGATACAACATTGGCGGCATGGGCATTGAAGCCACCAAGAGAACCAGCAATAGCTGAACCAGTAAGGTTCTTAAGCATGTTAAGTTCTACAAGGCCAGGCACTGTGGTTTTCAGCACCTTCTTAACCACCTCTTCAGTGATGACTGCTTCGCAAACAACAGATTTTCCACGCCCCTCGATCCAATTAACAGCAGCAGGTTTTTTATCCGAGCAAAAGTTTCCTATTCAACCGCAAAACACGTCATAATTATATGAAGAGCTTTCATCAGTCTACCTAGGGTCATTGGCCTAGCAGTACCTAGGTTACTGGTAGAGCCCAACCTCCCTGGAGGTCAAGGGTTCAAGCCTAATCAAATGTGAGAAGTGTGTGAGTTTTGCCGTATATAAAATATTGTACACATTAAAAAAAGATGGAGAAGCTAATAATGATGCTACATGAATAGACTTCAGATGAATCAAAAACACAAGGGGAAATGTCCAATACTAATGGGCACTTGATGCATGTTCTTACAGAGAGATTTGATTCCGTAACTACCAAATATAATGTACATTTGGATAACCAATAAGACTGTAGAAAGTATAAGCTGAAGATTGATGAATTATACCTGAAAAGAGGAATACTGTCACTAGTGAAAGCAAGTCATATTGGTAGAAATTTCAGTGTTCTTTTATCTTGATCAATTTAAAAGCCAGATACTCTATCAAAGTTAATGTTATAAGCAAAGAGATAATCTTATAGGATGAGGGAAACAAGATAAAAATGTGATAAAGTACAAGGGGGCAAGAGGAAAAACTGCACATTTTCAGATATCAACACAATGTATGTATATGATCACAAACATGTAAGTGGTGCATACAGGCTATTGTGTGAATGTATATCCTTTTGCTTTGTTGGTTTTTTGTCATTGATTTGGTTATCTAGCATGTATTAAGCTGCTAGGCGAACCTTTTCCCAATCCCATTTCTTCTGTCAATATATCGAAATGTTATGGTATCATTTGACAAACCCTCATGTATTTTGGAGCATCCCCAGAAGTCAGATTCCCTATGCATGAGAATTGGCATTTCATCACATCGAAGAACCATGCTTCCTAGACTCGAATCCTAAATCCTCAAACACATGAAGTTAAGCAAAAATGAGGACTTACCAGATATACCAATCACATCCATGTCTGGGAAATCATTTTGAAGAAAATTTAACACATTTTGGACACCCTTGGACACCATGTTCATTCCCATTGCATCACCCGTGCTGCAGGTAAATCTGATATACAGATTTTTCCCTGCAATTGCGCATTTAATATACTGGAGCCTAGCAAATCTGCTTGATCTGTTTGTAAAAGAACATAATAAATCAAGAACCTGATATAGCGAGATTCATAGGGGGGGACCTATCAACATCAGACATGACAATCACATGCTAACTAAATTATAAAATATACGACATAAGAAGCAAAGTAACCATCACCTCATATACTTTTATCAACGTAATCCAATTACTATATCTAAATAACAAAAAGGGTTGTTTTCTATTTAACAGCTATAAAATCAGCACATTTTAAAAAGAAATACCCAGGTGAAAAATATTTATTCATGTCCACTCTACACTAGGCACTGTGCATTATACAGTGCATGGACATTTTAAAATGTTATGTAAAAATGGAAATTCTATATACAATTAGGTCTCATAGACATACCTTCATGACATGGACTCATGGAGATAGATGCTATAAACATATAACAAGACAAGGATAAAAAGAACATCATATATAAGCTCTTTCTAACAAAAAGTTACCAGAATTCAAGTGCTTTTTGGTTATTTGTTCAATGATAGTTAGCTGTTGAATTCAATTTTGGATCTTACAAAATTAAGGGCAGTGTTTATGCAACATTTAGAGCATTGCCTTTTTGTTCAGATTATGAAAAGTATCATCAATAGGCATATTACTAAATCAGGAACTGTATGTAGTTTCCTATCGAAACTAACTAAAGGAGGGACCTTACTTGTTGAAAATGACGCTCAAAGTATCAAAATTGATAGGGTCTTCCAGAAAGAACTTAAGTTGTGAAGCCCTCTCCGCAGTATCAAACCTAACAACAGGCGCTCTCGTCATCCCATCTTTCAACAGAATCGCTGTAGCTCCACCGGATGCAAAAATAGCCTTACAACCCCTGTTTGTACTCGCAACCAAACACCCTTCCGTCGTTGCCATAGGCACCATATACTCACAGCCATTCAGCAACAACGGGCCAGCGATTCCCACAGGTAGCTGAACATAACCAACAGGCATCTCGCAACACTGCCCTAAAATCGACTCGTAATCGAATCCTTCCAATGGCAACCCTAACAACGACCTCCCCGTCGTCCTCTCCAACGCCTGCCGTCGAATCGAAGCAGCCCTAAGGCAGTCCCCAAGCTTCGATTCAAGAGAATACGACGGAACCGATCCACAAACCACAGACTCCACAATCTCCTCATCCTCTTTAGACGTAAGAACAATAGAAGGTACAGGATCCATAATTCTAGGTTTAGTTTCAGAATCTTGTTCTACTTCGCCCTCTAGAACGAAGTTGTCTTCTTCACCACGTGCATTGGTGATGAAGGATTGAACGAAATCGATGCCGAAAAACCCTAGGAGGTAGATGAAGGAGGCAATGAGGGAGACGATGGCGGCCAGTTCCGAGAGCGTGACTACATGAAGAGGCGTAGACGACCGGATCTTGTCGCGCCAACGGTGAAGAAGATAGTATGCAACACAGAAAAACAAAGTGAAGAAAATGCCGTTTGTTAGGTAGAGCGGAAGAGGCAGTGCATCCGATGCTTTAGGAACCGGAGACGGTGATCGATCGACGATACTGATACTGACACCGACACCGTTCTTTCTGGAGGAAGATGATCGATTGTGATCATCATCATCGTTAGTAACATCCTTCTGGTGGTGGTTGATGACGGTAGCAGATGGCGGTTTCGGAGGGAGTCTACGTCGGAGATCCATGAGGAAGTGAGAGGGACGGTGGTTTCGGAGGTAGGGGAGGGTTGTTATATATGAAAGCAGAATGTGCGGGGGTTAAGACTAAAATGCGCTGGCGTGGGGCTACACCCTATTTCATTTTGGTGGTGTCGTTATCAAATGCTGCGCTATTACACATGGTGTGCACCCCCACCTGTTTTTTTTATTTTTGGAAATTTAATTAAATCATTTTAATTGTAATTTACTTTAACTTTGATTTTTATTTTGGGTAATGTATTTTTAAATTTTTTATTTTGACACTTAAAATGTAAAGTTTTAAACATTTAAGTAACTGGATAAAATGTTGAAACATTAACCGGTTATCATGCTGATATGACGAATGATGGGATGAAATTTGGTTGAATAGCAAATAATATCGAGTTGAATACCATATCGCTCGTCAAATCAGCACGGTAACTGGTTAATTCTTCAACCAGTTAACTTAAATGTTTAAAATTTTACATTTTATGTACCAAAATGGAAGTTTTGAAAGTACATCACTCAAAATAAGAATCAAGTTAAAGTACATTATTTTTTCATACGATTTGCCCTTTCTTTCTCCTATACATAGTTGTATAGATTTCTCAAAACTTGTATATTTTCATATTCTTTGTCTTCTTTTTTCTATTTTACCATATAATATGACTAAATACTTCACAAATACTAATGATGGTGATTTGCCCCGACCCGGTGGGAACCTGGCTCACCGGCCCGAACGGGAACGGGGATTCCCCCCTAAAATGAGTCCCGGGTCGGAACCGGGGATCCCCGGTAGACTCAAATCGAGGCTGGAAATCTCTGGTAGACTCAAACTAACGGATATTCTTCATGCAGTTTGATCGGGAACGGGATATCAATCTCCATACCCGCCCGAGCAGGGGGTTGTTACTAAAAACCGGGGTTGGGACCACGGATTACAAAACCTGCCCCATCCCCGCCTCATTGCCATACCTAATAAATACCATGCTTTTCTTTTAATCGATGAATTAGTATTATTTATCAGTTTCGGTTTAAAATAGAAATTACTTCACGAACCACACAAATACATAACTAGTATACTTACGTATTTATATATAGTATCTGATTTATTTTTTCATTTAACTGGTTTGCAAGGTTATATAAAAGCACTATTTAAAAAACCCAGTTTTAGATTTTTTTTGACATCGTGTTTGATTAGCGATTTATATATGATTATATAATACAGAGTCGTTATAACCAAATAACTGTTGGTAATAAAATACAACGTTTGTATTCGTTTTTACAAGCTTTAGTTTGAAATTACTGTTTTTTATATTATATTAAATATCTATAAATTTATTTTTGTTTAATAAAACAACAGATAAAATAATATTATTATGTATTTTGATAATCAATTTTGTTACTCCTACTCGAACAGATTATTTCGTCCCTACATAATGAAATTAGTCCAAGAGGCTGTTTAGTAGTTGTTGAATGGTTTGATGCAAAATGATTAAATGATCAAAATGATTAAGATGCTCTTATAATATATGGTGTTGAATGGTTAAGGGAGTTTCAAGATGTAAAATCATTCAAAGGGTTTAAAATCATTAAGAGGCATAATTTTTTTTTTTACCAAACAAGATTCACCTATTAACTATTCAAATGTTGTCTCTTAATGAAACTATTAAGAGGTAAAGAAACACTATCTGAACATGAGTACATTGCTCAAACACTAAAAATGGAATATTATAATTTGCAGTTGAAATATTTCAGATAATTATTTTAAAAACGCAGATTTCAAAGATGAAATATTTATATTAAAGTTTCAAATTTTTGCTGACAATATATCTGTTGACCGTCTTAAAAATTTCTTTATTACAAAAGAAAAGCATCATTTTCAACCATTGTGAAGTCTACGGGTTTATTTAAAAGATGCTCGTTTTTCAAAAAACATGGTGTAATGTAGTTGTCGAAGCACGACATTTGAAAGTCGTATCTGAAAAAGTTTAAATAAGATGATCATAAAATGGTTGGTTAAATTTATGAAGGGGGGGTCTTCATTTGAGAACTCATAAAATTGTGATAACTTTGAGAACCGGTGCATCATGTGTTATTTCACATGATTTTTTTTCCCATAGTGTATAAATTAACATATGTTTGTTTCATAATGTGAACGCTTTTTATTTGTTTGTGAAACAAAAAATACATCTAACAAGTTTCGTATTGTGAACCGAGTACATATGAAACAAACACATTGTGAAACAAATATATGTTGATCAATGTATTAAATTCTAGCATTAGATGGGAAAAAAATCATGTGAAACAATAATTTACAATAATAGTTTTCACAGTTATCACAACATATTAGGTCCTCAAGTGTTCAGGTCTTATCAGAAGACAGTTTTATTGTAACAACTATTGATTTGTTTTTCAGTATTTGGATATTTTTGTCTTCGAAAATCAAAATAAAAATCACTCGGGGGTTAGCCCAATTCACGAATAGATATCAGGTCTCCAGGGTTCTCCTCATAGGCTGTTTTTTTATTAACATGGATATCCAACCCGCTAAGCGAGTCGACTAATCCTATGGCGACCACCTGCTTTACAGATAGCCTGGAATCACCGCAATTGAACCTTCGTGGCCACAAAGTGATTTTTATTCCTCTTTAGATTTGAACCTGAAACCTCCTGGTACTTTTGACCTTTGGAGTCAAGTTCAAACCAATCATGCACCACTCTTGTGGTTTAGGCTGTTCTTTTTATGGCAAATTGCATGAAAAAAAATAACGTACCTTAACTTGATTCATATTTTGAGTAACGTACTTACACAATTTATATTTTGATATCTAAGATGTAAAGTTTAAATATTTAAATATCCGGGCAACCAGTTGAAGACTAATTTTACTATTTTAGATTAAAAAAGATTAATTTTAGATTCAAAAAAATCCATGTCACTAACCACCTCAGTAAATCATATTGAGTTGAATACCACATCATTCGGCACATCAGCATGATAATCGGTTAATGCTTCAACCGGTTACCCGGATACCTGAATGTTTAAAACTTTACATCTTATGTACAAAATGGAAGTTTTGAGAGTATATTATCCAGAATATGAATCAAATTAAAGTACGTTGTTTTTCCATGCAATTTACTCTTCTTGTCATTGCCTCATGGCTATTGGATGTAATCATAAGAAGCGCTTCTCATTTCATCCCCATAGTTATGCTTCTTATTTCATAAATTATGAAAGAGTTGTCGAAAATAGCTAGTTAGAGGTGTAAGCTGGTATGGACATCCACATTTATCTGTAAAAAAATATTTAGAATCAGATATATTAACATTTTTATCAATTTGTTAATTCCCTTATTTAGTAAACTTTACTGGAAATCTATTTTTATATCAAAAAAATAAATATTCAGTCGAAGTAATGATGTTTCATCAATGGAAAAGAACACGAGATTAACACAAAATAAGTGACATCTTCATCGCCATAGTCAGATATGTGTAAAATGTCTGCTATCTCCATCTAATCTGATCCCGAACTGAGGACCAGACCAAAAAATACGAAAACCAAAAGAAGCCTCGAGCCAAATTCGGGCTTATAAATGGTCTGTTTTTTATATTAACCAATTAATAACTAACAATCCAATGATCAGGCGTTCGGTTGGTTTGGTCAATAACCTAACTGGGTCCATTTAAAGCCCAATCAGTGCTGCTTGCAACGATTAGCTTTTAAAAAATGGGGTTCTGAACTTTGCTTCTACAAAAACAACATAATATTTTTGGTTTCATACAAATTAAAGAACAAATGGGTCCAATTGTGACCAGTTAAGATCATAAGGATCGTACTGATTACAGTTTCAAACCATTTTACTGATTAAAAACACATATGGTCCTTTGAATGAACGTATTTCTTTGATCAATTGGGACCAGACCCATTATACCGAACCAAATTACCAATCAAGGAGTCGTCCCGATGCATCTATAGTCGTTGTAGATGATTTTGTAGCATGTTGTGAAAAATAACAGCAAATTTGATATGTACCCCGTGGTTTTGTGAATGAGCTCGATTGTAAACCAAACATACCATGTGTATCTCACTCGAAAGTAAGGCATGTAAGTCACTTAGCTTACCAATGAGCATGACAATGACCGATAATCTTACCTGTATGAGACACGACAACAGTCGAGGTTCTTACCCTATAAGTAAGGAAGAAGACTCTTACCAGATAAAAGATACCTACCAACAATCTATTTTCATGGCCGAAAATATTACCTGATACAGTAAGAATGAATAATGACTCTTACTCGCAAACATTTATAAGATGAACACTAGCAAACGAAGACCAAAAATCTTAGAGACCATTTACCCAACACTTACTGGGTAAGCGTTTATCAAGTGAGCGTGACAAAAACCAAAAATCTTACCTAGTAAACAGTGAACAACAAGCGCTTACTAAATACTTAACGAGTAAGTGCTTATCGAGAAAAACCATCACCTCCACTGACCTTGTCACATAACATTTTGGACCGTCAAAATGGATTATCTGTAAACATCCTTTACCGGGAAATAGTCTTCTTCCTCAATTACCTAGTAAGATTCTTGGTTCTTGCTATGTCTCTTATCGAGTAAGATTCTCAGTCATTGCAATGCTCATCGATAAAGTAAGTTACATCCATTAAACACTTATCCAGTAAAAGTTTGATAAACAATCCCGATAATCTATACTATATTATAAAACATTTGACAAAAACTTTTAAAAAATATTTTTATGCATTAAGTATTGTTTATTAATGCATATTACTTATTTCTTAAGCTCGAACTCGATTCAAACTCGAACTCAGCTCGAATCAAACTCAAACTCGAGTTCGAAACAAGCTCAAATTGCAACTCAAATCGAACTCAAACTCGAATCAAACATTTTTATTATTTATATTTTACAAATTTTATCATAAAAACTTATTATATTTTAAAACTAATTGTATATAAAATAATCGAGTATCTCACAAGCTTTTCGAGTCGATTATCGAATATCTTGACTCGACTCCTTAACATATCGAGTGTAGTCGAGCCGAGCCTATTCGAGTTGAGTGTTAATCAAGTTTTGACCGAGTCGATCTCGAGTAGTTTGCGAGTTGTCTCGTATCATTTACACTTCTAATGTAGATTATTAAATTTAATTTAAAAAACAATATAAATTTAATAAATAATTATAAATCTGCTCCAAAATTATTGGGACACCTTTGGAAACAACGAGGTGGGGAAGCAAAAGAATCCAAAGTCGGCAGAGAAGTTTGGAAAAAAAAGGTATATATGTCTTCCAGATTCAAAATTACTAAATCCAAACTTCAACTCCAATACCAACATGTTCTATACGCATTAAAACTTGTACTTTAACCGTAACCGATCAATTCCAGCTCTGGCAGAAAGCATTTCAATAAAGCCTTCTTTAACTGCTGTTTCTTTTGCCAGCTCACATCAACAACCTTTTCTTCTCATGCTTCGTTGTCGTCATCATCATCATCTGATCATGATGCTAACAAAAATTAGGGAAAAATTAATTGATAGGGTAAATTGCATGAAAAAAATGACGTACTTTAACTTGATTTATATTTTGGGTAACATATTCTCAAAATTTTCGTTTTGGTACTTAAGATGTAAAGTTTTAAACATTTAAAAACCGGTTATCATGCTGATGTGATATACAACTCAGTATTATTTGTTGACGTGGTTAGTGACATGCATTTTTTTAAATCTAAAATTAGTCTTCAAACGTTTACCCGAGTACTTAAATGTTTAAGACTTTATATCTTAGGTACCAAAATGAAAGTTCTGAAAGTACGTTACATAAAATAGCAATCAAGTTAGAATACATTACTTTTTCATGCAATTTGCTCTAACTGAAATAGACATTCCAGTCTTATATATTTACTTTTTAGCAATTTCTTTCTCAAAAGTTATAAAAAGTCGTTATCTCTACAAGTAGAAATTACTTAACTTACGAAGAGGTTAAAATGTAAAAAAAATATGAACATGATCCACAAGTACAGGGACTAAGGGGCTTTTTACCAAACGCTTACTCGAATAAGTGTTTACCAAGTCACATTATCTTACATGAATAATATGGCAAGTACCAATAATCTTACCCGGTAAGAGCGAGCCAAGGACCGAAAGTCTTATCCGGTAAGTGAGAACGATGACTCTTATCACGGTTAACACTTACCAGTTAAATTGTTGTATCCGATGCCGTTTTGGTTGACTAAAATCTTACCGGGTAAGAAAGTGATAGTGTTGAATTTTACCGATAAACGCTTATCTGATAACTGTTTTGTAAACAGCCCCTAAGTATGTAAAATTTTGAACATGGTCCTCAACTTGCGGAAGTGCCACTCTTGTTTTGTAGACCAGGGTGAAAACCAATTTTTTTTTTTCGTCTTCTAGCTCCTCCACAAGTCCAGGAGGTGTTATTTGCGGAGGTAGTGACTTTTTGGTATTTTAGCGAGAAAAATGGGTATCGCCGTGTTTTCTCGAATTTGGGGAGAAAACAAATGAAAGGAAAAGAAAGGATTTTTCATGTTCTTAAATGTTGGGGTATTAAAAAAACACTGTTGGACCGCTCAAACTGATTGAACCATGTCAAACCAACCGTTTTTGGCGGTTTGGGCAGTTTGACTGTCCGGTCTAGTCTGAAAAATAGCCAAACTGCTTGGTTTGATTTGGTCTACGATCTGAACATGTTGTGAGCGATCTGAACCGTTCAGTTTGGAAAATTTCTAAACCGCCATTACCGAAGGAAAAAAAAAGGAAAAGAAATGAAAGTAGGGGAAAAACAATCAATTATATTATTTTATAAAATAAACAGGGATAAATTTGTCAAAAATGGTAAATTACAATAAAAAGTAACGTACTCTAACTTGATTTCTATTTTAGGTAACGTATTTTCAAAACTTATATTTTGATACCTAAGATGTAAAGTTTTAAACATTTAAATAGCCAGATAATCAGTTGAAATATTAACTGATTAACATACTAATGTGGTATCCAAATCAGTATTATTTACTTAAAAAAAAAATACAAATAAAATTTATTTAGTTGTTTACCTCCATGAAAGTAAAATTGATTTCTTCGCCATAAACCCCACTTCGATTTCATGTTTTTTTTGTGGGTAGTTTTACAACGAATTGTTCCACCCACCATCCACCACCACCCCTTTTGATTTCGATTTCGATTTCAATTTCAAATTTCCAGCCCTAGAGTGGTGTAATCATCTCGTCTTTGTTGTTTTCGATCTCAATTCCACCATTCAAATCGAGCATTTCAACTTCTTCAAAAGAATTCCCCAATTTTCCGTAAAGGGTTTTTGTGGGTTTTTGTTTTTTGTTTTCCTTTCCAAATTGATCGCGTGATTCTGCTCCTAATTCATTCAATTCCAACTATTTATGAATAGAAATTTGTTCCTTTTTGCTGTTTCAAAGAACCTAATTGGCTCGATTCAACCATTCAAATCGAACATTTCAAGTTCTTCGAAAGAATTCCCCTATTTTCTGTAAAGGGTTTTTATTTTTTTTCCCAAATTGATCGCGTGATTCTGCTCCTAATTCATTCAATTTCAAGTCTTTGTGAAAATAAATTTGTTCCTTTTTTGCTGTTCAAAACCCAATTTGATTTAAGACGAAGGAAGAAAAGGGTGTTGTTAATGGCGTATCAGCAGTCGATTCCGGCAACTCCGAGTTCAGGACCGAGTTCAACTTCAGGGTTTCAATCCCCATTTGGGGATACAACTTTCACTAAAGTGTTTGTTGGAGGGTTAGCTTGGGAGACTCAAAGTGAGACCATGCGCCATTATTTCGAACAATTTGGAGAGATTCTTGAAGCTGTTGTGATCACTGATAAGAACACAGGCCGATCCAAGGGTTATGGATTCGTGAGTGTTCTCTTTGATTCTTTATACTAAATGAACCCTAAAAAAACCCTTCAAATTTGAGCAAAACATCGCCATGGAAGGTGTAGCAAGCTTTCTAATGCATAACAGTGAAATAAGTTTGTGGGTTTTTAGTATTTATGAATTTTTCAACAGAAAATACAGTTTCTTGATACATTTGCCATTGAAGGATTCATTCAATTCCCAAAGATTCTAAATTTTTTCTGTATTTTTTAAATGAAAATAACCTACAGAGTGATTTGGTTCCAATGATGGTATTTTGATGGAGGTTTCAGGTAACTTTTCGTGACCCTGAATCTGCTACGAAATCATGTGTTGATCCAGCTCCGGTCATTGATGGCAGGCGGGCAAATTGTAACCTGGCTTCACTTGGACGGCCTCGTGCACCTCCGCCTTTCGGTATCTGATTTCTTTATCTGCTGGTTTCAATCTTGTGTGATTTTGGTTGTAGACTGAGGGGCTGTTTGGTTGATCTCCCATTAAGGGTTGTTTGTTAGCAGCTTAACGAGACTCACAGCCTTTTCTGGTCTGTAATACAGGACTGTTTGATAGTAGCTTAATGATATAGAGAGCGGCTTATTCAGTAAGCTTCTAGAGGCTTTTTCAGTAAGCTTCTAGAGAGGAGCTTTATGTAGAAAGCTAAGTTTTTTTTTTCCATATCTGTTCTTCCCGATTAAAAAACGCGTTCCTTCCATATCTGAAACAAAAAATCTCCCAATCTATACATACAGACTTCTTTGTCCATATGTACTGTGGATTAATCTGTCTGTGTAGATTGAGAGGGTGTTTATAAATGGAATGAGCGTGACCTTTAATTAGGAGGGAAAAAACTTGGCTTTCTGCATAGCACTAGCTTATGGAATAAGCCACTTTCTTTATCATTAAGCCACTACCAAACACTCATATATAGCTGACCAAATAAGTTGTGAGTCTCATTAAGCTCATTAAGCTGCTAACAAACAGGCCCTGAATGCAGTACTTATATCGACTTTTATAGGCTTTGATTAGTGAAAAGTAGAACGATTTCGAAAAGATTGGTTTCTTAATGTCTGTTTCTGATGGTATCAGGAGGTATCACATCACCAATACCTTATGCTGGCGGTCTGCAAACTGCTCGTGTGCCTTCCATTGGCGGCTATGGCTGCCAACCACCGTTTTTTTACAATTACCGACAAGGATTAGTGTATCCTTCATACCCGTAAGAAGATATTGAAGAGATAGATGAATTGACTCGTGGGTTTTGAAAATAGGGAAATTAATAGAAATAGTCATTTTCAGGCTTTGGGTTCATCTCTTAGTCATTTCTCTCCCGAAATTTCAAAAATATCACTACCTCCACAAGTGACCCCTCCTCAATTTGCGGAGGGGCCAAAATGTTAAAAAAATTTATGAACGAGATCCGCAAGTGCAGGTACCAAACCTGTAAATTAGATAAAGGTCTGCAAGTGGCACTTCTGCCACTTGCGGAAGTGTTGTGACTAATTTACAGATTTGGTCCTGTACTTGCAGACCTAGTTCAGAAACTTCTTTTTTTACACTTTGACCCCTCGCAAGTTGAGGAGTTGCTACTTGCGGAGGTTGTGACATTTCTGAAATATTCGGAGAGAAATGGCTAAGAGATGAATCCGAAGTCTGACTATTTTAATTAATTTCCCTTGAAAATATTATATAAATTTAAGGTCTTTTTTGTTTCTTTATGCAGACATGGAACGTATGGTCCAGAATACGTCTATCCACAGGTCAATAGAGTCCTCTGAACCGCTAGCCCAAACCGGAAGTTTATTTAATCTAACGGGTTATCTACTTGTTGATAGGGCGTTTACAACCTATATTCCGGTCAGCAGTATCTTCAGATGATGTATCCTTACAATCAAATAAGCCAATTTGGCCATGGTTATACAGCTTTTCAAGGCTATGGATTGCCGACTAGCTCATCCATTCAGACGATTCAAGCAGCGTATCCAATAGGCAGTGTTTTCTTTCAAAAGATCCATTGAAAAACAATGAAAATTATTAAGACCCATGTAAAAAAGAGAATCTTTTTGGCATTATCAGGTGTTCAAGGACCGCAATTTGTGATTTCCGCCCCTCCATCTCCGGCCACCCATGGTGGTGGTGGTGGTTCTGACCAAAGTGCAGGATGAAGGTCTGATTTAAGGCAAGTAATCACATGAAGTTTTTGTTATTTCATCGGAAGATCTTTACAAACGACCTGTACCCATTTGCAGGTATCCTTAGATTTCAGCAGTTTTGCTACTTGAGTGGCGGGATTCGAATCTAGCCTTGCAAATTATGGTTTTTGCATTCTAGAGGTACGTTCTTGGTTTCGGGATTGCATTTCTTTTTGCAAATTATGGTTTTGTATTCTAGAGGTACATTATTGGTTTCAGACTCATCAAGAAATGCGATATCTTGCATTTCTTTTTGCAAATTATTGGATGCAAACAGATAGAGTAGAATCTGGTGCTTGCATCTGTGTATAGTCACTGATTCAATCAGAGGGGGCAACACAATCTTTGTATAGAAGATATATTTAGATTCTTTTGTGATCTTTCCAGTTAATAGGCTATTCTTTGATGGGGTGGTGGGGTTTGTTGAATAGGATATATCTGATGGTGGGGGGGCTTGCACTTTGTAATGTTGTTGTGGTGCTTGGCCGCCCCACATGGGGAAGGGGCCACAGACATCCCAAACAGACATCCCACAAAGAAAACCATGTCTTTATGTTTTTACGAACGACAAAAGAACTAAAGAATGCAAAATGTCTAAATCATATCGGGTAATCTTGTTTTGAATCTTTAAACATATTTGGTAAAGCTAGTTGTTCGTAATCCGTCCATGGATTTGGGTTTGATATATACATCAAAACCGACATACTTATATATAGAATATATATGAAGAGAGATAGAGAGAGCAGAACAAGGTCAAAATAAGAAAACACGAGAACGGTATATGATTTTGCACTGAAATCACATGTGATTACGGGATACTATCAACGCAAGGGGTGAATGGGCGACTTGGCCTGCGGCCTCAGGTAGCGGCCAAAGTCACATGAATCACACGGGATTTTACACATGATTCATTCTAGTGGAAAATCACATGTATTTTGACTGATATCGTGTTTTCTTATTTGGTCACCATTTTCTCGTTTGAACCCGACACTATATAGGGTTAGGATCAAACGAGAAGGTGGTCAATTTGTGAGAAGACGAGAAGTTCCAAGACCACATGTGATACAAAACAACACGTAATCACATGTGATCCAAGCATGTTGCATTGACCAATCCCCCACGTTCTTTTGACGAGACTTATACAAGGTAAGAAGAGAAGGTTCATATGTGAATCCATTGAAGAAATCCGAAAAAAATTATTTGAAGATGCATATGCGAACCGACGTTACAAAATTATTTATATTCAAATGAATTTTTTCAATGATTCACTTGTGTATCTTCCTTTAACCTTACCTTCTCACGATATTTAGTCTTCTTATTTGAACCTCCCACTATATGCATATCTTTTCTTGTTCTAAAGCAGATCCGTTTGTGGAAATGCAGGTCGTTTTTACCAGAGAAATCATGGTCGGAAATCCCATGAAGATGCGAATTGCGTCGAGTGTCGTTTGTTCCCGTGTCGCTCCGCCAGTGTCATGAGGGTCAAAGAAGTAAATTGGCATGGCACCCAAAGCCGGAATAGGTTTCTGGCATGCATTTATACACCATTCGTTCTTGTTAAAATTAACAAACCCCGTGGTTTGGGGTTTCGGGTAACGGTGTCGTTTTTCGGTTTGTAATTTATAAGAAGCGGTAGCAAGAGCCTGGGTTTCAAAGGGTGGAAATCCCAGGCAGGAAAACACAACAAATGGAATTGTGTCATGTTTGTGTGTGGCTACCAACTGTTCTTCAAACTAAGCTTTTTTCTTGTGCCAAATTGTATGTTTTTTCTTGGTTTGTTTTTTATATCCGAGTTTTGCCTTCTTCGATTCAACCGGTTTATAGAACTGGTCGTGATTCAAACGAGGATCAACGAGCTGCATGTCTAGACAAGACCCACAAAGCCATGTCGTCGGCTCGCATCTTTGTACACGTGTCAGGCTAAAGATGTGCATTCGGGAGTTGGGACTGGTTATGGGCAGTGGCGGATCCAGAAAATTAATGGGATGAGGGCATGTTGGATGAGACTTGGGGGAGGGAAGCATATGGCCATACGGGACCGCCCCGGGGGGATATAGGACGAGGGTGAAAATAGAAAATTTAAGCTAGTCAACAAAGGTTTTGGTTTTTGACTGGGGGCATTTTCCACAGTGCTTAAAGGCTGGATTCGCCCCTGGTTAGGGGGACCATGTAGGACGAGAGTGAAAATAGAAAATTTAAGCTAGTCAACAAAAGTTTTTGGTTTTTGACTGGGGGGCTTTTCCCCCAGTGCTTAAAGGCTGGATCTGCCCCTGGTTATGGGGGACCTGACTAGCGGTCTGGATTAGTTAATGCCATTTTCTAGGCACTGATTAGGGACCTATTAATTATGCAAGTTTCTACACATGCGTTAAGGATGTTGCTTCTTTTATTTATCAGTTTTGCCCTCTTTGATTCTGTCGATTTATAAAATCTGAGCGTTGGTTGGGTTAGAGAAACCAATCGTGTTTTGAACGAGGATCAACTAGATGCACGCCTAAATGGTGTTGTGAGGCACATAGCACCATGTCGTCAGCTTGCCTTAGCTCGTATCTTTTTACATGTTTCCGGTTAAAAACGGGCATTTGGGACCACTTATGGTGGACCCGACCGGGCATCCCGACTAAGGTTGTTGGTAGGAATTTTCTTTTGAATTTTTTTAGTACCATGTGGTAGCCTTTGATTGGTCGATGAGTTCCCGTTTTGAGCACTACTAATATAACAAAATACCCTATAAACTTATAATTAACGACAGATCTTCAAATCCACACAAATTCATAAAACAAATTTGAGAAAAGACAAAATAAAGATGTTTCACGTTGCATTGTACAAATACCCTCATAGACAAAAGATCGTGTGAGAATAGGAGTTAAGATTAGAAGTGTAAAAGAGATCTAGACCATTGACCACGTTTAATCTCTAACTAACATATGAATTGCGTTTTAGAAGGGAATTGATCTGGTGCTTTTCATCAGTCTTGATCTAGCGGAACTCTAGGATTGATTCAAGGGTGGAGATCTCTTTTTACCATTCTCAATGGAACCCAACCCTACATTTATAGCTGTAATTTAAAGACGTAATGATCAATTTGTAGCCCTTGATAGACCTTGTGACGTTAGCTTAACTGACAATAAAGATTTTTCTGACTGTTTTCCAGGCCTTTGCAACTGGTTGGGGAAATTAAAGGCCTATGCAATTAGTTGGGGAATTAAGGGTCTCTGCAATTAGTTCAACTGATAAAAAAAAAATTCACTTCTCACTCAGATCCGCAAAGTGACACCCCTATAAATGGGTGAAAATTGATTTTTTTTTTTTTTTGTATTTTAGCTCCTCTGCAAGTTGAGGAGGTGCTACTTACGGATGTAGTGATATTTTAGAAATTTCCGGAAAAAAATGACTAGAGATGAATTTGGTCTCTGAAAATGATTATTTCTACTGATTTCACTAATTTGTTGAGGTGCACACAAGTTAGTTAAAGAAAATATGATTTTTTTTATTAGAAGTTTATTTATTTATCTATTTCTAATTTGGACAAATAACATGAAAAAGTAACGTATGAAAAAGTAACGTATTTTAACTTGATTACTATTTTGGGTAACGTATTTTCAAAACTTTCATTTTGGTATCTAAGATGTAAAGTTTTAAACATTTAAGTACTTGGGTAAACGGTTGAAGACTAACTTATATTAAAAAAACAAATTTTAGATTAAAAAATTTATGTCAATAACCACGTCAGCAAATAATACTGAGTTGGATACCCACATCACTCGTCACATCAAAATGATAACCGGTTAATGTTTTAGTCAGTTACCTGGCTATTTAAATGTATAAGACTTTACATTTTAGGTACCAAAATGAAATTTTTAAGAATATATTGCACAAAATAAAAATCAAATTAAAATATGTTATTTTTTTTTTATGCAATTTGCAATTCTAATTTATCCTTTTTACCTCAAACCCCATGTTTTTGTTAATTAACGGCGTGAACCAATTCCAACAGTAATTATCGAACTACCCGTTTTCAACCGTTAATACCCTCTCGTTCTCCCCCTTTCTCCTCCGTGCACCGGCGGTCTCAGATTAATGGCTACCAGCTCCGGCGGTGGTGCCACACCATTGAAGCCCCCAGCTCAACCTCCCAAATCCATACCCGAACTTACCCCCACAAGCCAAAATCAAAAGCTCCAACCGCTCGAATTATCTCCAAATCCCATCACTCCTCCCAACCTCACCTCCGCCCCTCCCATTCCCACCGCCGATTCCAAACAACCCACCACTCCCGCAACCGTCAATTCGCGGCCGCGTGAACCTGATTTCGATGTCATCCATGTTCCTAGTTATTCCAGTAAGCCCACGACAACGATTCGCTCTCTTTCTAATTTTTTTTATATGGCGAATATAATGAAATTGCTAGATATGAAATTTCTAGGGTTCATAGTTGAATTGTTTTTGTCCTGCTTATCAATTTGGATTCGATTATTAGAGAACCGCCAATGGTTTGAATTACCAACACGGAGATGTTTTTAGGGTTGTTTTTTTCCTCCGAAAATTAGGGTTCGTTTTATTTGTTACCAAGAATCATTCCTTCCATCCTGTATGATTTTAACTTGGGATTTAAAACAGGTTAATTTTGACTCCAAAATTGATGGAAACTTACAACTCTTGTTTATAGAAAGTTGAGGATATCAAAATCAAAATCAAACTGCAACCCTTCTTCATAAAGGGGAATTATTTCTAGGCTAATTTCATTAGAAATCTTGATTTAGCTTGCTAATATGTATTCCTTACCAGAAAGATGACTAATTTCTAAGTTATATATTCATCGTTACTTGGTGGTTTCCGGGGCTTTAGGTTATGGGTAATCAGAAATCCGTGCCCGATATTTCTATTATACTTACCAATGTTATCTGTGTTTAGGGTGGTTTTCTTGGAACGACATCCATGAATGTGAGGTACGAATTCTCCCAGAATTTTTTGATGGGAAGTCACCATCTAAAACCCCAAAGGTTTATAAATACTACAGGAATGCAATAGTTAAAAGGTTCAGAGACAGTATCATCGAGAACCCGCCATCTAAAGAGAACCCTATGCCGAAGATTACATTCACCGAGGCTCGGAAGTCAATTATTGGTGACGTGGGGTCAGTACGGAAGGTTTTCGATTTCTTGGAGGCATGGGGTTTGGTCAATTACTTTGGTTCGCCTTTGACAAAGGCTCAGTTGAAATGGGAAGATAAAGAGAGTAAGAATGTTTCTGCAGCTTCACAGCAGAACAGTGATAACGGAGGAGCTAATTCGGTTGGTGATGCCAGTGTTCCAAAGAAGAAATTTTGCAGTAGTTGCAATTCTCTTTGCACCATTGCTTGCTTTTCTAACATAAAGGTATCTTAATCATACGTGAATGACTACTATTACCATGTTAGATGAAATATTTATGGTTCTTATGTTACTGCTATTTTAGCATGAAAGTAGTTTAAATGCTAACACTACAACAAAACGGTTTTGTAGAACGTCAAATATGTATAAGTGTCCTAATAGACTACTTTATAGGACCAAACAATTGCGCGTGCGTAATATGTAAAGGTGTTACAATAAGTTGAAAAGATGTTTTTGGGCTTCCTAACAAGTTTTTTAGGACAATTTTGAAATGGATCGTCTTGTTAATAATTTTTGTACGACATTATTTGAAAAAATGTCTTATAAAAACAAGTGTTTTGTATAATGTTCTTTTTGAAGTAAAGAATATATATAGGGTCAGGTTCATGGGAAATCCGCAAAAAAATGAAAAATTGAGGAAAACCCTAGTTACTATTCATCTGTATACAAGTAATTTGTAAGTAATTTTTCCAACATGCACATGTGCATAGAAACAAGGAAACATCTTAAATTACTTGTATGCACATGTGCATACAATCCAGATGAACGGTTATAGGGTGTTCTTTAGTTTTTCATTTTTTTGGGGGTTTTCCCCTATACCTCTCTCTCTCTATATATATATACACACACACATACACACATATATGGCAAAAACACACTACCTCACCTTTTTGTGAGGTTGGAACCATTGACCTCTAGGAATGTTGGATTAATGGGCAGCGCTAAGCCAAAGACCCTTCGGTATAAAAAGGATTTGTTCGTGGGACATGTCTGACAAGTGTCCTATAAAAAACTAATAGGAAACTTTATTTCCCGAATACATTCTAAATTTCTAATATCATATTGTGACACCTTTATACGCGACGCCGAATTATTTGGTCCTATAAAGTAGTCTATTAGGACATTTGGACATCTTTGGCATCCTACAAAGCCGATTTTGTTCTAGTGCTAGTGGTAGGTAGTATTGCTCCTTGATCCTTGCTTTTGTACTCTTTAGCTTCCGAAACAAAATATCACTGCCTTATTTTTGTTCCACAGAAAGACACCACATTTTGTGCACGGTGCTATGTTCGTGCTGGAGTTAACTCTGCAGATTTTAAGAGAGTGGAGATCAGTGAAGAGGTAAAGACAGATTGGACAGAGAAAGAAACTTTGCACCTTCTAGAAGCCGTTATGCATTATGGTGATGACTGGAAGAAGGTATCTGAGCATGTCGTTGGTAGAAGTGAAAAAGAATGTGTAGATCGTTTTATTAAGCTTCCTTTTGGAGAGCAATTTACTGGGCCTCCTGATTCAATTGAGCCTGAGGAAAACGTTCATAAAGCTATGGATCGATTTGATATTGAATCCAATCCGAGCAAAAAAATGCGCCTAACGCCATTTGATGATGCAAGTAACCCCATCTTGGCTCAGGTAAAGATTCCTAAGTTCTATCTTTTGATTCTTGGCTCGATTTGCTATTAAACTCTCGATCTTTTAGGGTGTGTTTGGTGTAGGGAACAAGACAGGATAGGACATAACAGAAACTTGTCCCATGCTTGGTGAAATATTTAGACCGGGACAGGATAGGACTGATCGAGAAAAATGCACTTTTTTGTCGGGTTATCATCTTAAGTGGCCACCTCAAGTAAAGAGTTTTATATTATAGCACCGATTTACTCTTTCTCACAAAATAGTCAAGAAACCGAAAACGCCGCAATACACTTTTCTTGCAGTGCCGCAAACTGCGGCTTTGGCTTGCTTTTTGTCCGTCGACGCATGTCCTTGCAGAGTTGCAGTGCCGCAAGCTGCGGTGTCTCAAACTATTTCTGCGGTGGGCCCACTTTTCATCTGGGTGCGTCAGAATATGTCGGAAACCGCAAGGAAAAGTACCTTGAGGCGTTGGCTTGCGGTTTCTTGGCTATTTTGTGGGAAAAAGTTTGGAGGTGGCTAAACAAATAAAACCTTTTGCCCATGTTATTATGATGATATCCCTTTTTGTCCCACCAAGTTGGTGGAACCAAAATGAGGGAGACGGGACAGATTTGGTATATTACTAAACTACTCGTGTTAAATTAAAACCCCAAAAACCTTGCGCAATTCTTTCACGGGCTACGTCACTCCCCTCGGTCCAAGTCATGTTCGGTCATATCTGTGTGCCAAACACACCCTTAGTGTATCATTAGCATCCCTTTAGATGGACAGTTAAATTTGTGCTGCAAGTTAATTCTGACTTCTTGAATTTCATATTTTCAGGCTGCTTTTCTTTCAACATTGGCGGGCGTAGAGGTTGCAGAAACAGCTGCTTCTGCAGCTGTAAAGGCTTTGACAGAAGTCAACATCGAAACAAGTAAAGAAATTCTTGAATCGTCTGCTGGTGATGCAAGAGATCATGGTATCATATTTTTTTAATTTACTAGCTCCCTTTGATGCTATAACTTCACTGCATATATCATTATTAGTTTAAGGCCATGTTTGGGAACCATAAGGTAGCTTATTCTTTGAGCTTATTGAAAAAACCCCATTAGGTTAGCCATAAGCCAACTATTGGAAACTTTCTTCAAGTAGCGATTCAATAAGCTCCAGGTTTTTTTTTTCAATTCTGGCGCTTATATTTACCGTTGTCTGTGATAATGTTGTTTGCTTTTATGTATTCTGCAATCGTTTTGAATTGTTCTTGTTTATCCATTTTTCCCATGTCCAAATTAGATTAAAAGTTTGTAGTCAAACTAATAATTTTAAGGATCCAAATTGATATAGGTTTGTTTATAGTTAGCCATAGTCACTGTACTAATTTAAATTTAAATCAATATAATCACAATTTTTAATCATCTTTTCAATACTTTTGGTGCAGATTCTGTAACCACAAATGGTAAGAGCAACACGAATTTGTTGGAAGGAGCTTATCTTGAGGCAAAGTTGCAGCTTGAGAAGGAAGAGCAGGACTTGGAGAGAACAATTTCTGACATTGCTGAAGTTCAGGTACTGCAGTTTCATGGTTTCCCAAATAAAATTCTTCTAATTTTTGCGATTAAAATAAGGGGTTGCTTGGTTGGTTTTCCATAAACTCTTGTATGGAGAAAGTTGATTGTGTGATCAATATGTCTGTATAGATTGGGAGGAAGATTTTTTCATAGATGGGAGGAACGTGTTTTTTAATTGGGAGGGGCAAGTTTGGAAGAAAAAAAACTAGGCTTTCTGCATAAAGCTCCCCTAGAAGCTTACTGAATAAGTCACTTTCTATGTCATTAAGTCACTACCAAACAATATTGTATAGCTGACCGAATATGCTTTGAGTCTCATTAAAAAGTCCAATTTGGTCAAAATGACTCAAACTAGGTCATAATTTGTCTTTTTAGACCCTAATGGGTTTAATGGCCCCAATTTTGCATAAACAGTATAACTAGGTCAAAATGACACTAAATGGGTCATATTTTGTTTGTTCAGACCTCAATGGGTATCGTGGGCTTATTTCTCCTATTTGAGTCTAATTGAGCTATAATTATACTAATGGTTCATAATTGGTATAATCGTACGTTAATGGGAGTAATTGAAGTAGAGTGGCTCTTAATGGCCCATTTGGTGTTAGTGGAACCTATTTCTCCTTAAAAAGTCCAATTTGGTCAAAATGACTCAAACTAGGTCATAAT